AGTAGGTCAGTCTGAAGAGCTCCCCTACTTATAGTATGTTTGTTACGAAGGATAAAACTGAATAAAGAATAAACTAACGATTATACTATAATAACTTAGATTGATTAATTACAAAGAACTAAATATATATACGTAAAGAGATATCTTTATATATCTAGTTCTTACTATCCTATATATATAGTCTAGTCCTACTGTCAGAATAGATCTGTTCTGTTTATACAGACAGGATTTCCAGTGCGTTACGTAGTAGTTTATAGGTCCCTATATTCTATACGTAATCTGATATATATAGGAACGTGGCCGTTTCCTGTACCTTTATCTGAGTATTCTGGACCTACAGTTCTGGGGGTGCCCTGGGTACCCGTTGATATATATATGACTTCTAGAGCTAATACATGCCCCCTAGTATTAGTTAGCTCTCAGTGGCCTATCAGTAAGTTATAGCCCCTTATATTGTAGGGTCTGTAATATTATCTCTCTCTCTCCTTGGTTCTTATCCTCAAGAATCCATATAACCGCTTGTCCCTCTTAGGTAGGTATTGGTCCTTTTTTAGTTTTTAATTTTTCTTTCCTTCTGATACCTTACTGACTATATCTTCTTCTTCTGGTGTTTCTAGTCATAAACTCTATCAGCTGATTAACTATGAGGGCTTTGAATCCCTTGTGCTCTGTCTTTGTTATACCTGCCTCCGATACGTCTATATTCGTTCTGATCATTCTAAGAGTTATTCTTGCTGTATTCGTGCAGGCCAGGGTATTAAGTATAAGATATCTGAAATTCGATAGGGGTTCCAGGTTGATCCGGGATCGATTCAACTTCAGGTTGTCGAATAGCCGGAGGAGGCATGGCGGGTTCGGAACGAGTGCTATCGCGAGAGGATGCGGGGTTTCGACGCGTAGAGGGCACCATCTTCAATCCTTGGGTAGTCAATGAAGAAGAATCAGAATTGTAATGGTTACTAAGTTGTTAGGCTAGAGACCTGTGACTAGGCAAGGATATCGGACAGTAGAGATCAGATTAGACAGTTGATACACAGACTGATTCTTGAAGAGATCAAGAATCCTGAATACTTATAGGATCTTAAATACATTAGGGTTCGGGTGGGTCTCGATATACAGGCGACTCGAAGGGGATTCGGCTTCGGATCGGCGTCGAGTACCTGAGGTGTTGTATACTCAGAATCCCGTGACATTAACGATCTAGATATTCTCTTTAGTTATAACTCTATCTAGATAACTAAAATAATCTAGATCTAGTAGAGAGACGTATATTAGCGGTTTGTTCTAGTATTTAAGCAGATAAAATATATAGTGTAAGATGGTAATGCTCGTAGGCTGTCTGCGTTGGCAGACGGGTCGATCGCAAAGAGACAACACCACCACACTCGCAGAGTGCAAGGAGACGATAGGCAAGCGTGACACTATAGAGAATCAACAGAACGAACAACAGAACGAATAACAGAACCTTTCATGAGCAGTATACCGATACCGCTACCTCAGCAGCCTCAGTAGAACATTTTTCATAACAGAAGGGGGAACATCCATGTTGAATTGACAATCTAGAACGAACGCTACTTATTTGCCTGAAACAAAACAGGAGCCTTGTTACTGAGGCTTCTGTCACCTGACCCTAGGATACCGGTGTTGAGAGCGGAAATCCCCATTACAATAGAGATTATTACTTATAGAAGTAAATCCTTCTTTTACTAGAAGGAGAATAGGCTACTAATAATAGTAGCTATTCTTAGGAATAGTAAAGAGAAGATTTATAGTAAAGATAATACTATATCTATAGTAAATAATAAGAAGCTTCTTAAGTTTTAAGACTAGTGTTAAGGGGGAGTATATAGGTAACTTTATTAGTATAAAGTAGTAATAGTTTATCAGAATATAATAAGTAATATAAACTTAAATACTTATAAATAATTTATAGAAGTATACGATAAATATTAAGATATTATAAACTAATTAATTACTAATACACTAAGTATACGTCTGTATCTGATATAACTTTATACTACTTAGTAATCTGTTTTATAAACGCTAAGACGTCTGTTTTATATACGAATGGGTTAAGATAGGTTAAAATAGATTACCTATTTATAACCTTCTGGGTTTTGGGTTGGGTTGGGTTATCTACCGTATAACCCAAAACCCAGTAGGTTGGGTTTTGGGTCGGTATGTTCAACCCAAATAGGTTATGGCGATGTCTAGGTATTTCGTATAGCTTCGCTGCTCTACGGATAGATTTAATACGGCTATCTTTAATATCGTTAAGGGCCAATAAGATCCTGCCCTCTTGATTAGCCGATTTACGCGTGGAATCAGCTCGAATTAGTAGTATGGTAGGTGGTTGAATTAGGTAGGGTGGTTAGAAGACGCGATTTTTGATATGGTGTACGGTCTGACCGTGTGTACGGTTCGGCTGTGGATTACGTTAATGTAAAATGATAAGTCAACCTTTTTTGCTTTTTTGGGTCTTGGTTAAGTTTCCCATATGACAACCCGCCCACGGTTTTGCTGACTAAGATCCAACCCGCCCTATGGGCTGGGTTTTTGCGGGCGGGTTTTGGCGAGGCTTATTCGTGACAGTGCGTGCTTTCCAGCTTTTTTTGCCCTGTTACGGGGTTTGGTACAGTGCAGCAACCAGGCCATACTATCGGACGATTCCCGAGCCTACAGTACTCTCACTAATCCCATGATGTCTAATTACCCCGGGCATCCTTCTTATGGTGCCTATCAGTTATTAGTTCTTATTGTTGTATTTCCGAGAGTTGTGATGCAGAGGAAGATTGCTTGTATTCTTCAGACGAGAAACTTGACGATTTTTATACAGCATGCAACCTCCAGATCGATTTCCAATCAAAGCTGGTTATTCCGTGAGGTCAGGATTTGATTCCGGTACAATATGATATATTACAACAGCTCTGAAAGACTCCTCCTATTCCCTCATTGCATTTTCTGCATTTATATCCTTAGTGTGGATGACGCATTTTGCCAGGATGGATCTTATCATAAGGCTGTCCTGCTGAGCAAGCTTTCTTACTTCAGTGTTTTCGGGATTCTTGTTTGTCTTAAAGATCTCGGATTAGCTGTCGCTAAGCGTTACTCCTTTTTCAATTCGAAGATTTTCGTATTCCTTCATCGGGCTCCTCATCATACCCTATCCTTTGAATGATAGGTAGCTTAGATAAGAGATGGAGTTATATTGGGATGCCAAAAGTAAGGAATATACACACCCCTTTCTAGAAGGCCGTTCACGGTTTCGACTGCCTGTGTATCCTATTAATACTGCCTGTATTAAAGGACATGGACTACCTTACATTCTGTATACTATTTCCGCTTTGATAATTATATTTTCATTGCGTGTTATGTCATCATATTATATAGCTTCCTAAATACTCTTCCTTTTGATAAAATGCCCAATATATATAAGGGATGTATTCATTTACGCCTCTGGTAATTACTGTTATCGGATTAGTGAGTGGTTCAAAAGCACGCACAGACCCTAGATATACGTGTATTTTTGCTTTTTAAGCCTTACCGCTCTTTTCTGTGAGCGTAATAATAATTGGGTTTTTGATTTGCTTAAGAAACTCTAACTGAGGGGACTGTAGTGAACGAGGCCCATTGGTACTCTCCACCGCGCATAATAGACTAGGTGGTATAGTACTTCAATGCTGGCAAATTACATTTCCGCCCAATCTATCTCACCGACTATCTCGATAAAGTAAAACCCACAAATAACGTAAAACTTACGTCCCGAAGATATATAAATTATGGGCACTGTACTCTAAAAATACAAGTACATACCCAGGTCTACTTCGTTAATAGTATAATAACTATTAGGGTATAATAATAAAAGTGAACTCTAAATTCCGATTTTCCAATGTTTAACAGCAAATGTACAATGGTGTCTGCTTTTATTCAAAAATCAGATAATGTGTGATGTAACATGCACACTCAGCCGAGCCACTTTTTCGAGAAAGACTACTAAACTATATACGCTATCCTTTTAGCTAGACGTCACACAGGTCTGCCTTCACTAGTGGGTCCAAGATCGTCACAAGGCATAATATTGAAAAGCGATTCTACCATGGTCCACTTGGCCTGTACTCTGCGTCATCAAATTCAGCTGAGCTGAACTACACACATATTTGTGCAGAAACGATATGTTTCAGCCGGAGCGTACATATAGGAGCGTCGATCATTGTCACATTCGTAGACGACTGCAGCTACGTACGTGAGCTAACTATACACGGCGGTGTTCAAGGCTTACTAGGGATCCAGAGCTATTTACGCACACATGTAGGAGTGATTATGCCGGTGACAATCTTTGCTGGATAGTGTTATAGAAACCTTGAACCTCGCATCCTTCTGTTGACAACCTAACTAGTCGGTGGTGACCCTAATAGTATTTATTAACCCTATGGTTACTTCTAAAAGCCTCGGAGAATCCCAACTAAGAAAGATCCATTACATGTTTGTTACATACACCCTCAATTTGAACGACTGCTACGGGGGTGTGTCTACAGAATCTTCATATATGGTGCCACGTTCGCCACACAGTATACTGCGCCTATGTAGGGATCGTTCAGATGAGCATCTCCCGCAGATGGTAACATTCCAAACAGTACTTCAGTAATTAACGTTCACTGTAAGCAAATTGTAATGAAACGATGATTAACACGCATTGCTAGGTGTGCATAGGTGTTATACCCGGACTGCGGTATGCCCCCCCTTGCTCGAGTATCCCAGCCCAGTGACCCTCGAGGAACCAAAAAAAGAAAAGAAATTGTTTAAGGTGGTTGCTCATATTCCTCCTTCAGAAATGACTAGATGTGAGCTGGAGATATATAAAGAGACCGATGAAAAGCACTGAGATAAGATGAATTTCCATCCTACGCGACCAATTTTCAGCCACCCAGCATCTGCTAAATTACTAGTGGATTTTCGTGTGAAAATAAATTTCGCTACATTAAATTAGAAGTTCTGCCCAGATGACTCCGTCAACCCGCGAGCCCATTGCTGTTGTTGGTATTGGCTGTCGCCTTCCCGGGGGCATCACCACGACAAAGGATTTCTGGGACGCACTGTGTCGAGGCAAGGATATGGTGTCTGAAGTTCCGAGTGATCGATTTCATGCCATCTCCTTCCATGATGCCGATTCACGAAAGTACGGAACAATACGAAATTGTAAAGGGGGTTTCGTTGATGACATTCAGTCGTTTGATGCTGAGTTCTTCGGTTATTACCCAGCTGAGGCATCCAGAATCGACCCGCAGCAGCGGCTCGCTCTGGAGGCAAGCGTTCATGCGCTAGAGGACTCCGGCACTACGCTGCAGCATATTGCCGGATCGCAAACAAGTGTGTTTATTGGTACATTTATGTCCGACCACCTTTGCATTCAGACGGCAACAGGGCAACGAGACAACATTAGCCCCCATGTGGCAATGGGCTCTTCAGGCTGCTCGATCGCTAATCGGGTTTCGCATCGATTGAATCTACATGGTCCGAGCATCACTCTGGATACCGCCTGCTCGAGCAGCCTGGTCGCGTTACATCTTGCGTGCCAAAGCCTATGGACGCAAGAGAGCGAGGCTGCTCTCGCTGGCGGTGTCAACGCCATTCTCCGGCCCGAGTCCACGATATTGATGTCCAAGGCAGGTTTCCTCTCTCCAGATGGTTCTTGCAAATCTTTTGACGCAACAGCCAATGGCTACGTTCGCAGCGAAGGCGTTGGAATGGTATTCTTGAAGCCTCTGAGTCGAGCGATCCAAGAAAAGGACAGAGTTTATGCTTTGGTTCGCAGCTCCCTTGTGAATCAAGACGGATACACCGCAGAGGGATTCACTGTTCCCAACCTCACAGCGCAGGCCGCATTATTGCGCTCAGTCTATGCACAGTCCGGGATCGACCCGGCCAAGGTCCATTATGTAGAAGCTCACGGGCCGGGAACCTCAGTCGGCGACCCTATTGAAGCAAATGCCCTTGGAGAGCAGCTTGGACAGGTGCGATCCGAAGATGAGGATTCCCTTTGGATAGGATCGGTCAAGGGCAACTTTGGTCACCTCGAGGGAGCGGCTGGAATTGCTGGTTTCATCAAGGCTGCATTGGTCACCTTTTACGGTGAGATTCCTCCGCAAGTGAACTACAGGAATCCCAATCCCGCAATTGACTTGCAATCTCTTCGACTTGCGATACCAACCAAGATGATACCCTTGACCCCAGATCGGCAACATAAGCTATGGATTGGTGTCAACTCGTTTGGAGCGGGGGGGTACCAATGCGCACGCTATCCTTGAAGAGGCACCCGACGAGTCTTGTAGCTCCTCCCCTCCGTCAGAACATAGGCCGCGTATTTTCGTGCTGTCTGCAAGGTCGCTGTCCGCGATGGAACAAGCCGCTAGAGATCTTGCTTCTCATCTGCGACAGCAGCAGCCCGATCTAGAGGATATTGCGTACACGCTCAATATGCGCCGAACCATCCATAACAAAATCTCGCTCATCCCAGCAGTCGGGCTTGAGAACTTGTGCTCCAGACTTGACCAGCTGGCCTCCCACCAGGCAACCAAGGAAATTTTGACACTCCAGTGGCGATCGGGCAGTTCCCCTAAAACGGCCTTCCTGTTTTCTGGTCAAGGTGGCCAATGGCTCGGAATGGGGATGGCCCTTGCAGAACAAGAACCTGTGTTCCGAGAGTCCCTAGCTGCCTTTGATGATATTTTCATCGCACAAGGAGGATTTTCGATCCGTGCAGAGATTTCACCTCGCGGTGATGACCCGGCACGGCTCAACAATACCACTATAGTTCAGCCAGCCATTGCAGCCATTCAGATTGCCTTGGCGAGAATGCTGATTTCGTATGGCGTTGCACCAGATGCCATCGTGGGCCACTCCATTGGCGAAGTGGCAGCTGCCCATATCGCCGGTGCACTGAGTCTCGAGGAAGCCGTCAAAGTGATTTATTTTCGGTCACAGATCCAGAGCCAAGCAGCAGGCGTCGGGGCTATGTTAGCCACTGGTATCTCCTCTAAGGAAGCGGAGCAAATGATTCAACGACGCCAGATGGGGGGTATTGTGGAAATTGCAGCTTTTAATGGCCCTAATATGACAACACTCACTGGAAGTACAACGGAACTGGAGCAACTTGCCAGCGAGCTCGAGGCTCGTGGTGCTTTTGCTCGATTCGTCAAGGTGGATGTACCCTATCACAGCCGCTTCATGGATCCCCTTGAAAATGACCTCATCGCAGCCCTATCGTCGGTTCAAGGAAAACAGACCGATGTCATCCTTTACTCCACTGTCACCACGTTGATCGAATCAGGAACCCATTTGACCGGCAAGTACTGGTTCGAGAACGTGCGTAAGCCAGTTCGTTTCTTTGAAACTGCAGCAAGAATGCTAGAAGACGGCTGCAATTTTCTAGTCGAAATCGGACCACACCCTGTCTTGATCTCTGGAACCCGTGAAATTGCCGAATCTACCAGGTGGCCGGTTCATATCCTTCCAGCTATGGTTCGGGGCAGTGAAACCGAGCCCGTCTCATGTCTCATTGGAGCCGCATATACTATCGGTGCGGGTGCGGATCTTCAGTTGTTCAATGGTGGGGAGGGCGTTTCATAGATCTTCCCTTATACCCTTTCCAACGTGAGCCCTACTGGTTCGAACACCCGGAGGCTCAGCGGCGCCGTCTTGGGCAATCCAAACACCCGTTTCTTGAAGGCTGTACTCGTCTGACAGATGATAGTCGTGGCACGGTACGGCTCAGACTAAGCACAGGCGTGTCCCCCTTTCTATCTGATCATGTCGTAGATGGGGCAATGGTATTTCCAATGACAGGTCATGTGGAGGCCGCGTACCTGGCTGCCAGGGAGCATCTGCCACACATGAAAGTCTGGCTGCAGGACCTTCGATTTGAACATCCCGTGATTCTGGTGACTGCAGAAGATTTCGCTCCAGATGTATTGCTTGAGATTACATCCCCTGCAAACGACTTCGTGATAAGTTCTCGTCCCGCAGACTCGACCGCCGAAGCGGCATGGAAGGTCTGTTCTCGTGGACGCATCAATGCATTCGACCAGCGATCGCAGACTCTCCCAGAGGCACTAGACAGCGTAAGGTCTCGAGTGCAGACCGGAACCGAGGTAGATTGTGAAGGTTTCTACTGGAAGATGGAACAGTCAGGTCTTCGTTATGGTGATGCATTCAGATGCGTTCAAAACATGTGGCGGCTAGGGGACGAAATCTTCTCCTATGTGAAGCTCTCCTATTCATTGCATGCGGAGGCAACATGCTTTAGATTTCACCCGGCGCTATTGGACTCTTGCTTGCATACGGCATATGCTGACCAGCACCATCACGGCGAGTCCCGCTATGTTTACTTACCTTACCACATTGATCAGCTAGAGATTTTTGAAGCAGAGGATGTTACAGCAGCGTTCGTACACATACAGATGAAGCACCACGATGATATGTTCCTCCGCTCTGATGCATCAATTTACGGTGAGAGTGGGCAAATACTAGCCGTGGTAACTGGAATCACAACAAAGCGCATTCGGGGATCACGTCTGCCACGACTGCTGGAGTACCAAGTCTGTTTCCAGCCCGAGTCTCAAGAGCGGCTGAGTAGCGTAGAGGCGGACTTCGAGAACGTGTTGATCCTTGATCCACAGACGGGGGAATTTGACTGGCAATCTGTCATCCAGAAAACGTTTCCACACGCACAGATCCATCAGAGGGCCCTTGAGCCAGTCGACATACCCTGGAAGTCGGCGGAATGGGGCTTTGAATTGGACCGCCGAGTACTTGTCATCGTTCCGGCGTTCATGTCTGGGTCACGCTGCCGGGAGCTTCATAGTGCTGTGGACATGGTTATGAAAACGCTCCTGCGCGTCGCTTCGTGGCTTCATGAGAACCAAGGCATACCGACAATTGTGATTGTAACCAAAGGAGGCTGCATGACGCCAAGCGATTTGCAATGCGACCCCCTTTCCTCGTCGGTCGAAGCTGCTGCGCGAGTCATGGCGAACGAGCTGCCGCGAGTACGAATCCGCTGTGTAGATCTTGCCCTATACCAGTCTGAACAGCACATTACATTACTTGAAGAAGAGCTACGCACGTTTCGTCTCGGCAACCATGAGAGCGTGGTGGCTATACGACCAGAAGGCCGGTTCTTCAGACGAATCGTGGCCGTGGACACCGAAGAGGAGGAGAAACGGACGCAAATTCTCCTCCCTGCAAGAGGAGGAAAGTATTTCTCAGAACCCGATCCCAACGGGTCCCTCGATAATATCGTCTTGCGGCAGCAACCTCGGGAAAATTTGGGTCCAGATGATGTTGGCATTGAGGTACACGCAGCCGGGATTAATTTCAAGGATATCATGAATGGATTGGGCCTGCTTAGCGAGCGAGCAATCTCCGGTGGGCTAGCAGGTCAGAAGCTGGGTCTTGAGATCGCGGGTCGAGTTATGATGACCGGAGAAAATGTCCAAGACATCGACATCGGCACTTCAGTCATGGCTCGAGTATCGAACGGCCTTGGAGGATTTGCAATTGCTCACCGCAACCTACTCATGCCCATCCCGTCGTCTCTGGAATTTTCTCAAGCCGCTTGCCTTCCGGCCGCCTTCATCACAGCATATTATGCACTGGCGTACCTTGGGAGATTGGCGTCTGGAGAAAGCGTTCTCATCCATTCAGCAGCTGGCGGGGTTGGAATGGCGGCAATTCAAGTTGCTAAGCACATAGGTGCCCGAGTGTATGCTACAGCTGGAAGCCCTGCTCGTCGGGCCAGAGTGGCAGAGATGGGAGTGGAAGCAGTATTCGACTCACGGTCTGTCACATTCCATGATCAAGTCAAAGCGGCAACGGGGGGTCAAGGTGTGGATGTAGTACTGAATTCCCTTACCGGGATAATGTTCTCCCAGTCGGTCGCATGTCTCGCTCCGTTTGGCCGCTTCTTAGAGATTGGGAAGACGGATATCTACAGGAACATGAGGCTTGGCCTCGAGCAATTTGGCCAGAATATTTCATTTTTTGCCATCGATGTCGACAGATTGGCTACACAGAAGCCCGATCTACACCGTTGGGTCTTAAATGAGGTTTGTGCGCTGTTCGAGAGTGGTAGGTTAGTACCGCTACCGATCACCAAGTATCCTATCACAGAGCTCTCCACAGCCCTGAAGGCGCTTTCTCGGTCTGCTGTGATCGGAAAGGTCGCTGTGGAAATGCCAGATAATGCCCAAGTTCACGCAGCTCCACTAAGCCGCCTACAGTTGCGGGGGGGACCGAACGTATCTAATCACCGGCGGCGCAAGTGGGCTAGGCCTACACTTGGCCAAACTCCTGATCGAGCGAGGAGCGCGACACATTGTGCTCGTAAGCCGGTCAGGGCCAAAGTCTGCGGAGGATCACGCAATTCTTTTAGATTTGCGGCGTCGCGGGGCCAAAGTGAGGGTTGAGCAGGCAGACGTCACCAGTCTTGAGTTGGTGATGTTGCTCTTCCGCCCTCAAGCCGACTGGCCACCCATCGTGGGAGTTGTTCACTGTGCAGGCATCTTGGGAGACTCTTATGCTCATGACACAACGATGAACCGCTTCCCAAGGCCTTGGGTGCGTGGAATATGCACCTAGCGACGCAATACATGGATCTGGACTTCTTTGTCCTGATTTCGTCCCTGTCGAGTGTCCTTGGACTCACAGGCCAGTTCAGTTATGCTGCTGCCAACCAGTTTCTGGATGGACTGGCACACTACCGTCGGGTATCTGGCTTGCCAGGGCTTTCTCTGAATCTCGGTTTGTTGGGAGAATTTGCTGGCATGTCTCAGAAATCGGCGCATAATGATAGGGTCCTGGAAATCCTGCAGTCGGCAGGGTTGTCGCCCATGAGTATTCCGGCAGTACTGTCCGCTTTTGAGCGTGGCATCCTCCACGATGCTACCCAACGTCTGGCTGCTAGCATTGATTGGTCTATGTTCCTCACTGCGTACCCTCACCTCGCTCACGATGGTGCTTTCCTGGGCTTGAAGAATCAGCAGGCGGAAATTGACGGATCTGAATCCACCCGATCGATTGCCAACCTATCTGGACAAGAGCGGCTGGCAATGATCGCCGATACATTATGCTCCGGGCTCGCCAAAATTGTTGGCGTCGAGCCGAGCCGGATTTCCCTCACGGAGAAAATCAGCCAATACGCATCTGATTCCCTGACTCTCACGCAGCTTCGAAGTGTTATTTTGCGTGAAGTTCGGGTTACGTACCCTCTCATGAGGCTTTTCGAAGGGCCCAGTCTCCTGGAAATTGCGGCAGAGCTTGACGGTTCATTTCAAAGTGGTTCTTCCGAAAACCAAAACCATACTGATGTCGCCAATCGCTTGCCTGAACAAGTCGCCCCTGCAGGGTTGTCGATTTTGTCGAAGTGGTTCATTCGGGGCAACTCAGCCAACAGATCCAGTCCCCGGCTCCTATGTTTCCACTCAATGGGTGTGGGGGCCTCTCTTTTCACACACTTCCTGACGGACCCGCCGGACGGGTTGGACCCAATTGCAGTACAACTGCCAGGTCGAGAGAGCCGGGCCGATGAAGCAGTTGCAACCAGCATGTCAGAGATTGTTTCCGGCATTCTCGGCGAGATGGAGAAGGTAGTGGGAACCCCCCACATTTTCTGGGGTCACTCGTTCGGGGGCATAGTCGCCTTCGAAGTGCTTAGGGCTCTTCGACGACAAGGGAAACCACTCCCACGCCTTTTATTAACCGGAACCATTGCACCACAGCTCATCCAACTTTGGCAGAGACGAGATGTGTTGCTCCAGAGCTTAAGAGAAGACTACAGCCCCGAGTATTTGATGGCTGTATCACGGTATGTAGATGACGCCGACTTTGTCCGCTCGATTCTGCCGTTGATGAGGAGGGACGCACCATTACTGCTAGACTACCGGTTTAGTGAAGATGATCCCCTAGATGTGCCGATCACAGCATTTGCGGCACGTCAGGATGATATGGTATACCGTGACGAGATCGCAGCTTGGAAGAGACATGCGAAGGAATTTGCTTTGATTGAGGTTGATGGAGACCATTGGTTTTTACACCGGAATCGGAAAGTATTGCGGGAGACGTTGGCGACGATGGTAGGCCAGGTGCAGTAGCGACCGTTTGTCTTCTGTGTCGGGAAATACACACGTGCTCTATCCCAGCGTACTGGGTGCAGTCAGGGCTAACTTTATTCGTACCATTAGTTTCAAATTTTGGTAAGTTCCAAGTTCTACTAGTTTCTCTAGCGCATTTTAATCCTAGCATCAACAGTTACTTCTAGCACTCGTACGATCAAACCCTAATTCGTCTCAAATCAGTAGTGTATTTTGATAGAGTGCGACCGGGAGACCCTACTTTTCTTTACTAATCTATACTTAGTTTGATCTATCAGATATAGCCTCTAAATATATATTTTACTCCTATACTATTCTATAATTCTCTAAACCCAGTATTATAGCTACTGACATTACTCGTATGACTTATAAGCTCTTTACTACTTTATACTCTAGGACGTGATGCACCCAGCCCTCAGTGCATCTACTCCGCCCCGGATTGGTCGAGTCGGCCGCGGCCCGACCCTACCTTCCCATCTTCTCTATCATATTATAATTGCTTCTTTGATGGCTGTGTCTAGGAGTAGGGGAATAGGCGGGCATGCCCTCTTGACACAACACAACACGCGTTCCCTACCACGTCCGTGACCGCGTACGCGACCGTATACACTCCTGTGTCTGTGATCCTGTATCCTGTTTGGATATATAGTCGTGATCGCGTTCTTATACTTCACCTATTTGTCTGCTGCAGCTCTAGACTAATCATTTACTTTCCTTTGACTCTTATGTCTGACCGTTTCCTATCTCAAGATAGATCTCTTTACATACAACGCAACGTACTAGATCTGGATCTGTATAAACTGTCGTTATACCGTTATACCCCGTTACCATGAGAAGAGTTTTGTTACTATATAAGGAACTCGGATGACATGGATCATGTAGTATTAGACGAAAGTAACAAAACTAGAGAAGGAAGAAAAGAGAGGAAGCTATCTACATAGTACATGAAGGAATAGGCAGCTGTGGGTCACGTGGTGCACGTGACGGGTGCGAGGATAGGCATATCGTTACAATATTTGCCTATGAGTTACCCAGTAGCTACAGCTTGTCTAGATTTTCAGGGGCGACGGTTTCTAGGTAAGAGAACGGTTTATTCAAGGTGCCGTATGCTACCAACTATTGCCCATAGCACAGTACCGATTCACCAGTTGACCAGTGTCACTATCACTTTACGTTATTACACCAGACACAATATATATCTCTGTCTAGCATTCTAGCCTCTGACCATGCTACCTTCGATTACCGCCAACCAGTTATTTATTCAACTCCCCGAGTATAGGGTGATTGTTTGCCGTAAGTGTCAACATACTATCCAGCTGACTAAGATCATAAGCTATTTGTAGCATACCAACCATCGTATTCCCACCGCCCAGGCGCAGGATATCCAGTGTGAAGGCCTGTAGCGACAACTGTTCAATTGGGGCTAGGCCTGCATGCTGTTTACAATAATCTTGAAGAAGAGTATCTATGTGAGCCTCTACCTGGTTTTCCTGCAGGAAAAGGTTACTAGACACAACGTGATATCTCCACGGGCCTGGGCCCGTTACACCTATTACTTAATTATCTTTATGTCTATCCTCCTCCCCTACCTCAGAGGTTCTTAATTTTCTTATTAACTCTTCCCTGCCTTCTATAGTCCTACTTACCGTACGATATATACTCTAGCAGTAGAATATTACCTATATAAGACTTACTAACCAGATCTACTAGGATCGATAGATCTATACTACGGCTAAGGAGGTATTTCAACAGAAGCTAGTACAGTAGAATCTCTGCTGCTAGGTATATATAATCAACTAATAGCCGGATAAGTATAAATTAATTTATCATATAAGTCTCTAAAGTATAGATACCTAGGCCTAGTATACAGAGTAGCAGAGCTATATTTATTTTGCCCTCTTCTCCTACTACTTTCAGTATAGGATCCCTAAGATAATCTATAACTATTAGACTAGCCAGTAGCCGTATAAATATCTGTACGTACTTCTGCCGATAATAGTAATAATATTATATAGTATAGCAACCTATTAGGAGATCTAGAAGCAGATCTAGATAATCCTATAGATATAGTATCTAGAATTTAGGCTAGAGATTTACAGTAAGCAGAACCTTATACAATATCTCTTGTAGATAGCTAATACAGCACTAAAATAGAGCCGGTTCTACAAGGCCTTTATATATCTACAACAGCAGTTCTGCTAGGTAAATCTATAGCAGTAGGGTCTTGTAATGGTTACTAAGTTGTCAGGCTAGAGACCTGTGACTAGGTAAGGATATCGGATAGTAGAGATCAGATTAGACAGTTGATATACAGACTGATTCTTAAAGAGATTAAGAATCCTGAATACTTGTGGGATCTTAAATACATTAGGGTTCGGGTAGGCCTCGATATGCAGGTGACTCGAAGGGGATTCGGCGTCGGATCGGCGTCGAGTACCTGAGGTGTTGTATACTCGGAATCCCGTGACAGAACTAGTTTGTACCGATAAGTACCTAGCTAACCTTATACAGGACAAGGGCTTAGTTAGCGTCTATAGTTAGTTAGTTAATAGCAGAGAAGATAGTAATATCAGACAGAGGGGTCAGAAACAGAAGATTAGACAGTTAACACTAAAGGTAATAGAGACCAGAGGTTAGAACAGAGAGAAAGAAGAAGATATAGTAAAGAAGTGAAGTTCTAAGAAGAGAGAGAGAAGGGTATTAATATTAAAGAGGATTTAAGAGTATTATATAGTAATTATATAGTAAATAGGGATCTAGACTTTAGTACAGAAAACTATTATTTTTTGTATAGCAGAGCGATACTTTTGTACGAGCAGTAAATATAATGTAGGGACTAAGTAGGTCTAGACTGTAGTACAGGAAACCATTAATATTTATATAGTACTGAAGATTCTCGTGTCGAAGATCTCGGAGTCGACAACCGAGCTTTAAACGCTACGCCATCTCATCGAAGTTGCGCCGGTAGAAGGGGCCCGGTACATCACACGACTGCTCGATGAGTTCGAACACCATGGGCCCAATGGCATCCATAAGTGCTTCGTATTCGAGCCCATGGGTCCAAGTGTGAATCATATGGTCGAGGAGCTGCCCCAGTTCAACCCTCGTAAGTTCGATATGAAAGTTCGCTATCCGATTTGGATGGCAAAGAGCATCCTCAAACAATCCTTGCAGGCTCTAGCATTCCTCCACGAAAATGGTATCGCCCATGGAGACTTCCAGCCGGGAAACATGCTCTTCACTCTGAGCTATATCGACTCCACCCCCGAGGACTCGCTCCGGCAACAGGAAGATGTGCAGACACAGTCTATTTCTCCCCCTGTGGAGAGGCGAGACGGAAAACAAGATAAATGGGGCCGGGCATATCTTTGCGTTGCGCAGCCACTGGCTCCCTTTACCCCCTACACCGAAGGATTCAAGCTCAAATTATCCGATCTTGGTGCTGGTCAGTCCCTCGCGTTGAAATTATTTGTTCCCTTTTCTTGACGAATACCTATACTCATACCTGATTACCCTAAATAGCATATTTCTTTACCAACCCACCAACAAAACCCGTGACTCCACGCGGTCTTCGAGCCCCCGAGTTGGTTCTTACGGGATCTTACAACAACACAGTTGATGTCTGGAGTTTCGGTTGCCTTCTCTTTGAACTTATAACTGGACAACAACCTTTCTGCGTACCCTACTCCGAAATGCAAGATGACGATCATCTTCTCTCCCTGACTTCCCAACTCGGCCCCCTCCCCGAAGACCTCTACAAGCATTGAACAAACTCGTCACTCTATTTCACGCCCGAGGGGAAGCTTTTCAATTGTGAGCTTGGATGAGGCTCTCCAGGAGATGAACCGCTTATGCTCGACCAGCCATCAATGGAAGAGTCATTCGATCAGGCAGCCCCGGAGGTTGGCGAGGAGGAAGCGCGCAAGGTGAAGGCGCTCATTCGATGGATTTTGCAATATGCTCCCGCGAAGAGACCTTCGGCTAGGGAAATCTTAGCTGATCCATGGTTTTGCGAGATTGACGTTGAGAGTGGCTCGCCCAATGTATCTAGTGTCTAATTAGTATCTTGAGTCATCGTTGCGATCCATCTGGCCCGATTGACTTGCTCTACAGAGTTTGGCCACAACTCTAGATATTCGAATATTGGCGCCCAGGAGATTCAAGATCGATCATCATTATCTGGCTGCTAGAATACCGCAGCAAAAATGAATGTATGGAAACTACTACATAGCATCTGAATACCCAACTTCTGGGCCTTCTTGTTACTGTTCATTTGGATTTATTTCCCATCATGGCCCCGTCTAGTATTGTTCCTCGCAAACTTTGCGGTTGGTAGTACTACATACCATTCGTATAGTACGACAAGTCAGTTTAGCCGGCAATTACCCGGCTGCCGTACTTCCCCGCACCTGCCAGTGCGCACTGGCCTCGATATGTCTTAATATATCCAGGTGATCAAGGGGGTACTAGTAGAAGTGATGTGTTTACGACATCGCTACCTACGCAGTGACCTCCCACGGAGCTTCTCCTTGACCTGTGGGGTGGATATTTGTAATCATTTGAAAGTACTTTCATATATCCAGGCATCATAACTTTAAGTATCTACCGCCACTGTCCACATTTATGATTCATTGAATTTCTCAGGCCATCATCATGTCGCAAATCAACGTCGGAATAGTTGGATACGGGAATTCTGCCAAAGTCTACAACCTTCCATACTTGCTACCTCACCCTGAGTTTCAAGTCTACGCTTTTCTTCAACGTTCAGCAGCTCCCTCAGATCTAGCGAGCGCTAAGCCAGGATCTCACTGCACTGTCGACTTCCCACAAGCAAAGCATTATCGAACATCAGACGAGTTTTTTGCCGATGAGGAGATTGAGTTAGTCATTGTTTGCACCCAGTTCGACACACATGCCGAGTTTGCGGGAAAGGCTTTGAATGCAAATAAGCATGGTTGGTATTCTCTTTCTTCATGGACTGGTGGCTACTGACTTTGGCCGTAGTTGTCGTTGAAAAGCCTTTTACAACATCGAGCGAAGAAGCCGACAGGCTTATTGCACTTGCCAAGACAAAGAATAAAGTCTTAACCGTGTATCAGAGTAAGCTTCTACCACTTATTAAGAATTACTGACCTTAACAAAATAGATCGGCGTTGGGATGGCGACTTTCTGACGCTGCAACACATCCTCGACAAAGGCGTATTGGGAACAGTTACAGAAGCCGAAATCCACTATGACTTCGAAAATCCGCCCTGGCTAAGCTATATGACCGCCAAAGGCTATACTCCCGGTGATGGAAATATGTTTGGCCTTGGTACAATTACCACCTACTACTTGAAGCTCCAAGTCAATATACTGATCACCATCTAGGCTCGCATACGATTGACCAAGCCTTGGTACTCTTTGGCAGACCTAAATCTGTTATTGGAATCATGACCGTTCTACGGGGCATTGAAAGTGAGACTGAAGATAGCTTCACTTTGATCCTGCAGTATGATGGCCAGTTGCTGGTTACTGTGAAAACGACAATCGTTACGCCCATGGTGAGCCAGCCAAAGTACCTTATTCGAGGGACTAAGGGGTCATACATGAAGGTAATTCAATACTCTTTGTTGCTTTATTCTGATCCTCAGTCCAGCTGATTGTGAAACTAGTTTGGAACGGATGTACAAGAAGAACAAATCCTGTCGGGGATTCAATCTACAAGCGCAGAATTTGGCATAGGAGACCCGAATGATGACGGTATATTGACTACGTACGATGAATTTGACGGCAGATACCAAACCTACAACTCAAAGGCAAAGAAATATTCCGGAAAATATCCAACTCTGCCTGGAAGGAATCGAGGTTATTATGAAAGCGTAGCCGACGTACTCAGGGGAAGAGCGGAGCTAAATGTTCAACCCGAGCAGTCACGCGATGGCGTCCGTCTAATGGAATTGGCACGGGAATCCTATCTTACAGGCAGGACGGTTCTTTGGTCGTGATTTGGGTCAATTCTACTTGCAGAAGCATAAAGCCGTGGCTATTTAGGAACTTGAACATTCTTTCGGGTTTCCCGTATGAAAGTGCTACCATCGCGCCCGCTGGGTAGTTTGCAATACAGCAAAAATTATAGCAACAATATAGTTATGCTGACAATATTGTCTCCAATATAGTATTTTGAAACAGGGCAGTCATACGATAACATCTCTCCTAATACTATACCGGAGAGAATATTATCAGTATAACTAGGCTATTGTATTCTACTGACTACTACTATTACTACTAACTAGTATTTACATTCGCAAAGCAACACATACCGCCAAAACAACGCGTGCCACCAGAACAAAACCTAGAGATCAGCAAAATCTAGAGATTAGCAAAACCTAGAGAAATACAGTATTTTTGGAAGATATAGTCGTCCTGACTATATTCTTTTATTTGAGGTGTATTGTAGACTTAGTGACGGGCGGGATGGTAGTATTGGCTGTTTTAAGCCAGGACACATATTCTTCGAATATATTTCCATATTTTGCAGAATTATTTGGTTCACAGCCTATCAACAAGGTAGAACTTTTTATCATTCAATTTCAACCTTCAAACTTGGTGATTTAAATTTAAATGACATCTACTAAGACTAAATCATTGTAGCGTTACTTTACCCTTAATAAATAAACTATCCGTGCTTCATTCTGTCTAGACCCCAATGGTATTCGAGCCCTAATGCGTCATCAAAGAAAGATTCGAGGCCACTTTTTCTCCTCGGAATTCTATCCGCGACTCCCCGGTGCTGTTGTCCGGGCCGTTCTGTGGCGCCCCCGCACATTCCACTTTCCCCAGACAACCCAGTGGGACTTCAGAATAGGGAAAATTCGGCATTATTACCTAGATATAGCTTACTAGCCATTGCCTAGATTCACTTCAGAGCTTCACTATATATATTGCCAATATGGCCCAGACTCCATGACTCGGAGCAATCAATACGTTTTACTATATGATCAACATCAAATGCCATAAATTGTCTTCGCACAATTCCTGATAGTCAACACGCAGGAGGTACATCATGGGCCTCGAAAACACACTGAAATCTGTTGGGCCGGAGCTCGCGGCAGCGTTGCCTCAGGGTGATGGAGCCTGGTTCAAGAATTCCCATCTACGGACCCTCAACTACTACATTTTTTCCATGATTATCCTTGCCTCCGCCAATGGATATGACGGATCACTGATGAATGGGCTCCAGGCTCTTCCTCAGTGGCAGAGCTTCATGAATCATCCTTCTGGTTCCTGGCTCGGATTTATCAATGCTGCTCAGAGTCTTGGGGCAATGTGCTCCTTGCCGGTCATTGCGTGGTCTGCCAATAAATTCGGACGGAAGAGAACTCTTTTAGTTGGCTACTTCTGGCTTTGTCTAGGGACTGGGCTCCAGGTGGGAGCGCGAAATACAACTATGTTTGTTATTGGACGACTCTCTGTCGGAGGAGTGACATCCTTCTTTGCAATGCCCGCCGCCCTTCTTATCACAGAAACGTCATATCCAACACATCGAGGCATTGCAACTTCCCTGTATAATACAGGCTGGTATATCGGTTAGTTTCAATTGCGCTCTTGTAAAAAAGGGCGTTTCCAAACTCATTGACCAAACTTAGGGTCGGCAATTGCAGCATGGGCTACATTTGCCTCTCGTAACTACACTGACGGTCAGGCCTCTTGGGCATGGCGAATTCCCTCCGTGCTTCAATTTCTTATTCCACTCTGTGCCCTCCCGGGAGTTCTCATGGCTCCCGAGTCCCCCCGTTGGCTGACCGCCGTTGGTCGCACGGATGAGGCCCGCGCCATTCTGACCAAATACCATGCCGGAGGCGACGCCAACTCTCGCCTAGTAACGTTCGAAATGGCTGAAATTTCCAACGCGATAGAGGCTGAGCGACTGAACGAGACTTCCACTTCATGGCTGGACTTGATACGAACAAAGGGAAATAGACACCGACTCCTGATTTCGGTTACGATAGGCATATATAGCCAATGGAATGGCGTGGGTATTGTCTCCTATTATCTTGCACCAACGTTGGCCGCCGTCGGAATCAAATCAGTGACTCAGCAAACCCTTATTTCGGGCTTTATCCAGATCTGGAACTTGATATTTGCCGTTTCGGCAGCATTTACGGTGGACCGATTGGGACGGCGACCATTGTTTCTTATTTCCTGTATTGGGATGTTGACATGCTATATCATCATATCCGGCCTCTCTGGTTCATTTGATAAGACCGGGGTTGCAAGCATAGGCATTGCAGTCGTGCCATTCTTCTTTCTCTACTTTGGATTCTACGATATCGCTTTCACGCCACTTCTGTATGGCTATACTTGTGAGATTTGGCCGGTAAGCAATTTTCATACCTTTCAATATGGGAATCTTCTGTATTATCTACCTGCTAACTCCTACCTTTTGGCAGTACGAGCTTCGTGCGCGTGGTATAGCTTCAATGACTTTCTCAACTCAGACGGCTCTTTTTTTCAACATCTTTGTCAATCCCATTGCCCTTGACGCCATCGGTTGGAAGTACTATCTTGTTTACGTCGGGATATTGATCATAGTTACAGTCACAGTATACTTTTTCTATCCTGAGACAAATGGACATAGTCTGGAGGAGATGGTCCGTGTCTTCGATGGCAATGATATTGCGCCTTTTCAGTCGAAGTCGGGGTTGGTGGAAGACGAAAAGCCGGGTGAAGTATTGCTGGTTGAAAATGCCTAGCTGTTACACCAATCCAAAGGTAAAATAGGCCAGTCAGGCTCACTTTAGCTTCATTCATTTATGGGTCAACTCAGCTAGTGATAACCTTTGGCCATGTGGTATTTGTAGAAGATGCACGAGTCAGACAGATTAGCTAGTACGTGAAGAATCAGATTTTTGTACATTCCAAAATATTTCCTCGGCTCCACCCTCGAGAGCTATATTGCTTACGCAACTTTTTGCATCCATTCCACCAGCACTCTTGTTCCTTCGTCTATCTTGATTATCTTCCTTAATGCTACTAATCGCTTGTCATTTTTCTTCATCTAGTAACTGGATGTTACTTACATATTATATATTTTGTTTGCTGGCTATCTCGGAGTGGCAACATATTTCGACTAAGTCTTTGAAATATTCAGTTAAGGGAAAGCTGTATTCAAAGGTCCTTTCATTGCCAGTGGATGTTACGTGAGTTCTAACAGGTGGCCTTCGCATGGCTAGCCTTGAAGATCATAGCATATAAGTCTATATCGCTCCTAGCATCCGCAACTGTTGTCTTAGGGATTTCTCTACTCAGAACACATTCATAGAATGCGTCAAATTCCAAATTGTACGCATCCTCGTACGTGGGTCGAATCACTCGCTCCTGAAAGCCACTCGAACCGAAGCTGCCTTCAACCCTCTCGCGGATGGTCAATGTGATTGGTAAGCCCTTTATATACGGAGTTTCGTAGTTGATTCGAACTGTCTTGTCATCGGACAAAACTTCGATGCAGCAGTCGAAGGTGGGTATGCTATTGAATCCAGATTCATATATAACAGGAAACCCGTCGTACTGAAATAGTGCGGTCCAGATGCCTGGCGGTGCGAATGAGGCAGCCAGACAGCTCTTGGGCATCCCGAGTAATTCACGCATTGCGGAAAGATCATGGCTTCCTAGACTATCCCGTCAATTTCACCTGGTCAGCACGCTCTAGTAGATGTAGTTTGCTTCATATTAACTCACCCGCCTAGCAGTATCAAAATCAACTTGGAAAATGGTGTTGCATCCACGCCAAACTCCTTCGTCAAAGCTTGGTCAATTATATCCTCTTTTCGCTCATTTAGGTCGTTGATATCCTCCATGGAAATATCATCAAATCTTCGAGGGAAGGTACCAGATTGATCCACAAAGTCAGAGTTAGGACCGATAATGTCGCGGACTCGAGCATATCGTATATCTTGCATTTCTTTCACTTCTTTGACAGCTTCCAAAAAAGCCAAGGAGTATCTTCGCATATAACCCACGAAGACTTTACCCTTGGAAGATGATTCAGCCTTGATAAGCGCATCGATATCTCGATAGTTTAGAGCTGCGGGCTTCTCAAGCAGGCAGTACTTGTCGTACTTCAAAGCAAGGATTGCGTGAGGGACGTGGAAGGCGTCTGCGCTAGCAATGACAACGACATCAACCTCATCGGAGGAGCAAAGTACTTCAGCATCCCTTGTCGTCTTAGGTGGCCCTTGAGATACTTTGGCGGCGCAGTGCAAGAGGGCCTGCTGAGAGACGTCACAGAGGTAGGTGGTGACAAATTTATCCGACATGTGGTTGAGGTTGGGAATGTGAGCCACTTGCGCTATTTCTCCGCATCCTATTAGACCAACGCGGAGAATTGGTCGCAGGGTGCCACAGGCATGTGTGATTGACTGCGTCAACTGTCATGTCTGCGGGGCAAAAATGGTAGAAAGCAATATGGATATCAATGAAAGAGCTGAAGATAATACAAAGGAACCGAGATTAAATTCAAGTCTCTGCTCATTTTAGCCATATCAATTTAGCCACCAAGTTTTATATACTATTAGAATATGGATCACACCCAGGGGGGTCTGAAAGCATGATTGGTTAAGTGCCCAGGTGGGACTTGGACGGGGAGTTCCGGATGAGAGATAACGTGTTTCATGGGTCGCAGGGCCACCCTAAAACACCATACTAAAAGCGATAAATTACCTGGTGTTAGCTATACTTTTTTCCAAGTTATATCTTATTAAATATTACTTTTGAAGATATAGAACAGTAGATTTTAATTTGAATTATTAATTTTATCAATTATTTTACTTGATTGCCATCAAATACCTCGTTTCTGATGTATTATATCAAAAATATGTATGGTTTACGGTATATGTATACAGAGACAATTTCTTTCTATATTTTTATGATAAGGATATAATAGAGACCATATAGCCTCAATATTAGCTTCGAATCACTATGGTTGTTGAGATATCGAATTGTAATCTATCGCCTTTACTATGGTGTTATAGGGTGGCCCGCTTGCCCGGGTGGCCCTGCGACCCATGAAACACGTTACTAGGCTCTAACGAATGATCCACTACTTCTAACCTATTTCAACCCATTTCTGTACCCCAATACCGACGGCTCGAGTGAATTGCCAAGATTTGTCCCCGCAGTGGCGCGGTAAAAATCCGGGACTCCGCGGTGAATACTACAGTCCGCACTTAGCATTTATTCCCAGGCCCAGCTGCGCACTCCCGGGCTTCCCCTGTCTCCAAAAAAGGTGTCTGCCAGTTGAAGTCACTAGGTTCAGACCAGATTTTCTTTTTCTTTCCATTTTCGGAAAGCATGCTCCAAGATGGACTCTCCGCCAAGCGCTCGCCACGACTCCAATGCCAAAAAGCGATCGTCACCGGATGTTTCCCGGGAATTCTACCCCGCAAAAGGGCCCTAGTAGCCTGCGAGGTATGCCGTAGAAAAAAGTCCAAGTGTGATAACGAAAGGCCGGCTTGTGCAACATGCCGTGACCTAGGTATTGACTGCATCTACCGCGATAAGCGGTCTGATCACTCTACGTGAGCGCTCCTGTCAACATGAAACAACAGCTACATATGACAGCAAACTAAACGAACCTCAGATATGATCTGGCCAGCCTTGAGATCCTGGATAAGATAGGACATCTGACGAAGGTTGTGGAAACGCAGAATTTGCAGATATCGGGGTTAGTATCTAGCTGGCTTGGTGACAAGAATTCTCCGAATGCACTTCCCTTGCTAGGCCCTGTCAGCAACAATGAACACTTGGATGCGTCTGGATCCCGCTCCAACCGGGCTTCTTGTTTATCCGATGACATCAACCTTTGCTGGTCCGGACCTCTAGACGAAGCTACCTTACTCGCGGAGTCACTCACCGTTGCCGAAAAGTACAAAGGGACGTGTGAGGATTTACTGGATTGGCCTATCTTCGAAGGCAAATACGATCGCTCTGAAACAGAGATGTTGATTTTCAATCCGGCTCTAGCCCGTGACAGTCAACAACGTATCCCGGGTTTCTCTGTCGCGGCTGATTCTGACCGACGGTCTGGATATGACAGAGGAATCCGGGAAGAGGACGTCCCGGGCCTCCTTGATCGTTTCCTGGTCAATGTGCACATCAAGAATCCTATTCTAGATACGAATGATACCATGCGTATGGGAAAGGATATTGCTGAAAATGGATTCAAATGGGATGCGCCATCGTGCCTCGTGGTATGATATCTAATTTACATTTCCCGGGTTATATCTACGGGCGCATACTATAACTAAATTTTCTTCATCTAGCTCATCGCAAGTGCTTTAGGGTGCCTGTCCTCTTCATTTACGCCTGGACACATACTTTTACATCAAATAGTATCATCGAATAGTATCGAAGATACAGATGGATATTCCACGGCCGAAAGTTACTATGTCGCTTCACAAAAACGGATGGGGCTGCTTGAAACTTCAATCATCACCTCGCAATGCCACTTCTTATCCGGCGTCTACGAGATGTATTCACTGAGGCCATTGCGGGCCTGGTCATCGTTCAACCGGGCTTGCGTTATGCTTCAGACCTATCTAAAAATGAAGTCCAAGACTTGCACAAATCCTTCTGATGATCGACTAGAACGCCGTCTTTACTGGTCATGCTTGAAATCTGAGAGGTAGTCAAAAACTTACCCTCTCCGCGTTATGGGGATAATCTATTGTCGTGCTAATCTGCTGCCTGAATCAGTGAAATACGAATGGAGATATGTCTTCCACCATCTGGTCTATCTACGATAAACTACCCAGATGCCCTCCCAACTCCTCCCGTGGTAGTTCAAATCCACTGCCGAAGGGCTCGATCGGAGATTCTGAAAATCACACAACGACGTTAAGTGTGGGGCTGGAGCAGAGCTGGTTTTATTATCTTTCCGATATTGCTGTCCGTCGAATTGCAAACAGGATAGTCAATACTTTCTACCAGGGCAGCGCAAGTGTGTGGCTATCAATACCAATTGATAAAATGATACATGCGGCAAGTGAGCTAGAGCTTCAATTAATTCAATGGTAATTATTTGCTCTTGAGCCCGTTCATCTACGATCCAAATCTCACATATCCCTCAAAGGCAGGATGCCATTCCTGATATCATGGCATCGCCGAGTTCCACATCACCAAATGTGGAGTGTGAAGAGCTCTGGCTTGTCCAGCGTCGTGTGCCGGAGCTCTGCATGCTCCTTTACCGCCCATTTCTATACCTTGCGATCCACCAACCGCCATCCTGGCCACACCATACTGCCATCGCATCCTATGTTGAAAACTGTCTCGACGGTTGCATCAAAGGAGCGTTGCAAGGGGTCCAACGGCACCGCCACCATGGGACTTGGTATGTGAACCGAGTTGTATTTTCATATGCACTGATGATTCTTGCAGCTGTTAAGAGCCGCTGCGTGAATGTTCCAACTACATGGAGAACAGCTGTACATACTGCTATGGCGGGGCTGTCGTTTTGGGGAAAGGAGGCGCCAGATTTGGCCAGGGGAAGAGTTATATTAGAAAGAGTTCTTTGCGACATCGAGGAGACCGATGTTGAAACGACTGGAATTTAGCGCAATGCAATATGGAAAATTCATGAATACTCATATTGACTCATTTACCTCTATTGTGTATGAAGTCGGCCATCGACTGGTTCTTGGCTTTAATGGATTACAGCTTCAAGCTATGCATCACGTGTAGTTGAGGACAACGTAAGTGTAACCTTGGAATAAGGCAACGGAGTAATGGTCACACTTCGAAAATGGATAGGCCTCACAAAGGACTCGGAGTATATATTCCCCATCAAGGCCAATAATTCTGGCAATCCTCAATGCCAGAACAAAAGCTTGTTTAATATTGCGTTCAATCAAAAAGATCAAAGCTGTCAAGTTGCTTATAGAAAGCTGTTCAAATTTAATCTATCAAACACTGAGACCTTCCTACTCTATTTGACGGTTTTTTTCTCTAGTCACAGTCATATCTAGCTCCTCCTTGGCGCCGAATTTCGTCTAGAATTTCTAAGACCCGTATAGTCTCTGCCCAGGGCATAATATCATTCTCAATTCTGCCTTCCGAAATATCAACTGCCACAGCATCCGCCTCCCAGTAAAAGCCCATACCGGGCTTGTTGAAGCTGAAAGTTATACCCTCAGCTGCGGTATCTCCACTCGGAGTTTTTAAGTGAACAGTAAACCTCTCTGGGGCTGAAGTACCCGGTCCTTGAACAATAATGAAGCCTTCCGTTCCTTCTATGCGACAGAACTGGGGAGCAGTTGCAAAAGACAATGACGATGTAACAATAGCTTGGATCCCACTGGGGTAGCCAAGGATCGCTGCAGTCGCAACGTCGGCACCGTTGGATAATTTCTGCGACGCAAGTATACCCGGCACATGAGCTTTACCTCCAACATTCGGGTCCGCCGCCAGGAGAGCCCAGGTCAGAGAATATATTCCTATGTCGAGTAACGAGCCCGCACCAAGAGCTGGATTCTTCAGCCTAGAATCATCTGGCAGAGAATCGATATCCATGTCGAGGGAAAAGTCACAAAACACGCGTTGGACGCGACCGATTACATTATCCTCGTGGATCTTCACTTGCAGAGCGCGCGTGAGCGGATGAAAGCGTATCCACATGGCTTCCATGACAAAGACACCTCGGTCTTTCGCAGCTGCAAAAACTTCGCGTGCCTGGGACGCATTGAGTGTGAAAGCCTTCTCGCACAACACGTGCTTTCCGTGCGCTATAGCGTCGAGACAATTGCGCAGGTGGAAGGCATGTGGCGTCCCGATATAGACTATATCAACAGAGGGATCGGTATAGACTTCTTCATAGCTGCCGTAAATTGTGGTTGATTCGTGGGGACAATATTCTTGAGCGAAGGTCTGACCCTTTTCCTGAGACGATGAACCAATAGCTTCAATAGTATGATGTGCCTTTGCATCAGGCCGATCGAGAACCAAGTCTTTAACAAACCACGAAGAGATCATTCCCGTTGCAATAACCCCCCAGCGAAGGGTTGGCAGATTTGGAGGGGGCATAACGGATATTGCGAAGAATGGAATCGAGTTGAAGGGCCAAATTTCAGATTTTTTTTTGGAAGATGAGATTCCTAACAAGCAAGCCCTGTGTTTCTTTATTTATTTTCATTCTATATTGCTTAGCTGACAAGCGCCACTGGATTCGTGCTCCGGTTGGAATTTGTTACCGTGGCCGGGGAGTGTCGGCTGCGTCCGGGGAGTCACGGAAAAGTGAATACAGATCCCAACTTCATTATTAAGTCGAAATTCCGTACGAGAATATTGAGTAGATTTTAAATATAAAAAGGCGCATCGGAGTCCTTCACGTCGAAACTTGTTCAGCCCATTTAATAGAATTTCATGTGTGAGACTAGTAGGTAGAATTTATGCAATGAAGTGGATTGAGATCCCTCAGTCCTTTCACTCGTTTTCTTGCAAACTGATGCTCTGAGCACAATTTTTCGTTTTAGTAACGATGCACGAAAGTAAATCCTATTTAAAGAACCGTGGGATAGTGCTAATGAACAGCTGCACTCTTCTTCAGGGTCACATCGTCGAGCTGCTTGCCTTCATTCTGCTTCCTGAGAGCAGCGGCTAGCTCATTTGGATACCATCTTGCGCCTACTTCTGGGTGGCTAGTAAGCGCATTGGTTAAAATAGCGTCGTTATAACTTGTTTTGAAAAGGCCCTCGAAGAATGTCTCAGCGTCTGACTTGCTATCCTTCCGTAGAGCCAAAATATGAGGTGGTATATCCAACAAGAGATGTTCCGGTGTGACGCTGGAACTGGGGTACTGGAAAAATGCGGCGCTGATACGCTTGCCGAGCATTTCATTGTTGGGTCCTTGATACTGCTCGCGGGTGAGGCTTACCCGGTGAGTGGTAGCAACGCAAACTCCATGGGTCATTGCCTCCAATGAGCGCCCGATGTTGATCACCAATGTATTGGGGATCGGTGGTACTGCAATCCAAGAACCGGATTTGGTTTGGACTTCAAGGCTAGAATGCTCGGTTCCTTGTAATAGGAATGTCAAGAAAGAGCCATCTTTATGAGGGCCCACGCCTTGGAACTCCGTCTGGTTAGGATCCAGGTCATATGGAGATGGGTAACAGGATAATCGCATCGCGTTCAGACGGGGTACGTGGAAGAACTTGCTGAAGACGGCTGGGTCGAGATCGAGAGCTTCTGCGATAAAAATTGTGAAAAGTTCCGACACGGTTTGAATTTCGGATAGATATGTTTCGACACTTGGTTGAAATCCAGGAACAGTGTTCTCTTCAGGCCACTACTCGGTGATGAGATACTGCGTTCATCGTGCTTTTTATCTCAACGTACCTGATTTGGCCCCACCAGACAACAACCTGAGGCCCCGGGTAAAACTTGATCTTCCGATGAGGATTCTTCAATTCCGAAGAGACCAAGCTATAATTTCTATGTCAGGGGCTGGTTTCAAGGTAAAGGTGCTAGGCATCGTACATACCGTGAGTGATTCCCTTTCATCCTTCTCGGCAGCCGTTTTTTCCTGACGAGGTCCAGTATATCCTTTAAAATACTTGGACTTCGGCATATCGATTTCATGCTTCATGCTAAGAGGCAAATCAAAAAACGCCAATGATTTCTCCAAGAACTCCCTTCGTGTTTCTTCGGTTATCGGGGGATTCCTTAAATAGAAGAACCCAATATCCACAAGCGCATGTCGAAGCTGAGATAAAAACTTGGCTTTAGTGTCGGGCGAAATTGCATCCTGAAAGTCCAGAACCGGCACTGATGAGAAGTTTTCGGCCATGATGAAAATGAAAGGAAGTGTAATGGCAGAAGCCTGATATGCGTCTCAGTCCCACGTTCCTTTAAGTGAAGTTATGTACTGATTAATGGTAGTAAAGAGAATCGGTTTTGAAATGTAGGAGTGCGGCAAAATAAGTGAAATATATGCGTTAGATACTGACAAGAGGGGCGCTTGGGTACATCAGGAAGGCACAGTTAGTAGAGATCGACACATCACATACATACTAGTACTAATATATGCAGGTGGTTTCAAGAGCACTACGCAGTCCACTATGCCTGGAAATTTCAAGGAAATATAGAACATCGATATCATTTTTCAAGAAGTATAGCACGTAGAGCATTTTCGATTCTGGAAACGCACTTGATCTACGTAGTAGTTAATTGGACATAGGCTGTTAGCGGTGGAGGGCAGGTCCAAGTTGTAGATTTGGGTTCGTGTCTTAAGAATTGACATATCAATCTTAGTCACACCTGGCAGCTGAAGGTCTGTCTGTCTGTACATTACCTGTCGCCTTTGGCCGCATATACCTGGGACCCGCTTTTAAGACTAGCTATATTCGTACCTAGTGTATTGTATTGCAATTGAGATCAAAAGAAAAATCATTTCGGATAGTCTGCATGACTTCTTGTTTGTTTTCCTGTACTTAGTATATTATCACTAAAGCAAAGCGACTGCGGCAGCGGGTCGCATATATATGCGGCCAGGGCGCAAAAGAGTAAACAAGCTGAAGCCATAGACATAATCATGCTTCATTCTTCGAAAGGCGACACAGTACCTACATCCATCAATGCGGTGTAACCTTAAACAATCAATCTCGTACCAGATGCTGTGCCACCAGGCGTATTGTATTACATCATACGTCCCTCAGCCAAGGCACTTCAGAAGGTGCGGTGTAGCATCTTAATCGGACCAAGAGATCTTCCGTTGCACGACATAAGCCATTCCAACGATTTAAGAAGCGCCACCGAGTAATGTGTACAAGTGCCTACATCGGCCGACCGTCTGGAACACCCGAAAGACGGTCGGTGCACGCATGCACGTATTCCTCAATCGTGGGGCTGGAGATCGACATCGAAATATGGCATACGGATTTTCAGCTTGCAATTTTGCGCCTCATGTACTAGTGTCCTGCATAATCGATACAATAAAGGCCTCACAGGATGTCTTCTTTCAGTCACTTATAGGTATATGGAGCATACGGTGCTCTCGCCACGTTTAATATTCCCACGAAGTTTGCAAGTAGAGATATAACAATTCGGGTTGCTCTGGTCATATTCTCATGCAATGCACATCGCAAATAAAACTATTCTAATTATGCTATGCTATAATCTATGCACAGTCAACAGCGACGATCGCAGTCTAATGGCCAATCCGGTCAAACCCGAGCGAAGACACGAAGAATAAAATGCAAAAGCCTGAGAAGACCCGAAGTGGAATCCGAAAAGAATGAAAATCAAAATCAAAATGCAAAGCTCCAGGCTACAACCCAATGAATGATATTGACATCACTGAGCTTTTTTCTCCTTTGACATTGACTTGCGCAATCTAGCCCCTTCAACCCCGTATAAACCTCCACCGACAAAAACCAGCACGGCACCAAGTAAAACGCCCGAACCAAGCTGATTTCCGAAGAGATAGATCGACAGCAAGAGGGAGACGAGTTTGCGAATATTTAGCGCAACGGTCACTGTCAACGATGATGATTTTGCTGAGAGGAGATGCACACCCCGGATGCAAACGTATTGGGTTAATGCGTTCATGATGAGATATGATACCTGAATAGGGATGTGGTTCAGGATACTCCGGAGCTGCGGAGAGGTGTAGACTATTTCCAGGATGAATGCGAATGCATTGCCGCTGTTTGAAGAAAGTGGACTGGTCTTCGAGTCCAACCCCAAATGCTGCAGAATCGACGGCGACGAAGCCACAATCCGCCATTGGGAATACAGCGTCGTCCAGCTGGAAAAGAAAATCGGGAGCGAAAGGACATGCGAGTAGAAGAGAGCTTCTTTCCAGTGATCACGGCCGTAAAACGCATAAAGTCTATCAGCATAGATACCCTGAAATGCGGAGAGGATCATAGCCAGCGCGAGAATGCTGAATCCGATAATCGTGTTTTTCATGGCCTCGCCGTCACCTTCTCCGTCCAACCCGATTTCTAGGGACTGGCCCTTTGCTTGTGCGTCGGCCAGTGCTGCGGCCATTACGCCGACAGTCAGCATAGCGACGGAGAGAATTTGACCGCGAGAGTAGCGACGGCCGTTGAATAGGTATCCGACGATGATTGATGCGACTGGACCGCCAGAGCGGAGGATGATATGCAAGGGTACGGAAATCTTGTATGCAAAGGCCCAGTTGTTGAGAAGGTTGACTGAGACGAAGTATGCGGTGTAGATTAGCCATGAGCGGAGGGGGATGGCTCGGGGCTTGATGAAGAGGGCGGAGAGTCCGGCGGAGGGAGAAAGAAAATGCGGCAGTGTGAATAGAGCGCAGAGGGCGAATTGGGCGAATGTGATCAGGGGACCTAGACGGTGGAGGAATTGTATTAGATTTGGGTTGAGGCGATTTGGCGCGGGGTGGGCGATATATGCGGGGTCTTACCAGCGGTGGGTTGTTCTCTATCAGATGGTGTGTTAGTTTATTTGCAGTATTGATACACACGGAGCTCTGGAGAAATGGTAATCTGGCACTTACTTGATGATTGCCTCGAGAGCGAAGACCTGCGCACCGGGGTGTTAGCCCGCGCTCTTTGAGCAGTTCATTCATCCACATTGGGATTGGCATTGTGAACCATATGGATATGGACAGTAACAGGGACTCACATTGGTGCAGCAGCCCCCCAGAATCAGAAAGACCATAAGGACCATATTTGCCCAGTTGGGCACCACCGCATGCGCGGCTGCCGCGAGTACGCCGGCATTGGTATCCTCCTTCAGTGCGGAGTTGTTGGTGGAGGCGGACTTGGGTGACACGGTGGCATTGCTGGCGTTGCGGGAATTGCTGGTTGATACTGTGTAACTATCTGTCCGATGTTTAGGACCGTCACTGTCGTTAATCATCTTGTTCGTGAAGCGCGGTGACTCGCGAGGTGGCTTTGTTGACTGGGGCGGAGCAGTCAAGTCACTCTCTCACACGCGCCGCGGGGCCGGTGGGTGATGGTGTTATAAGTGAGAAGGCCTTCAATTGTTCAATACATGCGCAGAGAGGAGGTGTTTCTCTTGGTTCTCAGGGAGGAAGTGTGAGGTTGGAAGTGAAGTGAAGTGAAGAAGGCAAGAAGGAAATGCGGAGGTGAGGTGAGAAAGCGGAGAAAAGCACTCGGGACACCACAACCACTACAGACACTCCATATTCGCATTCGTATAGCTAATAGCTTACTTGTTGACTCAACTCGTATTCCGACTCAGATACCCATATATTTCATTAGATTTCATTATGTTACATTATTCTGCCCTTCACAGTCAATCCTCAATATCATCATCGCTGAGAATCAGCTTATCCTCCGCCAATGGCTGCAGCGATGGTCCAGAACTGCCAGAATTATTCGACTTCTTCAAAGGCACCAAATCCTCCTCCTCGTCCTCCCCTTCATCCCCATCCAAACGACTCCCTCGAATACTAGTAATCTGTCGAAGTTGCCAAGCATCACTTTCGTCCCTTTTAATCATTGCCATGTACGGCAATTGATCCAGCAGAACATCATGGCGCCGCATCATTGTTGTCATCACCGTCCTCTCCGGATGATCATCCGGATATCCCAATCGACGATTCCTCCAAGCACTAACGCCAGACATCTCCCCGGTCGCAGATCCGCTGCCATCGTGCCGGGATGAAAACTGGAAATTGCTGCTGCTATTGCTGGTCGGGTCGAGGAGATGTTGCATCCAGGCATCAACCAACCCATCAATCTCCTCCGTTTTGCGCCAAAGCCGTAGTGAAGAAGGGTATAGCATCTTGTAAGCATCGCCCGGACGACCCTGTCCAGCTGTGGGTGTGAGTTTCCGTTTCACGGGATACGGAAGTGCGAATAATAATCCCCGCGAGGCAACTTGGAAACTAATCTCATCTTGCCTTAGCATGTCCACCCCACCGGCATTCAAATTAGCCCCCATGCCAAGGCCCCCGCGTGTTCTGAGCGTCGATCTGCGATCTGCGCCGAGAATATCACTATCAGATAACGCTTCAATACATGCGTTGAGGGAGTCGACGAAATTAGGGCCGTCACAGGATGGCGGGTAATTCTCATGCAAAGCGCTGGTGAAAGTGGAGATATCGGTGCCTGTTTCATCGACGAGTTCGTCGACAGCAACTTGCGAGACTTTTGGTCGGCGGTGCTGAACCAAATGATCCGGTGGTGGTGGGAGAATGACAGAATCACTAGACACAAGACTGGGATCTAATCGTTTGTTATAAACAATTTTGCCCACGGCATGGAACATCCCCAGACTCGCCTCTCGCTGCGAGATCAATTCGAGAGATTCCTGCTCCATAGGCGTGAGGGCTTTATCTGCATCGGCCCGGGATTTCTTTTTCGTGAGACGCCCTCCCCATGTACCGGCGGCTGAACCTGAAGCTGAACCCGCTGTATCACCCTTCAAACACAGAAATTCGAGAGAAGATATCGCACTGCGAATATCGCCAATCTCAGCGATCCTAGTCAAAGCAGCGGGTCCAGGAATTCTGATCCGCTTAGAAATGCTCGCCTCCTTTTCCAAAACCGTTCGCAGCGCCTTCTGCATGAATGTAGCAGCAATACTGTTAAAGTCGATGATCGTCGTACCGGGATGATTATACAGTGTCGGGCCAAGTAACCGGTGAACAGTCAAATTGTCTGAAATTGACGATGCGGAAGTCAACATCGTCTCGGATACGACCATCACGATGGGCGGGTGCATCCATCCACTCCAGGATGATTGATCGTCCGAGGCTGATGCTGCAAGGTATCGTTGTAGGGAAGTTCGAAATGCGGCTAAGCTGGATGAGTTTCGATTTAACACAGTTGGGAATTCTTCAACGAGGAGGACACGGCGGTTTCGTGAGGGTGTGGTTGTATCATTATTCGTTTTCTTGGAGTCCGCCGAGACCGAGGTCGAAGCCGAGTCTTGTAAATCGAGTCCCCCAAATCGATCACCTCTTCCAAGGAATTCTTCGAATTGTGCACTAGACGAGACGTAGTCGCGGGATGTATGTTCTGGAACCGGTGGATTCCTCCATTCAATAATATCGTAGCCCAATGCTTCGGAGAGGAGGGAGATGGTTGTTGTCTTGCCACAACCCGCCGGACCTCGTAGGACCAATAGTTTCTGCTTCAATTAGCCGATGTTTTCCCTTCATTGCAGTCCTTCCTTGCCGACTGGCCTACCTCTTTCCTTCTTCCTTCAAATACATCGTCCAACCACTGTTGTACGTCGGAGACCTTTCGCTTGTGAACGGCCAGTTCGTCTAAGCCAACAGGTCCAAATCGCTGTGCCCAAGGGCGAGTATCTTCGTGAATGGGGGTGGAGGCTGGGGTCTTGGGTTGTTTGTTTGCGCTACCATTTGAGGCGGGGGACATAAGGAATCGTTTGGACGGTTGACTCTTCGGCCGTGTAGTCGTCGTACGTTTTGAAAGGGTTCGACTCGGTTTCTGGGGAGGAGGCTTTTGATCTGCAGTCGAACTGACGTCGACTTGTGAGAATATCTCATCGTAGGACCCATAATCATCTTCAATGTCATCTTCGATATCATTAACGTCAAACGTTGTCGTCGGTGTCGCGGCCCGGGAGGCGGGGCGCTTGGCCTCGAACTTCTGCGCAGACCATCTTTGGCCTTCTGAAGCTGCCGAGAAGAAGCCGTGGAGGGATTTTGGTTTCGATTTCGTGGGTGAGGCTGAAGGAGCTCGGGTTGCGGAGGCGGCGGCGCGTGAGCGCGTTGTCTTGGGACGCGACGAGAGGGTGACAGGTTCGGGTTGAGGCGGAGATTGAGGTTCAGTATCAACAGAGCTGGAGGTTTTCGATTGCTCCTTGTCCTGGACAGCCCTGCGCTGGCGCTTTGGTGGACGACCATCCATGTTGGACGAGCGAAGGAGGAGGAAAAGCGCGGCTGATAAGATTAAGCCACCCCGCGACTACACTAGAACACTAAAGAGACCACACGTCTGCAGGGAGTACATCAGATATCAGAGCAGACACAGCAGAGCACCTGATAAATACAATCAAGAATTAATATATTGCTAGTTAAATGTAGGTTCATATGAGCCTTGAAGTTTTGCTATAATCACTATTATACTAGTACTAATAATTCCGAGTCACTAGTAGATCATTATTAGCTCCGAGTCGTACTAGTATGTATAGTACAAGGAGCCCTCACTACCTAGGTATAGAAAACCGTAAAAGGGTCTCCAACTGGATATTTCCCTTAATTTTCAACAAGAAATTTGACGATATTACTAAAGTAGTAGGTCATGATTGGCTGCTAGCGGAGTTCAAGTTTATGAATGTGGTAGCATTAGTGATAGAAAATGGTGGACGTTGAAAGTGTTCATGGCTGGCCCAGGGCACTCTCAAGGGCCAGGAACCCTGAAAAAATTACAGAAGATGATGTTGTCGGGAATTTCGATTTCAAACAATACTGTGCTTAGTACACGATTGATAGATTACCTCATTCGATTGGAAGATCCGGCGGTAATTGATGGTAGGCAAAGACAGGAATACAAAGCCAGTCACCCGATAAAAAGCTCCCATAAGAACAAGGAGACTAGTACCCCGAAATTTTAAAAGACCTTGATAGCTTTGTCTATGTCTCTTCTGCATATACGAACACACACCTCTATTATCGGAGCAAGGATTCGGATGTACAGATCAAGGAAGAGATTTACGATCTCGAAAATCACTAACGTCCTTGACGAGTTGAACGAAGTGCGGAAGTTTGCCACTAGCCTAGCATACGAATCGAAGAATTTCTCTTGGGCCTATGCATATGCCAAGCATCTCACTGAAAGAATGTTGCAGCACCGCTTTGGTGAACATGGTTCAAAAAGCAAGCTGCTGATCTTACGCCCAGCTATCATCGGTCCCTCACAGTGCCTTCCATTTCCTGGATATAATATGCCTATGTCATCGCCATACACAATTCTCGCGGCAGCATTGGCCCTAGCCCCATATAATGCAATTCGAGTTGCGTCTAAAATGGACGAGCCAGACCTAAAGTGACTGGAGACGAAGTTCCTGTTGATGTAGTCGCCGACCGTCTCCTTTGTCATCTTGCTATGGGCACGATAGGCTGTATTCACGCTGTTAGTGGGGTACGATCTCGACTGAAACTTGAAGAGTGGTGGCAATCATTACTGAAGATTCGTCGAATCCCCTGGGGGGGCACCTTCGATGGGGTGAAAGCAGATTGGAAATCAGCCAGCCAACATTCAATAGCTCGGCTCTATGCAGTTTGTGGAGCTTCCTTTGCTTTCTCAGAAGACAAGACCATCGCTATAAGCCAGGTGATATCTGAACAATCTCAATCAGACCTGCAATTGTTTACCACAATCAACACAAGCGAACGTGCTCATCCAGAAGAGAGCCATCCGCTACGCCATGGATCAATTCGCAGACAAAAGTAAAATGGCATGGCTGATGGTCTGGCTCTTCTATTCTGACTTTTGGCAAGAGCAAAATTCACATACAAATTGAACCTAGAATCACTGTGGAACCAGCCAAAGGCAATGCTGAAGTTCATGAACAATATCGCCCAAGCTGTTGCCTTCTTAGAGCCCCTAAATATCGCCCACGGTGACTTGCGGCCTGAAAGTATCGTGCTCGATCGTGACCAACTCAAACTTTCCGACTTTGATTGTGCCGCAAAGATTGAAACAATTTACGAAGCTTGCATGGCCCCGTACGGCCGACTACTCAATGCCGATGAATCTGACCAATGAGAATGTGGAACAGCTGGCTATCTCGGTCCTCGGACAGAAACTTTCGCCCTTGGCTCATTGTTCTACTTGATCAATTATGGATTTGAAGTCTACGGAGACCGATGTTTAACTGAAGACCCCTACGATCACGGTCCTAAAGTTGTGGACCTGCTACAGAGTAGGGAGTTTCCGGGGTTGGATGATAATCCTTTGATCGACGATGTCATCAACAAATGTTGGCATAATGAATATTCCACTGTCTCCCAACTCGCTATGCAAACGCAGCTTCTTATGAGAAAAGGTACCGATGTGGCCGAAACAGGTGAAAGCAGAAAGGGTAAAGGCAGAGAGGTGGTGGCCATTCTTGAGCCAAGCTTCATTAACCAATTTTTCGTGTCTATGAATCGTATATTTCGTGCGGTATTCTCTGGAATAGGAAGTTGGTGGATGTTACTATCGCATTACATAATGAAGTCAAAAGGAAATGAGCGGAATGATGTTCATGTTGAACAGGGCACTTCGGAGGTGGACATGGTTAGGAAGAGGGAGATTTGTCAAGACCTAGAAAAACGAGGCCTCCTTGAATTGCTGTTGTCAGGTGAGCCTGAGCAGATCGGATTCTCTTTCGATTGGTATAGACACAGCCTTTCATGTTAATTGAATTAGGAGGGTCGTGTTTCGACAATGAACTTTTCGACATGGAATGATAGTGTTTGATCTACCGTGGAGGAGCGAACGGGATGAGATGAGAGAGATGAGATGAAGGTGGTGATAGGAAGAGAAGTACCTGAGGCTATCAAAATAGTTAGTTAACCGCCGATAGGGAGAAAGTGGAGAGCTGCGTTATACTCCGCTTTTCAGCTCCCGAATGGCTCTTCCGGATTCAAAAAAAAGCAAAAACCGACAGCTGGCGGATTTGAACCGCCGCCTCCGAAGAGAATTGATTTCTAGTCAATCGCCTTAGACCACTCGGCCAAACTGCCTTGAGATGATTACCGGGCCAGGATTTGCCAATATCAAAAAGTTCTAGGCAAAACCAATCTACAAAACGGATCTGCAGAGCGGCCTTCCTTAAATATCTTAGAGGCCACAGGACACTAACTAATTAGCATTAAGCCGCATGGACCCTTTCACTAGACAATGCCTCGTCTTTTACCAGCAGAACATGAGGCTGGATCTCAAATTACATTCTGTACTAGCTGTATACTGCCAGGTTATTTCAGCAAATACAATTTGACAAAGCTCCTGTTTCAAGTCCTCGACAAGTCGTCTTGCGCGCACCTTGTTCTCTTGGACGGGCTAGATGAGCTTGCTGAGCCCCATGGAGGGATTAATGTGCTATTCCAACTGCTGGTCCGGTTGGTGGCAGCGGATAGAGTAAAGCTTTGTGTCTCTAGTCGCCCCGAGCGTCTCTTCGCAGTTCAGTTTGCTTCCAATCCTTCAATACACATGCAGGACTTGACATATTGGGATATCTGCGACTACACGACCGACTTCCTCAAAGATTTGCAGCTATATCGTGGCGATCACCTATATAGGGAGATCCACCGTGAAATTTCGCAGAAAGCAGAGGGCGTTTTCATATGGGTGTATCTCGTTCTACGGAGAGTCAAAAATGGCATCGAACAGTACGCTGAGAGTTGGAACGACATATATGACCGTATCGTCATGCTGCCACCAGATCTCATGCGGCTTTACGAAGATATGTGGTCTAGACTGGGTGGGAATAACGAGAAACACATCAAGAAAGCAGCGCGGTACTTCCAGTACACTCGGAATTCTCACGGCGCAGCTATAGCCAAAATTGCTCTATTCGCAAATGACCAAGAGTTGGAAGCATTTACAAGACCAAACGAAGTTCCATGCCTAAGTGAAATTCTCAAAATGTCTGAAGTCACCTTGCAAACTCTAATTCCAGTATCCGCCGGACTACTCGAGGTCTTCCCTGACCCATCACACCCATATTATGCCCGAGGTTTGGAAGGGAATGATAAACAAGTCTCTCGGTGGTCAGAAGAATTGAAGATCAGATTCATACACAGAACTGCCACCGACTTCCTGGATAGCGACGAAGGGAAGAAGATGTTTGACAGGTACACATTGGGATCCGTGGATTTTCTCTTGTCATGCGCCAAAGTAGAGTTAGCTCTTCATTCAGTTTCTCGTTTTAGGAAACATCCTCTCGCGGAGGTCTGGTCTCTCATGTCAAGGGCATTTAACCAGTCGGCGAACATGAAATGTCTCACCCACATATCTAACGACCTTTTGTCCACTATCCATCAGTGTGCGCTCAACGAATCTAGAGAACTTATCCGTCCACCGAACTGGATAAGTTATGAGAACTTCTTTCTCTTTGAAGCAGTTACCTATGGCTTTTATACATATGTTCAAGAGACACTAAATATCTCTGAAGATCCTGATTCCACCGCTTTGGCCTATGCTCTGCTAGGCGGATGCGACCATCGTTTTGTGCTGGAAAGAGATCATTACAATAAGACACCATACCCACCGATCCGAAATCTTTTGAAAATGTGCCTGAGGTCTGACATGCGAACTTTGGGTCCCTCTGCCGTGCGGGCTGCGCGCGACAATATTATGCTTGCTTGGCGTTGCTCCCTGCCACACGAAGTAGCACTAACTCAGGAGGAAATTCCGAAGGGTGATAAGAGACAGTTGATAGAAGAGATCCTGGAGCTTCTCATCGAAGCTGGCGTAATGGCAGAGTTTCCCGCACCGAAATACCTTCTTGCGGTGCAAGACCAAGGACTGATGATCGTGAAAAGACTGACCGATGAAGAATCTGTTCTTGGATCTGGAGTCTTACGGCCCCAAGAACCTCTGCGCGGGCACTCAACGATTCCTTCCTTCAGCAACAACTATCGAGCAAGATTTCTGGAAAATCTAAGCTCCTATCGATGCAAGTGACCGATGCTTCCATAAGACCTGTCTTGGTTGATAACGGTAGAAAGCCCGGAGGGGCACGATTTTTCCATGTAACAGTTCGTGGGGACGGTTTGGAACTTTCAAAAGAATGGATATTTGGAGGAAATCTGAATTTTATCAAGGACCTGATTCCTCGCTGGAAGCCTGAATACATTGAAGCAGTCGACCTTGGGATCTTTCCACATGCAGTGGATGCTAAATGAGGCCGGAGGCTACTATTGTTTACATGGGTTGTCACGTTCAATGGTGCGATACGTTGTCCCTGATGACGGTTGATTGTAGCGAAGTTCATCCACTTTATCCTAATTTTCCCGACTAACATTCTGGTTCATTTCCTGATGACCACGACAACCCGACAAACTACCACCAGCTTTAGTATGAGACACTCATCTTGGGTGTTACGGCTCGCCTATGCCTTAAACACCGACTAAAGACTCAAAATATACAGGTGTACGGATAGACCCTCACATCCAGAAATGACATACCCATGTCAAATAAGTATACTTAGGCTACCGCATAACTGCAATCACAAGCGGCTATTGTAGGAGTGGGTAAAGGTCAAGCGTGACTTCAGTGAAGCACTGGAAACGTTCAATACTGCTTTGTTCAAGGTCTTTGTTTTTTCACTGTGGCCTGTGGGGAGTATGGGGCCTCTAAGGCCTCAGGCTTACGACTGGGTCAGCCCATGCCCCAGGTCTCCTTTGTGGCCTTTGTCCTTTGATCGTAGCTTTAATATCTACTAGTAGTGCTACCTAGGTATGGAGATATTGCGCAAGGGATTTTCCTCTGCATCTATCATCCATCACCTGGGCACTCATGTTAATTTCCAAGGTCTAGGTATATCCGCACCTGTCACCAACTTGAAGTAGTACCCCATGAATAATACCTAAGTACTACTGAAGTGCTTCAGGGCTACTGTTAAAATGGAAAGCTAGTACCTGAGTAGTTACTGAATCCTAAGGTACTAGAGAAAATATACAAAGACAACTCGAATTAGTATATCTCATCTTAACTGGCCTTAGGTAGAGGGTATATATATCATATGGACAAGACATAATCGCAAACCAAATCCAATCCAATCCGACCCAAAATAAACACTGAAGAGAAGGAAAAAGAGAAAGGAAAGGAAAGATTAGGCAAACAAATACAGCACAAAACAACACACACACCACACCACACCACACGATATTAAAGTAGAAACGAGAAGAAAAGACAACCCAGAGACACGATCCCACCCATCAAACCCCCCCCAAAAACATCATAATAATAATCCTCATCCAACCCCTCCCCTCCCCGGAACAGGCGGAGCCTCCCCAGCAAACGTAGCATCATCAAACCTAACATTAAGAAGTCGAATCTTCAACCCATAATTACCCACAAGATCAATTAACTTCGTCGTCTCGGATGTAATAGGCTGTTGATTCAACAACATAAGTAATCCATCCAACCACTCCGAAGCCTCGCTATGCGAAGAAGGACGGAGAACGAGGAGGATTATTTCTTTTGCCGTTGAGCGGGATGTTGAGCGGTGATGTTTGGAATTGGAGTGATTGTGGCCTTGGCCGTGGCTGGTAGAAGACGGTGCGTAGCCGTGGATGGTGATTTTTGTCGCGGCGCGGGGGGCGGTTTTCACTGTTGATGTTGAAGTATTGTCTGGGGCGGAGATGTTGGATACAACTGATGAGACTGCTGATAGGTCGACTGTGTAGCATAGTGTTAGTAATTGATAGCATAACCAAGGTGACAGAAAGTGTCGACATACTCTTCTCCGGAAGCGCATCCAACTCCGGCGCCCGTTCGCCCAAAGAATTAAACTCTCCAAAATGAAGATATCTCCGATTATGCGACAACTGCACATACTGATGCGAAGCATTCGACGCCTTAGCCGTCGTCACCGGATCGGATTTCGACCCTGAGCCCGCCTCCAGAGAAAACCAAGCACCACGAAGTAAACACCTAGTCCGTTGCTCCTTAACAAACTGCAAAGCTTCATGATGAAGTTCCTCCCTAACCTGGCGCAGGTGTTGGCCCCAAGCATCCTCATAGGTAAGCTCGAGTAATTCCATCTGCAACTCCCGCAAACGGGCATACTCGTAATTAGCGAGTTCCTCTTCAACATCTTGGACATCTTTAGTCCTCGCCGCACCACCGACAACAGACTCGATTAGAATCCGAACCAATTCAATGAGTTTATCCAGATCATCAAGTTCCGCGGCCGTAGCTTTCCACATCCGGAAAAACGCTTGTAAACCCGCAACATGCAAACGGGTCCAGTGAAGTAGTAACGGTCTGAAAAGTCTATCCAGACTAGATCGAGAATCCATAAGCATGTAATTCTTCGAATCGTCCATTTCGGATTTATCCACTTCGAAATGTTCATAAAGGATGGATGTTACGGCCAACGAAGCTCGCGCGATCGGGCAGCGTTGTCGGGAGGGTTTTGTCGATTGCTCTAGGAGCATTTTTTGAAATTCATCCTGGTGGCTGCGAACATAATCTGCAAGATCCATCATGCCGAGGAAACCGACTCCGTAGAATTCTGTCGCGGGACTTTCGGATTCGAAGCCCAGTCGGCGCCATTTCTCGGGGTGGTGTCTTTTCGAACGTTTGGCGTCGTCGGCAGCGTTGCTAGTGGTATTGGTAGACTCCTTCTCCTTCTCTAGAACCTCCTCCGAACCCTTCTGATTACTAGCCAAATGAATCCCCTTCAACGCCCTCCGATGCTCAGGTTTCTCCTGATTAAGCGGAATCTCCTTCCACTTCCTAAGAAGCACCTTAGTAAGAGACTGAAATTCCAACAACGGGTGAGCCAAATCCTGCAACGCAGAATCCTGCATAAGATTATAGACCGCGCGAATAACGCCAAGATCCTGTAATCGTTGGATAAATTTCGGCCACTCCGCCTCCGAATCGTGAGTGATGGAGTCGCGCATCAGGGAATTGATCAATTGGAGAGCATTGGCGCAGAGAGCATGGTCAGCGGAGGATAATCGACTGACGAGCATTTCTAGGAATTGGGGATAGATTGCGATGGCGGGTTTTAGAGCGCGGAATCCGAACATGTCTGGCTGGGGGGAGTTGCGACCTCCGGCGTGGGGGTGGGAGACGACGGAGACGCAGATTGACATTGCGCCGCGGAGGATGTTGACTAGGGGGGTGGGTGACGATTAATTGGACGATCTGTAGGGGGGGAAGGTAGAGTATATTAGCGAGTGTTCATGTTCATTGCGCATTGTTCTCCAATTCACGCTGCTGCTGCTGCTGCGCATTCACTCACCCGCTCGACCAATTCCACATCAACACACTCCCACCCTTTATCAACGTCAAGCAGTCTTGAAAAACTTGTCAGACTGTAAGCGAGGGTATTCCCACTCGCATTAAGAGTGAGGTATTTCAGACGAGTCAATCCCCCCTCAGCAATAAAGAGGTCCGCGAAAGAAGGATCGCCGATATTGCCCTGGAGCTTGAACACTGCCATTTTCCGAACGGCATCTTCATCGCTGCCCAGGCGCTCGACCAATTCAGCGACATTGACGTTCTCCATGGTGAGGAAGGGAAGAGAAGGTACTGAGTAACTCTCGTAGGTGAGGAACTCCGTATGGAGTGGAGTGGAGTGAAAGAAAGTTGGAAGTGCGGAGGAAGTTCGGAGCGAAGAAGGCGGCGTCAGGGGGAAGTGGGGCATTAAGGGTTTATTAGTAGATTATTGGGTATTTTAGTTTATTCTTGAATTTAGATTGAGTATTTACTTTACTTTAGGGTTTAGGGATCATAAATTAATTGTTTGTGGTGACTCGTTTGTACATTACTAGTTATTCGTCATACATAGGGCAGTTTGCCCGGGGAATCAGGGGAAATCTATACAAACAATCCAACCAACCCAACAACTCCAGATGAGAGACACGATGCAATGAAGATGGGATGCAATGCAGATGAAATGCAGACAGACAAAGATGACCATACTATTTTGCACTCAGTCATCACCTCCGCCAGCCCACATTCCAAATAACATGGGCAATATCTCGTGCGGTATTCACCGTATCAACCACACGGCCAAGGAGACCATTACTGACAGGTTCTCCTTCGCCTTCGCCCTCCCCCTCGCCGCACGGCATAAACATGCCCGAGGAGGTAAGTCGGAGTGGTCGAGTGGTCATTTCATCCTCATCTTCAGGGACAAACCATGGCTGGTCTTGAGTCCGGTAATGGCCCGTAAAATCGAGACTCGGATCTTCATCATCGTCATCAAGGAGGAAATTGGCGGAGGATTGAGGTGGGCGGAGGGTTTCCACGGAGGGAGTGGGTGATAATTTAGGGAGGAGGGGGAGGTGGTGGTGGTGGTGGTGGTGGTGGAGGAGGAAGATGCAGGTTGTGATGAAAGAGATGACCACCGAGCAAGGATTGACTCGCGTGGCTCCGGGGTGTCCCCGCGGTATTTCAAGGTGGTGGAGGGTAATGGGGCGATTGTTTTGCTGTCGCTGCTGAAACTGTTTCGTGGAGTACTTCGATTGCTGAGGGATGCTTGACCAGCGATCTGTCGCATCATGACCACTCCATCATCTGATGAAGACTCGTCATCCACGGCCGGCCAGTCTCCATCGCCTTCTTTGATGTCGACTGCAATACACTGCTCCACCTCATCGTTGAAGTGGATATGCCGCCGCTCACTGGGGGAAGTCATACCAGAGGACGAAGTGGTGAGAGTACCACCGAGGGAATATGTCGAGCTTCCCGTCCGGTGGTGAAGTTGGTCGAGGTCTGTATTGGATCGGGGGAATGGCGGGCGAGACCAACCATTTGCCTCTTGGGCTTTGAGAATGGCACCCGCATGTTGTAGGAGGGTGTGTTGGGAGAGGGAGCGTTGGAGGATCGCTTCTGATGCGGTTTTCTTTTTTAAGATGGGCTTTCGCTCGAGATAAGAGTTGGGGGTTTCCAGACGACTGGGCGGAGGAGAGCCATCAGATGTCATGGCGTCGGTTGAGGCGGAGGTTTTGAGGGGACCATATAGCCAAGTGACATCACAGTCCTTGAGCCTGGGATTGTTAATATGGGCAATGCGCAATATTGGAGGAGGAGGAACTCACCAGTTCAAGGTCTCTGGAGAGATTGTTCCGAGGTTATTCTTGGCTTTGGCCCATGTCCTCCACGACGCATTCTCCAGTCGGACACCATTACTGTAGTCACCTCTGCGAGCGGTCACATATCGCCAGGAGGCCCAGATATCCTCCTCCTTCCATTCATGGGCCAGGTAGTCGACATGACGGGATGGTTCGTCCTCGACAGAGGTATCGTCGGCAGCTGGGTGGGTATTCAAGAGTGCGGAGGGAGATGGTAGATCTATTGAGGCGTCGCTCAAGGTATCGAGATCTTTTGTTTCTGTCTCTGTCTCTGTCTCTGCCTCCACCTTATCGGAAGGGAGCAGTAGCTCCTCGTCGAGCGATAAACTGCTCAGAGTCGGTGTGTAGAGGGGATCCTGGACGGTCGGAGTGAAGTTCGGAGAAGGCGGAAGAGACGATTCCGTGGAGGCGACGGGACTAGGAGAATCGCGGGAGGAGAAATCATGTTGCATGGGGGATTTGGAGTGAATATCGTGGAGGTTGTGGAGGTCGTTCAGGAAATATCTTTGGGTGGTGGGTGAGCGCAACGGATCTGGGGAGAAAAGTGGCGACCGTTGGGGGGTTGCCAGGGCCGTCATGGCTAATGGGGGATGGTCATGTGGGAGGTGGAAAGAGTATAGTGAAGTATAGTCGAAGTATAGCAGAAGCGAAGATAGTCCCGAGGGGGTATTAGGGTTTTAGGGAAGAGAAAGAGGAGAGAGAGGAGAGTGGTGGTGGTGAGGTGAAGTGGAAGAAGAAGAAAGGAGGAGGAGAAGGGAAGTGGAAAGTGTGGGGAGATTCACGACGGAGGAGAACTTCACTTCTTCAACACTCAACTTTTTCTCTTTTTCTTTCTTTTCCAGGGACTCTGTCTTTGCCACTGCTATATACTCGAATTCAAGTCGACTTTTTTTTTTTCTATTTTATTTATTTTTCCCTCTTATTCTATTTTCACCCCCGTTTGCCACTGACAATCATTCCCCCTCCGCTAGTGCGCACCGGCCTCAGTTACAGTTACGAGAAAGTCCAAGGCCAGACCGCACCATTCCCCACTTTTGCGAGCTTCGATCAAGTGGAGCCTCTCGCAGAGTCATGGAGACAGTGCTACACCAGAGCAGAGCAGAGGAAGTAGAAGCAGAAGCAGCAGGGTCTGAGCACAACACATGGTGGGTGGCACAGAGTTGAACAGATTATGATATCTGGAGATACACATACCTACAGCTGGCTACAATATAGCATCTACTCTGCCAGTGATCACAGACATCATGATACCACTCGAGTCCGAGTCACGACAGTCACGACAAAAGAACGATAAAAATACATTACTACTACTCTACCCTGCCCTATGAATTCTGATCGTCTCAACCCCACCCACTGAGCACAGGCCTGGTCGCGGACACTTGCTGGTGCCGAGAAGATAAGCTCGAGATTCGTGCCATTCCATCTCCTCCATGGCCGATGCCGATATGATCGATGACTATGAGGCTTGAGGGGAACCAATCGATTGGGAGGAATGTGGCGGCACTATCAGACACCACATCCAGCCATCCAGCATCCAGCCAGCATCTAGAGCTAGTCTAGTCAGCCCGGAAATGGAAACCTTGGAAGTTTCTACAGAGTCTAGGATGAACTAGAACATCAAGTTTCCAGGTTCCAGTTCCAAGGTTCGGTTCGGTTCACTTCCAAGAACATCAAGTTTACATGTACGGAGACAAGGTTGACCAACTCACCACTCCTCCCACCACCACCACCACCACCACCACACCAGGCTTGCATCATGCAGACTGGGCGCAACTGGGGGCAAAAACAAAAGGGCAAAGCAAAGGCAAAGGCAAAACAAAACTAAGAAAAATTCGTCGTACACCTCGGCGCACACCTAGAATTGCCTTTTGTCTGTGCGCTTGCAGGCCTGGGCGACTGGCCATTGTCGATGTCGCCGAGAGGACCAGCCCATGATTGGTCCTGGCTTAAACCCTCCCGGCATTCCTCCCAGCATTCACTTGTCCGTCCTCGTCCGGGCCCTCGCACCAGGCCCGTGGGCCAGTGACAGCGCCGCATTGCTGCATGTCGCCGCCTCTTCTTCTTTTCCTCGAATGAGTTCGGGCCCCGGCGCCAGCACCCCGTTGAAACGAAGCTGCACTGCAGTGCGTTGCGCTGCATCTAGATCCACTATCAAGAGCACGCCGTTCTGGCCCACCATATCCTCACCCAGTGAGCACGATATATTCATAACGTTCTCGTTCTCCGGTGGGTACCCTCTGCGGGTACTCTCTGTGGATACTCTCAATGCGATCCGCGGAGATGAGATGATTCAATCAATGGCGAGCCGGATGTGCAAATTGACGCGAATCCCCACGGGCCCCCACGACCCCTGACCCTCGGAACTGCGGAGCCCACCAGCCGGTCTCATCGATCGACGCGTACGAGGGGTGGTTGAGGAGGGAACTTGAACTGGAGTGAACTAAAGTGAAGTGAACTAACTCTGTGATCATCGGTCTGTGCTTCCAGCTATTCGCACTAGGGAGGTATCTACCTAGTACATATCGACATGATAAAGCTACCTAGGCGAAGCATTGACATTGGCAAATCTACTATCTGCAATCGCTGCAATCGCTATCTACGATCATCCTCCTCACCCGGGCATCCATCCCATCCAGGGTCTCTACCAACTTCCGTATCTATCCCCATCTCCGCATCGCCGCATCTCCGTTACAATCCCATTCCTCCGCTCTTCGGAGTACTCGTACCTAGCGCCTCGCCTGCTCCACAGTCTAGCGCCTCACCTAGCGCTCCGCTCTACTCTGCACATCGTACTTTGTCATTGTACTCATACTGGCACTGGCATTGGCACAAAAACTCCGTATGCAACGCGCTTTACTTTCCACTACTGCGCGTCTTACCGGGGTCCCCAGCCACGGTGGAGCCACTCATCCACTGAAGCTGGGCCCTTCATTAATGCACGACACTGACACTATCTTATCGGAGCTCAACGGCTATGGGCAAGGCAGGGCAAGGCTCTCGGAGTGCTGCTCTGCTCTGCTCTGCAGGTCTATCATCAACCGCCGGGCACCAATTGCAGATCGAATCAATGCAATGCGGTCGCTATCTCCCCTCTTGGTCCCGGTCCCAGTCCCATTCCTCCAAGTCCCTCTGGTAAATGTAGACGCAAAGCAACGGAACGCAACGCAGCTCTACCGTTGACATGCATGGCCCCATTGACAAACGGGCAGGCAGGAAACGGGCAGGCAGGCAAGGCTCCGCTAGGCTTTGGCTAGGCTAGGCGTTGCTCTGGCCCAGTCCGGCCCCAGTCGGCCCCAGCTTCTCTTCCCTCGGTCCTCCTTCCCTCTCTTCCCTTCCCCTCGCCTCTATCCCACTTCTCCTGCGATAACGACGGTGCATTGTCCTTTTGCGCCACTCGGGCGGGGTCTTAGTCTTAGTCTTAGTTTTAGTCTTAGACTCAGTCTAAGTCTCAGATTACCCTCCCTACCCTACCCGGTGAGATGAGATAGGATGATCTGCAAGACAGAGTTGGTGTGTTGTTCATCCAGCTAGGTGCTGTACTATTTTACCCTGTGGTTTACAGAGGAGAGTAGAGTAGAGTAAATAGATACGATGTAATCAGCGCCAATTAGCATACCAATTGACCAGTCCATTAGCCCCATCCATCATAATCGTAGATCATCTCTGCACACTGATATCATGCGTACCTAATAACTAAAAACTAGAAACTAGTGTTCCTCTCCCATAGTCCGAATAATTATCGGCCCGGAAAATCACGGCAAATCACGAGATAGCTCAGGGTCGTTATCACGTGCACACCATACCCAAAATGACTTAGTCAGCGCCCCGCAACCGCAAAGTGCCCGCACTGCCCGCCAACGCCAACACTGACGACTCGCCTCGACTCGACTCTTCGATTCGATCCGATCCATTGCATAATCATTTGAAACGATGGCTGAAGTTGCGGATTCTCCCGGTCCCCTCGAGCCGCAGGCTAGACATGTTGTATACTGTGGAGGTGAGTTTGAGTGTACCCCGTGGTGGGATGGTGGGCTGTGAGGTGTGGTGTGGTGAATTGGATTGGATTGGATTGAGCTAGCCAGACTGCCCTGGTAGAGCTGGATGAGCTGTACCGGATGAATGGAGCTTTCCATTCCGCTCCGCTCCTCTATTCAATTCAATTCCCCACCCTCCCCTCCTTTCCTTGCCCTACTGTACTTCTGTTCTGTGCTGTACTTGCACGTTACGTGATGTCGTCGAGTCGAGTCTTTTCTAACGCAATTCCTTCTTCATAGTCTGCACTCTACCACCAGAGGTACGTTGCGCTATACTATGCTGTTTATGCTATGCAATTCCATCCCATCCCGGGTCAACATGATATGATAGCAAGCTGCGCAGCAGAGCTAGCTTCGCTTGGACCCATGATACACATACATATACCCACTCAACACGAAACGAAACGAAATGCGAAAGGGAACAAGCCATTGACCAATCTTTTCTTTAATTAGTACTGCGAGTTCGGCGGCACGGCGAAGAAATGCGAGGAATGGCTTGAGGCTAAACAGCCTGATCTTTGGAATAAATTATATTCGGAGGGTGAGTGATATACCCCGGCCACTACCCGATACCATACCCATGCCCTACCCCGCTCCGAGTCCAGTCGAGTCGAGTTGTTGTGATAGGATTCTATCTTATCCCGCTTACTATACTTCACCTCCATCACCATCCCATCTCTACCCCGCTACTCCAAATACCCCCCACTAACCACTTCCACCACTTCCACCACCACACAGACGCAGTAACAGCAAACCTCTCAACCCTCTCCCTATCCGCCCAAGAACGCGCCGCGAAAGACGCCGCGAAAAAAAGAAGCCAAAGCGGCCCAAACCGAAGCCCGGGACGCAGAGCGCAAAGCCGCCTCAAAAATCCAAATCAAGCGCGTAGAGCGCAACAAACGCAAACACGTCACTGTAATTATCGGGCTGGAAGTATTCGGACTAGAGAATAAGAAATTGGCCAAGGATTTGGGGAAGAAGTTTGCTACTGGTTCTTCTATGACGAGGTCTGCTGCGGGAACGGAGGAGATTACTGTTCAGGGGGATGTTAGTGAGGATGTGAGGGAGTGGTTGCTGGAGGTTCATGGGGATAAGGTTCCTAGGGGGAATATTGAGTTGATTGAGGATAAGAAGAAGAAGAAGGCTGATGCTGCGGCTGGGATTGTTTAGTGGTGGAGCTAGAGGGATCGAGCAGACGCTCGGGGGTTTATTATACTGATACTGATGCTCGGTATGATATTTGCATCATTAGGCTGATTGTTGGGGAGTGCATTGGGTTGGTTGGATTGATTGATGACTGGCATTATGATCGACGATTTCATTGTGGTTAGTTAGTATGGATGGGTATCATGACATGACTAAAATAAAAATATATGGAGACTCAAGAAACAAAACAAAAGAGAAACAGGAACACTTCATTCCATGCTGCGCTGCGCTGTGCTGTGCTGTGCGTACTGACAAGGTGTGCATGTGCAGTGCGTGCGTAATATCAAACCTACAACTCATCAAGAACCCGCAAAGGATCATCCGCACCCGTAGCTTTAGCCTTCACTGCCGAAGAACTCGAGCTTCCACTGGTCGCTCCACCTCCACCTCCCCCATCCGTAGCCTTCGCTTGGAGACTCAGACTCTCCCGACGATCCGCAAGACTGGCTGGATACCACGCCGAACCAGTCTCAACCTGAACCCCATGGTCATGAAGTATCGACTCAACCACAGATTGAGGAGTTGTACCCGACACAGTGAGAGGGAGAGATTGGTTCGAGAGGCGTTCTGATTCCGACGCCGACGCCAATGCCGGGGTAGATCCAGACCCAAACCCTGCGAATCAATAGGAAGATTCCTCTCAATCTCCAACTCAATCCGCGGCCAATTCTGCAAAACAACACCGATGACCAAAACCATAGCCGCACTCCCAACAACGGCCCAAAAAATCCTCAATCGTCGACTAATCCTTTCCTGCCAATCCAATTCCCTCCGTTCCCAACTCTCAATCTCAGACTTCACAGCCGCAAGACGAGTCCCCAATTCGTCAACTTTCTCTCGCCCCGATTTCATGCGTGATTCTAGAGCTTTGGATTTATCGCTTTGCGCGGTAAACCCCTTTAAGTCGATGATTTGTTTGCGGATTTCTGTGTCCAGGGTGCTTGTTTCGCGGTCGAAGTCGTTTAGGAAGGTTGATGCTGAATCGGAGAGATCTTGGAAGGATGCTATTGTTGAGTTTAGGGCTGTTATTCGTTCCAGGAGATTGTAGTATGTGTAATCTAGTCTTCTTGTTGCGTCTGTTGCTTGGGTTCCGGTTGAGGCGAGGGCTGAGCGGAGATATCTGTAGTGTAGGTAGGTGTTAGCTAGCTGAGCTTGCTTAGGGTGCTGTAGTGGGTGGACACAACTCACCCTTCACCCTGTTTTCTCCTCCTCTTAACCCTCTCTAAATCCTCCATAGACTGAATCTCCTGCCGTCTAATCGGTCCCAACCGCTCATGCTGCTCAGGAACATCAAGCAAACTCCCCCTCCGACTCGTTCCCTCGTTGACTCCGAGCCCCAGCGAGACCGTGACGTTGTTTCACGCGTCAGTGGCCGGAGTAATCCATCGTCTGCATCGCGGCCGGCGCCGGGGTCTTTATCCTTCCCGGACCAGGTGGGTAGTAAGCCGCGCGCACTGGCCGAGGAAGCGAGATGGCTCATTGGGCGTGGGAGTCTTAGTTCGCGCGATTTGGAGTGTTTGTGTTTGTGGGAGGTCGATTTGGTCCTTGTGCCGTCGAGACTGTAGCTGTGGCTGTGGCTGTGACTGTGGTGGTGGCCGAGACCGAACGGGTCAAGAGTGCGTGAGTGTCGGTGGCGTGGTTCGGGGGATCCGTGGTTGGGGGTGGAGGTGGAGGTGGAGGATGGTTCTTGTAGAGTTGGTCTTGGTCTTTGTTGTGGTCGTATTCCTGATGTTGGTTTTGATTTTGATGCTGATGCTCCTCCTCCTCCTGCTCCTCCTAAGGAGGTGGTGTATTTGTGTTGGACATGGCGAGGGATGGCTCGGTCGCTGTCTGCAAACGGACTGGAGACGTCATTGGGTCGGGGGGTGGGAGGTTTGTGGGTTAAGGGGAAGGTTGCAGAGGCTGTTCGGGTGTGTGCAAATGGGATGGGATGGCGGTCCATTTGGCATTATATAAGTAGTTGGAGTAGTCTGGAGGGAAGTGTAGTGAAGAGGTGAAGTGAAGTGGTGAAGTGGTGTAGTGAAGTGCGGAGGAAGACGCGGAGTGCCAAGGCGATCGACACGGAACAGCCACAGTGAAGGCATGGCATATACGGTAGACAGTTACACCGGCATATAATATACAGAAAGTAGAGGATACTGCTATAAAATAACTTGAAATTGCTTTTGTCAATCGCTATGAACTGAATCAAATCAATCAAATCAATCGAATCAATCGAATCCTCAAACACTCCCAGAAACGCCAGTGCCCAACCCGAGAATTAGCGGTAGCTGTAGAGCAGCGTAGCTAGCATAGCATAGAATAGCATATCATAGCCTGGCTTGCTGTGTCCGGATCATGCAGGTAGATTTATGCCAGTGTGCAGTGGGTGTACTGTGTGTACAGTGTACAGCAGTGTGCAGATGCAAGCAACTCCACCTTACGAGTTGAGAAGCTTGTTGCGCTTCTCTCTGCGCTTCAAGCGCTCGACGCGCTTGGCATGCATCTTCTCGGCCATCTTCTCGTAGCGGGCCTTTTCCTCCTTGGCAGCGCGCTTGTCCTTGATGCGCTGGATGTGGGCCTGGAGAGCGTCAGCGTGGTCTCAGAGTAGGATAGCAGAGAACAGGGAAAGGGACAGGAACAAGAATTCACAACCCAACATTAGGGTTTTAGGGATAGAAAAAGAAAAAGAAAAGAAAGAAAGTAACAGCAGTGAGTGTGAAGAATAGTTGTACCCACCTGACGCTCAGCCTCCTTCGCATCCTTCATCTCACGCTCCAACTCCTTAACAGCCTTCGCCTGGTCGGCCGCCTCTTTCCGCTTAGCGTAAGAGGTCAGACCGGAGTTCAGACGGAAGGGCTTCTTAGAGGCGTCATGCCAATTCTTGCCTGAAACGGATTGGATTAGTTGGGTGGGGTGGGGACGTGGTGAGTTGGAGTGACATACCGTTCTTGCGCATGCCGGCGGACTTGGGGGCCTCGGCGGCTGGCGCGGTGGCCGGGGTGGACATAGCGAGGGGAAAGGCACAGAGTGTATGTGTGTGTAAAGTATGACTGTTGTAAATGTATCACTGTGGTTGCAGGGAGTGTAGGGAGTGCAGTGATGAGTAGAATAAGTAAGATAGACCGAGTCTGCGTCCACCGGCCCGTCAAGTGAAAATTTGCTCGGAGATTATCAGATCGAGATAATCAGTCTTGGCGCCGCTAACAAGAATTTCCCACTTCGCCAGGACGAGTCTGATGGAGTATTCGGAGTATTCAGGACTTCCATTTGTCACTTCCTCTCTGACACTCTCTCTTCTCTCCACTGCAGTCCCGCTTTCACCGTATTTGGCGCCCAAAAAGGCCCATTTCCCTGAAACTGACTGACTTCGCTTCTGCAAGACTCTCTTGGCACAGTCCTACTGTCCTGCGTACTGCACTGCATTCACCGCCAAATCCCCTCTTTTTTCCTTTCACCCCCCACTCTGCAAGTCCACTCTGCTTCTGCCTGTGACTGCGCCTGACGCGCCCGATCAAATCGCTCACTCTTAAATACTCCCTTCCCCTCTTTTTTATTACCTGCTCTCTCCTCTCATGAAATAAATCATGCTTCTGCGATAGCCCCATTCACCCCATTCCTCCCTTCCTCTTTCCCTCCCCCTGGACTGTTAAGGTTAAGCCTTGATGGCGACGGCCGACCATGCAATCACGGTCAATGAAGCGATGGAGTTGCCCGCCCTCCCGCCTAACCAGGGGGTTGAGGCTATGAAGGATATCGTCTTCGGATCGGTGAGTGCAGCAGCAGCAGCAGCAGCAGTACACCACTGCGTTGCCCACCTCGCCACCCTCATGACTCACGCTAACCACCTCCACCACCACAGTCCGCCGGAATGGCAGGAAAATTAATAGAATACCCCTTTGACACCGTCAAAGTCCGCCTGCAATCCCAACCCGAACACCTCCCCCTCCGCTACACCGGACCACTAGACTGTTTCCGCCAATCCTTCCGAGCCGATGGTTTCAAGGGTCTATACCGAGGCATATCAGCGCCCATGACCGGCGCCGCCGTCGAAACAAGCTGTCTATTCTTCAGTTATCGCATAATCCAAGATGCGCTTCGAGCAACGGTATTCCCAGGCGTCGAACACCTCCCATTCGCAGCATTACTGTTCAGCGGTGCAGCCTCGGGTTCGATCACATCTCTCGCTCTTACACCGATTGAACTTATTAAATGCCGCATGCAAGTTCCCTCTGAGACATTTGGTGCCCAACCCCGTCCTCTCGCGCTAGTCGCGGACGTCTTTCGTCGTGAGGGATTAATCGGTTTCTGGCGCGGTCAGTTGGGAACATTGATTCGGGAGACTGGTGGTTCGGCAGCTTGGTTTGGTGGGTATGAGGGTGTGAGTATGTTATTTCGAAAATATAATTTGAAAAACGCCCCTACCACCGCCACTAGCACCGCCAGCAATGACGGCGCCCTCTTCATCCACCAACAATTAATAGCCGGCGCAACAGCGGGAATTAGTTATAATTTCCTCTTCTACCCAGCCGACACGATCAAATCCCGACTACAAACGGAGGATATTTCACTCCGTCAACCCGGTGCCCAGAGACAGACTTTTTGGAGTGTCAGTCGTGCCCTTTGGAGACAGCAGGGTCTTAAGGGGATGTATCGTGGTTGTGGAATTACTTGTGCGCGATCAGCGCCGAGTTCGGCTTTTATCTTTTCGGTTTATGAGGGGTTGAGGTCGTTTTTTTGGATAAATCAGCACACATCCCCGAGACGGAGAAGGGGAATGTTTTGCTTTCAAGATTATTGCATATAGATTTGTGTTGTTGTTGTTGGTTGGTTGGTGTTGACCTCCGGAGTTGAGTTGAGTGTTGGATGGATGAACATATATCTACGATTCGATTGGATGTGATGCGATCGAGACCGCTTTCTTGCTTTTGTTTTATACCCTGTTATACAAAAAAGATATTTGTTGCTGGAGACCTAAATATAGATTTGTTGAATGGAATTATTCAAATTGATTTTCAGCCCGCCAGTATGTACTAGTAACTAGTAGAAGATACAAATGTGAACTAGTCGCAGCCGATTACATCCGACTTGCAGTCTGAGTCCACTATTCGCAACAGCCCTGGAGTTAGAGGTACTAATTTCTTCAAGTTCGCGGTTATCATTGCGGGAGTCTGCATTTACAAGAACCCTAGAGCCTTCCAGCAGCCCAGAAACACCTGGACATTCTGTCGAACTCTTTCCCTTTTATTCCGAGGTATTTCCGGGTCTCGTCTTTGGTGTTTTGGACGGAGAGTAAGATCTTGGACGGGGATCTTGATCCATCCATACTTTTGGTGAGCTTCCGAGCTTCGGCGAGATATTCATTCGATCAACAGGAAATAGTATGTGAACCCGGGAAGGTCCCATTCTTCTCAAGGCCCACCTCTCCATGACTATCTGCAACCTTAGTCGGCACCTTAGTTCCCAAGATATTTCAACTGATAACGACGTTGTCATCATTTCTAGCCTCGTGGAGCCAGAATTGCATAGCACTACTCATGTTAGATTAAGTATCCGCATGTATTCTTTGGGGAATGGAGTCATACGCTTCAGGTTCTAAGCTTGCTCGTGTCTCGGTCCATGCAATTCCCACGATAATCGATGGTGATGTATTTCCCTTGATTTGGCAGGTAGACAGGCTGCCGGACGCAATTCGGCTTTTTAGTGCGCGTTGCTCTGCTTGAGAGGCTGTTTTTGACTGGAGGGAAGTGGAGGGTGGAGAGTGATGACGGCTGTATTGTGGTTGTTGTTGTTGGGTGAAGCTAGCTGGAAGCCTCTTACCTTCAAGTGATTTACAGGCACCTGGGCAACCACCTGTACCTACTGGTAGTTCCTGCCTTCTTTTTCTCTGTACGCTTATTTCTTTCCAAAAGTGCTCGCGACTGCACCTTCCTTGGTATGCGTCGCATTCGAGAAGTATACCTACCTAGGTAGGTATATATCAACTGGGAGCATGGCATTCAAGATTCTGCTAGAACTTGGAATGTTAACCTCAGGCTTGGTTTGTAAACCTTGTAATAAGAGAATCACCTCTCATTGGGTAAACTGAAATTACTGTAGATCGAGTGACGTGTGCATGTTCTCATTTCTGTTCTTCAAAGAAGAAAGATACGGTCCGGATCTATTGGCCAATATGCATTTATAAAGTACTACACGTTGACGCATTCATTCGTCCACAAGGGACATCTTGATTTGCGAGTTTCTGAGCATCCCCACAGTATATGTAGCTCTAAGATCTTGAAAATCAAATGGCTGCCTATCAAGCTATCACTGATATTGATCCATGAATCGCCGATGAAAACTAACAATCCGATCTGCCCACTCCGTACCCTGCGCCAAAAAGGTCGTCCGGAAATGGAATGACCCTTCCATCTGCCCAAACCCACTCCCTGGAACAACACAAACGCCCGTTGCATCAAGCAGCTTCAAACAGTAAAACTCATCTGGCGACCGACCCTCCAAAGCAGCAGCTTCCACTGCCTTGGGTGGTATCTTCACCGATGGAAAGAGATACATACTTCCTTCAGGCACACTGCACTCAAAGCCCTCCTCCTGCGAAAAAACAGCATGTAATGTTCGAGCACGGCTCTTCATATCTTCAAGGATACCCATAGACTCTTCCTCATACTGCTCATAACTCGAATCTCCTTTCAGTGGCGGACGGACCATCAAAGATACAAGACATTGACCAATAACCGAAGGACAAAGCATAATGCTGATGAACTTGTAGATCTCAGCCTGGACGCGTGGATCGAAACCCACGAGCTCGAAGAAACCTCCCCGATGTCCACATTCTCCAATCAACCCCTTTGACACGGAGTGCAGACTAGCCAGCTCAATTTGTTGAAACCTTTCAGGGTCCGTAGCTTGCATGCTACAGAGTACCTTTTTGAACGAGTGGAACTCCTTGCTGAAGACGTTACGCTGGTATACTTCATCAGCAATGATGACGAGTCGTTTTTCCCGCGCGTAGTTGATAATGCCCCTAATATTCTCTTCGGAGAGTACGGCCCCTGTCGGATTACCGGGATTGATAATCACGATGGCGCGAACGTCTACGCCTTTGGCTGTTGCATTCTCGTATGCGTCTTTGACGGCGCCTACGTCAACACTCCAGCCCGCCTTGCTGTTCAGATAATAGGGCACACATTTTGCCCCTAATAGTGACAGTGTGGCTGTGTAGAGAGGGTACTGTGGGATGGGGATGAGTATGCCGGTATTTTCATCGGCACAGATGACATGTAGCAGAGTGTTGACGCCGGAGGATGCTCCGGCACACATGAAAATATCGGATGCTTTTGCTGGATAGCCATCGCGCCCTAATAAATTTGCTAGAAGTCAGCCCATTTCAGATAAAATATTTGGTTTCAATGATAGTCTAATTGCCAGATCAACGATACTTACGTTCCAGAAACTCCGCAATGTCTTGTCGAAATGCCAGGTACCCATTGCTGGGACTATACGCACCAACAGACCCAACGACGCTCAGAAGTGCCTTTACACGCACAAGAACATCTCCCTTATACCCCAGATGATCTCGCAGAATATCCTCGTGGTCGAGGAGAGACGGATTCTCCAGAAGACTTAAGACCTGATGGAAGAAAGTAATGGGCTTCTGGCCCAGCTGCTGGGGATTTCCAACATTGGCAGAAACGACGCTTGAAAAAGGGATATCGTTCGCATTACCTTCAGCGATCCTGGCTCGATATGCTTCTGATTTGGTCGAGAGCTCCCCGCGCACGGCGTATCGAGCTGCTTTGACGTGGGGGTTGATGTTCTCGTAATTAAGCCTACGAGTGTTCATGGCTGTCAGAGATCACTCAAGGGTTTGAGAATGAGGCTATGGGTTTTTGATCATAAGTGCAGATTGGTTAGTACATGGTTATTGACGTAATATCTATAAATGATTGCACATCTGTTGAGGACGGTTATTGCCGAGTGGCTTTGTTAGAGGTTGGCGGATGATGCCACGCGGACGGAAACCACCGAACGCATAGCCGGACCTATCATTAATGAGTACATCTATGGGGTACCAAGGGAAACCGCCTTCCATTGAAAAGCATGTTTACGTCGAAATTCGAGTTTGTGTCCCTCTACGCAAATAAACCTACAGGAGTGACGTACATAATACCAGTCATGGATATGCCAAAAAGAGTGCCAACCCCAGCGAGGCGCGTCGGTGGGCATTTATGTTTATTGAAAGTTAAATGCAAAGTTATTAGGAGGATCACTCATGCCATTTAACAGATCCTGCGTGAACCAATGTGGGTCATCAGCTGACGGCATACAGTCGAGATCCATGATCCATTCCTGAAGCCCACGGGCATCCAAATTCATCGGGGCTGGATAATTCTGGTCCCCGGACATCCAACCAAAGCTAATACCCGGATTGAGCGTAGTATCGGATGCAGTAGGTTCAAGTAGATCTGCCACTTGCAAGGACGAGGAGCCTGCGGCATCACCCGTCTGTGCAGCGAACTGATTTCCAGACATCATATTAATCGTGCGCTCCGACAGAGACTCAAATATATCCCGATAGGATGAGGCTTGGCTCCAGCGCTCTGCAATAATGACCAGAAGAGTGTTACAAGCCATGCAGGTACTGATAACTATATGTTGAGGCGTAGATTGACGGAGTCGCTCTGATCGCCAGAGACAATAGATGAAGGTCAGACCAGCGAGAAACAATATATGAAGACTGCCCCAGGTGAATTGAATTCGGCGGTCTCGGGTCTGATAGAGTCGGCGATATCGTATGCAGATATCACGAGCTGAGTCGACACAGTCCCGGAATGCAGCATCGGCGGAAGCCGAGACTTCAGGATCCTGTACCCCAGTAGCCAAGGGTGAGGTAATTTGCGCCCGATATAATAGAAGAATCGAGTAATCGTAAGCGATATGAAACCAGTTTGAAGATTCGAAGACAGAAAGAGGCGAGCCATTCGAGGTACAAAGCTCATCTGGCGTCGGCGACCCTGCTCGCCATTCATCCACTTCCTGTCGTAGTGATTTAACTAGGGCCATATGATGGAGATATTCTTGCCCCGATGATCGAAATGTGTTGGGATAGAGGTTATCACTGATCTTCGACCAAAGTTGTCGCAACTTGATAACGTGGATGAAGCCAGTTACACAAGTGCGAGATTCAGTTGACGAAGACTGTGGAGGGCCCATAAAACCACCAGGTGTGATATCTTCATCATCAACATTCACAGGTAACTAAAATCACGCCTTTTATAAGCCCTGATATGATGAAATTGCACTCATTCAGTGGAAAGCGTAGCTTACCTCAGCATCAATAGCATTATCAGGAATACCTTTCGGTCGACCCAAGATGAACGAACTAACGCAGTCCAAATCATATGCTACCCAAAAACAGCGTTTGGATAGTTCTTTCGTCAGTGCGTCTGCATGTGGTCGGTATCTCTCAGTACTACGATGATACCCGAGTTCGACACATTGGCGAATCGCCATGCCAGAGAGTTTCCTATCAGTAGTTCCAGTCAGGATTGCTATAAAAATGTGTGCTTTTAGCCATGGGCGACAAACCAGAGGTTGGCCCCATTGTAGGACCTTATAGAATATACTGCACAGCATAGAAGAGCTTGCACTGAATACAACCCATCCATATGGAGTAAAGGACCGATGCGCTCAAATGCTGGTGAAAAATATTCCTGGGAGGGGTTAACATAAAATGATTGGAAGTCAGGGTGGATATAATACCTGTGCCTCGGTTTCAGGCTTCCCTAGAGCCAGAGATCCGATCGCATAGGTCTACATAAGATTAGCACATTTGTTATCACCAGCTGCAAGTCCAAGGTAGGTACCAACCATAAGCACAAAGAATAATGATACGGGATCTACAGCTGTGAGATCTCCAAGCGCACTTGCACGAAGGCATTCCTGCTCCATGGATAAGAGGGTCGGGCGATGCAGAAAGGGATATTGGGGATGAATGCTTTTGAAGAAGGCTTGCGATAGCATAGTCGCTTTCGCTGGCGGTGGAAATTCGAGCGAAGTCATGGACCCCCTGTCAGAATATTGACCCTCATCTCCTTCCTGTGACTTGGCGCTCCAACCACGTTCATGAAGCGGTAGATCAAGGCTGGCACCGAGGATACGGGAGAAAGAAACCGCAGACGATGATCCGAAGAACTGCGGCTCACGACCAGCAGCATTGAGGCACAGCATTGCAACTTCACTGCTGAGCATGTCTAGATTTGACGTTGACTCTCCAGCCGGCGAGTGTCCATTTTCAACAGACGAATCTCTCGCTTCAGTGCTGGGAGAGACATGATGGTCGCAAGAATCTTCTCGCTGGCGCTTCTGGAGTAAATTCTCCAAGTATGTCACTTTGGCTTCCAGTTTCTGCATATAATCTCTCGGTCTGTGTAGCCCGGTTGCTGGATCTTCGACGAGGCATACTGTACTGCTGTGAGTCATAAAATACTGTATTTATCGACGAGTCCACATACCTCGTTCAGTTCGCAGGCAATTCTTGCATTGTGGGCTTTGAGCGTCGCACTTAATTGCAAAACAATTGACAGATTAGTTCTCAGCAAAGCAACGACACCCTTAGATGCACATTATGTAGTGTAGAAGCCGAGGTCGGCTCCACGTTGAGACAGCGGGGGTATGTTCAAGGGAAGGTAAGAAAAGTACCTTCAACTTGCGCTGCTTGCAATGTATGCAGGCTAGTAAAGTCCGTTCACCAGTGCGGGGCTTCTTAGCCAAATGGTCACGGTCTCTATTACTCCGGGTGCTCATATTAATTCATATCTTGATGCGTTTTGAGTCTTCGTTTCTTCCCCTCTCCAGTCGCTGGTGGAGAGATGGAATTCGAAGGCGGTCGCGTTGGGTCAGGCTAACGGAGGCGTACCGTAAGCCAGTGGTCGGCCAATGACCCGATGGCCGAAAGGTTAGTTTTGCCTATCTAGCCAATAGGCTTATGAATCCGGAGTGACCCGCTTTCCCTTTGATGTTCTGTCAAGTGACTTGAGGGGGATGCAGTGGCGTTAGCGCTACAAATGCCTCTGGCACTGATAGAGAATTATATCTACCGAAATTTGACGCGATAAAGTCAGGCTAGAGTGTATTGACCATAAACACAAGGTACACTTTTTTATCCGGGGTAGCTACAGTATTTCGTCAGTTAAGTGGTCAATGCATGCCGTGAATGAATATCACGTGTTTGGTGTACCAGGTCCCAGTCACGGTGTTGGGCTTCGCGTTCCAGGGATTTTTAACGCCCCCTAACTTGACGCGTGCCAGTGGGATGGTCGAATCTGTCCTTAGAGAGTTTCGAGTCCCCGATGGTGATTTTTGCTGACAGAAACTTGAACCGAAGCCCTGGAATAAAATTTTCAAGTTGGCTTCGGGATTGGAATATATATATTGTTGTAGTAGTTGATATACGGATACACGACTCGGACTCGCAGAACATGACAAGCTGATGAAGAGAGCTTCAACTTGAAGCAAGCGAGACCACTGGCAACTTGAAATAATACTAGTACCCGCATACGGTAATCAAGTGATCGGAGACTGCAAGGATCTTTCAATTGACGTCAAACGGAGAATATGAATCCTGAATCAAGATGCCGAGTCTGAATGGCTGAATGAGCTACAATCCTCTGAATTGACACAATACGTTGATTTCACCCAGGTAGGATTTATTCGACGGTTTGATGGATATTGTCTAGATATGTGTGCTTGATTCAATTGAAACGAGGGCGCATAAAAAAAGCATAGAATATGAACCTGAAAATTTGACCACAAAATATAAAGCTCATAAATCGCCATTGCTGGATAAACTAAGGGCGTCGAGGCCCAGTTGCTGGGCACACCTTTCAAGGCTTTTGCGCTGCATACTCGAATACAAGTCATCGGGGTCTAGAGCGGAGCGTCCCAGTGAGCCTTCAAATCCTTGCTGGTCGGGAAAGGGTATTATGTGGCCTATCGCTGATGAAGGGTTACCCAAATTGGACTGGAAGATGCCAGCAGCGGAAAATGGAAGGAAATCCTCGTAAGTTATTGGTGCTGCGCTGAGAACGCCAGCTAACAACAACTGGTCGACGAGATCATCCGGCATCCGTTCAAGGCCTACTAAATTGGGGGGAATTGCTTTGCCAGTGACCGTGAACAAACAGTAAACCAGCCGCTGCTGGTAAAGCTCATTCCAGGTATCCGGGAATCGGACAAACACTGCTTTCAGCGCGTCATCCATCTTGTGTCCCATCGCATGACTCGTTTCCATAGCATGCCTGAAAAGCTCGTCGTACAGCTTTCGGCCAGCACGGGTCAGTGCTGCCCCACGCTCTTCGATTTCGCCAAACCGCGCCCTGTGATACCCTTCGACAAATTTGTCAGCCTCAGTACCGGAGCAGTAGTAGCTGACAGGCTCTTGAAGAGCCAAGAAACTTGTTTGACGCAACAGAATGGGGCATTTGCGTTTCGGAGGACCCTCTATTATATCTTTCACCTCCATGCCGTGTGCTTGCATAGCAAGATGGGAAAGGTCTATGTCAAGGGTTCGAGGCGTCAAATGGTTGATATGGGCAGTCTGAAAACAGACGATATCGGCTAAGATGGGATGCTCGGCTTTGAGTGTATTGTACTCATCCCAAGTAGCAGCTGCCATGGGCTGCCAGCGAAATGATTCGAGGGCCTCATCAATAAAGGAATCCATTTGTTGGTACGTGAAACGACCTTTTTGAGCGTCCGCAATATCCAAAAGGTCAAGCAAGGGCTGGCTGAAGATTCTTCGCTGTCCAAGAAGTTTCAGCGCGAGGTCACGACTTTCCGTAGAGTGCAAAAGCTCTGGACGCAACAGAGTAGTGAACACGCGAAATGGATTCTTGGCCAAAGATTGAGTATCTCGGGGTCGGAAACAAGTCGCATGCATTGGAAGACCAGCGACCGAAAGATCGTAGTAACCGATCGGGTGCATGCCTAATAGAGTGAAGATTCGGCGAACGGTCCGAAGCTCATAGGAGGTTCCAAGACGAATGGCTCCATGACGTTCAAGGGTGATACGATTGATATTGTCGCTCGGTGTTTCATGAACAGATGCATTCACACTTTGAACAATGGAGACTAGATCATCGTAGAGAGGTACCTCCGCTTTGTACATGTTGGACATGGCAAGTGCAAAGTTTGTGCGCAGTATCTCTACATCGACGTAGCCGTATTCAACCCCCGAATGAGGTTGATACCCTGGAAATACCAGGTTAACTTCCATAGTGACGATAAATGTACGTTGACTAGAGGAGATGGTGTTGTGGTTGTTGGTTCTGATAGACCCAAGAAGCTTACCCTTCAAGCTAAGTCTACGCTCGATAAATTAGCAGTTCTATCTATTTTTTTCCATGGCAAGATGAAGCAATCGGGATTTCCCTTTGCCACATCTGACTTTTGCCTCGAGCCTCTTACACGTTGAGAGGCACTTGCCGATCGGGATATTCCCTATCATAGTGTCATTACGGCTCCGGTCGCTGTGTCGTCGGAACTTTCCGTCGTGACTTGTAAGCCTCGCTACTTCCCGAGGCGTTGACATTGAACATATCCTCCTTTAAACAAACATCGAACAGAATTTGATGATAATTTCACCAAAGTCCAAATTTTCTACAAGTGAAAATACGTCAAGTCACAACGTCATGAGTTCAACAACGACCATGGAGATCGAGGCCGGAAAGACTACTAAGGAGACAAGGCCGGCATTGAACATCTCAGCAGATACTGCTGGTGGGATTAAACGTCTTCACCATATTCCTTGGCCAGAAACAGCTCTGGAACGGCGCAGATGGCAGTTGGAGCAGATGGCAGGGGCATTTCGCGTGTTCGCGAAACTAGGTTTTGCAGATGGGGGCAGTGGGCATATCAGCGTGCGAGGTAAGATAACCAAGGACGCTACCTCAAACAAATAAAATGAAAATACGAGCCAGGGTACTGATCAGGGCCTGGTTGGCAATAGATCCCGTTGACTCAAACACATTCTGGCTCAATCCTTATGGTGTGCACTTTGGTCTGTTGACTGTGTCCGACATGGTCCAGGTCAACGATCAGGGAAAAAGGGTTGGTGGCGCCGACAAGGCCGTAAATGCAGCTGGATTTATGATTCACAGCGCCATACATGCAGCCCGGCCGGATTTACATACCGTGTGCCACGCGCACAGTCCGTATGCCCGGGCTTGGAGCACTTTTGGGCGCCCAATCGACATGCTCAACCAAGATAGCTGCATGTTCTACAACGACTTGAGTGTCTATCCTTCATTTGGGGGTGTTGTCTTCGCTTCTGAGGAGGGAAAGCGCATTGCACTTGCATTAGGCCCGACGAAAAAGAACATGCTGCTGCAGAACCATGGCTCTCTTACAGCTGGATCGACGGTTGGGGAGGCTGCAGCTTTCTTCATCGCGCTCGAGCGGGCATGCCACAATCAGCTGCTAGTAGAAGCTGCCGTCGGTCCTGGAAACCTACAGAAAACCTTTGTTGGCGAAGAAGAGGCAGAATATACCAAGAAAGGGACGGGGAGTTCGGAGGTGATGTACATGCAATTTGCACCGGAGTATCAGTTGATACTGAAGGAATCCGGTGGTGACTTCTTACTGTGAGCAAGCAAGTGACAGGTTAGCTCTTAGAAAAAATTAGTTTTATGGCAAGAATGAGTCCTTATTCTGCGGTACGTTGGCATGCAGTAGCACCTTCGAATGATGATCAGGCGCATCTCGTACATATTGAAGATTACGAATCAGAAGATTGTCAATTCTATTCAAATGAAGAGTTGAAACGACAAAGGGAAACAGGTCTAATGAATCAACAGGCGATAGGATATCCAGGTTCGAAATGCTAAATAAATGGTATTCATTGAGAGATGGCTTTACTAGCTGCACTTTATTTCACAAGGTCATTCTCTTGTCTCAATCGTATCCTTTGTAGGCAAACCCCATCGCTTCGGCCTGTAACGGCAAAGTGAACTATAGAACCAGCAGCCCATGGTGTAAACATCGTACACTGGTAGATGAACTGCATTGCTTATTTCGTCTGCAAACGCCGGCATTTGCGTACATTCAAGACAAAAAGCCCCGATATCGGGGTGATCCATTAGAAGCCCTTGTGCGACTCCCACCAGCTCATGCATTAGCTCGGAGTGTACATATTCTTCACCACTCCGAATATGTCTCTGGAGTGGGCCTCCGGATGTTGCTCCGCGTATATAGCAACGAGATGGGTCGATGCTGCAGTCGCTCAAGATGGGTGTTACTCAAGCGGCCAGCGTCGAACGTAATGATGCCAACACCTCGGTCGGCGGGAAGGATAGATAGAATTGAAGGCACTTGTATAAGGGCCGATGTGGCCACTGGAACTGGCAGGCGTGCAGCAAGTCTATATATTTCTGTGTTCAATTGGATCACTCTTAGTCTTGCTAGATGCTCCACTTACTCTGGTTGTGCCATCGCTAAAAACCCACAGCTAGTAATGATTCCTACCGCACCGCGGTCAGCTAGCCGTTGGCCAGCATCGACGAAACGATCGATGAAGTCCTTCGAGTAGCTGCTACCAGAAACGACCTGTGACTCTGTGGAATCATTGGCCTTTTCGCGAATAATCGGGAATGGCCAGGTTGCTTCGTTGAATGGGTCTCCTGGAGGACGATGGAGGACCACGTCGATCGCGATAAAGCCCAGCGGTGGTTGAGACTCAGCCATGACGATTTATGAAAGAGCACAACTCGGCGAAAACCCAGAGAAAATGCCAAATTTATGAAGACAGAATTTGTCTCCCCCTCTCTGCTATGCCTGGCCACGAGTTTGGTAAGTATATCTGGCAGGCGATGATCTCGGGAGAAGCCGAGATGCGGAGTAGCTCCCAAAAGTGAGATAAGAAGAGTTGTCACCGCCCAAGTTTCGCTTTAGATACACATCCCACTTCAACATTTTTCTCAAGCAGACTCATTCAGTTTTTTAATTTGCGAAAACATGCCTGCATATACCAAGCCCAGAGTCGTATGTCTGGGAGAGCCTAAGTACATAGGTGCCGAGTATCTGGTGGAGTTCCAAAAGGACTTCAACTATTCAGTGCTGTCTGCGACGAACCGGGCAGAGACTCAGGCGATGCTCCCAGCAGATATTGCGGCAAACGGACCTATCGATGCATTTATTATTCGCATGGGAACTCCACCATACGAGCCGTTTGACGCCGAGTTGTTGAAGGCTCTCGCCCCCGGCTGCAGGATCATCGCCTCCGCAAGTGCGGGTTACAATGAGTTCGACGTGAATTGGATGGCAGAGCAGGGCATTGTGTTTTGTAACACCGTCAACGCAGTGGCCGAGGCTACGGCTGACATGGCTCTGTTTCTCACTCTGGCCGTGCTCCGGAACACTACCAATGCAGAAAAGAGCGCCCGGAATGGCACCTGGCGGGCCCCGACCGGAGGCACGCTCGTCCCTGCTCGCGATCCGTCTGGACTGACCTTAGGTATTGTTGGAATGGGAGCAATTGGAAAGGCAAGTGAATTATCGCACATTTGCATTGATTGAATGTCTATGTATTAACTCTTGCATTTCTTGCGTTTAGTACCTCGCTACCAAGGCAGCTTGCTTCAATATGAAAGTGAAGTATTACAACCGAACTCAACTGCCTTCTGTGGAGGAGACAAAATATGGTGCTACATACTGCCAGACGTTGCATGAGTTACTTGCTACAAGTGACGTTGTTTCGATAAACTGTCCTCTCAATGACCAAACCACCGGTTTGATTGGAAAAGCCGAATTTGCTGCAATGAAGGATGGCGTATTCTTCGTCAACACTGCGCGGGGCCCAATTGTGGATGAGAATGCCTTGATCGCCGCCCTTGAGAGCGGCAAGGTCACTCGTGCTGGTCTCGATGTTTTCGTGAACGAGCCTTCGCCAAATACTTGGTTCCTACAAAGCGACCAGGTTATCATTCAGCCGCATCTTGGGGGTCTGACCGACTCTGCGTTCCAGAAAGCTGAACGTGAGTGCTTTGAGAACATTCGGGCCTTATTGACAACGGGCAAGGCGAATTCACCAGTGAATGTAAGCAAGTCCAAAGTATGAGGAACATAGTTGCTGGGTGAGGATAGAGGTTGTTTTCCATGGTAGTTAGCAACCATTTACTAGAGAAATTAAATTCCTACATTCAATTTCTGTATGGAGAATATAAAGGCAATGAACATTGATCTAGTCGCTTATCCGAAAAGGAATAATTGAAATATGATATAGCAAAGCATTTTCTATCTAAATTTTAAACAAATTGAGCACTCGAGAACAAGAATTGATACAGAAAGAATTCTTCACAGCCGTGAGGCAGTCGCCCGCTTGAGTTCTACCTCCTTGTGCAATGCAATGTTTCCGAATGCGCGTGGCCCTTGTGAGCCCTGCATGAGATGGTTGATTGGCATTTCCTCGCCCGAGGATCGCCATTTCCAAGCTTTCACGGCGGGGCGATCCAATTTGATATTTTCCATTATATCCACCACCCAGTTACCAATGCAAGGCAAGTACTTGAATGCGTGGCCACTACCTCCAGTAGCAACCATTAAGCCGTCTTTTCCTGGAACACGGTCAACCAAAAAATGATTGTCAAAGGTGTCTGTATACCAGCAGATCCGCGTCGTGGCGACCGGAATCCTCTCTTCTCTTAGCTCAGGCAGGTATTCATCGAGGAAACTCTGGATGACCTGAAATGCTTGCCTTGGAAAGTCCGTAAAACAACTCCCTACCGGCAAGCCGTTGCGTTCAGCCTGAGACCAGCGTGTGACGGGTGTACTTCGCTCCTTTCCATCTTGATGGCGTATAGGGTTGGTGTATTTAGTGCCGCGGTACCCTATCTTGAAGAAGCCCTCATCGTTGCGCGGGAACCCATACAGTCCTCCAGAGCTTCCTGCCCGCATATTGAAAGTAAAAGTCGGAAAGTTTTCTGGTGCCAGTCGGCTCCATAGCTGTGACTTTGGCGGAATCTTGATCATTACCACGCTTCCCGCCGTGGCTTCGCAGAGTCCATCTAATTCCGGTAGCAGGACGGGGGTCAAGGCACCACAGGCGAGAATCGTCATGGGTGCATTATGTGTCTTTCCATCACGGGTAATGATGCCAGTCACTTTCGAGCCCTTGTAGCACAGGGACTGCAGACAGCCAGCCTGGGGGGCCAAAGACAAATCTTGCACCCTCTTCACGGGCCTTGTGTAACGCGAAGCGGCAGGCTATATCGGCAACGGCCATACCACCCGTCGTATCGAGCACCCCGACTGGCTGCTTTCCCCGGCCCTTTTGCCGGAAGGGGTCCATATAAGATGATATCCCGCGATCGGCGGCCAGATCACAATGAACTGGGTTGGTTGTCGCCAATTGAGTGTTGTGGTATCCAGCCTTTTCCATTCCATCGATGCAGGCAAGCTCCCAAGAAGGAAGTTCAACATCAGAAGAGAGTGACATGTTTCCATTGGGGACAAAAACCCGGTGTTTTCTACTCATCCCCGGAGGTAATGTTTGACCACTGGCAAGCTCGTTGTTCCACTCGTGCCAGGCCGCAATGGCCTCCCCAGATAACTGTTGATACTCCGTCTGCTGTCCGTACGCCGAGCGAACAATTTTGTTGATATCCGCGGAGGCAGAATCTGCACCTTTGAAATACGAGTATCTTGATTCATCGTAAGGTTGTTTGTCGAAAACGGTCACCGAATAGCCGCGTCGGGAGAGATGGAGCGCGGTGCTGAGCCCAAAGATGCCCGCCCCGACCACGATAACTGAGCCTTTCTGTTCCATCATCTGCTCCAGTACACATCAAAAATCGGTTTGATAGATGAAGCGGCAACATGAGCTCCTGTTGAGAGGACTGATTATTCCCCTTGAGAAAGATAAGCAGATAAGAAGAGAAGATAACCTTGGGAAGGAAGAAGCCGGAGAGGGGGGGTTGGATGCTCGGCTTCTCCCGAGAAGAGGAGATAGGGTTTAGCCGACTCCACTCTTTGACCGGGGAAGCTGGGGTGGCAATCTACGACTTTGTCTTTCGTCCTCGTTTGAGATAACAGGAAGAGGGGAACAATGTCAGTTAAAACGAGTGACCTTCGCCCTCAATTCTTGCCGTACACGAGTACGTAGCCCCTGAACCCATTATCTAGGTGCCTCCTTGAGCATATCTCCACGATGGGTTTGAACGGGGTGTTGTCCAAGCTTACTATTGTCAAATATGCCCACAAGATCAAGGCTACCCCCGGGAGATTATATTCAACCGGCGGCTTCTTCTCTCGGCGGCCCTATATGCTTGCGCCGGCATCCCTATCAGTGAGTTATCCCCAGCTCTCCGATCCATTCTAGGATTCATATTCCTATTGCTTCCGTTCTGGTTCTGAAGGGTGGCACAAAGGAATTTGCTAACAAGGAATACATTTCAGCATGGGACCAGGGCTCTTCATCCGTTGTAGCATCGCTGCCCGGATTTCAAAAGCATTTCGGCATCACCTCTGGTGCAAATGCTCATGAGATCTCCAATTTGGTGTCGCTCGTCTACATCGGGTGCGGCGTAGGTGCCGGCCTTTCATTCTTTGTCAATGATCGAATTGGTCGACTCTGGTCATTGCGACTCTACATGCTCATCTGGATAGCCGGTCAGATGGTGGCAACCTTTTCTCCGAATCTCAGAGCCCTCTACGCTGCGCGTATCATTAGTGGGCTTGGGATTGGCCCTCTCACTGTAACAGGCACCAACTCGATCGTCGAGATTGCACCTACAGAGATCCGTGGTCTCCTAGCGACGTGGTTCAGTGTCGCTATGTTGCTGTCTCTCTGGGTATCCGTCTTGTGTGTCTATGGCGTCTATCAGACAATTGCTCCTAGCCGTATGCAATATCAGGTTGTCTGGTTCGGGCCGTCTATTTTTATCTTTGGGTGTATCATCGCTAGCTTCTTCATAAGCGAGTCGCCCCGCTGGCTATTCCTTACTGACAAGCGCGAGAAGGCCATTCAGACACTCACAGATCTACGTGGGCTGCCAGCCGATCACCCTCGTATTGCTACCGAACTACGAGACATCGAAGAGAGCATTGCTAGGGAGCGAAATGAAGACAATGGCACTCCGGGAATCCGTGGAATTATTCGCGAGACCTTCTGCGTCCCATCGAACCTCCGTCGTCTCATACAAGCCATCATGTCCTTTGCACTGGCGCAGCTATCGGGCGCCAACTCTATCAGCTCTTACTTTGTTCCTATTCTAACACTCATTGGGGCTAATAACAGCACGACGCATAGTCTCCTTTTGAGCGGCATGTATAGCATCGCAAAGTTTTTCTTCACACTAATTGCCTCATTCTTCTTTGTCGATGCTATTGGGCGCCGGAGGTCTGCATTCCTTGGTATCACTATCCAAATCATTACTGATCTCTACATCGCGATCTTTATCAAATTCCGGCAACAGGGGCCCGTTTCCGTGGGCGCCAGTCAAGGTGCTATCGCTGCTGTTTTCTTCCATGGCTTTGGATACGCTGTTGGTAAGACATATCCCGTCTGAGCGTTTTCCCTCTGGGCACCCTCTCACAGTCTACCCCTAGGTCTCCTGATTCTCCCTTACCTTTTCAGTGGTGAACTGTGGCCAAACCGGATCCGATCTTTTGGTAGCGCCTTTTCACAAATGTTCCACTGGCTTTTCTTCTATGGTGTCAATGCTGGGCTTCCGTCGTTGTTGTCTTCGACAGATCAATGGGGTGCCTTCCTATTATTCGCCTCCTTCAACTGCCTCGCCTTAGCCTACGTTTTTTTCATGGTTCCTGAGATGGCCGGACTGGCAGTTGAGGAAATGGATGAACTATTCCGAGGACCGTGGTTCAATGCCTACAAGCGGGCCCGGAAAGATAGCGTTCTGAATGGTATCGAGACTACAGACAAAGCGGAGTCAGTTCAACCGTGATATTCTTTTCCAGCTACACGCTAATATGGGTCTCCGACTTTAGGTCGCTCGATAAGGTTATGAAGGGTGCAGATGCCAAAATCGTGAACGTCGTCTAATGAACTCATGCGTACTTTTGCCCCTTTGTTTTCTTCCAATCATTACATTGGTTTCTGTATCTCTAGAGGTATATTTCTTGCTGAATATAAAATGTATGTGTGATATTCAATGTGATATAATCATTCAATTAAATGATAATCACTTATCAACTAGGCCAGTCAAGGGCGTACTCAATTCTCATCCGAGAGCAAAAATGGCGACGGGGTGAGCACTACTAGAAAGGAAGGGGACGACACGAGCTCCAGGGCTGAGAGAGATAAATCGGTAGTAGATAACGAACTATACAGTACAAGCAAGTTGAATGGAGCCAAGCGCGACCACATTCTAGTAGGCCATTGCGAATAGTGGGGCCAAAGCCTGTCTTCAAATTCACTAGGTAATCCCAGTAACTATTCAGAATTCTGATTAAAAAAGGGCTTGAATATATAATAAACCTTGGAATTCCCTGGAGAGGGAGCCATAAACTCGAAAGAGCTCGGAAATCAGGACTGCCACGTCCTGTCTGCGGGCCCAGGCCGAGAATGTGAATTTATATTATGTGTTGAATGAAAAAAGCAGTGCTATGACATCGGATATATTTGATTTATTCTCTTCGTCAAAAAAGAAGAGCAGTTCTTAGATATTATACAGAATATGTTATACAGAATGTGAGCAAATGCCAAGCCCGACTATGCTTTGGACTGCTTGGAGAATTGGTTTATCTTCTCAATCAGATCCTTCATACTGTAAGGCTTATGGATGATATAATCCATGCCAGCTTCAAACAGTTCATTGTCCTGCTCCGCCCTGGCATTCGCCGTCACCCCAAGTATCGGAACATGTCGAGGGCCACCCTTCTCCGCATCACGAATTGCCCTAGCTGCCGTACAGCCATTCATCACTGGCATCTCTTGATCCATTAATATGCAGTCAAATTTGGTGGCACGGGCGGCATTGACCCCTTCCTGTCCATTGACAGCCTCTGAAATCTGGAATCCTTTAGACTTCAGTTTTCGAGAAAGGATCCGCCTATTGATGGCATTATCCTCAATTAAGAGAACATGGCATTTCGTGCTTTGATTTTCGTTATAAATAGCACTCGGATTTTCCTTGGTGACTTGGGAAGCTAGCTGGCTTGTATGAACTGTTCTTTCATCATCAATGGCGCCGGGCTCTGATTCTCTGGTCCTTGTCACAGCTGGATCCTTTGATATCACGGGCTCTGTAGTCGTTTGATTGACTCCACTCATTTCGTTGCCCAGTGCTTGGATTTGAGATGTCAACTGATCAATTTTAGACCCTTCCTGCCTATTAGCTGCGCTGTCGCTTGGTTTAACACTTCGGCGCACTTTGAAAAAGAATCCAAAGGTGCTTCCTTGTCCTTCTTTGGAACTGACTCCGATTTCGCCACCATGTAGATGGCACAATTTCCTGGAAACATTGAGACCAAGACCAGAACCACCATAGACACTCTCGGTTTTGGGAGTTGCTTGATTGAAACGCTCAAAAAGCTTTTTTTGGGCTTGATCGCTAATCCCAATCCCCGAGTCCTTGATGGCTACCATAACGTATGCCACTTCCCCAGATCCCCATTCGGGTGTATTCGTTGCATCCTCCCTTAATGCTTCATCTCCAGACTCGAAGAAGACCACGTTTGGCGGATATGAGGATGGTCGCTCTATCGCCGCCCCTATTGAAACTCGGATCGTTCGCTTATTCTTAGATTCCGCGGTAAATTTGACTGCGTTTGAGAGCAGATTAACAAGGACCTGGCCCATCCGATCAAGGTCAGCCATTACCCAATCAATACCAACGTCGCCATAAGACACGTCGGCTTTATAATCAAAATGAATATGGAGCTTGCGGGTCTCGGGTCGAAAGATCGCAAGTGGGCTCGTGAGATGTTGTTTCGGCTGTGCGCTTCTTGGTGAAAGCGTGAGCATAGATGCGTCGAGTTTTGAAAAGGTAAGAACATCATTGACAATCTTCTTCTGGTGAGCAATGCAAATCCCGATTGTCTCTGCAGCCTCGGCGATATCCGGTGTCGAGACTTCACTCGGCTTCTTATCGTATATTGCCTCGATGATATCCTCGGTACAGTGCAAGATCGCCGAGAGAGGATTTCGAATCTCATGACTGATCATATCGATGAATCGCTCTTGTTGTTTCTTAGATTCCCGCGCTTCCTCCGCCGCCTCCCGCTGAACAATCTCGGCTGTCTTTTCTGATGTCTTATCTGCGACCGTACAAACGAAGCCGCCATCCCCACCCAAACCAAAGCATTGAAGGTCCGCACTCTCTAACGGCTCCAGAGTTAATGCGCACCACACGATATTTTTCCCAGAGGTGCGATATTCGATACGCAGCGTTTTTCTTTTATCGTTCGTAGCGTCACGGAACTTAACGGCAGCTCGTTCTTGATCGTCCGAATGGATCGACCGCAGCCAACACTCGCGAAAATTCGTATTTGGGCATGGAATTAGCTCCTGGAACCGGCGGCTGGCGGATATTAATTTGTATTGGCGAGTGATTATAGCAACGCCATTCGGTAAAATGTTGACTAGCTCTTGTGCCGATAGATTTGGATTGAAATCCAGAGACATAGACATTTATCGTCGATGGACAGTGAAGCCCCAATTGTAAGTCGAAAGGTTGAGTTGGATTAATTAAAGAGCGGGGGAGTTCCCATCAAACTTCAAAAGTCTTTCAGCCCGAGTCTTCGAGGCCCAGTACGAGTGGCCTGGACTCTTTTTCCTTAGCTCACTGACCCATACGTCATTGCGGAGGTAAAGCACCACGATGTGGCGAAATGTTGAGGAGGGTTCATTAGTTGGCTTCTGCGTTCGGAAACCATCACCATTGCTGGAGGGTACTCTCTGCATTGAGTTAGTGTCAAAGAAGGTTATTTGCGAAACCCTTTATCTTTATATGGCGAGTATCTATGGTGATGAAGAATGCTACTCCGGGGCTAGTACTATCTATATAGCGAAAGGTCCGGGATGATCGGCAGGGTGTTGATACTGAGTAGCTCCAGTAATCCGTACTGTCCACTCTAATGTACATATGTAGGCTTTGAATACTAGACCGATAAAATAGGATAAAAATACTATTTTATTGTGTGTGGACAAGGAAATATTAACCACCGGTACTTGGCAGCAACTCACCGCCCTGATTATTACAATACAGTACACACGCCCATCAATATTGAACCGGGGGAGTCAGTGTAGCTTTACAGTGATATAACAAAAGTTACACAGCAGAATAAGTACCAGCGTGCTAATAGTTATTTCCTTGTTCGCCTGTTGAAAATTCGAACATCTCGTACATATTTGTCTACTCACCTATCATGGGCCACGCTGTACATTTAGAGCAAATTTCAATGTCAAGTGTTATGATACTTGCATGGACGCTAAAAATGACACCAGTAAGATAAAATTGAATTTCGACGTTCATAAAACACGAGGTCGAGGTCGCATTCCCGAAAAGCAGCCAGTTTCGATCTGATCAATCGCGGTTATGACAAATGAAGAGAGAGAAAAGGAAGAAAAAACCCTGTTTCAAGTTGTAAACTCCACCACCCCTTTTTATGCTGAACGAATTACACCACTTTCCCAAATGCATATATTCTCCTTCTGCATTAATTGGATGCTCCTGGGGTGGTGGTTCAGCCATTGCCAACTTTCTCCTCGCCACCGCCAACGGTCCCCCCCCTTGTTGAACTTGAATTTCCAGATTCACGCATGATTCTTATATTTCGACTCAAATTAGTTTTATTCTGATGACTTTGCCTTTCCCTGCTGTGCCCACCTTCCTCGGAGAGAGAGAGCGTATCATCTCTCTACTTGTATAGCCTTCTTTTGTTTACTGCAGAGCTACCTCCGCCATGTTACTTCGACCTCCGGTCGTATTGCGACAGGTTGACCAATACTAAGTCAGTATTAGCACAAGCAGAGAGCAAAAATTCTATAAGTAAATCCCACTATAGTAATTTGTATCTGTTCGGTTATACTTATTAGCAGTATAATCCTTAGAACACCTCTAAAGTCTATAAGCTAACCATACGGCTAACTTAGATACTTACTAAGATTCTCTCTAGATTTATATACCTTAGAATAAATCAGTGCCACTACTCTAGTAAATAAAATTATTACCCAATCGTCTCCTGACCCTGCTCTGACTACATTTACATAACTAGACGCTCTCTGCCTAAATACCCGGTATATAATTATCTTACTGTTTAGTCAACAAGAGCAGTATATTCTAACTAAGGCTACTGAGACCCTTAGTCTTCAGGATAATATCTATTATAATACTTATAACAAGCTTTTGATCGGGAATTATATTCTATTATATAATTATAGTTGTGAGGATGCTCAGATGCTCACAGAGATCAACGTACGGCGTAGCATACGAAGCAAAGGAAACAGTAGCTGTTCGACGAAAGTAATAGCTTAAGGAGAAGAAGGAGGAAGCTAAGATAGAACTAAGTACATGTAGGCGTGGATGCCTAAGTGGATGCCATCTACGTCAGGCATACGCAACTGGTAACAACCCTAGTTCGTTACAATTCTAGTAGATAAGACAGCTTTAGAGACTTTACTATTAAAAAGCCAGTAGTAGAAGAGTACCTTAGGCAAATATCGAACTATACTAAAGAATATAATAGGGGCTTTTCGTATAAATAGTAGTTATAATATATATAAGGTATCTCTAAGATTAGCTGTAAATAGAGTACTCTAATTAGCTAGATTACCTAAATTACCGGATTATCGTTTTTCTAGTACTTCTGTTTATAGGATAGTTTATAGGATTATAAATACGTAGGATACTACTTCTATTAAGTTTTCTGGTGACGATAGAGAGGTAGTAGTGAAGAGAGGAGTGCTGTTGGTCGGCTGGGTATCGCGGGTACATAGGACGTGGATCGCTCGTACCCAAGTTTATATAGGAATTACACACTAATCTGGATTCGGAATGCCTATGGTCCATTTAGCAAAAGGGTCGTCCATTTAGTAAAAGGGGTGTTGTATTTAGCAACCCTCCTCTGAATTATACAATCTCCAAATAGGAAATCTAAATTGCTATTTGCGCAAGAAAGACCAATGGATCGTTGACTAGAAGAGAAAACTGCCAGAAGTCAAAGTGAATATGGATCAAGTGCATCCTTCCATGTCCCCCATTCAAATTTAGGGCCGATGTCTGGCGGGGACTCAAATGGATTCTCTGCGTCCTCGTATAAGAAAGCATGTATCTCCTTTTCAAACCAGATAACGTCACCATTACCACACATATCCTTCTCAGTACCAATAATAACATTGGGTCGGCTATTGAGCCACAGGGTCTTTTCCTGTATTTGCTTGCGCATCTCTTCTAAGAAGACATGCCACGAATATTCACCATCAACGAATACTAGGAGGCTCAGCTTGACGGAAACAACCGTATCTGGCAATTTTGAAAGGCATGAGATAACATTGGTCTGGCTGACAATGAATCGTGATAACTCGAAGTGGAGAAGTTTGTGCCATTTCTCAAGAGGAAACATACTCTCCACGAGAACAGGTACGGTGCTAATCGGTGGCTCGTCGCCTTCAAAGTAACCATCCAGTCCAGCGGTATAGAAGCTGAACTCTTCTAGATCACCCGCTTCACTTAGTGCGGCACGAAGTTTTCCGTTTCTGAAGGATTGCCACCTAGGTTCGGACCCGGTTCCACCAAATATGAGAGGAAGATCGAGGCGCCGGAATCCTGGGTGCTTAAGAACCTCGACGAAATTATCGTATTCCGGACAAGGATCTTCGAATATCCTGCAATTGATTCCCGTGAACCGCAGCCTAGCATCAAGACTCAGCTCCACTACATCGTGTTTATGTTGGGCAAGTGCACGTATCGCAATGCGGAATCCACGGTATTTTTCTCTTTGCCTTTCATCAACAGTTTGCCAGGGGAATGCGGGTACATCTTCTGGCTCTTCTGTAAGGGATGTTGGCCATCCAAAGGGGATAGGATAGAAAAACCCAGGTGGAAAAGCTCGAATCATCGGAGTTTGGTAAAATGGACCAAAGAGCAGGTTGTGGGTACTCGGGGTCACTGTGACTCTTCTCAGTGCGGTGAACTTTTCGAGTCCGTACACAAACGCCTCTTCGTCATAGCCTCCGGCAAGAACATCATCTTGTTTTTTGACTAATTGGCGATAATATTCCCAACACTCGCCCAATGAGGGCCCAACTTCACACAGGTCTTGTATACTGGGACATTCCACAGGTAAAAGGGAACTCCCTGAGCGCCGGTCAATCGTACGCTCTAGAGATTGCTTGCATGCAGCCTTAAACCAGTGGGGGCACCTTTGCCTCTTGAATCTCCTACTTCGTATCACGAGCTGAACACAATCATAGTCCTCCTCTCGAAAATATGGATCTTCCAAGCCTTCGTCCCAGTCTTCTTCCTCGTTGAACTCGTCAATCTCATTGTCACTTATATCGGTGTTTGGTAACCAGATGCCCTGCTCGGGATGGATAATATCGTCACCGCCGTGGGAAAGCCGTGCATCATCCCAGATGATTTCCGTTATATTGTGGCGAAATTCCTCGTGATCTGCAACGGCGCGAAAGACTTTGATGTTGAGAGGATTGGCTGACAAGAACACTCTGGAGAGTCGGAGCTGCACCGAATCGCAGTATTGCTTAGAGACAAGGCGGAGGGACTTGATATCGCTATTGGGAAGATACGATAATATCGTATGGACCAGCTCCACAGGGAGATTGAGCATTGGAAGGGGTGTCATTATGTTGTGTCGGAAAGAAGGGGAAGTGGGTAAACATTTGAAGGAAACAAAGCTATCAGAGCAGGGAAGACCCTGATTTTTGACCCTCAAATTTATGTATTGGCTAAAACTCATCAGCGTCTCAGACCCCTATTGCGACCGACACTAGGAATACTCCGTAATTACATATAATAATCAACCATTGCTCTCCACCCCACAGTTAGCCCCGCTATTTTTTCCCCTCTCAGCTCAGCCTCTTTTGTTGGACGGCATTAGCAATGCTGTTGTTTGTATAGTATAAATTTGTTCCTCTTGCGGAGTGATACTGTCGCACTGAAAGCCCTGCACTTGGTACCCTTACTAGTATACAATAGGCACTGCCTGGGAATGGCCCCCAAATATCGGAGGTTTCAATTTGACCCCAGGACCTCTGATACTCCACTTTCGAGTCACGCCAAGACCTTGGGACCGCGATCTTGCATATCCATTATCTTAGTGCAGAGTATACCACATGCAGTATCACCCAAACTTTCTCAACATTTTTTGAACCATGTAGAGGTTTTTTGAACGTCATTTGCGGCCAGACAGCACTTGAGGGTACTTGCGTAGGTACCTGGTTTGGGCTGTTGAGATGATAAACTCCCTAGATGGTCCATTGATATGTAGCCTATCCCGTTGGTCGTATGAATTAAGCACTCAGGATTGATATGCATTCAAAGACGTTCAATTGATGTTGTTCTTTCAGTGGTAGAGGCGGACCTAGTGCTTGATCAATATCAATCAATTGATATCAACAATGGATGTCAACTGAATGCATAGAGCATTTGAAAGGGTGTTTGGGATCAACAAGGGCGGGTTATATATACACATCAAATGTGTACATACAATAGATCATCTATAGATCTCTCATTACTGGAACTGAGTGTCATACTGCATTATCCATTATAGTCGTATTATTCAATCATGCTTATTGTCTGAAATCCAGAAATTTGTAATCAGACGGTTCTCATTTTCATCTCAGCGTGGCTTTCATCCATTTGATGAAGAGCGCCGGATGAAAAAATTAGTACCGACAAATCTGCGCTCAAAATCTACTGGTTGGTAAGGAATTCAGACAGCCGAATCATGATCAGCTCCCGATTGCTTGTTTTCAAAGTATTTTGCGATTTGCTGTGATTTGCGATTAAGTGATGGCGGGACACTAGAGTTGTATGAATTCGCGGACCACATCCAAAGTTCGGATCTCCTGGAGCGTCAAATAATATTACGTTGATAATACATCGAGCAAAAGTACAGCCACGCTATTGAGAGACTATAAAGAGAGCAGAGGTCTACCAGCGTAGAAGCTTGACAGGGGAAGTATCTCTTGTATACCTCGGCCGTAAACAGCACATACATCACTACTTCACGCACTACCAATCAGAGAAGCTATTCAATCACGTCATAATAGATCAATCGTTAGGCAACATATTATTTTTATTTTTATTATTATAACAGACCACGCTCACACAAATGTAGGAAGTCATTCGAATGATATCGACCTTCAACTCGCGCTGGGTTCTTTCGGAGCGCCGCCTTGCCAAATATCAGCAGGAATTGACAGAGACACGGCAGTTGCTGGTACAGACCAACAGGGACTTAGATGAAGTTGCGAAGCTAGCAGAAGTGCTCTATGAGACGAATCGAAGAATGGGAGTCGTCACGGACTATCTTCTAAAGCATCAAGGCTTGAAAGATGGAGATCAAGAGCCCAAGTCGTTTGATGCGATGTTTAATTGGGCTGTAGTGCAAGCGGGGTTATCCTTGGAAACCAAATCCGAAGAAGGCAGGGTGCCTGTCAAAAATACAACAGACAGTGATGTCACAGCTGGGGCAAATGTTCTGTTGGAAATGAGCAATGCAAATAAGTCTATTTAGAAGTTACTTGGTTGTATGCGTAGTGACTTAAGGCTGGTGCAGGCCAGGAACGAAGTCGTGTCATCGAATTTCACTCCCGGAATATCTATACGAATAATCAATTCTCAATTTTTCATCTTATCTTCGCATTGTATAGATCCTCATGTACTTCCTTTGCAACAGAACAAGCGACCATCATTTGGAGTACATACAACAATATTCTGGTGAGGGCTTGAAGATACCTCGATAAAGGAATCACAGAAAGAGAATTAAGTACGAATAGTGTGCTCTCTGAAAAAAAGTCTTCGACAAGAAGATTAAGGGAAGCAATGTAAATGTATTTATTTAATGTGACGCTTCTCTCAAGATTGTTTAGGACAAAATTAAAATTAGGGGCAATCGCAAGATATAATGCTAGAATCATGACTAGGCTATTTTTCGTCCACGAGAGCTCAAATTGGTCAGAGCACAATCTACCACTTATGTCATTTGCGAAAGTCTACTCAGGGTCAGCTGCTGCATTGATGCCGACCGACTAGCCAGGGGCAGCAAACTTTGAACAATCAGCTCTTGGTTCGCAAGAATGCTTACTTAATGCTTTATCCAATGCGAGGCGAGAAGCCTTTTACAAAAAAAAATTGTACAATGACCCTTGGAAGGTTCTTTGTCGCGTTAACTCTGTCCTCTGTTGTAATTAAATGTTTGTAGTAGAGGCTTGCCGATAGAAACATCGTGAGCATAAGAGCTCCTGAAAGTGTACTTAAGGATGAAATGTGGGGCTATTGAGAACCAGATTTACGGATATGTCCATTGGCATATACGCCACGCAACTGTGCTTTCAAAGGTCGTCGAATGTCAGGTATACTATACACCAGTTTGATCCTGTTTCTGCCCTGGCGTGCTGAGACTGGTTACTGATAAATTGTCGAATTGTAGAGAGAGATACAAACCTGTGAAAAAACTCGAGGTCCTCAAATATGCCAGTCTCGGGTTGATTCACAGAGTTCATCCATGTCAGCTACGTGCGATTAAATATCAGGGTTTCATCAATACTTGAATATTTCCAAGCACTTGAAAATGCACTTTAAAAATCGTAAATTTGATGGTATACATTGGTGTAGGCTTTTGAAATCAATGAATGTGCCCAGTATTTAGCCTCGTAGTATGTTTCCACCTTATATAAATCTCAAGAAACACCCATTCTTTTCTAATAACAGGAAAGAAACCATTCTGATCTAACCGAGGTATTGCTCTTGGCTTCTCCTTTCATCTGGTTCCTGTATTGACTCTCGTTCACTTAGTCCGACTTCTATACGCCAGGAAACTCCAGACTGACTGCTTCGCCGATAAGCTCCCAGCCTGGGACCAAGCGCTCAGTCGTGCCAGTAAGGTTCCTCCGGCTACCTTCAACGGTTTCCATCCATCGAGCTTGCCCTCGATTAAACCACCCACAATTTGCATAGCCTCATAATAAATCTGAGACAACGACACGCTGGGTGGGACCGCTTTTTACGAGATTTCCTTCTTCCGTTTCCTTCCGTTTTCCTCCCGAAGTTTCAGCTTCTTCCACGCTTCAATTCGACAAGGTTTGCTTGATTATTAATAAATAATGTACATCGTTAATAACTACTCCGCAGTCAAGACCTCTTAGTACATATATCTAGGTAAGTACCCACCTACCTAGATACTATTCCTGATCTCTGAAAGCTTGGAAAGAAGTATCTACTACCTAGTGTAATGGGGATTTCCGCTCTCAACATCGGTACCCTAGGGTCATGTGACAGAAGCCTTAGCAACAAGGCTCCTGTCTTGTTTCAGGAGAATAAGTAGCGTTCGTTCTAGATTATCAATTCAACATGCATGTTCCCCCTTATGAAATGTTCTACTGAGGCTGCTGAGGTTGCGGTATCGGTATACTGCTCATGAAAGGTTCTGTTATTCGCTCTGGTGTTCGTTCTGTTGATTCTCTATAGCGTCACGCTTGCATATCGTCTCCTTGCACTCTACGAGTGTGGTGGTGTTGTCTCTTCGCGATCGACCTGTCTGCCAACGCAGACAGCCTACGAGCATTACCATCTTTCACTAGGTAGTTGGGTATCTTAGCTATCCAAAAGGGACTAGCCTGCTATTTTGGAATCAACTAATTATAACATCTTGCCTAGTAGTACTATCCATGTATATAAACTGCTTCTCCCCACTAGTACACAAGGATGTAGCCTTGTACCTAGGTGGGTAGGATGGGAGGAAATTCATCCTCAAGATTGCCAAGATATATTTTTCAACTCTTTGCACAAATGATCAGTTCCTGAGAACTGAATTCCACGCCAGCCAAAGCGTCGTGCCTGATCTATATTCCAGGATTTGTCGTCAACAAATATCACTTCATCAGGTAAAGAAGAGACCCCATCCATAACTAGCTGAAAGAATGCAGGGTCTGGCTTGCTCAGTCCGGTCCAGCCCGAAGCAAAAACTTTGTCGAAGATGTTCATGTGCGAGGGGAAAGTAACATGTAAATAGTCGATATCCTTCGCAGGTATATTCGACATAGCATAGATAGGAATTCCATATTGCTCTTTAATCGTGCGAACAAAGGAAAATAGAGCTGTGTTGGGTTCCAGAGACGAGCGCGCTGTTTGGAAGACCATTTCTAGCTCCGAGGCATCAATCCCGAGCTCGGATCCCCGGGATTCACAGAAGTTTCGCTCCGAGGAAATCAGTCCTCTTTCATACTGCGAATACTGATCGCACTTCAGCAGGGTCTTCAGAGACGGTTGTGCTTCGCTGGTAGACTCCGAGCCCCATTCAAAAAGAACGTTGCCAAGATCAAGCACAATCGCTTTCTGCGGAAGGGTCATGCCGGGCTTTCTTTGCATTAAGTATTTCTATGCAAGAGAGATTGGTCGATAACTGGATTTTGGATAACCTGTAGCTGCAGGTCAGTCCCAGGAGCAAATAATAAGATAATATCAAAATCGCCACATACTTTTACCCATCAGAGTAAAATTCGTGGAACTACAATATTCGACGATGTCGAAGATTTGTGTTCTCCAAGTATGTCGAATCAAGACAGGATCGGTACCGTGAAGCGAAATTGGCTGCCGATGTTGTGTGATACTTCTCAGATGATGCTCCGCGGTCGGATAAATGACGTCGCACTCTGCCGATTTGTGAGGATATTTCTCCTTTAGTGGAGAGGATCGGAATCCAGGAATCCACCCTCGAAACCCAGTGTAAAATATTTTGCTCCACATGGTTCCATAGACGCAATTTTCGGATTACATGCGAAGGATCAAGAACTTGCGGTGGAGATCTGCGTCTTGCCCACCAGATCGGGACCGGGTGGATACATGACCCACCAGTCCTGTACAGAAACACCCCGTGACCGTATGGAGCTATGCAGTCAAGTTACTGTAGAGAGAGAGCTTCAAAGTGTAAGAGGGCACGACACTATCGTATAAACGCAACAGGCTACGTCATGTCTTGATTTATCATTACTGTACGGCGTAAGCAAAATTACATATAATCAAGGACCGTGGGATTGGTGGCTATGAACTAGACGAAACGGCGATTAAGTTGCATCTGTGACGTGATTCGGCCTTTGTTTTCTTGGTGTTGAAAATCATGCACAGTCGACACGTACGGGTTCCAGCACCATCGTTGAGCATATTCATGACTACCCATTCTCTTCTTTCTTTCTATGCTTATCCGATTGTTGATTTCCCACCACCCGATCACCGTAATGATTTTTTTACTTCTCTCTCTGGTATGATAACTATAGCTATCAACTCAGAACTATCGCCTGGTTGGATTGATCACAAGTTGCGCAACTAATTATACATTTCTCCAGGTGCTTGGTGGCTCTGTTTTGCGTCTGCTCTATCGCAAATGGCTCCATCCACTGGCTCATTTTCCTGGGCCGGCTTCGGCAGCTGTCTCAAATCTACCATATGTCAAATGGGTTATTTCAGGACAGTTGCATCAACGGCTTCGTGAGCTGCACGACGAATATGGCGACGTGGTGCGCATTCGGCCCAATTCTCTCGTGTATCGATCTTCGCAAGCTTGGAAAGATATCTATGGGCATCGCAAGGGAGGCGCCCTGCCATTTATCAAAGATCCCGAATTCTTCACGCCAGCTCCTCCAGGCCATGCTCATCTGATAAATGCCAATGAGGCTGATCATGCGCGTCAAAGACGATTACTTTCTCATGCTTTCTCTGACCGCGTAATGCGCGACCAAGAACCACTGATCATGTCTCACGTCAACACGTTCATACAGAAGCTAAAAGACAAGGCTCGGGAAGGAGAGGTCATTGATATGACGGACTGGCTGAATTTTCTTACATTTGATATTGTTGGAGATCTTGCTTTCGGAGAACCATTTGGCTGTCTCAAAGACTCTGCGTATCATCCTTGGGTGGGGACCATCTTCAACAGTATCAAGACTGGTGCGATCTTGCGCGCCTTTGCGGTATATCCTCATTTGGCCAATTCCATGAGGCATTTAATGCCGAAGAGGCTCACTGAGAAAAGGAGAGCACATTACCAGATGAGCAAGGAGAAGATGCTTCGGCGACTATCTATTCAGACACAGCGTCCGGATTTCGTCTCATATATTCTTCGATACAACGAAGATGATGAACGATGCATGTCCAGATCCGAAATAGAGATGAACGCAGCAATCATTATACAAGCTGGGAGTGAAACTAGTGCCAGCGTATTATGCTCTTGCATCTATCTGCTCTTGCAACGACCTGAATGCCTTGAACGTGCCGTGAATGAAATTCGCAGCACTTTCATTCATGACTCTGATATCACTTTTACAGCCTCCTCAAAATTGGATTATGTCAGTGCCGTGATTGAGGAGAGTCTTCGGCTCTTTCCTGCAATCCCAGCAATTCTTCCAAGACTGGTACCGGATGGAGGTGCCACGATCAACGGAGAATTCGTACCTGCTCATGTGCGTTTTTCACCCCCACTAGCGAAAGGTAACAACTAACTTGGTTTTGAAACCTAGACCTCGGTTTCTGTTGCTCATTATTCTGCGTATCGTGGGAGTGAAAATTTCACTGACCCGGATACTTTCGCCCCTGAACGATGGCTTGATTCGGCTCCCAAAGAGTTTACTCCATATCAGAGTGATCAACACGACGTATTCCAGCCTTTTTCTTACGGGCCGCGAGGGTGCATCGGCCAGAAGTAAGTGATATGATATTATCTCAATATATCCCCTCGGCTGACTCTAAATGTCATTTTTAGCCTTGCATACGCAGAAATGCGTAATATCCTGGCGAAGTTGCTATGGCATTTTGATATTACCCAGGATTTCGTGTCGCCGCAGTGGGTTAATCCTAAAAGCTATATTGTATGGGCAAAGCGTCCACTACATGTTCGACTTGAAGAAAGGTAGAGATGAATATTGGTATAGTGAAGTTCATGAATGCAAAAATGCAGTATAAAGCTGGTCCTCGTAACAAGAAAAAAATTCTATTTCTGATAAGCATTATATCAGGAACATCAAAATCTGCCAATTGAAGAAAAGAGTAAATTTGACGTGAGCGCTGCTTTAGAATACCAGAATAGGCAAGTACCTAAAAACCTCGTCCGAACAAGATCGATCGGACGAGATCGGGAATATTCTGGTACCAAGACATTTGATGACGATCGACAGCCTGAAAAATCATAGAAAAATACATGGCATGTGGAGTAGATCTGACGTATCAGTCAGTACCACTTTCTATACAAAGGCGATCTTGCTGCAACCCTATCTTTATACTTACTTTGAGTCCAGATCGAATTTGAAAGCTCCTGTGGAATGACTCAAAATTTGATTACAGGTAATTAGACTAGTTTGAGCTATGCGAGGTGTATGATCCAGGCCTATTTCTTTGACGGACACCTGCGTGTCGATCCACCGTTTCGATAGGTTTTCATAGGTTCCGTAAAAAGAATTGTCAGTAGAATTATTTTCTCTTGGCATCGATTCGTAGATGCCCAGATCGGTCAAGCCACCGAGGAACCTCTCCGAACGTGGGGCATCTCGTCATGTTCACGAAAATCCGACATCGGTCGCGTGCCTGGATTCCCCTTTCGCCTTCCCTCGAAGTCAGTTTACCGTTTATAAATTCGTTTATCCTTATGGAACTGGAACAAAGTTGGGAACATATCTGACTACTCAGCGCTCATTTTCATCGAAGCATAATGATTGGAACTTACCATGACCCCGACACAAAAGCTTTATTTATCGAGCTTAAAAACTTGGTACTTCAATCATCATGGAAAGGAGTCACCTTGCCTTCGAATACTTTCAAGTCTGTGATATGCAGCGGCGCAACTGCAGAGCATCAATGTGGCCTGACTACGGAGGAGAAGTATTATGAACGTCTAGCTTCGGATTTTGGGTACTCTGCCGATGAAATCAAGACCTCATTTACAGCAATTCGGGATTCGATGACCGTGGACGAGTCCTTCATGGATTCTCTCGTCGCTCTAAAATCAAAATTTGGCAAGGAGTTGAAGATTTATGCAATGGCTAACCTTTCGCTCGAAGATTTCACAGCGGCAAAGGCTTTGGACACTGATTGGTCAATCTTCAATAAGATATTCGTGTCCAGTGATATTGGTATGCGGAAGCCAGAGCTTCGGTTTTTCAAGTCAATCTTGAGTAGATTGAACATGGAGCCGAAGCAAGCAATCGTCATTGATGATGACACAGATAACTTACTTGGAGCCATGTCACTCGGAATGCGGGGCATTCTTTACCCGGGAGTCTCTGTCAATCAAGCCGTTACCAATATGCTTGATCGCGATCCGATTGCACGAGGGGAGATATTCCTCCAGGAAAACGCCAAGCAACTTGACTCAATTACCCACACTGGAATCAAAATCAAAGAGAATTTTGCGCAGCTATTGATTCTAGAGTCAACAGGCCAAGGGTATGAACATGCAAGCAGCCTTTTAATGCGCACGCCTTTCTGATGACTTGCAGGGCGTTAGTTGATATCGAATCACATGAGAAGACATGGAACTACTTTGTGGGTACGGCAAATCATTCCTCTCCATAATTATTGAGCTCGCAGAATTAATGCTGTACAGGACCACCTATTATTTCACCCACCTACTCTCCGGATGACTTTGATACAACATCTTTAGGATGTACAGTATTTGATCGACCTATGCAAGTGATGAACGAGGTCATGGATATTGCTCTCGCCTACCGAAATCCCGATGGTATTGTGCAAGTATGTTTGGGAACTACCCATTAGTATAATGATCTTTGCTCATTTATCGACCCAGACTTTTATCACCGACCTTAAGAACCGTGTTGATCCAGTCGTTTGTTGCAATGTTCTGAGTCTATTTTGCAAATATGGTCGCCATACAGAACTCTCGGAAAGTCTCGAATGGATACGCCATGTCTTGCAAACACGTGCATACATCAATGGAACCTCGTACTATCCAATGCCTGAGAGTTTCCTATACTTCTTTTCCCGTTTTCTGCGATACCTTGAGCCCCATGACAAATCTCTCCACTGCACGCTGAAACATTTGCTCTCTGAGAGATTAAGGGAGCGCATTGGGATACCCGTTGATGCTCTTAGTCTTGCGATTCGTGTGATTGCTTGCCATGAGGTGGGAATAGTCGACGAAAGAGAATCGGACGAGCTCATCAAATCACAACATGAAGATGGTGGATGGGAACTAGGAACCCTCTATCGATTTGCTTCAAAACAGCTATGGGTAGGTAATCGTGGTGTCACCACATCATTTGCAATTGAAGCTATCCGTCGAAGTCGAAGCGCGGTAGGTCTTGAGTGAAAGCAATGATTTTGAACGTTGAACCGTTTTCTATAAGATCATATTCAAGTTGTGTTTAGAAGATTGTACTCAATTTATCTCCAATTGCAATAAATGTTGCTTTGACGCACAGCCAAGAGATAAATTTTGACTCTCGCCGATGACTTGCCTCTGCCTCGGTGGTAAATATAACTTCAATTCAATTGACATAAAAGCCACACGTGCGTGATGAATACTGCCAGTGTCGGACTTCCGCAACCCTTTCCTCTTCTCCGGATAGCGGAGGTTACAGGCTAGTAATCAATACGCCCAAAGCACTCACGGCTTATTTTTTTTCCTTTAAAAAAGGGACATGAATTACGCGCTGTTCGATGAGTCTGATACGGTGCCGAGTGGCGCATTCCGTGAACCACCATGGCGGGAAATGATGTTCATGTGGGCTCTAGGTTCTTCCGCTGTGGATTTCACTAGTGGAATGTCACTAGTGGAATTTCTCTACTCCGTACTCCGTACATAAGACATGAAACAGGTTTTTATCAAGATTAAGTGGCACTTATGAGGTCCCGCTTGGTGATTCATTTATTTGCCAGCCACGGTGGTCCAAATCGCCCCGCTGTGGGCCGGAAATTTCAATAAAATGTGGGACCTAGTTTTTCACCGATCTTGAAGAAAAGCGATCTAGATCTGCGCGATCTACATAGTACATGGTATCTGATTTCTGGAAGCTGGATCGGCGGTACGATAACCATTAAGAGGAAGCGAGTCTGATATGCACCACTTACGTAAATATTTGGGAAATTCTGATTGACCGGCATCGTGAACTCGATAACAGCACCACAGGGCTTCAGATCGTTGCAGCAACTCCTTCAGGTCAAAAATTGACTGATTATCGGTTTCCACATCTGCATTTCTCTCAAAAGATAGCTCCAATCTCTACAGTGCACAGCTCAAAGGCTTGTGAAAATGAAGGATCCTGAATGTTCTGGTAAACAGTCTTACATTCTTCGGCAGCTTCATAACTCCCCATATGCCTGTTCGTCAGCAACACAGCTAAGCGGCGGAATCGCAAACCTGTCATATCGAGGGATACTCTTTCGAGCTCTGGAAGATGGATCCACCAGTGTGATAATCAAGTATAGTGAGGAAAAGTTAGCCAAAGCTTCCCATATCAGACTTTCGACCAATCGATGTGTAAGTAGAATCTACCGAGCGAGTGTCGTTTTCAAGCCCCGAGATATTGAAATGGTTACTAATATTTCATGGCATGATATCCAGCTCACAGAGTACACCATTCTTCGGGCACTTCAATTCTGTTCAGCTCAACAATTCTTTTACAGAGCAATTACCATACGATGTCCTCAGGCCTATCATTATATGCCCCAGGGAAACATCCAGATATTACAATATTTTCCACATGATTGTACAATTCACGATTTAATCATGAGTTTGGACAAGAAACCTGTTGATGGAAGTACTATCCAGGCTCTAGGAGAAGCTTTGGCAGCATGGTTGTCACGATTTCATGAGTGGTCACGGGATGTCTCAAAGCCAAATTTGTTAGATGTCGTTCGACTCAACACTGATTCACTTGGAAAGGATCTCAGTGCCAACAAGCTTCGATCAGTTGAGAGACAATGCAAAGATGAAAAAGTGGTTCGCTACGCCTCGCAGATCTTGAATCCAACCCCGCACTCCCAAGACTGTCTGGTACATGGAGATTTTTCCACAAGGAAGTGAGTAACTGCCGACCCGACCCCATTTTTAGAGTCTAAAAATTGACAAACTTCTCGAAGTATCCTATATCAGGGCTCGCCTTCCCAATCCGTTACTGAGCCACCAAAATGTTACCTGTCAGTGGTTGATTGGGAAACTTGCAGCTTTGCAGATTTTACTCGAGATATCGCGAACATGATCGCTGATCTATACATTAAATACCACTGTAGTGGTAATGATCAGATCCTGACTTTACTCGAAGCATTTGTCGCGCACTATCCTGTTGCCAGTCAGGATTCTGTCTATCGAATTGTGGGTCAGGTGGGAGAGAATTTCTTCCACTGGCGCATCTATGTCCCAGAGAATCATACACAGACGCATGTCGATGAGGTTCTTAATCTTGGCGTTGAACTGATAATCATGGGCATGGAAAAGGATCGCCAGAGAATCGGCAAGACATTTCTAAACTGTCTGTTTATTTGAGATGTCGTAGTCAAATAATGTAAATAGTCAACCTTTTTTGGAAAAGAAATACTTGATGTTTCGATTTACTAGTACAGGAGATGCTAAATAGCCCCCACACTTCTCTCTTCTCGACATCGGTAGCTCTGAGGTATACATTTGTCTTGGTACGAATTTATATGGGATGGAAAGAACGGGTTAACATCCATGGATATAAACCATGCACCTGGTTCCATGCTATATAGCAGGGTGGATATGTTTGCTTTGTTTTTAAGAACGTATTCGGAGCTTTGTCGCGGATTTTTTCTAGAATAGAGACATATAGAACAGCTAATTTTCTCCCGCTATGGAGACTGTTCATGATTCTTGTCGTGGCCAAATGTCCTGCTGATGTTTTCTTTTTCTGTCTCGAGACTAATGGACTAAGACTAAACGGTAAATTCCGTGCCATGTTGGCACTGCTATTGCGCATTGTTCCTGTTCCTTTCGACCCATCGCCAGAATGGGACCATTGTTGCGATTATCCCTCTTGAATGGTGTGGCACACCGGAGCCATGCCGTCAATTGCAATATTATGTAAGCACAGTTGGTCAGACTGTGCAGGGAGATTTTGATATTCTATTATGCAAAGTCAAAGGGGGCGCTGATCTGCATATCATAGATAGCTAGCCCCACAACACTAACAACCGAGACCGGATTTTGAGATTCCTTCAAATCCCTTCCAAGGTTTCTTCCAAAACTTTTGTTCTACCTTAAGTCTCCCGCCCATCCCTCAGATGACTATGATATCCTATTTCTGCTAAGGAGAGGATCAATTATTAGAGGTCCAGCTAGAATTCTAATAATCACCACCACTCGTCGATGGCCGGTAATCAACCCCTTGGAGGTGAAAGGGACCTCCATAATTCAGTTAATTGGAATGGTCCGGATGATCCCGAGCATCCCATGAACTGGCCTAGAAGAAAAAAGATTCCAATTGTCTGTATTGTTACGGCAAGTCGCTTCATAACGTAGGGTTCCCCAAGTTATTAATTCTTGTCTGACATGGTGGACTGCGCCGGTTGACAGATTCTCACAGGACTCTCGCATCATCGATGATGTCTCCAGCGTTGCTACAAATAAAGAATGACTTTGAAAACACTAGCCAGACTGTCATAACATTGACTCTCTCAATATATGTGAGCTGAAAATATATTTTGATTTGCGCAAATTGCGAGTTCTGACTTCATCAAGATGCTAGGGTATGCTATTGGGCCCCTGATATTTGCACCACTTTCGGAGATATATGGTCGCAGTCAAATTTATCATATTGGAAATATTTTCTACACACTTTTCTCGGTGGGATGTGCTCTTGCGCCTAATATACCAGCTCTATTGATTTTCCGACTTTTGGCTGGTTTCGTGGGAGGAGTGCCAGTCACAAATGCAGGTGGAACCATAGCGGATATGATCCCTCGCCACCAACGTGGGTTGTAAGTTTGCACTATGGCTCATGAGACTGCCACTTCCGAAGAACTATTTTGACACCTGCCGCGCCTGGCTCTATTTAGAATATCGAGTATCTCGAATGCAACGATTCTTCTCGCTCCTACCATCGCCCCTGCTGGAGGTGGATTCTTGTCAGAATCTCAAGGATGGCGGTGGGTCTTTTGGTTAATGACAATCATGGTACGTACTTCTCTATCTAGAAATTTCTCCAGACCACTTTTGCATGTGGAAAGTAATAAATGAGAAGGAATCGACAAGGTTCGCCAGAAGTCAAAGCTAACATCTGAATAGAGTGGACTAGTAACTGCTGCGAGCTTTTTGATTCTCGAGGAGACATACAGCCCTGTCTTATTGCAAAGAAAGGCTACTTTGATGCAGAAAGAAACCGGCAACGCGATTTATGTGCCCCGTAACCCGGAAATTCCGTTGGCAGGGAAAGTTTGGCAAGCCATGAGAAGACCTATTGTCTTGCTTGGCACAAATCCTATTGTCATAATAGCTTCCATCTACCTTGCAATTGTTTATGGGGTTACCTATCTACTCTTCACGTCGATCCCTGAAGTATTTCGCAACTCATACCACTGGAGTGAAGGCAGCCTTGGCCTTGCTACCCTGGGTATTGGGGTTGGATCACTGATATCACTTTTCCTTACTGGAAGATATAGTGACCGTCTTTTACTTCAACGACAGCAGAAGATGGGTGATGATCATGGACTATCAGAGTCAGTTCCTCACAAGAAACCTTTCCCGGGAATCTTCATGCTGACACTAGCCCAAGGACTCGCCTTCTTTTTCTTTTCCCAGCAGCAGTATGCCTTCCGACAGGTCTCATTCTTTATGGTTGGACGGCACAATATCAGACTCACTGGATTCTACCCATTATCGGTACCATGATATTCGGAATGGGTATGCTTTTCTCATTTGTAAGTTCGCTACTGAAGGGAAACCTTTGTCCGCAACCTGGCTCGAATTAATCCTCATCTGAGAGTTTATTTATTGAGAATATCTCTCTTATCGTTGGGCCTAGCTAACTCCATTTCTAGAACAGCATCAGTACCTACTTAGTAGATGTTTTCTCCAAGTATGCCGCGAGCGCCTTGGCAGCAGTAAGCCTTGTTCGCTGTATTGCGGGTGGCTTAGTTCCATTGAGTGGCCCCGACCTCTATGAGCGGATGGGATATGGTTGGGGGAATACTTTGCTTGGCATCTTAGCGGCCCTTTGTGGGGCCGGTACGCTGAGTTTGTGGTGGGTTGGTGAAAGGCTGAGACACAAGTATTCGAATGATTGTTTGAAATAGACACCTGGGCACATACTAGCATACTCCACAAGCAGGAGGTTAACGTTGTCTGCTGCCCAGGTGCCCAGGTGCTACACACTGGGCAGCTGTTCATATGACACACAGTCACCTGGGCACCTGATGCTCTCTCTCCTAGGTATACAGTCTGCTTAGGATTCTAGATAGCAATATACACACTCTTGCATCCCCATTTCCCCCCTAGTACTATTGCCCCCACGCACACCAGCGCTGTGGAAATTATATCCGACTTGATGCTCTTGCGTTGTCAGACCTTACTTTGGATAGAATACATGATTCATAAAAGCAAGGGATCTATTGTTATGCAAAGGAGAGAAAACTCAACGAAATACCCAGGTGGTGCCCTCAGGGTTCCAAGGTTTCGTTTAGTTCAGGCCTCACGTACCATCACCGGAAGCCTAACTCTCATTTTCCCGCAAGCTTCGTATTTGCCGTTGGCTTTGGGGTGACGACCTAGGCTGTCATACCAGCTCTCATTGTGCGGGAATTTTGCAAAATATAATAGCCAGTAACAAAGGAGTCGAGGTATGTATCAAGCCCAGGAGTTATTGTGCTAGTGTTCAATCTCGATGTTGGTGAGGGTCGAACGAAATTTCTATCCTGATTTCTCGTCCAGGATCATCCTCCCCCAAGCCAGTTTAAATACCGACCATTGCAGTCTTCTATTGAGGAACATGGTCGTTGCTTCTTGTAACATCTGCCTGCGTGGCTAGTATGACGCGAACTCCCTATCCCACAGGACCTACGAATTAGTGGCCAGGGAGGAGGTTGAAGTCAATCTGTGGGTATGAAGATGTGATTTTGGATGGGGTGGATACGATAGCCGGGAATGATGTTATATAGTGTATTATGAGTAGTATTGTAGCAAAGTAGTATACTCCAATTTCTGATATCAAGATCACGATATTACAGTTTCCCAGGCAAAGAAAGTTCGAATAACAGATGGTAACCTGATACAAAAATATCAAGGCATAGAGAAGAGATCGAGGGACAGCTAGCCAACAAAGAATATAATCCGGGAAGTTCTAAGGTAACCTGGTTGTCTAATGCGGAGGTATTAACAACATTGTAAGTCCGTTACACACGATATGATTTCCCCCTCAGCCATAATCAGGCACCGAGCCATGCTTTCCCCGTTACAGCGTCATACCTAGGTAATGATTTACCTGACCACTGAAACTAGCAACACCGCTTCCCGCCATGCCACTGTCCACTTACTGTACCTATGTATTCCTAGAGAGGTTAGAATTTCGGATAAGACTCAAGTGATGGACCAACTTTCAAGGGCAGTAATTACTCACGTAATGAACAATAGACCAAGCGCTTCTGTAACAATCATTGCAACCGATACAGTCGTCTTGTGTTGGCCTACTGGGTGTTTCAATCTTAATTCCCAGCCCCGTTGATTGCGCCAGCACAGACACCAAGGATGCAACCTTTCTCTGAACAGCAAGATGAATCGCGCAGACAGAAAGAACCGTTGACCTTGCACTGTCCCTTCCCACAATAGGTATCACCAGAGCCTTCGGCAGTGAGGCACTCCAGCCCTTTATTACAATGGTTGTCATGCTTGCAGTCAGCCCCGGCCTCGCCGGCGGTGCCAGATTCACATTGCTTCTCTCCAAAAACATATTTGCAAATCAGACCATCGTTGCACTCGTTGCTTCCTGAGCATTTGCTGTATTTGGTCCCTGTAGGGTACTTGCAATTTCCTTGTAGGCATTGCCCCACGCGGCACTGCCAGTCTGCCTGGCAGCTATCATCCAGATAGCTATACTCAACACAAGTGCCTTCCGGACTGCAGTTATAGCCATGGCAGTCTTCATAAGAATCATTTCCTGGGGAAGTAGTGCAAGTCTTCCCAAGAGCCGAGGAGCAGATGCTGTCGGAACAAAATTGTGATTCACAATCATAGTCCTTGGCGCACACTTTGCCATTCTTCAATGGCGTACATTGGCCTCTCATACATTCGCTGGACTGGCACTCATCATCAATGTAGCACCTTGCCTCAATGTCTTTGTGCCGGCATATGAAGTCGAGACAAATGCCAGAGGCACATTTCTCGTTGTCGAAGCATGGATCCCCCGCTGCCTGTAAGGAATCGTCACGCCGAGCGACAGAAGCCGATGCTGAAGATGATGGTGATGAGACCACGGATTTGACGAAAAGGGAAGTTATGAGACAGAGAGAGAGACGCATGATGAGGACTGGATAGTTAGCATGAGCCCGAAGTTGCTCTAGTAAGGGAAGACATACATACAGCCTGAAGTGTTTTCTTTGTGTTAGTTTTAGCAAAGTCTGCTTCAAGGTTGGGCTGGATTTGTGACATCGGAGGAAAAGGCAGAGGTTTTGTATCCAGCAGTGGATCTACTGTCGATCAGTGCCCGGTTGTGCCTTTCCTCAGCTGAGCCCAGATCGGCGCCGCTATTTGAAACCATTGATCGCGATCGGTGGAGAATCGGTACTGTGGGGACTTGTCAAATTGTGTCATATTAACCTAGCCACGAGCCTGAGTCATGGTCAGGTGTATGAAATTTCAGCGTAAAGGAGTATTGCCAACACAGAAAACAAGGTATCTATTGAACTTTTCGCACATGCGATGAGGTCCGAAGCTATTACAGTGAATAGGTTATGAGTGTTGAGGCCCCCAGGCCTGGGACATCCAGGGTGCGGCGCCCCACACCTCCCGATGCCTTTGTCATTTAACTAACTAGTGTGGTATTTTACCACTAAGAATCGACTGAATCAGCGACTGCCTACTCCCCTATCTGTTTTGTATGGTAAACTGGGTCAACTCGGAATACCCGCGTTATAACTCGCTAATACTAGCCTTTATGTATTAAGACGCTGTAATAGTTACTAGGTTGTCAGGCTAGAGACCTGTGACTAGGCAAGGATATCGCATAGTAGAGATCAGATTGGACAGTCGGTACATAGACTGATTCTTGAAGAGATTAAGAATTCTAGAAGCTTGTGGGGTCTAATAATACCAGGGCTTGGGTGGATATTAATATACAGGCAGCTCGAAGGGGATTCGGCCCTGAATCGGCCTCGAAAGTCTGGGGTGTTGTATACTTGAATCCCGTGACAGTTTTCTTCTATCACTGTTTTAGAGTCATGTATTCAGAAGCACATCCTTTCTAATTGGTTCATGTATCCGTTTTGTAGTTAATTCGATGCCAAAAGCTATTACTCTAAGAGTTATATCTTCATAACCAGAGAGCCTGAGGTCAGGCTTGATTGGAAGGGGAAATAAATGTCACGGAATATGTGTTAAAGAGGGTGAGCTTTGATTAGAAGCAATTACCCTGCTTTGTCGGTCAGTCCTTTGGTTATTCGATCTTGTTCCAGCTACGCCATGATAGCGAATCGTACCTAATTCACGTGATGGTAGGGATGAATGACTTGACATAATACCCCTTTGTTCTTGAAGTTTTCTGTCACGGGATTCGGAGTATACAACACCTCAGGTATTCGACATCGATCCGAGGCCGAATCCCCTTCGAGCCACCTGCATATCGAGATCCACCCGAACCCTAGTGTATTTAAGATCCCACAAGCATTTATGATTCTTGATCTCTTCAAGAATCAGTCTCTGTGTATCAACTGTCTAATTTGATCTCTACTGTCTGATATCATTGAAGACACGCACATCTAGATGAAGGATGATCAAGGTCATCCCAGAATTTGCAACGAGGTTTCTCGGCATCCGAAAGAAAGTCACGGATATTCCAGTAGTACCAGATGTAAGAAAGACTAAAATTTTCCACAAATCTCTCTGCATCCAGAACATAGAAATCACTAGAGTGGTCATAGTCAATACTCAGCCGTCCAATATGAACACTTATCTCTTTCAACATTTCCGCAACGAGGAGCGGTGGGTATCTACGATGCTCTAAACAGCGACGTAATTTTCCAGTCTTGCGTCCAATTTTAGCACAGCGCCCTCGAAAATAGCATGGTGCATCACTACGGCTGAAGTCGGCTTCTTCTTGGCCAAGTTCTATGAGAATGCGTAGCCGGTTCTTGATGTCTCGTAGGAAGTCTAATACGGGCTGTTGATCGCATGGGTCTTCTTCCAGATTTTGGGCTTGGATAAAGAGTTCGATGGCTAGGTGCTTTCGGAAATGGGCGAATTGATCTACTTGGAAGCTACGGGGGAGTCACCAGAGAAATGGGAGAATTGACGGTCAATTCTGAGATAATCAGCTAAATGAGGGGTAGCACGTCAGTTGACGTGGGAAACCCACAAAAGCAACAAAATAAAAACGAAATGAACAGAAAAAGTAGGCTTACAGAGCGCATGGGCCCTCCGTGTCCTGGCAAGTGGCGCAGTCCCGTCCTGTGGACTCCAGAAGTTTCCAAAGAAGGTACGGCTCCGACTGGAGCAGACCAGAATAACCATCCTCCCTGGTGGAAGGTCGATAGACCTCAGTTATCCGCAGAGCCATGTAGTCCGCGCCAACTGTGGGATGACCACACCTATCAGTACTAAAGGTCAGCCTGTGTAAGTGCATATGAATCTGCTCAAAAATAAGAGCAGCCTCTTCGGCATTGATAGTAGTTTCCCGGAGATTGGTACGTAGAAGAACAACAACCCCTATCAGGCGGTTAATACGCTCTGTGAAGCAGGCCGGGATATAACACTCGCTGGATTGGGCATCTTGCTCCCCCTTTGTCTGCAACAGACGGAGAATATATGGAGCCTGATCCAGGAATCCCGTAACCAAGTCCACTCGGGAATGTACAAGGCCAGCGTGACGGGCAGATTCGAGAAGCAGGTAATCCTTCTGGTCTGTAAACTGGTTGCCTGTAGACCCAGGAGATGTAGGCCGAGACGGCACTGAGACGTGTACGTGTACTGGTATGACTGGCATGATGGTATATGTATAGTACTAGTAGTATATGTATGTGCGAATATATGTGTAGGTGGAGGTGTATGTAGGTGTGAGTGTGTAGTGTATGCGAAGTCTAGAGTAAGACGTACCTATGCTTGATCGAGTGTGATACCGGAATGTTGATGTAGAATAGCTGCGTGGAAGTGAATGGTTGATAATAGCTGGAAGACCGTTGAAATGCCGGCTCTTTTATAAATAGATCGCGGCGGTATGTGGACTTTAAATTGTTTATTCAAAGAGGATACTTGCACCATTGTTATCTTTGTTCGAGAGTGAGACTCGCATGCAGACAAAGATGGATTGTCTCGGGACAAGGACAAAACAAAGGATGGACTACAAAGGAGAGTGACGACAATAAAGGGAATCGATGTTCATGCTTATCATGGGCTTTGAGACAACAATGATAATTGAATATTTCAATTGTGAGACGCTCTATCTGTGAAACCGGCTCAGTAGACCTGCATAGGCTATTTAGGCTTACCGCCGTAGAGGCCGCCTGCAAGATCAACGTCGCAGAATTACTACTATTTTGCATACAATTTCGACTGAAGCTATACCAAGCCTGTCAATAATGTAAGCACGTTGCCCTTTCACATTGCGGAAGCTTTTGATCCTTAGAGATCAGTTACTTACTTGCTATCAATGACTTAGTCTGCTAAGGATATGGCTGGGTGATACCTAGCGGGATGATCATTATTTTGACTGCTTTTATAGAGTTCTTGAGATTTTACAAAGTATACGAATCTAGTAGTATTTATATAATATAACTACTATATAAAGAAAACTAGTATAGCATTGAGTATGGAGACAGATATCAGTCGATTACTATCCTAAGCAGTACATTCGCAACAAAGAACACAGAAAAACAGAAAGTCAATGAACAGTAAGGTAGGCTTCCACATCAGATGTGTCTGCCAAGTACACGTCGCAACAAAAAAGCAAAACGAAACACAAAGGAAAAATTAACAAACCAGACTCAGGCCTCGGATTTGTCTGCCAAGCACGTAATGCAATGGCAATGAGGCAATGGGGCGCTCAAGATGTTCCAAGCAATGAAGGTCTCAGACTCACGCTGACTCGCGCTGGTAGGGGATCCATACATATTAGCCATCTGTCTAGCAATGAACTGCGTGCTCTGGTTCTGAACCCGCGCGTCAGCTCTAATCGCCATCCTGTTGACGTGAATATACAGCATGGAAAGAATGATAGCAGCTTCATCGTTCTCCAGAGCACGGTGCTTAAGGTTACTTTTCAAGCGGCGAGAAACCTTCTCCACGCGCGTAGCCCGCTCTGTAAAGCAAGGGGGAAGATTGACAAGTTTATTATACCAACCCTCGTTCTGACCCCAACGCAGCAATGAATGTAGCTCCCCCCGGAAGGGCCAACGCAAAATATACAGCCTTCGCTGGACAGTCAGAAAATTCACGAGAGTACTTCTGAAGATTGACGACGATGTCATCCCGAAGATCCTCCCAACTCTCATGATCCTGATTAATAAAAATACGGATGGCCATGGTGTGTGTAGATATATATGTGGGTGTATATATATGCGTATATGCGTATATGCGTATATGCAAGTGTGCGTGGTGTGTGGTATATGCGATACTATACTAGTAGCAGGACGTACCGATGCGTGAGTGTGTGATAGTATGGTGGAGTCGCTAGAGGAAATGTGTATAGCCGTGAGAGAATGTGGATAGTATATTGAAGCTGTAGAGTGGATGTGTGAGAGTGACTGGTTTCTGTTATCTTGGAAATCTTGGAGCTTTTATAGACAACTGGCAGATAGAGGTGGAGTTGTAACTATTGACTTAGACAAGGAAATATCGTGGCCATTGTTCGAGTCTGAAAGTCGGGTCCCAAGATTCCCACAAAGCCGATGGGCATTGTTGAGATCAAGGAGTGGAGTACCCATGGCTCGATTGTTTCGAGACAGTTAGAAACAAAGCATAGAGGACAAAGTTAAGAGATGCTAAAAGAGGAGAAATACTAAAAAAGGGAAGTGAAGCTAAAGAAAGAGAAGGGTGCTGAAACAAGAGTTCAATGTCAGTTAGCTGTGGCCTTTGAGGCAACAAGGAAAATTTAGTACTCGATATCCATGATTCATCTGGAGAAGTTCAAGTTGCTGTGCTGTCTTTGGATCAGAGTAATGGAAATCTAGAAAGTGTTTGTTCTACCTGGGAATACCAATGTAAAAATGTCGAGAGAATCAAACGGATATTATTTAGAGTAGTTATAGGTAACTAAAGTAATTGAGCATCATATCCTGCTACAGCAACAATGCTCATCTCCCCATGACCCCCTTTTGCCGCAGCATCAAGAAAGTCCTGCACGGTCAGGGCAAGTCCCTTTTCGCTGAGCAAGTCTGCCTCTTTCAGAGTTCCTCGAAGAAGAGGACCATTCAGGCCTCCATTCAACTCCCACACCTGTCCATCCTTTTGAACAAAGCCAACAAAATGATGATGATTATCATCGGCGGGAGAAGGGGGATTTGATGACCCCCCTAGAAGCAGCCTCCATATGCGCATCTTCCAAGAACTTCGAGTTGTAAAGCAAGTCCGCCCTATCAGCTGGCCCCAATTCAATCGCCCGTGTTCGGAGTTTATCCAGTTCGGAGTCGGGGGCAACATAGAGTCCACCTTCGTAGTTGAAGAGACAGTGTAGAAGGGCCATAAGTCCACAGGCATGGCCGATAGTTTGTTTCATCCAGACGACCGGCTCATCGGGGCCAGAGCCCTGATATTCGGGGATCGTCGGTTCTATGGCGGAACGAGCCGCATTGTAGATCGGGTCATGGGCGAGGACTACGAGAGCATGGATAGGACGGGGAATCCACTCGAGCATCTCTGGCGATGTAGAAATAACATCGTGGAAGCTCAAGCCGGGTGCGACTCCGAGATTCTCGCAGAGGTGGGCGAGTACATCTGGGTTGTTCTCTGTCTCACTCTCATCAGATGAGTTCCAAAGTTATTCTCTTTGTTCCTGTCCTGTCCCTAGGAGCGACAAACCAAGAGGGATGAACGTCTTGCAGCCGTTCACGAATTGCGCCGAGGGGGCCATACTGAGACTATCAACTTGATAAACGTCACGGTGTCATGAAGATCAAGATCAAGATCAAGTTGAAGTTAAAGATGAAGTTGAAGTGGGGAGAAAGCGGAGAAGCGGCGGAGGCTGAAAAGTCTTGGCATGGAAGTCTTGGCAGTCACGAGTCACTCACGTGCAACTTCAACTTAACTTCATTCCAACTTCTACAAACTGTTGTTCTTTTGTTCACTTGTTATTGTATACATTGGAGAGCATGGATGGCAGCATTGCCATGGAAAAACGGTTTAACTCCCTCGACTCTTTGTCACCAACATGGCTGCGAGGTATATATCTGCATGATTGAACCTATCCCCCAGATTGGGAGCCAATTAACTAGGCCAGCCAAGCTCACTCAGAAAAGCTTCCTGGCACAGTCCCGACATAAAACGACAAACCAGACCTTTTCATGAATCGGAATGACCCGAAAACCGGTTCCCAATGGTTGGTGGACACTGCTAACCTCAGGGTCCTCAAACTGCCGAAGCAAGCGAGGGTCCATCCGACCCAATCAATCCTCCCTCCGAGGTCAGCAAAAAGGACAGATCCACTCTCCTCAGCCCTATTGACCTGCAAGTATGCGTGTCAGGAACAGAAATGCTGTTGTTGGTGTGTCAGTCAGCCCTACAGGATCCATTGCGGACCTTTCGGGGAATTGCAAACCAGGCAGCAGCCGCAACACCTGTGGACGTCAGGGTGATGCGATAATCCCACTCACTCATTCCACTCACTCGCACGAACCCAAGGTACTCACGAACAGAATTATAAAATGCGTTCTAGCTTTGCTGTCCAACACCCTTTCATACTTTCCATCCTCATCCACATCATCCTGATTCATTCACCTCTGGCAAACCGGGACAATGTCTTCCTTTGATCCCACCAGGGTCAACCTGGATATGGACAACGAGGAGGATGTTCTTTGCTACTTGGCGACCTCCGATAACGACTACAATGGCCACCTTGGTGCGCGCATCTCATCCATATTCGTGATTCTCTTCGTCTCCTCGGCCTTCACCGTCTTTCCCGTCATGTCGAAGCGCTTTCCCGGATGGAAAATCTCCCACGGAGTGTACATCTTCGCCCGATACTTCGGTACTGGTGTTATCGTGGCAACCGCTTTCATCCATCTCCTTGACCCAGCCTACAAACGAATCGGGCCCAAGACATGCGTCGGTCAATCGGGATATTGGGCTGAATATTCCTGGTGCGCAGCGATAGTGCTGGCCTCGATTATGGTGATATTCCTACTAGACCTGGCCGCAGAAGTCTACGTCGAACAGAAGTATGGAGTGCACAAGGATGAGTCCGCTACCGATGTCTTCATCTCCCACGAACAACACCTGGACGTCGAACCCGCGCCCGACGCAGAAAAGAACCCGCAACCTCGCAACGCCCAGCAGAAGCGCGATGATACATGGGACTCGGGTGCAGATTCAGACGGCAGCTTAGAAAGTGCCGAGCGATCATTCCGCCAACAAATTACCGCTTTCCTCCTTCTCGAATTCGGAATCATCTTCCACTCCGTGATCATAGGGTTGAATCTCGGCGTCACCGGTTCCGAATTCGCAACACTCTACCCAGTCCTTGTCTTCCACCAATCCTTCGAAGGTCTCGGTATCGGCGCTCGGATGTCCGCAATCCCCTTCGGAAACCATATATGGTTGCCCTGGATTTTGTGTGCAGCATATGGACTTACGACCCCGATCTCGATCGCGATCGGTCTGGGTGTTCGAACTACATATGAGCCTGGCTCGAAGGTGTCGCTGATTATTCAGGGTGTTCTGAATGCTGTATCGGCGGGTATCCTGATTTACAGTGGTCTTGTCGAGTTGCTGGCGAGGGATTTCCTGTTCGATCCTTGTCGGACCAAGCGTCGGTCTCGGTTGTTGTTTATGGTATGCTGTACCCTCCTCGGAGCGGGAATTATGTCTTTGATTGGGAAGTGGGCTTGATTGTCTACGAGTGATAGGCATACCCGGAAAGATTTTTGTGGTGCCTATTGACGCTGTAACAGCCGAGTCCAAATGAAGGGGATCAAGAGTCAAAAGCGTAGCATTCAACGAAATACTAAGTAATGGAGAGGGAAAAAAGAAAAAAAGACAAAGGAATCACCTGAATGCTCGCTCGGCGGTATGCCTGAGGCAGTAACCATTGCCGTGTGTTACAGACGTTGCCCAATATTGTACAGTGGATGGCTTCATCCGAGAGAAAAGTGGTTTTACAGTACAAATTAGTAAAAAGCTAATACGAAAAACTTATCAAAACGAAGCAAGTTTGTATTCCAGTCCGATGGCGGTAATACGGAACAAAGGATGAAGAAAAATGGGAATTCCAATTCTTTAGATAGACAATCCATATGATGATATTCTTCTAATGCTAGACCAAGCTCCTTTCCTGACCTTTCGCCGGAATCAAATATTTGACAGATCAAGACGAAGAAGCCTGCTCCTGTTCTTCATCGGCTGTGAGTGAGCTGACAGCTTTGGGTATCCTGCCCCAGATAATCAGAATTATCAAGCTAGCACCAGCAATACCGACTCCGAACCAGAATGTCGCTTTGTAGCTTTGTTCCAACCCCCTATCCTTGACCATGTCCGACTGAATAATATCTGTTAAACCGAGGACTAAGGCGACGCCAAGCTGCAGAACGGAATTTAAAACACCCCCTGCCAGACCCTGCTGCGAAGATGGGACGACTGTCGTAATGAAAACTGTCATCAAGATAGTAGACAGGTCGATGCCAATAGTGCTGAGAATGGCCGATGGAAAGATCCATGCCCAATAGCTTCCTCCTCCAGGTGGAATAAGAGCGAGGAGAAGTTGCGATCCAACGGCGGCTAAGCCAGAGATTATCATAAGGACATGGCCAGGGATGAGATGTAAGATGTACCCTTCAATGATGCTGACGACAAGTCCAACGACGCCAATGGGTATGTACCACACGACGACCTGAAGTGGCGACGCTGACAAGACATTCTGGAAAAAGAGTGACCCATTGACGGAGAAAATACCCCAGGTACCGTAGAGTAGTAGAAGGGCAATGAGTAAAGGTGTCATTGATTTCACCGCGAAGAGTGATGCGGGCAAAAGCGGATCCGAGGCAACATTCCTTTCAACATACCACATTCCGGCAAGGAACATGATGCCTAGGAGGAAAATTACCAGGACATATGGTGTTTTCCATCCCGAGGAAGCATGTGCCGATTCAGTGATCGAAAAAATCGTAAGAACGAGGCCGCATACGATACAAATCGCGCCGAGATAGTCCATCTTCACTTTCTTCCTGGAGTCATTCGCCAAAGCCGAGTATGGCATAGCAAGAATTGATGCAGTGAGCGTTATCGCTGCAAGAGCAGCACCAATCCAAAAGTAATAACTCCAATGTAGGAATTGACCCACGAGCCCTGCAATGGCAATGCCACCAAAGAAGCCAAGAACGCCCGCGGTGCCATAAATCGCAAACACAAGATTTTTACGCGGCCCAGGCCGGTAAAGAGAGCCTATAATCATGACTCCGGTCGGTAGAAACGCAGCAGCGCCGAGACCCTGAAGTGCTCGACAAATATCTAACATGACAGGGCTAGAACTGAATCCTGCGATCAGACTCCATATAGCAAGCCACGCAAGGCCAGCGAAAAAGACAGGGTATCCTCCCCACATATCACCAAGACGACCAAATATGAGCAAAGTGCTTGAAATGACAAGTGAAAAGGCAGTCGCGGGCCATACACGTGAAGCTTGGGGAATCTCCAACTCTCGGGCAAGCGGTGGCAAGATGACCGTGAATCCTGAGACGAAAAACTCGGTCAAGAATTGTGACATGATTATGCCAAATAAGCAAAAGATTTCAGTCCACAGATTGGAGAATGCCGATGGGCGTTCGCGTCCAAGACGCTCAATCCGAGCAGATGGTGATTCATCTTCTGGAATTGCCGGCACGTTGAAACGAGATGTGCTTTTCGACGGCGTTTCGAACGCCCCGTGGGGATTTTCGAGGACCATGTTGTGAATTTTCAATATCTCTGTATCTTGGAGGGCGCCGAATATGCTCGTAAGATAGGCAAATAAGGCACCAGGTATGCCGGTGATATTAACTGCCACGGTCCTCAGCGCTCAAAAATCCAAGACGTGATGGAGAGATAGAGCGGCCGGAGAGCAAGTTAATCGCAACGATTGAAGTTACCAAGACTGAAGTCAATAGCTTTTGGATAACATGGTTTGAAAATGAAAAGAATTATGGAAAAGAGTTTTCGTGTCGGAAATCACTAACTGTTGCTCCGTTTCCCTGATTCAAATTCATAGTTTGATCAAGCCTTAATTGTATGGGGCCCGAGGACCATTATGATTCGTTCAACCTTGAATGGACTCCCCACTGAACTTTTCCAAATGAGGCTGCCAAGACACTAGCCCCGGAGATTTTAGAGTTTCCATTGGCTCACTCACAATGCTCGAACTGATGTAGTGAGCTCATTGTTCGATGTGGTTCCAAGGCGACAAGACACTTTATAAGCACAGCGTAAATTGCCTAATGATGAATCATACGTGAAGAAGAAATACCCCTCGCTAGAGTTTTCAGTACGTGATCAAGCCATAAAGGCTGGCGTACTCGATTGACAGGGGAACCCAAAAATCAAACATCCTAATTTCATGATAATAAAATGCAAAACATGAAGAAAAATACGGTGTGACTGGATTCGAATTTAGTGGATTATTCTCTAAGCAGTGCTACAACGTTGTAGAGTGGGTATTAAGCGATACCGGAGAGTACAGGTTGGAACGGGAGCGATGGTGATCAAGAAACAATGAAGATGTTTTAAGCTGATGTATAACCAATGGATATCATTCTAACCAAGCGAGCGAGTTCCCCCGCTTGAAAACATGACCTCTCTCGATGTAAGCGAGCTTCAAGTTGGCGCGAATGTGGATGGCGTTCTTGAAGGTTCCGATGTAGACGGTTATTCCAGATTCTCCTTTTGTGTGACACGATATGCTGTGTAGGACGGGATAGCCAAGGATTCTTTGAAACGCTTGAAAAGTTATCCAGGTTCACCGACTGCAAGATAAGCCCATACACCAAGCCGAGACTTCATAGACCCACTGGGCGTATTGGTAGGTTCGTGGAACCCAAGAGGACTTGGCTCAGGCGCGATGCTTTTCGACTCCTCATTCTTCACTTGGCCTGTATTTCTTTGCTGTACCAGAATTCAAAATATCTCGGCTGGCGCGAAATTATTGACTTCGGAATGCTAAATGCCATTTCTCGGAATTCCTTTCGACACATCTGACGTGCCATATCCAACCATTCACACCCAAACGGTGTCCTGGACTGCATAATGATCGCTCGTAGCTCCCATAATCGAAGCAGATTTGACGATAGGATTCACCATGGTCATGACGACGCGGAAAATAGACTACTGGAGCCGTCTTCAAAATAGCCTTGGCGTCGATGCTGGGAATATTCCTCACCGAGAGCGAATTCTGTATATCCGCAAGCATTGGATAGGCTGAGGAAACCACCACGACTAACCAACCCTGAAGACCCCGAATACCCCGATACTTACAAGAGAGATAGGCTTTCTTAACATTGAAATTCCGGATCAAGAACAAGGGACCGTATGCTGGTAGAAAGCACCCCCTCGGGACCGGGGCTTAGCAAAATTTGTTTCGCACCCGCGCGGGACTAGGAAGTCCCAGAATTAGACCAACACAGTCACGATCGGGCTTGTGATAAATCGTTAGTATATTAATTCCCTACCTGATTCACGAACGTCATACTTCGTCAGAGCTATTTGAGCCCGTGTTCACAGTGATTTCCGGCTCTTCCTGTCAATGGGCCTCTGCGCTTGCTTCCTCCAGGAAAACACGTTGAACTTCTCGAACATATGGAACGAGGAAAGGTTCGAAGCTCGGGAAGAATGTAGCGGAGCTACAACGGTCAGATCCTTTGGATAGGAAATTGAATCTGGGCTAGCAGCTGCAGAAAAGAGGTGAATGGAACCCCAAGCCTCGTGGAGTGAAACTGCGTCGAAGTGTAGAATTCTAGTCAACTTCGTACCTTCCACTTTTGAAATACAGTTTCCTGGGTTTGCAACGAATGGAAAGTAATTCTTGTTCCGTTCTAGTGGGCTTGCAGTGATTCGGAAGATAAATCGATGGAAAACGGCGACGCGGTCCGGAAGATAGTCTCAAGCATGGGCGACCCCGCGGTGTTGATTAATATCGGAGCTGAGTGGCTGGAGGATATGGCAGTTGCAACAGATGCAACAGCAATCTCATAATCGCAGTATTGAATGCATCTCGCACCTCCGACATGAGGTGTCGTAACCATGGGGAGATTTGGCTAGTCTTGAAGAGAAGCGGAATTGGCCCCGGGATATCCGGAGTGGAGGAGTGCACTCGGTCACTCTCGGTGGTCCCAAAGGACGACACCGGTGTTGGAGACTGTGGGGATCCCATGATGCTAGTTGTAGAGGCCCGATTTGGGCTCGGGGAGGAGTTGAGTGGCGGAGGTAGGAGAGGTAGTGATAGATTGCCTGCGAGACAGCCCACCTCGGTGGGTGGTGAGTTAGCCAATATTTTGCGCGCGGACGGAAGCCAGAATTTAAGGAATGTCAGTCAGATGGAGTTCTTCTTACCAGGAGAGAGCGTTGAAAGTGAGTTTAAGGTAGTTCGACCCCGGCACGAGTTTTTCGTCCGGTTGTGATTCAAACTCGACGCACTTTATAGTGCGGTCCACTTAGCACTGCTCTGAAGGCAGGCAAGGGACGAATGTGAGGGAATATAGGAGTATAAGAAGAGATATCAACATGTAAAACTTCCTCGAGGTGAGATGGGGAGGTGGATGAGAGGAAGTGTTGAAGAGGAAATGATAGAAGAAGGAAGAAGGAAGGTTGCCAGTGGGTTGTCGTTGTTTACTTTTTGCGGAGTGCAAGTCTGTCATTCACGGCAGGCACCACCCACAGTGAATGGTGAATGTGGTGAATGTGGCAGGTGCGGATCTTGGAACGGGCCTGCCTGGCCTCGATTGCTTAATAAACAGAAGTATAATATAACTCTCTGGTATGCCTACCCTAGGTAGTACACAATATCAATGGTTTGATCAATGGGATACCAATAGAATAGGAGAAACAATGGCAAGGCTTCTCCCAGACATAACTGAAGTACGAATCAACCAGCCATCACCTGAGTCAAGTCAGTTATCCCGTCCCTCGTTATATACTATTGGAGAAATATCAAATTGGAAAAGAATACACTTCATCTTGCATTTACATACGCTCCTAGGATGCCTTAAAAATCGGCATGATGACCTGGAAAGGGAATGCTGTTGCACAGAGCCGTCGCATGGGGGACATGCACTTATTAAACTGTGCTGCCATTCTTCCTCCGTGTGAAAATAAGGTTGAGTGACCCAGTCACCAAGGTAAAAGTATCCTTCTTGGCCTCTATGAAAGCAGACTCCGTCTGTCCCGGAGCAAAAGACACATCATATTTCGTGAAGACTTCGGCCGCGACACTACGAAGCTCCATCAGAGCAAGTTGTTTCCCGACGCAAGCATACGGCCCTAAAGAATGTATTCAGAAAGGAAGATCACCACGGAATACAGGTGCATTGGCAAGGTAGTGGTCCGCCCTGTGATGACATACCGGCATTAAAAGGAATAAAGGCAGCCGGATCTTTAACCAACCCTGGCTGTGTGGTCCACCTCTCAGGCAGGAATTCCTGAGGCCGCTCGAAGACGCGGTCATCTGAGAGTGTCAAAAAAGGGAAGTCGGAGCGCCGGAGAAGGAGAGATTTCTAACCTCGAAACATCGTATGTGATGGAATACAAACAATCACGTCTCCGGGAATATACCGATCGCCAATAGAAATACCCTCGGGAGGCGTCGTGCGTTGGGTTCCCGAAGGTACAGCCGGATGCAGACGCAGAGTTTCATTGATTATCGCATCCAGTAACTTGACACCAACCAAATTATCATGTTGCAGCGCCGGTAGTGCATCAAGTTCCGCCTGGAGCTCTTTCTGCAATGTAGGCTCGCTTGCAATATGGAAGAACATGTTGGTCAATGTTGCTGCAGTTGTATCACTACAAGACCAATGTTAGCAGGTGTCAGTCAACATGGGAATAACAGGTATAACTAGGGAAATAATTCTCACCTTCCAGCGACGATAATCAGGTAGGCATCACCATAGAGATTAGCTTGATTCTGCTTATTCTTCGGGCCACGTTGGAATGCATCAAGGATCCAAGAGAACACGTCCGGGCGATCTGGTGTGTTCTATTACAACTGGGTCAGCGATCTCCCGATAGTCATCCCGCCCAACGGATTACAGACCTTAATTCGATCATCGACTTGCTCGCCAATAAATTTCCAGAATCGAAGGTAGTCGGCATTCAACCCCGGAGTCCGCTTGAAGAACGGGAACAGCCATGTGAGATGGCTGAAAAGGCCCACGCTTTGCATATCTGTGTGCAATTGCTTCAAAATGTAGGCCTCCTTCCCATCAACCAGCATATTGAACGATTTGCCAAACGCAAGATCACCCATGATGTCAAAACTGTAATAATTGAACCAATCTGTCATGTTCATGGGCTTGCTGGAAGACTTTTCAATCGCGGCGATTAATTGGTCCGTATAGTGCGCAACGCGAGGTTCGTAATCTCGAAGTGCTAGAGTATTATTATGAGGTCAACAACGATCCAATACCCCTGAGAGCCAGAGCGATGGGGATGAATATATTTCCCTACCTTTGGAACTGAAGCCTTGATCCCAGACCTTCCTTCTCCGTGCGTGTTCTTTCTTATTTCGTTCCGTTTGAAGTGAAACTCTCGGTTCCAGGACTGTGTACCAAGGCCCCTTGCTCACCTTTGCTGTTCCACTATAGAGTGCTTTGACGGCCAGGGGGTCGGTGATTGACAACTCAGTAGGTCCTAGTAGAAGCAAAAGGTTCCGTTAAAAGCGCTTTCCTCTTGAGTAAAGTTAACAGTCTCAATGGTGGAAGCGTACATACCTAGACGAATGTAGTCACCATACTTTTGGTGGAGTTTCTCCACTTCATCATAGAGTTGGAATTTCCTCGCCGATAAACCCGTGACGTAGAAATTGGACAACTTGGCAAGAAACGGGCCAGGAAAACTTGACAGACGATGCCAAAATGCGCGATAAAATAACATGCTGAGATAAAGGCCCAGTAAATGAGATCCCAGAGCTTTGAATGCCCAATTAGTCGGCATAGCAACCTCCAAGACGCGGTCCGGCACGGCCATGCGCTCGAGCACGCATAGAATGGTGAAAAGTAATCCATAGCTCTGGACAAGTCTGAGTGATTTTACATCCCATTCGCCGTGGCGATAGAGGAGAAGGTGCGCTGTCGCGCCGCTGGCGAATGCACTGAGCGACCAGGTATCCATGGGGATCAATGGGATTGAATTGTTTTGCTGGGAGTTTTGAGCAACTCGGAAGAATGTTGACGGCGTTGGGAACTCCTTTATTTAGACAAATCACAGCGTGCGTAAACAAATCATACGACTGGGATCGACAGATGTCGAGCATCCGTTGATAGGATGGTAGAAAGCGGATGCGAGATGACACCCGTCAAACTTTGGAAAATGTGGAGCTACCCGTCCGATACCCCGCCTTTCTTCCCGAGGATTACCCGAGACGGGCACCAACTAGCGATTCTCCTAGCGGGAGACCAGGTTGCTTGTATTCTAGTGCCCAGTCAAAAGAAGGATATTAGGAGATGAACGGATTAATTGGGTATGGTGGGATAGAAAATCATTCTCTTCTTTTACGTTTCTTTACAAACGGTACCAATCTAGTTCTATCGGGAAACATAGACAAGGTGTATCTGGATTCACTTGAAGAGCTCACTGGCAATCTTACCATTACCGGATCTACCCTGGACACATTTCTTGTCCCAAAGATGATACGCCTGGGCCAGTTAAATGTCCTGAGCAATACGGATTTAAGCTCACTCAATTTTCCCGAGCTCGAATCCAATCAATATGATTTATCCATCACGAACTATTCAAACCTGTCAGCTGTTTCGTTCCCAATGCTTCATTCTGTGGACAGAGATGTAACCCTGGGAGGCTTGAAGTCGTAAGAGCCCATTATTGATCACCCTCCTGAAGTTAAGCCAACTATGCTGCAGTATATCCATTGAAAGTATCGAGAAAATAAACGGCTCCTTGAGTGTGAGTGGTCCGGACATCGATTGCAAAAGTCTCAAGAAAGCGGACTATACTAAAAGTACAGACGACTTCCACTGCGAATCCACCTCTACTCCTCGTTCAGGCTTGTCTACCGGAGGGAAAGTCGGAGTCAGCGTCGGGGTTTCATTGGGGGTGATGGGACTTCTAGGAGTTTCCTTGCTTTACAAGCGTAAGCGAAGATAGCAGAGTCGGAGGACACAAGGAGCTGGGTCCGAAAGCGACAGAATGGGTTTCTTGATCAATGAGCTTGATGAGAGTGGTTCGCAACTAGAGGCGCCAGGAACCAAATCTGAAATGGCCGCAGAATTACCGACAGAGGTCAAGACTCCCGGGTTACAAGCAGACAACGGGCAGGACATTGGGAGGGATAGGACGATTCAGAAGCCCACTGAGTTTGAGTGAAAGAGTTCGGATGGAAATTCCAATAGACGTAGCAGGATCTTAAAATCTGCACAATTGTTCGGAAGTTATTTTCTTGTATATTGAACTTTCGGATGTTGACTCTTCTGTGTCTTGACTAGGCATCGTCATCTACTCCCCGTAACCACTCAAGGTTAGAATGACACAGCAAAATATACTTGGAGTCGAATTATTGTTTCCTAATTTTCATTATCCTGTTCCCCTTGACTCCTTTCTGGCGAATTTCGTCGGAAAGGTACGATATGGGAGGCATGAGTACCCATGTGACTCAGGCACTAGAGACAACCTATTTAGCGAAAGCCCCACCATGTCCATCTTCTAGACTCGGCAGGGCAAAGATCATTCTCCATATCCATACTGTATGATAATATATTGATTTCTTCGAAAGGCAAACCGCTATGATTGGATGTCAGCATAACCCGTCCGACTCCGGCTCCGCGGGAGTTCCGTCGCCGATCATCGGACCACAACATAAAGTTATCAGATGATCTGATAACAGTCCTCACTTCCCCTGCACCTTCCAACTTCCACCATCTCCACCTCCACCAACGCAGCCATGTTGGCCCACCTTCTCCTCTTCACCAAAGTATTTGGTGTAGTCATCAGCCAAGCAGGAACTCATCTCCGAGCATTTATTTCATCCTTCATCCACCGCCGAACCTACAAACCAGGCTCCAACCCCAAAAACATCGTCGTCGTCGGCGCTTCTTTCGCCGGCTACAATGCTGCACGCTGCCTGGTGAACTCCATTCCTTCGGGGTATCGGGTTATTGTCATCGAAAAGAATAGCCATTTCCAATTCACCTGGGTTCTACCCCGCTTCTGCGTCGTCGAGGGTCACGACAAGAAGGCCTTCATCCCATATGGCCCATTCCTTCGCGCACCACCAGGTTCCCACTTATGGATCAAGGACACAGTCGAGGAAATTATCCCATCCGAGGATGGGAACCCCGGAGGAAAGATTCGCGTCTCTTCCGGCGAAAAATTCGACTTTGAGTATCTCGTCTTGGCGACTGGATCATCGGCCGCTCTACCGTCACGCGTTGGGCAGGAAGAGAAGAAGGCTGGGATGCAAGCACTTCGTGATCAACAAGAGAAGATTGGTGGCGCCCAGGATATCGTCGTGATAGGAGGAGGCCCTGCTGGCGTTGAGTTAGCCGCAGATGCAAAGGGACAATCCCCGAAAAAAATGTAACGCTTATCCACTCGCGCAAGACTCTTCTCCATGAGGGATTCGGAATCAAGATACATCACACTCTGAGCAAGGCCTTGCGAGATCTTGGAGTAAATCTAATTCTGGGAGAAAAGCCTACGGTTCCGACCGGTGTGACTGTCGGGGATATCCAGTTGAGCGATGGATCAGTTCACTTCGACTATTTGGTTTGTCCCCCTGCGGTGGAAATGAGGCCTGTCTTATTCCATTGGCCTTGCTATATGCTAATATATTAATTCAGATCAAATGTGTCGGTCAGAAACCAAACACAGCTCTAGCAAAGTTCGCAGCCCCCTACGCGTTCTCCAAGTCAGGACATATTCGCATCAAGCCTTCGCTGCAGATTGCCGATGACGAATATCCCCGGATCTACGCAGCTGGCGATGTGATTGACGCCGGAAGTCTCAAGAATGGTCGTTCCGCCATGCAACAGGGCCAGGTCGTTGCGCAGAATATCGTCCGAGCAATTCGGGGGAAGAGCCAGATCGAATACCAGCAGAAGTGGTGGGAGGGGCTGACGAAGTTGACCATGGGCCTTGTAAGGAGTTTTGAAGCAGGATCTATTTGACTTCTGATCGTTCACTAACCTTCCATTTTTTATTCATTAGACTAAGAGTGTTGCATACGTTACCGATGGGCGGGCAGAGTGGGTGATTCCAACAAAGTCGAAAATCGATCTTGATTGCCAGCAAGTGTGGAAATTCATGGGCGCCACCCCTTTCGTTGATCCCGACGAGGAGAAAGAAAATAATTCAGTTACCGAGATGGAGGTTTCGAGCTACCTGCCCTGAATTCCTTCCTATATTATCGTTCGAGCGAGGCAGATAGATAGCCTTGACAAGTACGGAGCATTGCTCAGTCTTTCTTGTACTGTTTCAGCTACATTGCTGTTCCAACATGTACTACTTATGAGTACCGATAGTACTATGATCTATTCCAGCATTCTACATACTATTAGCAGACAGATCCAAGTTGATTTTATCTTATCAACCCGATTTTGATACTAAATCCCAGTGGAGCCTCGGAAACTCCGCGAACCCGATGACATAATCCACCCACTAAATGAAGAAGTCACTCAGTGCCTGGAAATCCTTGCAATTTATCCATTCCCCAGATCCAGGCTTGCTCTTGCGTAGAACCATTTCCAGGGCCGGCGAGATCCGGGAAAAGCGGATCGAGGGGAATATTGATGTCATTTCCCGACAGAACTAGAATTCGTTAGATTGATTGTGACCACCATTGGAAACATATATTCGATATAGAACACAAAACATACCCTGGTCGAAGTCGAGAAGAGCTTGAGACATAGCTGGGTCTTGGATAAAGTCGAACATTTCCTCGTTTTCTATAGATTCCGGAAATTCTGCAACATGGTCCTGTTCCTGGTCCTGTGTAGGAGCGTGGGCCACATTCCCATAGCTTGTGCATTCGATCCGCTGGGCCGTAGCTTGGGGGATTTGTTGGGCGAAACCGTTACTAGCAAGCATCTCCTTCAATTCCTTCTCCATCACCAATCGAGTCAAGCGCTCGAGGATTTCCAAGCCCTGTGATGCGAGAGTTGACTCAGTTCTTGATTTCAAATGTGTCTGCATCTTTATTAACCGTCGGAGTCCCATTTTAGACTCGTGGGACTGCAGACTGAGCGGTTCGATACTAGTTAATATGCAAAGCATTACGCCAGCGGTGAAAGTGTGAATGCCGATGAATGCAGCGGCATATGTATCGGCGGCTAGAAGGAAGATGGGAGACTCTTCGAGATTTGATGTGTGCAATGCAGCATCTCGACACGCAGATAATGAGAAATGCAGGGGATTCGGAGATGAGGTTTCATTCTCGGTATCAGTCCGGGGAATCACTCTGTAAGAGAGAAGGGGGCGGTGGAGGAGTATTCGCGCATTTTCATACGCAAGTTCGAGCGAAAGGGCTTGGAGCTGATAGATGTGCTGCTCGAATCGGGGTCCTGAGGCACCAATGTCGTAGTCCATCTCCTCCACAGAACTGTAACTTGCAGCGTTAGTGCTTGGGTTTAAAGTCCCTGGTATCTCTTGTTTCCATTTTCGAAGCCGATCATCTAAGCGTGATACCTTGCGAATGAGATTTTGCAAATTCCGCGAGTTCATATTGTTAGTTTGAGTAGCCCCCTGATGGCTAATTTTGTAGATATCTGTGAGAATGTCTTTGACCAGAACGGAAAGTTTCGACATGAGGTATTTGTAAGATAAGAGACTGGCTGGGCACTGGTGCGTTGAGTCGAACGTTGCAGGTGATTGACCAGACGATGTAGCTAAAGGGTCCAATAGCTCAACATCGCAATCCCCATCTTTGATCCCGTGTGGGTATCCATATGACATGCAGCAAAATGTTTCGATCTCGTAGATAGCCCACCAACAACGCTTGCGTGTTTCAGCAAGCCGCTGTATCTCGGGTGATCTGGTATCTGCATCACCTGTGTCAAGCTTGCGATGCAAATTCAATGCCTGCGCGACGCGTAGTCCACAACCACACACCGGCCAGGCAAGACCGGGATTTCCATGGTATAGGTAATATGTACCCAGCAGCACACACGTCTGGACTGCTTCAAGCGAGCCGAGAGATACAATATCCAATAGTCTGACCCGAATGGTAGACAATATCCTCTCTTTCAGATCTGAATGGGCGACATTGTGATTTCGCAGAATTTCCTGTCGGTGGGAGCCTGTGTATTGCAGGGCGATTGCAATCACAACGAGAAAGGTACTGATAAACCCGGGATTCGGATATTTGGTGATCAGATCCTGAGGCGAGAGTTTGTACATCTCTTCCCAGTTCCGCCGGAAGTCATCTTGATGAAATATCAATATGAACCAGTGCACGCGGTCGAAATATGTGTCGACTAATAATGAAGCAACTTCTCGCGAGGGAAGTAGTCTGACCAATTCTGCTGTGGCAGAACGCGACCCTTGCATCCAGGGAATTGTCAATGCTGACCTGCCGACTCTTCTTTCCGGTGTTGAATTGATTGTTGCTCCACCGGGAAACGCTGTCGTCATTGAGGTGTCCGGCGTAGAGGAATTATGGAATTGAAATGCCTGCCTCGATCGTTAGTAACCACTCTCTCCACTTCCGAGCACGACATCCGATTATATTACACTCACCCCTGCTACCAGCGACATAGTCGAACTAGACCACGTCTGATCAACCGAACTGTCACCAACATGACCGTCATCCTCATGCTGATCTTGTCCTTCTTGTCGAGACACCGTCTCCCGGGTACCAGTACAGCTTTGACGTGTCTTCTGTCTCTTCTGCCTAGGCCGAAAAGGACTAGAAACCACAAATTGGTCCGACTCGCCCATTTGACATACCACTCCGGCGTGTACACATAGAGTGCATGGGCGCTGGATGTCGCACTTCAACGCGATTAGTTAGCGCCCGCTGCTTTTCACGTTTAATTGGACTAGACTCACTCTCAACTTCTGGCGCCGGCATCTTTCGCAAGCTCGGCCGACTTTTGTTCGTTTTGCCCGTGATGCCATTATCCGATTGGATTGGGAATCGCAAGGACTCGGAGCAGGGGAGTGTTTCGGGATATTCGGAATGGAAATATTCGGAATGGAAGCCCGAAAGGGAAATCTTTCCGTCGGAAATAGGGGGCACGTGACTTGTCTCTACGCTGGCGTCGCCTCTCTTCTTGCTTCTACTTCGATTATTCTTGCTGATACGACCTCGGAATAAATTGCTTCATTTGCTTTTGCTTCTAAGTAAATTAAGAATAAAAGTACTGAGAAAATTGGGAACTTAATGCCGGTGGTAAGCTTGGAGACCGTGAGCTAGGTTTCTTCAGACTCGGACTCTCCAGATATATTTCCGGAGTTAGATTACCCGACAACTTTCAAGCTGGAAAGCGATGGAACTTGGAATTCAGAGTCATCCTACACCTACTATGTGATTGAATCTGTACTAAAGAAGCCTCCCGGCGGACGCCCGAGGTGATGTGATGAATTATTCGTCACAATATTCTGACAATGTCAGCGCCCAGTGTCTCTGCACTAATTATCTCACAACGTGGCCTGGTGGCGTAATCCCTCATTTGCACAATGTTGCAGGGAGGTTTATTGTAGAGGTGATGGCTTATGCAAAACACACCATGTGAGCGGACCCTTTGGGGCTTGAGTCAAGATTCTTGGCCTTGCTTAACTGACGAGGCGTTTTCTTGTTTTTCATTTCCTTGGCCATGTCCTTTTAACCTTTTAGCGTCGCGTAGAGTTGGCTATTCCAAAGGAGTTTAGTGCACTGACTCAGATATATTCAGGGTATGCTTATCACAGTCGGCTGACACAATAAAATCTGGAACGCTAAGTCATTATCCAGCTATTTTCCTCCGCAATTATAGCACATAGAGACTCGGTGGTATCCTAAGAGAGGACTATAGAAGGCCCACCGGCTTCGCCTGCATAATGCCGGCACCCGGCAACTTCCGCTGATATAATTAAGAACTGCCGATTTATGTGAACTCTACGAACGTGCTAGATACATATTATGGATATTCTCGAAGTATTGACATAGTATACGGAGTGCTCCGTGAGGGGTAAACGTGCCTAGCTCCCCGTGAATAGTCACATCGATTGTGGAGCTTCATCAGCCCAACCCCGCCACGCTACCATATAGGGAATCGTCCCCCGCCGTGGCGTTCTTCAAGCATCGAAGGCCGCATCGATATCGCGGAGGTCCGTCGGTATGTCTTGGGCCTCTTGAATACTTCGCTTGGGCATTTAGTGTGAAGTATCGAGGTGGTGAAATCCAAGTGGCTCTTGTTTTATCCTCTCCTGTTCACTTTTGCAGGAATAATGAGGACAGAGGGCTGGAGCTGCGTAAAGCAGACTGTTGGGAAACGGCTGATGGTTAATTCTAATAAACATCTTAGGGGCTGACTTGGGCTTCCCCCACCCCTTAAGATTACTGCAAATCTCCCGAGTACCGAATCGCAGTGCATAATTCTAGACCCTTATCTCCGGTGGGTCTCCACCACGAGACCAATTCGCCAGGTCCCCGACCCGATGTTACCCTGATTGACATCGCCTAACAACGCGATTGGACCATACAAAAACAATGTGAGATGATCGCGAAGCTTTAATTCGAATTTACCCACTATCGAGCGAGCTTTTCAGCTTTGGCCTCGTGGTCTGCAGATTCGTTTATGACCCGACATTGACCAAAATTGGGAATACGCTAGATCGCTGCAAGTTTACATGCATCCTAGTTCCTGGACTTGTGCGATCATTCGCTCGCATCTCTGGTGAATACGAGTGAAGGAGATACCGGTTCCCTCGACTGGTTAACCCTTCGAAGCCTTCTTCCAAGCCCTGGGCGCATTAGCGTCCGGAGCTTGTAGATCGGCGTTCTAATTGCTCAGAAAGGGAAATCTTGTTCTCAGTCTTCCAAATGGCGCGATGACTAGATGGCTATTGTATAGCGCTCCTCTATCTGCTACTGCTACTCTCCATTGAAGGAGCGAGGCCTAAAAATGTATAAAAGGACATGGAAATCCGTGTCTTTGGCTTCATCCAGCACCAAACAATCTCACTTCTCATTTTCTCAAAAGCTCCTCCTCAAGATCTAATCATGGTTGTGATTCACAAGATCCCCATTACCCTCGCCTGCCTGGCATCAATTGCCGCAGCTGTTCCTACTACGGCCAAACCGGCCAGCAAGTTCTCAGTCAACCAGGTTTCTCGTCCTGCGACGAAGACTGCGAACTTCGCTGGGAACTATGGACGTGCTCTGTCCAGATATGGAGCATCTGTTCCTTCGCATGTCGAGGCTGCTGCCGCTGCCAGTGGTAGTGCCGTCACTACTCCAGAGTCCGGTGATGTGGAGTATCTGACTCCCGTCTCTGTTGGCGGTACTACCCTGAACTTGGATTTTGATACCGGCTCTGCTGATCTGTAAGTCATTTCATTCTGTCTCTGTGGATGATTCTCAATATACTGATGAGCAAATAGTTGGGTGTTCTCCAATGAGCTCTCTAGCTCCTTGCAGAAAGGCCACTCTGTCTACAACCCTAGCAAGAGTGGCAAAAAAATTGCTGGTGCTTCCTGGTCCATTTCGTACGGCGATGGAAGCAGCGCAAGCGGTGATGTCTACACGGACACCGTTACTGTCGGCGGAGTCACTGCCTCGAAGCAAGCTGTTGAAGCTGCCAAGAAGATCAGCTCCCAGTTCCAGCAGGACACAGACAATGATGGCCTCCTGGGTCTTGCTTTCAGCAGTATTAACACTGTTTCGCCAACTCCCCAGAAGACCTTTTTTGACAGTGTCAAGAGCTCGCTTGCCAAGCCTCTGTTTGCTGTTTCCCTGAAGCACGCAGCCCCCGGCGTCTATGACTTTGGCTTCATCGACTCCTCCAAGTACACCGGCTCCATCGCTTATACCGATGTTGACAACTCCCAGGGATTCTGGAGTTTCTCTGTTGATAGCTATGAGGTCGGCAGCGAGTCTGGTGCTGGTTTTAATGGCATTGCCGACACTGGCACCACCTTGCTACTTCTTGACGACTCCGTTGTTTCTGCTTATTACTCGCAAGTGAGCGGCGCTCAGAATGACCAAAATGCCGGTGGATATGTATTCCCCTGCTCCGCTACCCTTCCTAGCTTCAGCGTTAATATTGGTTCCTACACCGCTACCGTCCCCGGCTCTCTGATCAACTATGGCGACTCTGGCACTGGATCTTGCATTGGAGGTATTCAGTCGAACTCTGGAATTGGCTTCTCTATCTTCGGTGATATCTTCCTTAAGAGCCAGTATGTTGTTTTCGATGCCAGTGGACCCCAGCTGGGCTTTGCTCCCCAGTCTTAAATTGCTCAATATTCTTTGAGATATTGTGGGGGATTTATTTCGATGAAAGGATGTCTCGAACAGAGTATTTCAAAATCAGGGGCCGATTTTAGGAATGGTTAAATGTTTTTAAAATCCAATGGATATCCAGATATTTGCTCTGAACAATTTACTGGCCGATTGCCATCCATGAAGTATAACGTAGACCATTATAATATCTGATTGTGGCTCGACACTCACCATTCAAATTCCTATACATCAGGCTTCGTTAGACTTTTTTCCCCTCTTTTTTTCCCTCTCCTCTCAAAAACATTGCTTCGTGAACACTTACCTCGGTGTATTGGGTTATAGATAGTATGTCCTCGCGTGCGATCTTAGAAACAGCCTCGCGAGTGGAACTTGTCATTGCAATGGGCCCGCAAACTCCGACTATGACACGATTATCCAGGCTTTCATTGGCGACGGTCGCAACAGATGCAGCCATGATCCTGTTGATATCTGGACGTCCCGAGAAAATGCGATAGGGAGCAAATTTAACATCAGGTTTGAAGGCCGAGGGACCACCCTTTTCAATATCCCTAGCTTCAGAATCTGATATGGAAGATTCTATGGGAGCGCCTGTTGTTTCAATTGGAGATTTCTCCGATACTTCCTGTTGGTCGAGAGCAGAAATGTTCGGGCTTACACTTTGACGGGTGACATAAATGAACAAGTTCACATTGGGGTGGCTCTGGAGCCGTTCGAGCTCTTGTGAGTACCACGACAGGTTATCTTTGTGAGAAATTAGCTTAAGCCAGCATATAATAGCACATCCGACTTACCTTGTTGTCTTACAGCCCAAATGAAATCAATAGTCTTAACAACTGTGTCCAACTTCTCAACCAGGTCCAGCGCGATCGCAAAAGTGAAACTAGCCCCACTGCCACCTGCAACTAAAATTACTTTCTCAAACCGTCGAAAATTGGGGACTTGACCGTAAGGGCCATCTACCGAGCAGCGCAGAACTCTACCCGGTGATCTCTGAGCCGCTTTATAAAGATCACGGGTAAAGCCGTCATATACCCGAATCACGAACTCAGACGGGTTTGATGAAACTAGAGTAAACGGATGGCTTTCGACCCAGCGGATGGCAGGGACCCATAGGAATGCATGAGAGCCTGGCTTGCAATTGATGCGTCGATTCAGTCGTACCCGAATAGCATTGTCGGCCAATGCAGTGACAGATGCGGAGTTACCGAAAAAGTTCCAGCAAATCTTAGCGGTACGGATCAAGCGATCCATGATCCAAAGACAGGCCGTAAATATAACAATAATCAGAGTTGAACTCGAAAATTTTGGACGGTGCATCCCGACTGTGATCACGATCAAAATAAAAAGGATGATATGGAACATATAGAAAACTGCGGATCATCAGCGTCTATAAAATAGATCAATGGTGGGGAGGAGAGAATTCACGTTCGTAGAATCCTCGCATAAAGTAGGTGATAGTCGAAAGGCCAATTATGACCATGGCTAGACCTGCAATGGCACCTGCGAAGTTTTTTACCTCTTGCATGGAATCCAGTTCACCAGACTCTGACCAGGCCGCCAAATATACAATACCATGCAAGCAGCTGGTAAATATACAGGTGTAGCCGGCCACCTTATGAAGGGGTCGTAATTTCTCATAGGAATTGGCAGTCAACGGCGCAAGTGGCGTATTTTTCAAAGCCAGGAAAACTAGGAGCACCAAATTGGCTACCGCGATCCTGATAATCTTCGGGTTAGTGACCGGAGAGGATAGTGAACGTATATGGAGATTATGGCACACCAGCCGAAGCGTTTAGCAATCTAGAAATTCATAATTGTCAGAAAGTGAAGGAATAGAATTGGGTCGAGTAGAGTTATGACGCCAATAGGTAAGGCTTACATAGTTAAGATTTGTGAGATCGACATCGGTCAAAGCGAGAATCAGGTTGACAGCCCAGTATATGGTGTATAGGACAGATCGGCCAATGTGAAGCCCCTTAAATGAGCGGGAGAAGAATCGTCGAATAGATCTGCCGTAATGATTTATCAGCACTCATCTCCAGCTGTGATGGAGTTTTTACTTACCGGATGTTGCGGACCAAGGGACTTTTTTGACGTGGAAAATTTCGAATTTCCATCACTTCAGCCCAGTGGTGTGTGACGAAAAGAACCATGATAGCCCCCATAGCAATGGCAAAGTACTTGTTGCTCCATTCATTGTTCGATTGTCGAAGGGCCTTTACAGCAGCTTTCGCGGCCTTTGGATCACTCATGGTAAAATGTATACTGAAAAGTCTTGCAAAAGGTTTCCAAAAGGCCCGCTTTGAGATCTGATAAAATCAGAACCAAGAGATTATTAACGACCTGTCGGCATATTTCCAAGGCCCCGAGAATCACCGTATAACGTAACAGTGATAGAATTCGATTTACCTTGGAACCGTGCGTATTTCTTTGCCAAGTAGATATGTTACAAGATTTTGTGGGTCGTATTGCATTTCTGATGTAGGAGGGCCGAAGTAAAAGTGGATTAGTACACATATTATCCACGTTCTCCGCACAGTAGAACATTTCACCGGTCATGGTCCGACAAAACTAATATCGGGATGAATTTTCTGGTTGCTGATACTGAACTGATTTATGAAAGCCACCTCAAAAGCGATAAATATTCCCAGTGTTGTCAACTGAACGCTCCTCGACAATTCCATTATGTGTCCAGAATTATCTAAGTCGAACTTGTTTATTCGAACAAACTGGCTGGCTTACCCAAATCTTGCACAGAAGTTAATTGAATGCGGTAGAACTTTGCGGTTACTGCGGGAGATTGAAATTCCACGAGGGAATATTCCCAATCCGGTATATGTAGAGGGTCCAAAAGCGATCTAATCAATCAGATACTAGCTTATCGAAGGTCTGTAAAATACGAAGCCCCATTATCCGCGTCATTCTAACCCCACGGAAGTAGGCCGGGTTTACTTCTGGAACGGGTCTAGGGCGCTATCCAAAAAGCCAACTGATGACTCCAACCACGTTACGTGGGAGAGGGACTTCTTGGCATTACAACTTACAGGAAAAGCAAGCTTTTTCAGAGAAATGACAATATAGTTTTGTCCACGTGCCGTGTATCCCTCTACAGCCTACCAGCTTCCATGATCGAGATAGTCCATGTTATTTTGAACACTAGTAGTATTAAACATGCGTATCTCACCAGCAGTCATTCCTTTTTATGTGTGGTTTTTTCTACCGACTTTTCCACACGCGGGTGGCGGGCGCACGTCGAAAACTCAAACTTCCCGATAACATGCCATATAAGATCAGCAGGGGTTCCGATCAGGCAACTTCACCGGCAGTCTCCACAATTTCTACTAAGAATCAAAGAATCAGATAACCCACGTGCACCAAGGATTGACACCAAAGCTTGACATTACTCGGTGGAGCAGCACACAAAATTACGACAAATTTGCAAATCTCGAAGATACCCATACCCGTAATATTTGTTGGGAAGCAGTCCTAAACTTGTGAACTATTTAGCCTCCCAGAATTCTCGACCTGGCACTAGCACTATAAGAATTTTCAGATTCGGTTCACCATGGGCACGTACAAGAGTGCCTTCTCAAGTAGCCGATAATTCTCTCAGTTAATGATCAATTATTAATTACTCTAGAAATTCTAAAGTAGACTTTTAAATTCCTTCCTAAAGCTGTAATAATTTGCTCTTGTAAAATGTGGCCTTTGGAACACTTGGTTCTCACCAACCACTGGATAAGATTTAAGTCACGAAATATGGACTTTTTTCTTGAATCACCAAATCTAAATGGCCAAAAGAGTAGTCTCTGCCTGCTTGGCCGGAACTTGCATAGTCCCTTCCCTTGTAGCCTTTGGGTCCTCGTAGGGACGGCGAAGAACGAAAGCTTTGGCCTTTCCCTTTGTCCGTTCAAAACGCTGCATGGCCGGATCAATGATAGGAATAGCACCACGCTTCTCACGATAAAACATGAGCCCATAGCCAATCATAACACAGATCCAGTACAGGTTATAAGAGATCACAGAGCCGTAATCGGCAGAATTGGTCCATCCAAGAAGCGCGTTGAAAATTCCCCAGCCACCACCACCTCCTAACTCTGGGTTGCAGCAGTTCACGTGCCAGACGCTTTTTCGGATATCATATGACCCAGCACCAGAGCCAGTCTCTGAGGCATCTCCTCCGATTATATGGTTCCAGGTGTTGTTTTCGAGGTACCAGACACCACGTGAGAAAAGTCCACCAGCAACAAGATAGAGGAAGCAAGTTGATATAATCAGGAAGATTTGCATCGAGGTTTCTCTTCCACCCCTGTAGACGTCTTTTAGCGTTGCAAATATGAGAGGGGTTAGGAACATACCGATAGATGATATAGCCAACGGCGACACCCGCGAGGAGACCACAGACAACAGCCAAAGGAAACGAAGTAGCAGGAAGACCCAGTCCAACACCACCAACATAAACAACCGCCTCAAGACCTTCACGAAGAACCGTGATGAATGGCAAGGTAAACATGACATATTTTTCGAGCCATCTCTTTACTCGAGCTCTCTTTGTCTCATTAGGATTATGCTCGGGCTCGAGAGCCTTTGCGAGCTTGACCCGCCATTTATCCTGGAGCTTTGACACACGCAAGAGTGCAGCCCCCATAATCGTGATAATGATCGAAGCGATAATTCCTAGAACACCTTCCCAAATATCCTCTGTGCTGGAGAACGTGTCCGTTCCAAGGCCATAAAATGCACCAATCATCCCTGCGCCGACGGCAAGACAAATGAATAAACCGAGACCGCATCCTAGCCAGACCTGTTGCCATGTTTATCAGCGTCTGAAATTCGCGGAGAAAGCGCACTTCGGCTTACCTGTTTCACCAATTTATTGTATGTCTGTCGGTCTTGTTCGTAGAGTGACTGTTTCAGAAAAGCCAGAAGAACAGATACTACCACTGTCGTTTCAAGACATTCTCGGAAGCAAATGAAAAACACTAGAAGATCGCAAATAGTCAGCTAGCTAATCATATTATTGCTTGGAGTCTCAAACAAACAAACCAGTGACGGCAAACACGCGATTATCGCCCATTTTGGCTAATAGGAGATTTGCAACCCGGTTCGGAAGGGTGTGTTCCAAAGTATCTTGGTTGCGGAAGAAACAGCGAGAAGTCAAGAGGGACTTTTCGATTGATAAGACAGATGGTAATGATCGACCGTGGTGGATTTCATCATTTGAAAATTACCAGCGCCTTTTCATACCCAGCTTGGGCCGCACGCACGTAGGCCACTCATCTAACCTAATCAGATGTGGAGTGGAGTCGAGGGGAAGGACGAAGAATGTGAGCGTGTCTCATTTCCCAAATCGGCGACAAAACACTTCCGCTTTTTCGGCAAATCGATCCGTAGTCAAGGTCTCTGAGACATCTTTCCCATAGATAGTATGAACCCGACCAATGGTTTACCATTCACCCCCACGTGCGTAATTCCATGTTACGTCCAAGGGAAAATCATTGGAGTCCGGAGATAATATGGAGTTTGATGACAAGTTTCTAATCTGCCAAGCATGTAGCTACATCTTCGCGTCCGGGCTGCGGGCGGCAAGAACATTATTCAGGCCCGACTGACACTTGTTCTTGTTTCAATCACACAATTGCTGCGCCGGTGATCCAGAGCGGTTGTGTGGAAAGTGGAGATTCCTTTGCAAGAAAAAGAAAACCGACAGAAGTTGGTATTTCGAGCGGTAATTTTCCAGTAATATTGGAAGACTTTCTAATCTGATTAATTAGAAATCATGTAATTTCCCGCGTGAAAAGCTTTCCTTGGACGAGATTGATAAGATGGGTAGCGCAGACCCAATATTTTTTGACAAGCACATGACCATCTTCACATACTCTCGATTCTACATCAAGGATCAATATCCATGGATATAAGCATGCTTTGCCAGGTCACGCCAAATTTCCCCTGAGCTGGTACTGAGATAAGATGGACTCAATATGTTGTAGCACATCTTGCAACCATGCATATCGGAAAAATGGGATCCACCAACTGGCGACCTCATCTAATTACCCATTCACTGTGGCGGTATTGGAATTATCTCACCTTTGTCATATTCCGTATCGGTGTCCACTTGCTCGGATTCCCATTGCAAATAAGAAGATTTTTATCTCATCATTCCAATACCCCGGGATCCACTCTTATGTCCGGAATATGCCGTATATGCCGTATATGCTTAAAATAGTGCGTCGCCAAGCTACACTTGGCATTTATCTCTTCCTAGGCGAAGGCTTTGCCATGAATTCAATCAGAGGTCAAGTTGAATTGAATCGGAACGTAGCCAGCTGGCATGACTATTCTTGCGATCCTAAAAAATCCCTCACAATCAGATTTTTACGCTTTCGAAGACTCCACTAGCAGCCCGAGCTAACCGGGGTCTGGAGCACGAGCCCTTGCCAAGCCCATTCTAAAAGGCCGAACTATGGTATGACTGCGCCCCTCAAGTACCGTACTGGTATTTCACTGATTGATAATTTTTTCTCAATGCAGATAGATTGCCAGTTCAAATTATTTCCGTGGAGGATCCAGTTGCGCAGCCATGCCTTTCGACCCGTTTCCGACTTATAAGCCATTTTTACCTTTAAGTGGTGCCTGCCTCCTTTCCGCCAGCCATACGCGACACTCGCCTTCCCCCTTCCTTGCAGCCCCTTCCTTGCAGTATGGAAATCCTGCGGGTGTTAATGTTTCGTCTCGCCGCAGTGTTCCTGTGCGCACAATATTGTCATGGGAAGACTGTGACCCTAGACTTCAATGCCACTTGGGTCAATGCAAACCCAGATGGACTTCATGAACGAAAAGTTGTCGGCATTAACGGCCAGTGGCCTCTGCCTGTCATCGAGGTAGATAAAGGCGATCGCTTGATTGTCAACATGTTCAATGGGCTCGGCGACAAACATACTTCAATCCATTGGCACGGGATGTTCCAAAATGGCACCAACAATATGGACGGACCTTCAATGGTGACCCAATGCCCCATTGCTCCCGGTTCCTCCATGACCTATAACTTCACCGTTCCCCAGAACGGCACCTACTGGTATCATTGCCATACGGATGCATGTTACCCGGATGGTTATCGACAGGCTCTGATTGTGCACGATAACCAATCATACTTCAACGATATGTATGATCATGATCTTACTATCACATTGAGTGATTGGTATCATGAGTTGATCGAGGATATTCCATTTATTCGTGTCGAAAACCCTACTGGTGCCGAACCCGTTCCAAACTCTTTCCTCTTCAATGACACCTTGAATACCAATATCGCTGTCGAAGCTGGAAAGACCTACTTAATGCGATTGATTAATATCGGAGCTTTCGTGGCCCAGTATTTTTATATCGAAGATCATACATTCCGCATTGTTGAGATTGATGGAGTATATGTGGATGAGCAGGAGGCCGATACTCTTTACATTGCTGCAGCCCAAAGATACTCCATTTTGGTTACGATGAAGAATTCAACCACACAAAATTACCCCATCGTGACTGTGGCAGACTCGGTCTTGCTGGATGTGATTGACCCATCTCTCCAACTCAATCAAACAAACTGGCTTGAATACAACAGCAGCGCGGCACATCCACAGGCTGTGATGAAGGTGGATGTGGCTTCAGACCTTGTCCCATATGATGATTTAAAACTGGTTCCTCATGACCGAATGCCTCTTCTTCCGGATCCCGATATGACCATTGAGGTTGATGTTATAATGGACAATCTTGCGAACGGTGCAGGCTACGCCTTCTTCAATAATATTTCATATACAAAGCCCAAGGTACCTACGCTGTACTCCGTTCTTTCTTCTGGGAACTACTCGACCAATTCCGAGATTTATGGAGAGTTCACCCATCCATTTGTTCTGGAGCATAATCAGGTCATTGAAGTTATCCTCAACAACCAAGATACCGGCTCTCATCCATTCCATCTGCATGGCCATAATTTCCAAATGGTCAGCCGAACTCCCTCATACGGACCCAATTTCTACGATTTCGCCGATGGTGACCCGGTCGCGTACAATGCGACTGAGAATCCTTCTAGCAGCTTCCCGGCCTATCCTGCAAGACGAGATACCTTTGTTGCACCACCGCAGGGTAACTTTGTCGTCCGATTCGTCGCCGACAACCCCGGTGTTTGGCTCTTCCATTGCCACATTGACTGGCATCTGATGCAGGGTCTCGCAATGTCATTCGTCGAAGCTCCGAAGCAAATTCAGGAGCAAATGTCGCTGACAGACAGTCAAGTCAACGTTTGCAAAGCTGCCGACGTCGCCTATGAGGGCAATGCAGCAGGTAATACTGATGATCTACTCGATCTCACTGGGCAGAATAGACAGCTGCCGTGGTTACCTGCTGGATTCACGACAAAGGGTATCGTTGCGATGGTGTTTTCGTGTGTTTCTGCATTCTTGGGAATGGCATTTATCACTGTTTACGGCATATCCGGTATTCAATCCAAAAAGGAGGAAACATCCCAGGCCACCGAGGGCAATGAGTCATGAATTTTGGGCACTTTATTTTAGAACCTTTTTTTACAAATATTTCTCCATTTTGCGCCATTACGTATCACGTCACGTATTCTGGGAACATTAGACCACTATATTAGGAGTAAAGACTGATTCCAAAGGATCACAAATAAGTGCTGGTGCGGAGATCTCTATGCAGGTGGCCTAAAATGAAAGGTGAAAGCTGGCAGGTTCAGTTGCTCCGAAGCGCTGAAAAAGCATCATACAAGCCGAATATGTCAGACACCAGATTATATCGGGGCGTCTTCAGCTAAAAAGAAGCGTTCACCCGGACTCGGATCCACCTGAAGTATATGGTGGCGGCCCATCCGAGTTCGAGTCGGTCACTACAGATATCTCAAGACTAAAGAGGTGACACATTTTGAGCTTGAACGCATAGTCCAACGTGTTGTCGTTTGGATCATCGACTTCCAGAGTAAATCTCATCCTTTCTATGATCCTTTCTTCGGCATTAAATACATACCCACGGACTTTTGCTAGCAATGAAAGTTGTTGCTGGATATCCCAATTATGGTGCCGCTTTCCTCTCTCATGGAAATCTCACATTGAGAGGTCTCGCGAAGTTCAGTTTCTTTAGCAAGAAGGGCTAGCAGGTTGGAACCGTCGGCATCAGCCCCTCCCGACTGCCGCCAAGAATCGATGCGACCCCATTGAAGATATTCAAAGCCATCAGGTACACTGAATTCGTGCTCCTTAAAGCTGGGCTCCTTGGCGCTTTCCCCCTTGGACTTTTTCCGAATGCCGAAAATTGCTTTCCACATTTCGGGGTTGAGGCACGCTTTGAAGATTTCAATAATACGGATGCTGGGTCTATTTTGATGGAATTCTGCTGGGGATGTATGAGAGCAGAAAGGGAGCTACGTGAAGGAAAGTTGAGCTCATAATATATGCAGTCATATCGGCGTCGCAACGTATCCAGCCGAATCCAAAACGGAAAACAAATGTCAAGGTCTTACAGACAGAATGATTCCCTGGTCCAATCTGACATCCTCTAACCACGGAACACTTGAACTCAAGGTTTGCAGTACATATCATGCTTCAGACTCGAACATTTATAAATATAAACGACGGGATCTCTAGGGTCTAAACTTGAAATATTAGGCGTCTAACAAGTACTTGGTTACCACGGTTCTCATATTGAAGTGCACACAGCTCTCCTGGTAATAGACTGCGTAGAGAAAGGCTAAATTATTCTATATTTTGTGGGATGAGCAGTGTTTACAGGTTTTACCTTACTTCCTTATTGTTTTTCTTTTCTTTTTGCATGATACGCAATCTCAGCTTCGATCTCGGTATTTTTAATGCGAGTTTCGAACGGGAGATCCCGAAACTCGGCATGCGCAGATTGCGAATCGGGCGGCTCTCGCCTTGATTCGACGCCAAAAAAAGATCGGAGCGTACCGTATTGGCATTACTGTGACTCTTTTGGATTTTAATCCTGTCGGAGGATTATCACAAGAGAAGAGGAGCAACGGAAACGGTATTTTTGGGTCTTGAGTGTGAGAGTAAAAGCGAACAGTGGGAAAAAGTATGCTCAGCCTCAGATCAAACACCATCTTTTTCCCCATCACCAAGCTCGATTTTAACGCTGGCAGTCGGAGTGCGGATTGTATCATCATCGACCGAACGAGGACAGGCAGGGAAGGGCAGCCATCGACATGTGATCAAACATACACCGATCGCCGCTGCACCACGATGCCCGCCTTTAGCACGTGACTTCCTGTTTCACAAAATCAGTTGGGATTAAAGGATTTCCTGGCTTATTATTGTTTGGCCTGTGAAATACTCCCCAGATTCAGGATTGTTGTGGCACTTTCAGAGGAAGTGTGTGAATCGGGATGCGGCATCTACAAACACACCCGAAAGAGGCAATCATTCCGGCGGAACGACGGGAACTCACCACTCCGCCGGGACAACGCTGACCACGAAGTATAAAGACCCCCGCTGATCGAGTTCAAACTGATGATATAGTCTCCAGACAGGATCTAATATTGAATCTGCCAATCTACTAGATCAAATCAACCATCTTTTACCGACCAACATGACATCCACTACCAACGCCAACACGATCACCGTGACCCTCCCCCAGCTGGCCAAAATGATCGACCACTCTCTCCTTCACCCAACCATGACAGATGCCGAAATCATCAACGGATTACGCATCTCGAAAGACTGCAATGTTGCCACCGCCTGCGTCAAGCCATACCTCATCCCCCTCGCCAAGCGCGAGCTCGCCGGCTCCGACGTCAAGGTCTGCCCGGTGATCGGATTCCCCCACGGCAACAGCACGACGGAGATCAAGGTGATCGAGGCGAGCGCAGCAGCTGAGGCGGGCGGAGCTGAGATCGACATGGTGGTGAACATTGGCAAGGTCCTCGGTGAAGATTGGGAATACGTGAAAGCCGAGATTGCCGCGATCAACGCGGCAGTTGTCAGCCGGGGCGCGATCTTGAAGGTGATCTTTGAGAACGACTATCTCCGACCGGAACATATCATCCGACTGTGTGAGATATGCACAGAGATCGGGGTTGCGTTCGTGAAGACCTCGAGTGGGTATGGATTCGTCAAGCAGAGCGATGGATCATATAACTATTTGGGAGCGACGGTGTCGGATCTCAAGCTTATGCGAGAACACTCCGGACCTGAGATTCAGATCAAAGCGGCTGGTGGAGTTCGCTCGCTTGATGATCTATTGCATGTGATGAGCTTGGGAGTTACAAGGATTGGCGCGACGGCGACAGTGGCCATCTTGGACGATGCGAAGAAGAGGGGAATTGGAATGGAGCCAACCTCAGTGAAGTTTAAGCCGATGGTCGAGAAGGCTGGGAGCTACTGAGATACTGAAGGCTAAAGCGGAAAATGGAAAAAGAACAACCGAGAGCATCGCGAAAAGAAGAGTCAGTGATGGATAGGACAGGTGGTGCCAGGGTCAGCACAAATTAGTATGGTGTGCCTTCAACCAATCCAAGCTTCTACTGCTGCCACTTTCAAAAACGGCACAGGGCGGATTTATGCGACTTCAACCTTGGAACGTTTGAAAGTTCTATCTTATTTTTCTCATTCATTCAATAATATTTTCTCAGACACTAGGACTGGAGCTTTTGTAGTTTTGGACCTTGATGATGGAAAATGATTTAACCTGACACCAGAGGCAAAGCTTGAAGCTAAATGGGGATCTCAGTGGGTAAGAGTGCATTCTTATCTATGGATTTGGCGCAAAGTTCACCAAGCCTGGGGCTAGTAAGCCAGATGCATGATTTCCGAATCGATCCCTTCAAGCCAAAAGTTCTTTCGAAACAGACTCCGAGTTGATGAATGACAATGCCATCTCTTCTGAATGTATCAGGCTCAGATGTGTAGAGCTTGGCAGCCACTTTATGTACAGAATTTCACTCCCAGAAAGGGTATGGTGAAGTGCCAACAAGTTCATAACACTAGTAGCTGAATACTCACCTCGTTAGCACGAATAGTTCCAAAAGATTCAGCGAATTCCGCCCGAAATTCTCTCTTTGTATGGGATTTTCAATTCAGACACAAATTCGGTTCGCTATACCGCGTAAATTCGCCATACCTAACCGTGTACGCTATATCTAGGGATTATTTATAGTACAGAGTACGTGTACATATAGGCTTTGCGGGTTTTGTTCATCCGATCATAATTTTCCTCGAGCACTGCCCTTTCGACGGAGATTCATTGGGTAGTACCGAGGATCAGCGGACCCCTGCGCATGCCGCGTTTATGTACGGAGTACTATGTATATTTATGAGGAGTTATTAAACTATCCCCGGTCATTTGCCGAATGGACTAGTACGCAATCTGCTTCACTCTGGGTCATCGAACCAATAATGAGGATGGTAAACAATGGTGAGTCATTCTTACTCAAGGTTACTCCACTTTGCTGTGGCGCGAAGAATTAAACAATTGGCGCACGTGACTTATGGATCTGTTGCACAGAAAATACTATATGGTATTTAAGAATCTCATCCAAACTTCATCCTGAAATATATTGTCTAACCCTCCAGATATATACGTTATTGGACCAGTCATGATGACCGGATTCCTGGACAAAGAAGTTTTCGGTAATTATATGCTGCCCTCGGCCGTCTTGGGCTTGTTTGTGATTCTGATATGGTGTTGGTCGACAAAATCGACAATCCCAACTGTCAACTCATATTCTGGCGATATCGCTTTGAAGAAGGCCCATTCGGAATTTATGACAAACGCTAGGGGCCTGATCAAAGAAGGAATTGAGAAGGTAAAATAAATTGACCCAAACATATATTCAGTTTCTGACCCCCATGCTTCAGTTCAACGGCCCGTTTCGAATTATCACCACTCTTGGCTCCAGAGTCATTCTCCCAGCATCTTATACGGAATGGCTGAAGAATTGTTCCGATTTAGATCACCAGGAGCTGGTCCATGACGTACGTTAAAGCTCCCTTAACCGCAAGGATACGAAAATTGACGACGAAGCCTACTATCTAGGAATATTTCGCAGCGTACCCTGGCATGGAGGGACAGAAGGTTGTCACTGATCCGAGGAAGATTCTCATCGACGTCACCAAGAAGAAATTGAATCAGAATAGTCGTATGTGGAATGTTCATTGTCTATTTTGAAAAATGGCCATCCTGACCCGGACTTGTTTAGAGTGTGAATTGTTCTCAGATCACCTCGCAGAGGGCCTGAAAGAAATCTGGATGGAAGACTATGGTATTTCCCCACAGCCCCTGTCATTTTTGAATTCTGACTGACTTGTTTCTTAAGACTGGCAAGCCGTTGATTGGTCTCAGCACGTTATTCGTTTCGTTGGGCGAATGTCGGCATCTGTCTTCGTCGGCCCGGAACTAGCTCGTGATCCTAAATGGCAGGAGCTTATTATGGCGTCTACTTTGAATACCTTTATGGGAGTTCGATCACTCCGCGCCTGGCCTGCTTTCCTCCGCCCAATTGTTCATTGGTTCTTGCCAGAACTCAAACAATGCCGGAAGCAAATGCGCCTCGCTCGTTCTATGCTGCAGCCAATCTTCGAGCAAAGGGCTTACAGCAAATCCACCTCCTCTGAAAGCCATAAGGCAGAAAAGTTTGATGATACTATACAATGGCTCGAGGAGGTTGCTGCTGGCCGCCCCTACGATGCCGCTGCCGCGCAAATAGCATTTGCAATTAGCGCAATGCACACAACTTCTGAGCTACTCAAGCAAGCCTTGTTGGACATTTGCATGCATCCAGAATTGATTCCAGATATCAGATATGAAGCAAGTAAGGCAGTTGAAGATAGTGGATGGTCGACTGCTGGCGTTTTCAAAATGAAGCTTCTCGACAGTGTTGTGAAGGAGACACAAAGGCTGAAGCCTGGATCATTAGGTATGTGGCCGCTTCTACTGACTGGTCGCATGTTGATTCAGTGTGCTAATATGGTTCACGATAGTGAATCTGGAGCGAAAGGTGTTGCGGGACGTTGTCCTTCCAAATGGCATGACGATTCCCCGTGGAACTAACATTGCCGTTGATTCGTCTATGATGTGGGATCCCGCTATCTATCCCGATCCTTTTGTTTATGACGGCTACCGTTTCCTTCGGCTACGTGAATCTGGCAATACAGGTGCAGCATTAGCTTCTTCGAGCCCGGAGCATATCGCCTTCGGGATTGGGAAGCCAATCTGCCCTGGTAGGTTCTTTGCCAGTAATGAAGTCAAGATTGCACTGGCCAAGATTCTGTTGACTTACGATGTTCGACTACCGGAAGGAACCAAGCCAAAGGTTGTTGAAATGGGATTTGAAATGTTGAGCGACTTGAGCGCGAAGTTGGAAATTAGGAAACGACCGGGCTTGTAAAACATGACAACATTCTCAGCAATCAATTCAAAGACCTTGTTAGAATTCACGACTAGACACGTTGTAAAATGTTTGGCGCTGCCTTTTGATTCTGACCACCTCAGGAAATAAGGCATTGAATATTAAAATTGTAAAATGGCAAATTATTTGGGATGAAAACTTAAATTCGCTTCTGAGGTTCTTTATTCCATGTTGCCTCTGGCGGTGGTCGAGTGATGACAGATAAACACCCGGGATCAAATTGCACTTGGGTGGGCCTTAGCTGCGACGGTGAGGTCATTACTTTGCCGAAGGGTGTATTCCAGATGTGGCAGAACGAGTTTTACTGGTTAGATGGCACAGTTACGCTTCACGAGAATGAGGGAGCGGCAGACTATAATCTGGGGATCACGCCTGTAATCTGGGAGGAAGTTCACGCGGACATCAATCAAAAGCCGAGTGCTGCAGACTCTATTGTCCGCTACAGTTTGAGTCGGCACACTGGGGACTTTTGCGGGCCTGTTCCTCAGTACGTAACGAACAATGCGACTGCAGACCGTTATCGAGTGCGTCAAAGGAGCCAAGTCTGCTTGAAAAGAGTATAAAAACTATGGTTATGCCAATAGCCTTGAGACTCTTGACAAAAGTTTATCCTTGATCAAATACACTTACAGTCCAGTTGTATGGAACCGTAGCAAGCTGATCACCACCTAGGTCTTCGCATCACTTTCTGGTCAATGCTAACACGTCCTTGGTGACCATCGCCCGGTCCCTTCCCTTTTCTCTCTTTTTTTCTTTTTGGAAACGGAATAGTCCGTTATTCCATCACCAATCCGTGTATATTAGATTCTGCAATCGCCTTGAAGGCGCGTGAGGAGCTCAGGTACTCACAGAGATCAGCATACGAAGTAGCGAATCAGGCAAAGGAAATAGCATCGCTCAACGAAAGTAATATCTTGAGGAGATTAAGAAGAAAGATAGGATGGACAGCTGGATAGACCGGTGTAAGCGTGGATGCCCGGAAGGGTGCCATGGGTGTAAGGTATCCACGAATGGTAACAACACCAGTCCGTTACATACGTGGTCATATGGTCCTGCTGTTACGCAAGAAGCGAGTGGAATGTGAACGCGATCGTGGGTCGGACCAAAAATAACAAATTTCGGAACAGAACTGTACGGATTACCGATCGCATGAGATCCTGATTGCGGAGCACTGTGTTGATCCTTTTGTGGATCTCAAAAAGTGTAGCAGATCATTTCTGTATAAGGAGCTACTACTATTTTGCTACCCAAGAAATTTCCCGAGCGAGATGAAGTGATTTTCATCCCCGAAGCGCGTTAACTGACTACTAGTTGACACTGCGGGCAAAACCCTGCTGGACTTTTGGACGCGTCACACATTGCTAACGCGTAGCGATATTGATATTTAGGTTAATTTAGGAATGTGATAGCCCAAATAAAAGCTCTTCTCGAATGATATCCACTATCGCCTTACGTCATCCAATGTCTCAGATCAATCAATGATCGTCGTTCTAAGACCCTAATTTCCTGCAGCTGAAGGCGATATGGATACGTGATCGAATCCAGAAAAGTGGATTCGGAATTGTCACAATCAGAAATAGGGGGCATTTAGAAATTCAGAAGTTGCCATATTGGTGGACTTGCTACTTGCTTCGAGGGCGTCGGCTTTTCAATCAACTATTCGTACAGCTACAGATTTGTGGAAATGGGTCTAGCGTTCGTGAGAGTCTGGAACCAACGGAAATAGATCCTGCTAACATGTTACCAGCTTGGAAGGGTCCCCTTTGAACTGGAAGGATTCCGAAAACGCAGGCCCCCTCGCTCGCCGATATGCTGCAAAGGTTAGCTCATGATTTGATTGCGCTCACTCTCGCGAACGCCCAACTTAAAAGCTCTTAACAGCAAATACTGGCACTGTGGCTGAAGCAAAGGCATCGACACGATTCCGATTCACTATGGGGTGATGAGGTAGGTTAACAATAAATCATGATAGCCCTGAGCAAATCCTGATATTACCAACCACAGATAGAATTCTCGCTAGTTGACTTGGACGCGAAATTGTCGCGAGCAACCATGCTCTTAGACCAGGAACGTGTTATAAAAAGCTGGGAGAAAAGGAACATTTGTCAAGAAAATCAGTGGGTGAATTATTCTACAAAGTCACAGAACCTTCTTCTAATGAATGCCTAGTGGATTGCTGCAATGGGAATGGGCGTCCTACGTTGTGGAATCAACCCCAGTAAAACCATACTCAGGACGCATATCAGACTTGATCCACGTCGAGACAAATATGCGATGCAGGTATGCTTTAAGTTAATCATGCATGTTTTGATTTTGTTCGCTGATTTTTTCTAAAGGCGAGAGCTAATTGAGAGCTTCCTTGGGCCGCATCAACGTGCAATGTCTCTTTCCATGTTCCCCCGAGCTGGAACAAAAGATGCATGGACAACGCCCAGCCATCCAATTAAGGTACTCTGCGCACAACCTCGTTATACGACTCTGGCAGAAAAAGTCAAAAGTCGTGCTGGAGATCGTGTGAAAACATGGCTTCCCATATACCGAGACCGCCTTACACAGTCTCCGTTTGTTGATGAAGAGGTAAATGGACACGAAAGAGAAAACCGCGTTTGTCTGGATCAACTAGATATGGGATTAGGATGCTGTAGTATCCAAGCAACCTTTCAAACTTCTAATGAATCTGAGGCGAGATGGTTACATGACCAGTTAATTCCGCTGGGCCCTATATTTATCGCCATGACCGCCGCAACACCGGCCTGGAAAGGTTACTTGGTTAACTCTGATTGTCGATGGCAGAGATATGGGGACTTGCTGGATGATCGGTCGCCCGATGAGAAGGACTGCATTGTATGTCATTTCACTTGCACCCTGTGGCCTCGCCTGAGCTGACACTGAATCCGCTATGTCTAGCCTCCGCGATGGACCTGGAAACAAAGTTATATTTCTGCAGAGCAACCATCTGGTTTAAAAAGCCACGAAATGTTACATCCAATTGATAATGACGTCCGGGGATATCTTACTGACGGCGGGATGGATGCTTTTTTAGCAGATCATTTCATGTCGATTCTCACAAGGGATCCTCTTTTGCTCACCGAAGCGGACTTGAAAAATCTGGACCCCCCTGAAACGCAGCTTTTTGAATCTCTATATGGTTGCGTTTGGCACCCCGTGAGATTCAAGCCACCAACTAGTGATCGCGGCCCAGGTTGGCGAGTCGAGTTTCGACCAATGGAAACCCAGCTAACAGATTTCGAAAATGCTGCTTTCGCGATTTTTGCATATCTTGTTTCTCGGGCTATCACCGTTCTTCGCCTGAACTTTTACATCCCGGTTGAAAAGCTAGGCGAGGCATGGGCTTCATGTCAAGAGCGTGGAGCAGCCATTGATGGGCGCTTCTGGTTTCGAAAAACAGGATGGCTTTCTAGTTCGAACCAAATTAATCCTGACATCATTCGCATCCTTTCGCAGCACGGCTATCATTACAGTGGCAAAGAGAAATACGCTCAAATGACTGTCAATGAGATAGTTAATGGAGAAGGTACTATCGATGGCTTTCCAGGCTTGCTATGGATGGTCCGTTGCTACTTCGAGTATGTCGGAGTCCCCGCGAGAGAACAGGGACAGATTGCTCAGTATCTGAATCTCATTCGAGATCGAGCGAGTGGCACAAATCCAACCCCTGCGACTTGGATGAGAGAATTTATCGGTAGCCACAAAGACTACGGGGAGGATAGCTGCGTCAGTGAGACTGTATGCTATGATATGATGAGGGCTATAATCCAGTTGAATGAAAAAATGACAGAATAGATAGTTGTGTTGGGCCCGAATATTACTATATGGACAAAATGCTTAGGTTTCAACGTCTGCATAGGAGCTTGCTGCTCGAAGCCTTCCTCCATACTTCCACAGCATGAAGGGAATCGGACAACCGATGAACAGAGCTATAAAGGCCAAAATGCTATTGCCCCACCCATAGCCCAATGCAGCATACATCTCTGGGCTGAATAGAGGAAAGCCGAACCCCGTGAGGCCACGAAGGATATAAACCGTGCCATTGGCACTAGCAGCGTAGAGCGGGAATGTGTCCAGTAGATAAGCACTCACACATTGGAAGACAATAGTTGCTCCCATGAGTGGTAATGCAATCCCAATATCGGGAATAATCCAATGAGCCTTATATTCCGCACTCCAACCATACCAAAACAGCCCAATCGGTACAAGTAGTGAAGCCGGCACCATCATTGGCAGCCGGAACTCGGGTTTTCCTTCGCCATTATTCCGAGCGACTTGTCGACGATAGATGGGGTCGGTTAGAAAAGCACAAATAATAGCACCTCCTAGGTAACCGCAACATGGAGCGATATAATTCAAAGTTCCAATAGAAAGGTCCATTTGGTACTTTTCTGTCCAGAGATCTGAGAAGCTGGATAGAAGAAGATAGATAATTCCGTAAAGATACCCATAGTAACAGGCTAAGCACTGGGCGATAGGCTGGGTGCATAGAAAGTATATCGCGCGGAACAGTGTTCGGCGATAACGCTGATTGAGAGACTCATTTTCGTTGTCAAATTTGGTTCTCCAGGTTCGGGATCCGGATTTCTCAGTCTCTTCAAAATTTGCAATACATTTCCTCTTCTTGCGCTCTAGTAGGACAGGCGCATATGTCTCAGAGGAGAGGGTAAGGCATATCACCAGAGACACTCCTGCAGCGATTGACGTTGCAAAAAAGCACCAGCGCCAGGAAGAGTATTCTGTAATAAAACCGCCGACAATTGGGCCGACACAGGATCCCAGAACAGGGCCCATGCTGACCAAAGCCACAGGTAGCCCGCGTTCTTCTTTGCGAAAGACATCGCCAATGGTGCTGGCTCCCACCTTCGATAAAAGTTAGATGAGAGTATCATTGTGCAATATTTGAGTGAACTTACAGCCAACGATGTACTAGCTCCAACTCCACTTAAAAGTCGAAAAACCAACAGCTGGGTCATTGAATTCGAAAACCCGGCCGCAAGATTGAAAGCTAAGTAGAACAAATTTCCTCCCTGTAGGATTGGTATACGTCCATAAAGCTCACTTAAGGGGCCGAACAAAACAGGCCCGAGGCAGTACATCAACAGGAATAACGAGAGTGCCAATGGCCCCGTGATCGATGAATCGACATCAAATTCCGATGCAATTGTAGTTACCGCGGGTGTCGTGATCGTAGAAGATAGCGGCATTAGAAACAGCGGAATAGTCAAAGAAAAGGTGACCATCCATTTTCGACGTTCTGGCCAGTCATGAGGATGGTCTCCGTCGAACTCAATCAATACCTCCTCAGGCGCTGGTTTCATTGCGCTTCCCTATTTTGATTTTGTGAAGATTCGGGCGAAGTTGACTGCAAAATAGCAGCGGGCGATCAAGTGGCAAACCCTAATCGGAAGACTAGCCCCTATGTACCATTTTTCAATGACGCTAGGGTGGATCGGATCGACAAAGCAAGAAAATGTTAGCTCTGATCGATGTCTTGAACAGGTCCACACGGGTTCGCCGATCAATTCCCGATTTGACCCAGTATATGCCGATCAAGAGATTGTGGAATTTTCGGCCGACAGCGCTGTCGAGGGTAAAAATTGATCAACATTCAATCAAGTCTCGAGACTTCCTCCTTATTGGTCTAAATTTTCCATCTGCTATTTCCAAAGCCAGCTGTCAAATAAGACAGGTAGGTCTTGAATAGAAGGCTCAGCCCATATGGCTCTTCAATGGTGGGTCGAAGAAACATAGGCTTGCTACGAAGTAAATTCTACCATGTACATATTTATCTGACAAAAGAAATAAAATGTATCTCATAAGATAAGGCATTCATTCCTTTGCTATAATCATGAGCGCGTTGGAAATATTACGAGAACTTGGATTTCTCCATTTCCACCCTGTTCTCCTGGTCTGCATAGTGCCGAAGCTCTGGGAGTCTTGGAGAAGGCATCTAATCCCCACGTTCGATGCCAGTCATGGGTACCCAGTACATTAATTTCGTTGTTGATTCTAGGAATGAAGCTATTGCATCCCCGGTTGTGAGGAGGGGCGCTCGAGACCGATGAAGCCGAGCGGCAAAAACATCGCCACGGCTTTGATCAAGGTAACTATGATAATCACACCAATGTCCAGGTGATAATGTGGTACTAGTAAAATTGTTGGCAGTTGGAGACTCCGTCAAATACTAAGCACTTGGTCACTGATAACAAGTTATCATAATTACCATTCCAGTGGAACCTCGATAGGACTCGGTACTTGTAGAATTGAAATTCATGAAGGGAACGGCCCAAACAAGATTGGTATCAGGGAAGTTCCCTAATGCAAGCAAAGATGTTTCTCCGGCTTCAGGCATGCTTCGATTGCTCGTCAGGGTCACCATTGCCTTGTAGCAGACAAAGCTCGCATCTGATTATATAAGTTAAGAGCGTATTTGGTTGTGCTTCAGGCGAGCCTTGGAGCGTTGAAACGCGCCGTTGAGGGTAGGTCTCCTGGATGCTGAAGCCAATCATGGCTTCTGGGGTTGAATCGCGAATTGCCAGTGAGGCTTCATGTGTGTCAAGAGGCCGAAAAATTCGATGTTTTTGCCTTCGATTCGCAGCTGATTAAACATCATGGCATGGAAGATATGCATTTCCGGAACTTCCTTGACAGCATCGAGTAAGTCCCAGGTAGCCGACTGTGTCAGCCATGACTCTCCAGCGCTTTCTAGCAACACCTAGAGGGTCTCGGTCTTCGTACCATTTCTCGATATTAGCACCTGGTTGCAGTACTCGGAACTGATTAGCCCATATGTTACGCAGTTCTGCGGCATATGTCGGGTCCTCTTCTGGCGAGAAGCGAGCTTGAAACCTTTGCAGCATCTCACGAGCCGATTGGTTCACAAGTAGGTGTTGGTAGGTCGCCGGCACGCACGATTCAATGAAGCTGGACAGATTGCCTAGGGCTTTGGCCTGGTCGTGACACTTCTTTTTAGCAAGCTCATGCTCGTGATCCTCCTCTTTCAGTACACCCTACATCTGAATGGGTTTCATGCCCTCCCATTCCTTTTCTTCTGTCCTAGCATCGTCTGTCATTTTGATCTGTAGGACATGGTTCCATGAAACTTTGGCCTTAGGCTCGGGATTACTGAGTATCCGAGCCTCTGCCACATCCTCACTGACTTTAGGGTCAAGGATACCCCATACTTGCAGCGATTCGGCTCTTCTTTCCATGGACTAGTAGGCCACGAGTGCTTGCCTGTCAACATATGAGGTTCGCCGCCCGAGGCTGGCGCATTGAAACCCATAGTGATTGTAGGCAATTGCAAGGCAATTGTCTTGCAGCGGTGTCGAAAGCTGTTGTTGTCGCGACACGTAAGGGTGGGGATGTGGTTCAATTCCGTCAAATTCAGGGGTAACCGGCCGCACCGTCAAGCTCTTCGATTGCGCGTTGAAAATAGCGACAAGCTGGCAAGTGGTTGTGAACAGAGGTTGCGAATAGCTTCAATATTGTATACTGTAATATAGGCCCCTAGTAGTTATATAGGGTATTGTATGGAAATGCGGAAAAGTAAGTTCAATTCAGCGTACTTTTACTAGACAATCAATCTAACAAAGAAAGAAATATGCTGACAGAAACGAATATTTCTCCTGTCAAGTCTAGAATGTCTCAGCACGAAACCCCCCCTTCACTTATACTACTGATAATCGAGATCCAACTTTACCTAAGTAGCATATTGTGAAAGCTTCAAGTTCAAACCTTGGACTTGGAACTCTTCAAGTGATTTCAACCTCCGAGTCGGAGTCAATAATATATATTGCTCTACTACTAGTACCAGGCCCCTTTAAATTCCAGGCCCAATCTTGGGACCTTCGACCTCTAGGGCCCGTGAATTGGAATATCTACAGTTCAAATTCAAAGGTCGAAAAATGCTCTGAGTAAAGTTGAATATTCCGCAAATATTCCCATTAGCCTATTTGGCCTTCCATCTACAGGGATCAGGGTTACACCTAGCACACCGCTCTCGTCGTTGGCCGTTATCACTTATCGCCTTCATTCTTTGTTATCAACTTGACTTCCCCACTTCCTGACAACTACAACGCCAACAATTCAAACAACTTGAAAAGCACAAAATGCCACCCCTTCCAAACGCAGTCACAGCTTCCGAGCTCCAAACTCTCTCATCACGCGCTATCTCCGCCAAAGAAGCCGCCTACTGTACTCCCCTCCTCCCAGCTCCGCCTATCCCCGCGTGCGGGGGAGACCGACTTCTCCTCCGCCTCAAGCTGAGTCTAACTGAGCCGACCAGCTAACCCATTCTTACCTTCTAGGCCCATACTCCAAGTTCCGTGTCGGGGCATGTATCATCACTAACGCGGGCGAGTACATCGTCGGCGCGAACGTTGAGAATGTCGCATATCCGGTTGGAACGTGTGCGGAGCGAGTTGCTTTTGCCACTGCTATAGTATGTTCACTGTTCACCTGGTTGTGTTGTGCAAAGCAGATATATGCACCAATATGCCGAAGCTGCATCAAATCTAAGCTAACATATCGGTGATGTATCGCAGGTCGCCGGACACAAGGATTTCAAGGCTATTGCAGTTGCGACGGATATCAAGCCCGGTGCGTCGCCCTGTGGGATGTGTCGGCAGTAGTAAGTATTCCATTCCATTGCATTGCATTATCCTTGATCTCAATGGTCTGAGTTACTAATTGTGTTATTCCAGTATGCGCGAGTTCACGACGCCCTCGTTCCCGGTTTATATGTATGATGGCGAGGGGAACTACACTGTTAAGACTATGGGCGAGGTAAACACCCACCCCTCTAAAACCTCGCGGTACTAGTGATGCTAGCGATACTGACCTTTTTGTCTCTTAGTTACTCCCTGATTCTTTCGGCCCGGCAGATCTGCCGAAGTAAACCATACCCAACCTACTGGGTCTTTCCGTTTCCATATAATCCTAGCATCAGGTGCGGGCAGCCCAAGTCTAAGGCCTTGACAGCATTCAAGTTACGATCTCATGTCGAACATTGATAGTCAGGGGAGTATGAATACACTTGCTTCTCATGTTTGGAGACTATTATTTAAATGTGTAAAGTAAAACCAAGTTAGCGGCCTGGGAACCTCAGGCCCGGGCATTTACGGGGTGCCGACTCACTCCGTTCCTTTACCTCTATGATACCGGAACAGGTGCTCACCTGGGCAGGCGTAATTGCAGTCCGTACTAATGGAATGGTATAAATGAAGCAGTGAATGAATAATCCAAATCATCTATTAACCTTCAAATTAGATGTTCAAGCTGTCATTTAAATTGACGAGTATTCATTCTATCCATAGCCATAGCAATATCAATAGCCAAAACCACAGTTGAAAAGCGGGTAGGTTCAGCTCTATATCTGCCGATGTATTTGCCCGCATATGCGTACATAGAAGAAAGAAAGAAAAATATCAAACCAGGTCCAAGGGAAAAAAGAAGAAGAAAAAGAAAATAGTAATCCGCATCGCTCATAATGACACATTCCAATAAATTCCATCACATTCACAAACATAACATCACATCACCAAATCTGCCCGAAACATGACACACAAGATAAAGCAGAGATAGATAGATAGATAGGAGTCAGGGTAGCGACTAAACTACGCCTCCTCATCCTCCTCAAAATCCTCCGCCCCAAGCAACTCATCCTCATCATCAACAACATGAGAATAATCGCCCCGTCTCGCAGCAAAAGAACCCCTAGACGCATACGGACGTTGATAACCACCCCTAGAACCAGAACCACGCTTAAACAATCCAACGCCACTCCTCCAAAGACTAGAAACAACCAACGGCAAAGCCTGAGCAACAGCAACAACACCCGCAATAACCGCGACAGGAATAGCAAGGGCAACTTCACGCGCACCACCGGCACCAGAACCAGACCCAGACCCGAAGCCCAGTCCACCCAGACCGGAAGACTCGCCTAGTCTGATTTGACCGAATTTGGCATCCCAGCGCGTATACACAAAATAACCGAACGCAGTAGCTGCGGCTATAGGAATGACGATAGCGAAGAAGAGACCCGCACCACTGATGCCGTGTTTGCGGTCGAATTCTTCTTCCTTGTTCGGGCAGGCGTGCATTGTTCCTCTGTCCATTTCGCCGCGGTCGCCGCCTTGACAGGTTGTTTGTGGTAGACGGCGGTAGCCGGTTGGTTCGTAGTATTCTATTAATTTTGGGTCGGAGGCGCAGGCGAGGCTGTGGTCTGGCTTGGGGAGACCGGGGACTAAACCGCAACTACCGTCTGATTGGATTTCATAGTTGTAGTCACTGTTTGAGTTAGCGGGGGTCCATAGGTGTGTATGAGTCGTTAGTTTGTGGTGGGGGGGTTGGCTTACCATTCAAAGTCTGCGCGGGTACAGGTGCAGTTATTCGCGATGATATGCGAGTGTGGCTCACGCCAATTAACCCAGCACTCAGCATCAGTCTTCTTGATATGGTACTGCTCGACATGACCGAAGAGACAATCATCTTCTTGCGAGGGGTGTTTCGGCGTCCACAGATCGAAATCCTTGCTCGCTTCGTCCGAGTCGATATCCGCACATGTCCGACTCCACAAACCGCTGAAATCGAGGTTGATAGTGGCCATCTTCGCGGAGGAGGAGGACGTGACATCTTTACCCCAGAGCAGGAAATTCTTCGACGTATCCGAGGGCACGGTGGAAATGTCAGTGATGGAGATCTCTGTATCCGAGAATTGGAACTCGGTCCAGGTAGCACCGCGGTTCAAACTGTAGTGAATGACCTTGGTAGGCTCGAGTTCGCGAACAAGGACAACGATGGAGCCAGCGTCGCCGAATTCCCACATATAACGACCCTTCATGACGTTTTGCCAGGAAACTCCACCATCCCTGCTGAGGAAGGTATCCGCCTCGTCGCTAGCGGAGAGATATTCGCCAACGTTACCAACGCCGAGAAGGAGACCGATAGCAGAGCCTGAGTAGAATGTATCTCGCCAGTCGCGACGCTCTGTATAGCCATGGATATGCAGGGCACAGTCTTCCGTGCCATGGCCCTGTCCAGCAACGCAGTCGTATTTCTTATTATCGAGATCCCGAACCGGAGGCGAGAGGAACGCCCACTGTCCACCGTCATTGTGAGTAGCGACAGTGCGCAACTTTTTCGATTCGGATTTGCTCTTCACCTCATCCCGATTCACAACGATGTTGGCAATGGCAACACCTTCGAGATTGGCAATGTGCTCATAATCAATGTATCCAAAGTCATTCTCACTCAAGCCCTCCAAACTGGAAATGAAATAAGTACCGTTGCTATTACTCTTGACCAGTGAGCCAAACTTATGCCCAGGCTCGCCGTTCGCCTCAACATTCATGAAAAGCGCATGCTTAGATCCGGGGACGGCAGTGTACTGCTTAACATCGCCGAAAGCAAGGTTATGCGGGAAATGGGCCTGCGCGAAGACCTTTCCATCCATACTGGTGCTGACATTCAAAAACTCATGCTGTTCAGTCGGGTATGTCGCGACAACGAAGAAGCCGTCCATAGTGACGAATCGGGCAATATTCTCAAAGATAACATCCTCGGCGCGAGCCAGTCACGCTCCGGATCGCCGTCGTTGGTAACGAGTTGTCGGTCATTCTTGACTAGCTCGTTTTGGTACTTTTCGCAAATGATGAGATGTTCCGTGCCTTCGACGTTGGGCTGGTATCCGAATACGCATTGTCCGACCCCACTGACCAATTGCTTCCAATTGTTGCCAGAGTTGGTGCTGATGTAGGCATCCATGGCGCAGGAGGCACCATCACTTCCGTCACAATCGTCGGATCCCATCCAAATCACCCAGTCCATGTTCTTCTCGTGGAAAGCCAGTGGACTGATGTACTTGTCGATGTACTTGGTTGGTCTATCAGCACCGGAATGGAACTTCGCTCCGCGATTGGTGGTGTACCAGACTTTCTTCTTGTCGGTTAAGAAATACGCGCCGTCGGTGTAGTGATGATGCGGGATCATCTCGGTGATACTCTCCCCCTTCAGTTGGGACGGTTGTTCCCACTTTTTGCCATGGTCGTGGGTGATCCAGAGTTGGCCATTGGCGGCAAGTTGGAAGATCGTCTCGTCGTCTCCGTTACTGCTAGATTGTCGTTCAAGGTAGAAATATGTCTGTCTGGCCGAGTTGAACAGCTGCGGCTTGCCAACACGAATCTTGCCATCGGCGACGGGAGCACCGGTCGAATTTCCACAGGGCTGTTCCACATCTTTGTCGAGACTTTCGCCACCTTCCCGGATACAGGTGTCACCGGGAATCAATCGCCAGCCCGACGGACCGACGAAGGTATCGTCTGGCTTTTTGCACGTATCGGCAGGGGTGTGCAGAGAGACAGCAGGGAGGCAGCGCTTTCCATCATCGCTACGCTTGAAGTTATAGTCACATTCAAAGTCCTCGGCGGTGCATTTGCAGTTCTCAGCCTTGGGAGAGTCGATGGTAAACTCGTCCTTGATAAAGCATTCCGCATCGGATTTGCGACGACGGAAGACCTGCTTGTGACCCATCAGGCAGTCGGGCTCACCCTTCTCATCCAAACGAGCCACCCAGTCCTCGAAATCATCCTTGTCACACTTGCGCTCGTGAAGCTCGTCAAAGTCAAGCTGGTAGATGTGGAACTTGGGTTCTTTCGTCATGCCAACAAGCACGAACTTCAGGCTAGTCGAGTCCGGCGTGGTCGTGATGAAGAGGGGCTTGATATCGTGCTTCAGCTTGAGCGTCTCCCACTCTTTGCCATGGTTGATCGAGTACCGGACTTCATCGGTGGCATCACCGTCGTCTTTGACAGCGACGATAACACCTCCGTGGTCGCCAAATTCGAACCGGTGAGGTCCTTTGAGTGCCTGTCGCCAAGTCACACCGGCATCGTCGGAAACATAGAGATTGCCCTTTGAGTATTTCTCCAGATAATCACCAGTATTACCCACTCCCATGACAAGTCCAGGCGCCGGACTCGAGAACATCCGACCAAGGGCCACCAATTCATGCAATTCCACATACGAGGTCAGCGAGTGGATATGTAACGGATCCCCATCAGCCTTGAGAGAACTAAACGTCCTCCCATCATCAAAACTGATCTTGGTAGTGAGTTTCTTCTTCTCACTAGGATCCTCTTCAACATCTTCCCAATTCTCAACCGTATTCACCATCACAATGCCCTGAATATCCGCCAACTTCTCAAAATCGACATTCCCCTTAACATTGCGATTCGTATGCTCGATATTCGGATTGAAATAAGTCCCATTCGAGTTCGACGTGAAGAACACACCAACAGGATTCTCATTCAAAACAGTCTGAACATCAACCTGGATACTGTAATTCGTACTTTCCAGAATAGTATACCCATCCTGTTCCAGTCGATGTCCCCCAAATTCCGCGCGATGCCACTCCTTCGAATCATCACTGATATAAAGCGTCTGCTCCAACGTCCCCCTAGACTGAAGCGCAACAACAATATACTTCTTAACAGCAACCATTCGAATCTCAACACCAGGCACCGGCCGCCCACGATCAAGATTAATCTCAACCCCACCATCCTTGAAAAAGTCATCGGACGCGATCAAACGCCTGCGGAAAAAGGCCTCTAACCCTCCGTCCTTCCGACCAGTCACGACACACATAATTCGGTCAGCGAGTTTCTTCACGGACTCAGATTCCAAATCCCGACCGAATTCAGGCGTTCCAGTCGCCCAGGTACAATCAAACGTATCCTCATCCTTAGCCAATTTCTTGACCGTCTTAAAATCATCAAGCGTATAATACGCCGTCGGAAGACACCCATGAACCGAACAATCGCGTCCCATAAAGATAACCCTCTTCGCATCGGATCCATGAAACCTCAAGGGCGAATACTTCCTCGAATCATTAGGCGTAGTATCAACCTCGAATGAGTCCCAGGATTTACCGCGATCAGTGGTAATCCAGCCCTTACCGCTCTCGCCAAGGGCATAAGCGCGAGTATCATCAAACGGGTGCGCTTGTAGCATGACGACAGCGCCTTCCATGGCATCGTGGGGTCCTTTGATGATGGACCATTCTTTACCGCCATCTGTGGAGATATATGCGTTTCTTGCGACGGGGTCTTCGAAGATGATGTTGTTTGAACCGGTGAAGTAGAAAAGGTTATTGGGTTGACGGTCGAATTCGGAGGAGTGGGCTTTTAGTTTGTTTTTTCCTCCTTTTGCGATTGTTGGGGTGGTTAGGAGTGCTAGGAGCCCGATTACGAGCAGCAACCACCGTTGGATCATGATTGGGGACGTGTCGGCATCGGAGGGTGGACTCGGAGGTGGAGTGGGAGCCTAGCTGGTGATGACGGAGGTGGATGGAGATGGAGATAAGAGGTGGTATTGGAGGATGGAGGAGGTCGAGTGGTACCAGCAATCACAATCGATAGTGGAGGATAGATAAGAAGAGAGTAGAGGGAATGGAATAACCCGGGAAGATGAGATGGGGTGGGATAAGGAAGAGTTGGAGGTGAAGTTGGAGCTGGAAAGGCCGAGGCCACGCAGCTCCGTATCACGTGAGTGGTGGACCGGAAGTGGAAGTTGAACCATGGAACAATTAAAGATCAGCGAAGTATGGAAGTAGATAAATGTAAACAATTAAGTATTATATACTAGTATATATATATATATCTGCTTGAAAACAGCAGATATTAACAGTTGGTGCTGGTTAGTGCTGAAGTATACCGGGTGATCGACATGCAGATGCAACTCAGGGCAGGGACAACTAGTAGACATAAATACAGATACAGATACTAGTATAGATAGTGCCTAGAGATACCAGTACAATTACCAATACCATGTTTATAGTATATTAATGCCAGCACTGGCTTCAATGGATTATCAAAGATAGTAACAGAACCAAGCGGCTTAGCAGCAGATATATACAACGCTGCACTATATACAAAGCCAGTCCGCGTCTCAAAGCAAAAAGGGGAATAAGAATAAAGAAAGACGAAGCGAAGCACGACGCGACGCTTCAAAGAAAGAATAAAAGAAGTGAAAAGGAGTGAAAGTTGCCACTGCCACTGCTGCTGCCGCTGCTCACACCCTCCGCCGTAACTTCCTCCACATCTTCCTCACAACACCCTGCTCCTCATCCAAATCATCCCAAATCTGCTGCGTACGATCAGCCGGCGGAAGCGCCGCCAGACGCAAAGGATCATCAGGCGTAGCAGACGGGGTCGGAGACTCCTCACGCAGGTCCGGGCGGGTGAGAGTCATTTTCAGAGTCATCTCGCGATTACCCGGGAGGCGGTGCGGGGTCTTGCTGGTTGATTTGGGGAGAATGGATTGACGGCGTTGGAGGAGGGATGGGGTATTCGTATGTGTATCGACGGAAGGGCGGGGAGTATCTCGCATTGAGAGGCGGGGGAAACTTTGCATCTGAGGCTGGGGTGGTGCTACGGCGGCGGGTGCGGAAGCTGATGTAGATCCCGCCGCGGATGTAGATGTAGGTGCGTACCCTCCGTGTCCGGATCCCGGAGCAGAAGTGGAGGTTGGCAGGGAGGGTTCTTCGATTGAGTCGCCTGGGCTACCGACGACGTTTCCGTCGTCATCTTCGAAGAAGGTTCCCGCGCAGGTGCGGGAGGGCCTGGGGGATGTTGGTTCTGGGGAGATATTCTCCTTGTTTTGTTGGTTGTGGATTTGGTCTAGAGAGGGGAATCCGAATTCGATGGCCTCGTCGAATTTCTGCGGGGAAGCGAGATAGACACGGAGTTTGAGTCGGGCATCGGGATCATGGTAGTATTGGGCTGATGGGTCGATGCTGGAAGTAGACGATTTGGCAGCGTGGCTGCTTTGCAGACGGCGCGATGGAGGCCGGGATGTTGAGCGGCGATTGGAGCGCGGGGTGATTGGGGAGAGAGGGGAGAGAGGCGGGAGTGGTGATAATGGTTGAATGGTATGGCTGGATGGGAAAGCTCGGGTTGGCATGGACGGTGAAGCTCGGTGTTTCATTGTGTTTGTGGAAAAGGAGAGCGAGCGTCGAAAGGAAGGAAGCCGAGGGATTTTGGCCTTGCCTGTCGCGGCATTGGCAACGTGTGAGTGGTACTCGTCCAGCGAGAGATCGAGATCGCCATCTTCATCCAGCCAGCGAAAGCTGTCATAGATGGATTGGTCCATGGTGGAACTTGAATCCCACTCGGAGTCGTCCGAGTCGGAATCGTAGAAGACAGTAAAAGGTTGAGCCACGGGCAGCGTAGATTCTGAGGGGAGGGTATCGCTGGAGGAGCGCCGGTGGGAGTGGGAGTGAGAGTGGGAGGAACGATTGCCTCGATAAAAAGCCTCGTCCGCGGCGTCACAAATGAGGCTTTGTCGATATGTGCGACACAAGCGACGGCGTTCCTCAGGGGAGAAAAGCTTTTGTTGGAGTTTAGCGGGGAGAGAATGAAAGCATTGCGAGTCCACTTGAGTGGCCAGGGCAGCCAATTGCAGGGAGTCGGGCTTGCGTAGTTTTTTAGGGGAGCGAGAATGGGAGCGATGATGGGAGTAATGGGGGTGATTGGAATGATGATGACGATGATGGAATCTCGAGCCCGAGGACCTCTTCAAGGAGATTGAAGGGGAAGGACGAGGGCGAGTGCGAGGGTGAATCGAGGACAAAGTCGAGGGGCTCCGCCGTGGACGGATGGGCCGAGCCCGGGGGGAACTGGCGGCATTGACAGGATGGTTTGGCGTGGAGCAGGGATCGCTCTGATCTAACCGAAAGCGCAAACGCTCGACATTCGAGAAGAACTGGTCGAGTCAGCGACGAACACTTGTGGAGAGAAAGTGGGGGCGATAAGTGACGATCCAATGTTGAGCCAGCGGAGAACCAGCGGAGCGCACTATCGAGTGCCCCTGAGCCAGCTGAGCCAGCTCAATAATGGTTCACACTAGTGATCCACTGGGGGTGGTGGTGTGGCACACCGGACCCAGACAGGTAAAGCCGAGCACTCATGAAGAGTGGCATGGGATGGAATGGAATGGAATGGGATGGGATGAGTGGGGGATGGTGATGTGAGGAGGTGAAGTGAAGTGAAGTGAGGTTGAGGAAGGAAGTCACCTGGTCAGAAAATCAGGAGACGAGGGAAGCCCTACTTTGCGACGAACAGCCGGAGGAAGAGACTCAAAGTCTTGCGAATTCATTGCAGAGGACTGCGTAAATGAAATGAATTGCTGAATTATTCAGTCCTAGATCAATTGCCAGTGTCAGTGATCATAGATTCACAGCCAGGCTGTGTGTGAGCAATCAGTCGGTGTATGTATACTAAGTATACTCGTACACTGCCGCCTGCAAGAAGCGAGGAGCTGCTCTAAATAAGAACTTGAATTCCACCTTGAACCCGAATCCAAGCGCTTCCTGTCAGGCTTGACCCAAGGTCAAAGAAAGGCAAAAGTCACGCACAGACGTTGAGTACCTGTCAGAGTATGTAGTGGAGTGGAGCCAGCGCGACGATGGATGTGATGAGATGTGATCAGTCGTGAACAGCTCATCGACTCGACAGCAAACGGTCGGCGTAGCATGGCAAACAGGTGTTCTTGGTCTGCAGAGATTACTAGTATCCTTGAGTGTTCTGTTTCTGTTAGCTAGGTATTTCCTCGAGTATTCTGTTTCACTACACTGCAACTGGTATGCTATTGTATACTGCGACCCTTGATGTTATACGTTACACAACCTTGGAATTAACTTAGGCCGACACCCAACTTGAACCCACCCGGGAATGATGACAGCCTTGCGCGGTGCAAGTCTGGATCCGCAAGGGGTGGAGTCTGTTTGAGTGCCAGTGCCATGCCCTCATCGTACATACTTCAGATGGATCGAACGGTGGGATCTCAGATCGATCGCATGGATGTGATATATCATGATCCGAGTCTGCCAGTGGTACGAACATGTTTGTGACTTGGTGCAGAGTACTTAGAAGTATAGTACTGTATACTTATCCCTAGCTACTTCTCCCAGTACAAAATCACTTCAGTGTACCTAACCCTGTCAGGTCTACCTACAAGGGATCTCCCACCCCATCCATCCATCAGTCTGGAGGTCTGCTGTACTGTGCTGTCCGTACCTGGCTACTAGCAACCCGGCGCTAACTGAAACAGTATAGCGACCGGCAAACGGCAAACAAACAAAGAAAAGAAAAGAAAAAACGTGGGAATACGAGAAGCCGCGGAGAATAACCCAACAATTGCGAGTGATAACAACAGCAAACTAAGAATCCACTAGAGTAGACTATTTCAACTAGATCAACAGTTCGTATTGTCCGTAGGTTCAAGAGAATTCGTGTCATATCAATAAAAAGCAAGGTAGTACAAAAGTACATGTACGTATATGCATTCCTATCTCCTTGGTACTTGTACTTCGTATCCACTGTACCTAGTGTAAAGCATACCCCTCGATATGATGTGATCTATCAACCCCACACATAACTCTGTCTCACAGCAGTTCAGTTCAGTTCAAGTCAAGTTCCCTACAGTAGTACATGTATGTACGTCAATCTAATTAATTATCGAACAGGTCCAAAGAATCACCCCATAGAACAAACTAGAACCTGCACACAATCCAGCCCAAACCAAACCAATCCAGCCCGAAACAAAAAGAAAAGAAAAGAAACGAAAATCTTCCATTCCACGCGAGCCGTGAGCCGGAGCCGAGATGCGAGTAATTTCAATTTCAATTTCGTTCGAATAGAGATCAATAGTTATACCCCTACCCTACCCTACCCCTACCCTCCCTAGTCTAGTGCGAGGTCAGGCGAGGCCAGCCGTTGCGCCACACCACGCTATCCCATGCCATCCTCACCCCCACATCAAACAAAGAAATGACAAGACAAAAAAAGAAATGAGTCGCGCTAGTTTGGCACTAGGATTTAGTGAACTTTCCTCGCTACGAGGACCATCCCCTCAGATCAAGCCAGGTCAAGTTAAGCCAGGTCCAGGTCGAGGTCCGGGTCATCTCAGCTCCACATCTGACGTGTCTGGTGCCTGACCTGCCAGTGACTCGGACCTTGTCCTGAACACACATGCATACAGTACACACTAAGTTACGCCTCGTACATCCCCAGTATGGTCCTCGTAGACTCCAATTCATATCTGTATTGTATCTATCTATCCATCCATCCATCTAACTAACCACCCCTCCCCTCCCCTCCCCTCCCCTCCCCCAACTACAGCGCATTAAGAACCTGCTGCATAGCGAGGGTATTCGAATCCTCACGCCTAGAAACATAAGCCCTAACCTCCATAACACTAAGTTTAACCTCCTGTCTCTGTCCAGACCCAGACCCAGACGCTGAGCCCGACCCTGAAGCCGAACCCGAGCCCGACCCCGACGCAGACACGCCAGAACCAGCCTGCGAACTCCCCGCAGCCGTCGCACCACCCCCACGAATCCGTTCACGAAGCGCCTCAACGCCAATAACAAACAAACTGCCCACTTCAAGCAACACGTCCAGCGCGCCGCCGGGTCCTTTAATTTCAGGATCGATGTCCCACGATCGGAGGAGGTCGGTGTATTGAGTCATATCTTTTGTGACCATTAGACCGCCTGGACCGGAGACGGGGAACTTTTTGAAATGGTCTAGTAAGAGGCCTCGGGTGCGCATGGCGATTTCTGTGAGGACTTGGCGGATGTTGGCGCCGCTTTTGGGGAGGGTTGTTTTGGCGATTGTGTGGAGGCGGGAGAGGAATGCGCAGATTGAGGCGCAGGTCTGGATTGGATAAATGTTAGCGGGGTGCAATGGGGGGAGCAAACAGCGTAGTCAAGCCAAGCTGAGTCAAGTCAAACGTAGAGATGGGGAGATAGGGCAATTTGTGACGACTTGGCTGATCTGACTGCCGCTAGACTGATCACTTCACTTCACGTACCGGCGTTTGTAGCATCTCCAACCATGACGCATTATCAGTATCTCGCGGGCGGAAATCATTCTTCTTCTGGCCCGAGAGTAAACGAGCCACCCAAGCCAGGGTCCCGTCAATCATCTTCTGCTGAATAGTATTGATTTTCTCCTCAATACGAGAAGTCGTCTGACTCGTACGCTTCTCCATATCCCGCCTTGTAGTGATACTACCAGCAGCCAATGGAAGCAGTACTGCATTCGCACACATCACCATCAACGTAGTGATACTAATAGTCGTTCTGACAGACGGAAGATACGCAAAGTCAGGCTCATTCTTGCCAGACTCTTGCGACGTGGCTGCTTCAAGGGCTGCATCGAGGCAAACATCGATGTATCCATCGCCCATCATGATTAAAAGCACGTTCAGCATAGCCGAGACATCTTTGTGGGTATCTGTGTTGACGCTCAGTTCTAGTCCACGGCCCACAGCCTCAGCCAGCCACTTCAGCATTCGTTTGACGTCGCTGAGATTCGGCTGTCCGTCTTCCTCGGTCAGTTTGATCTCCGTTAATCGGACTGTCTCAGGGACCTCGCCTATCTTTGCGACGTGTAGGAGCATTCGTCGCTGGATCGGGGAGACCTCGGGGGAATCGAGTCGGGAGATGAATGCATCGCGTGCGGTGGAGAGAAGCTCGGTGCCGGGTCGAGAGAGGGAAGCCATGAATGTTGTGGCGGCCTTCTTGCGACGAGCTTGGTAGGTGGTAAATTTGAATAAGACCGCGTTGAACAATTCCTCCAACGTGCGTCGTTCACGTTCGATATAAGATGATCCAACGAAGTAGGGAACGAACAGTTCTTCCAGCTGTTGATCCAAGAGAAGCGCACTTTGAGACGAAATAGCCTCAGGGTGCTCAGTCAACCCGTGTGCTTTAAGATCATCAATCAAAGCACTGATATACCCCCGAGAACTCTGCAAACATCGTAGAAACGCCAACGAGGACACCCCGCTAGCCTTCTCCAGCACCATCTCCAATCGCTGCTGAATCGACTGCTGAAACACCCGCTGAAGAAACTTGCCCAACACCTGCTCGTAGTAAGGAAATGCACGACGGATAATCGCTGACTCCTCCTGAACGACGACTTTAACCTCATCAAGAAGAGATTGTAAACTCGGCTCAACGCCCGGCAATTCAGCATCCGGATCAGCGACGCGCTCCCAGGAATCCTCATCACCACCAACCTCCTCCAACTCGTTCCGGCTGCGATCAATAAAGAACTGATGCTGATTCACAAACAGAGCAATAACACTAGCTCCACCATTAAAATCCTGCAAAACAGTAGCACAATCCTTCATCCCATCGAAATTGGCCTTTCGATAGAAATCATCAAATTGCTTCAAAAGGTCCTTTTCCAGAGTTTCCGAGAATTTCTCAATCACTTCACGCGTATTGCGACGCGGCGGACTCCCACTCCCACTCCCACTCCCACTCCCCTCACGACTAACATCTTCAGAAGAAGCATTTGAGCTGGTCGCATTGCCATTGACATTACTGTTTTCGCGTCCATGTCCATTGGCAGTCCCACTTCCAATAATCTTCCCACTTGAATTCTCCCTCCAACTCGACGGATCCAACCGCTGGCTAATGCGCAACAATTGCCTCGCAATATGCGCACTGCGAACCTTGGCCTCAGCAGTCCCCGATCGTCGAAGATTCTCCAGCAATGAAATTTCACCCCGATTACTCACGCCTTCCCAGCACTCCAGTAAGAAATGAGCATCCAATGCCCGGCGGCGCTGGCGATCGAGTTCTTCTAGCTTTTTGCCTGTTTCCACGGCCATATTTCCTGTTCCTCCGCCGGCGGTGCTTCCAGGACCATTCCCATTGGCATTCACGGCCCCGCTGTCCAACCCGCTAGTGCCATTCAGAGATGTATCGAGTTGTTGGAAGGACTCGATTGTTTGGCGGAGTTTGCGGCCTAGCGTGGTTAGGTTCTGCGAGTGTTGGGCTTCTGCGCGGCGGACGGCGGCGGAGAGTTCATTTTCGCGGATCTCGAGATCGCCGGAGAGATCGCCTAGTCTGCGCTGGGCGTGTTCGAAGGTGCGGATGAGGGGTTTTGGATCGAAGGGTTGGTTGGGGGTGGAGGTTGAGGTGGAGGTTGATGTGGTGGTGGTGGGGGCTGCGATGGTTGAGCGGCGGTTGGATATGGCTGTGTCGGAGAGGGCCTCGATGAATTCTTTTACGATGAAGTCGCGACTTGAGAAGTCTTCGAGGGTGAAGCTGGGTCCCATGGGGAAGACGGAGCGGGGGGTGGATATTGTGGATGCATTGTCGGGTGTCATGATGCCCGGGCCAGGGCTCCAGGGTTCCCTGGGAGGTAGAGAGGTAGATGTGTGCGCAATTGTGGGAGTAGAGTGGTGGTAGTAGGTTATTAGTGTAGGTGGTGGCGGTGCGCAGTGGTGGTGGTGATGGTGAGAGGTGTGGTGGAGGTGGAGGAGAAGTGAAGGTGGGAGAGTTGGAGAGCGGAACGAATCCGGGGAAGCTGCGGCGGCAGTACTCGGCGTAGTAGTATACCTACTAGTTAGTTAGTAGTAGCCTACTATAACTACAGTATAGCACATAGCATATGGTATATAGTATATAGTATATAGTATATAGTATATATACTATAAGGCACTGTTATATTTAATAATCACCTATTTACTACAATTCTGTCCGATGATTACATTCAATATAGCCTAAAGGAACTTTAAGAATTCTACTTTGAGCTACTCAGCATTAGTAAGCAAACTGGTATATCTTTGGTACTTACTAGTAGTATAGTAGTATGTTGCATCATAATTCTATATAGCAGAGTAGCTGAGATGCCCTAAATTATGAATTCAAAGGTTACCTAGGTGTAAAGTACTCTGAGAGTATACTAGTAATACTAGTACTAGTAGTATACTACTAAGTTACCCTACTTATGGGCATGCCTATATCACGTATAAGCTTCACGAGTTAAGTGACATTCAACTATAAACCATTCCCATCTTGCGCCAGAACATATTTACCGGTTTTCTTCCAGTAACAGATGAGCAAATGTAGGAGATCTTGCTGGATTATCGACTGCGGGAAGCAGAAATTGATTGTCATTTCCCATGTCCGCTAACAGATCCGACGACTCAATCAGCACTTGCTCCGCTTCCACATCCTTATTGATCCAAAGCATGCGTCGGATCACCCATCGACCCTCCCTCGAGGTGGAGGAAGCCATCTTAGTCCATTTGTGATATCCCACCAGGGTAAGGAGCTGAAGCGGAATTGCCGCAATAGGCATTCGAGGGCGATGGCTTAAGACTATTGGTTGCGATCAGAAAAAAGCAAAGAAACATTGGGAACACATCCATCGCTCAAATTGATCAGCCTTCTCAGCTTGTCGGCCCCGCGACCGCTGGGGGGACATGATCAGAGTCGACTCCCCCAACGCCGGCAAGTTCAAGACATCGACCGCCCCTCTCAACGCCAGATCATACTATCCCAACATATCTGTTCAGCGTCTAGCGTCCAGCGTCCAATACGCCCAGACAGGCAACTATCTGAATCATCGAAGCAGAGTCACCTTCTCCGTGGACAACGTGTGACGCCATGGAGCTAGCGCCACGCAGACTAACGGGCGGCCGCCGAACAATAAAGTGCGAAACGTGTCGGGACCGCAAGGTAAAATGTGGTATGTAGACCGATTCCTTCATCTACTACATAACTTTATTCCATGGTTCATGCAAGACCCCCCCTCGCCTCCCCCATCGTCGACAGCCCCGCAGGTTCGTATCACATCACATCGTGAGTAACAGCTCTCCAGATCGGCAGGAGCCATTCTGCGCAACGTGTAAGAAGCTAGGCTACACTTGTCAAGGGTACATTTCATCCCTCGTGATTGTTCCCTTTCAGCCAGTGTGGAAGAGCGCTCTTCCCAAGGGCAAAGAGTTGGGCGAAAGCAGTACTCGGGCCTCTGCTACTCGACGGGCAATGCCAGTTTCGATATCTACCTTAGCTCCCGACCCGATTTTAGTCTCCTGTGAGTATTTCCTCCTTCGGCTTGTCGGCAACAGAACCCATTTCCAAGGGTCAGGAATTCCTAGCCTTCTGTGTGCATTTCTGGATAGAGCATTACCAGTTGGCTCCATGCAGCACAAATGTATGAAGGCGCTTACTGTGAGCTATTACTCCACGACAGCTCTGGGTCCTCGTGGAAGCTTCTCTGGGGAAACCATGAAGACATATTCCTATGCTCTGAGGGCCGTTCAGAAAGCCATCGACCAAGGTCTCACAACTGGATCGGACATTTTGATGAGCATAATGTGCCTTTGTCTCTACGAAAATATTGTCGTTACAGAACCAAGGTCCTGGATCGAGCATTACAAGGGTATCTCTCGTCTGGTAAAAGGCCTTTGATAGAGTACAGTTGCTGCTGCTGTTAGTTTGGCTAATCTTCATCGTAGATTGAGATAAATGGGCCGGAGCATTATCGAAATGGAAGGAACAGAGATATCTTGCTGGCCTTCCGCTATACAATAGTAAGTATATTAATCAACTCGACAGTGCCTATATCCATGGATATTCCTTGAACAAGAGTAGTAACACGACTAGATTGTGAGCGCTGGAACGCTTCATCAGCCGTGCTTCCTGGCCGAGGGACGTTGGAGGAAAGCTATAGAACTGACCGAAGATGAATCACGCAATATATTTGACACTTTGCTCAATATCGCAGTTGACATCCCCGGTCTCTTACATGGCCTGGATTGTCTAAAAGATGGCAAACTTCCGAACAGATGGAACCGGTCAGTCTTGGAAATGAATCTAAAACAAACTTTGACGGCACTTCGACAGTGGCAAGACACCACTTTGTTCTGGAATAGTGCAAGTAACTTGAACAACTTTCCCCTAAGATCTGTCGCCCAAGATGCCTCCGCAATCGCCTTCCACCACATGGCCCTTCTTCTCATAGAAGAACTGTGTTACCTGCTTGAGGTCCCATGGCTACCACCATCGCCTCCGTCGTCAAGAGTGTCGGTCGGGATGGACAGATTATCAACCGCACTCACACGAGCGCAGCGCAGACACTCTCTGGCAAGCGAAATTATATGCCTGGCACAGCAATCTATAGGCAGTGACACGGGCGTCTACGGAGTCCTATGTTTCATCATGCCCCTACATGTAGCTCGTGACCATCTCCTCCCTGCGAGTCCGGAGATTGGTGCCATTGAAAATCTCATGAGTACCGTTATGGCTGGGCAACATGGGTTTCGTATGGCGAGGCGGCACGAGGGGATGTATACGTCCTTCCCGGGATCAAGCTCTACTATCTAGGGTTTCATTGATCTAGTTAATTCCTTTGAACCGTGATAGAGGCACGAGGGCGGTTAGTGGATGGCTGGTTCTGGTGATCATACCTACCTATGTACATCCAGCAATAATGGGGGTGACTTTCAGGCCGCAAGAGAGAATGCGGATTAGGCTTTTACTATTCGAGATCTTGCTGCTCCCCAGAAGAAATAACTAGCAAGCTGGTGCTGTGGAGCACGGAGCACGCCTTTTGATTGAGATTTTCCGAACCGTCTTGATATAAGCGTTGGTTGATAATCCCCGGGCTCCTTGCAGCATAGAAGTAGCATTCTTTTGCGGGACCGTCTACTTAGCATTCGTTAGGCGGTTTCCAATTTTTGTCGGATTGACTGGATCCTTGTCATTTTGGATGGCATCCACAATCAAGATGTATTTCTATCTGATCCGGGGCAATAATATAGCAATGTGTTGCTTAGTTCAAATATTCACAGCATGCTGCGCCATTCAAAGAAAACAGAGGTGATGCCAATGGGGATCAGGATACCGAGGATGACCAGGACAAATATCTATTTGGACCACCGCTGGATATTCCCTCGAGTGTTGAAGCTATTGAAAATATGCATAAAGCTCTTTGATCTGCTCAGCACCCAGAGGGTATTACTGAGAGAGATCTACGTGATATAGAGAGAATCGCTCATCTTTTTTTTTCTCGATGCGAGATCAATGGGAGGAAGTAGAGGGCACTTTCAGGGTCGCTGCGGGTGACCCTCAGGGTAGGGTCCAGGTTCCAGGACTTGGACCCAAGTGAGGGTCATGCCGAGGTCTATCCTTGATGTGAATACGATGTATTCTGCTGATATCTGAAAGTCATTGTGTAACCCATGTCTCACTGGCATGCAGTACGGCTCTTGAGAATGACGAAATCCTACTCGGATAAACTATGCATTATAGGATCAAAATATAACACTTCGTGCAGCTGCAAGCTCCGGAAAAGGAAGTTGAGGGCGATAGCGAATCACGGGCGGCCTTGCGAATGAACCAAGAAGCATCGAATTCAGCTGTAAAGCTGTAACCCCCTGACCACCCTTGCCCGCATCTTTACATCTTTACCTTATTGGCAGTGAACAGTATTACTCTATCTTAGAGGTAACACAACTTTCGGCCGCCTTTGCTTATGAGAGCTTGGGCTTGGTGTGTTGGAGCTGAGATTGGTGGCCTCATTAGGACCAGTCCGTTGGGCGCGTCAATGCCGGTATTGAACGTAAGATAAATGGACATTGCCCGTATGAAATGTCAGATGCTATGGTGTGGTTGGCTAAAAGTTGGTGATTTTGAGTAGCAATGCAGCTCTGGAGGCACCAGGCAACCTATTTACAAAGGAAACTCTATTGGAAGCCTCTGGGTGAGGACTTGGGGTCCAAAAGTTGCAAAAAGCAATGAATCATCCCCTGGTAAGTTCGCACCTAGAGTAGAGTGAGACTTGCGGGAATTTTCACGGCCAAAGATATAAATAAGGTGAGAACCCCTCCAGAGAAAAGGCAAATAATAGAACCAAAGAAGACTTGAAGTTCATCCTCACTCATATTTTTCATTCGATTTTACGACACGACAAAATGCCTCGAAACAGAAGAATAAATCCAGACATCATTCCAAAAGAGATCTATGACCATGATTTCGATCCAGACCGTCATTTTCGACTACTCGAAGTCTGGCCAGAGCCCCATTCTGGACAGTTGCTCGGGAGACTTATTCCTGTGACTCGACCGAATATTGAGAATCACGACCAGAATCGTGCCCAGTATTGGGCTTTGTCTCACAGCTGGCGTGACGCTTCCGATATAAAGGACCCTGTCCAAATTAATGGTTGGCGGGTTGAATTGAACCGTAACATAATCGCGGCCATCCTTCAACTTGGGCAAGACGGCCATGATGTTTTCTGGATTGACACAATATGCATCAATCAGGAGAACGAAGATGAAAAGTCGGCCCAGGTCATTCATATGGCCGACATTTATACCTACGCTTGGCGTGTTTGTGCATGGGTAGGCCTTGATAATGGGGACTGGACCGAAAGGGCTATAGCATGCCTTGGGGAGTTGGGCACCCAGCCACTTGATACACTTTCCGAGGAATTTCGCAATGAATGTTTGGAAATTACGGATAAGTTCATTGCTAGATCATGGTTTGAACGACTGTGGGTGATTCAAGAAGTCACACTTGGTGCAGACCAAGCCATTATCCAGTGCGGTCGATTCGGTCTCCCTTATGCCACGGCTTTGGCAGCATTTCGGCAGATCTACAGTCTTTGGGTGACAAATGGACAGCCACCTGTTGATAACTCGGCCTATCATATTGCCTGGCGTACGCAGCATTTCGTTGCAGCCGAGGAAATTTTGGCTAGAACGCAACAGGGTCAGAAAGTAATGCCATTTAACCTGGCTATGAAGCTTGCACGTATGGATCATTTGGGTGTCTCGGATGACCGTGATCGGATTTGGGGTCTTCTAGGCCTGTTACCTGAAAGATACCGCTATGAATTCTGGCCAGATTACGAGAGAGTTGAGTTCTGGGAATTGGAGGCTAAGGCCATGCAGCTTTGTCGTTCTCCGCTGAACGCTCTAAAGGAGGGGGAAATTACACAAGAAGAACTTGACCACGCGGCTCGCTTGAACAAGGAATTATGAAACAGATATGCGAGATGGAAAGGTTTGAATTTATCTGACAGTTTTAGTTTTAATACCAAGTCCATCAGAAATTAGCATGAGGTGGAATTCTCGGGTATATACTTCCTTCTGTGTAGTATTCATGTTAACTGGTTAGTATTCTTAATTCCGAGTCTCTGATACTATATAATTAATAATAGCTATAATAGTTAGAATTTCCAAAGCCCGGGCTCTGGAGGCTGATCAACTTGCTGGGGCAGTTTTACTGTAGTCTACTACTAGTTAGTTAGTAGCACAGCCATACTCAGTGTACTGCCACTTGGCCTCAAGGCAGGCAGCATCATTAGATCATTAGTCTATATATGTATTTTAGTCTACAATATTTTTATTTATGAATATAATTAGCTACTAAATATTTCAGAGTATCCTCTAAATATTCTACTTGTTCTATTCTCTCAGTATAGTTAGGTGTTACCACCACTACTACTAAGTACACCAGCATACTAGTTACTATAACTACTACTAGCATCACCACTTCCGCTTTCCACCGCCTCTCCTCATCTCCCCATCTCCCCATCTCCCCTCACCACCTCCCCCCGGGCACACCACCACAATGCCCTCAACCTCGCGCAACACCATCCGCGCCCAAATAAGAAACAAAGGCGAATCCCTCACCCCAGCCGACCGCGAAGCCCTCTTAAAACCCTACCTCCCGGACCCAGCAGACCTCGCAACCTCCCGCTCAGCCCGCTCATCCCGCCGAAGCAAAAGCAAACAGCCACGCAAAACCCCGATCCGCACCTTCATCAAGTCACAAGTCCACCGTCTCGCCTATGCCCTTACACATATCATCTTCGGCATCGTCGTCCGCTTAATCCAAGCCTACCACGCCGTCGTTGACCGAATTCTTGCGATCGTTTATCACCACCACCGCACGCCGGAATTGATTCGGAAGGATGTGCGCTCTCTTAAACGATTGCCGCAGCATTTGAGTGTTATTCTCACCTTGAGAACGGAAGATGACGCCCTCGCTGTACTTATGGATGAAGTCGCTGAGCTTACGGCTTGGTGTACGTGCGCGGGAATTGCGCAGTTGAGCGTTTATGAGAAGAGTGGTAAGTTAAGTGCTGCATCGCCAGAGATGAGATGAGATGAGACGAGACTTCGTTAAGAAGGAGCAAGAGCTGGAACAATACAATGACTGACGCTGACCTCTCCTCCCCACTACTACAGGCGTCCTAAAATCCTGCATCCCAGCCCTCCACCAAATAATCTCCACAAAACTCGCCTCTTACCACGGCGTATCGCAACAACCCTCCCTCCAACTCTACGCACCACACCACGCCGTGCACGGGAGTCCCAATCCCAGCACTGCGGCCACAGACTCAATCGCTCCTCCTCCTCCTCTCCTCAACAGACGGCCGCGAAACAATCGTCGACCTAACAAAAACCCTCGCAGAAATGTCTCAGAACGGAAAACTCTCGCCAGAGGATATTACCCCTGAACTCGTTGATGCGGAGATTACGGAAATCACGGCGCATCCGTTGCGAAATGGTGGCAGCAGTAGCTCTCGCCCCACCAACGAAACTGGTGCAGCTGGCGACGATCTACTCAAACCCGAACCAGATCTGTTACTTGTTTTCGGCCCCTTCCTTAAATTAGATGGGTATCCGCCTTGGCAGTTACGGTTGACGGAGATGTATTGTACCGGTGATCGGAGTCATGGGGCAACGGGGATGGGGACTCGGTTGAGTATCAGGGGTTTATGAGGGGTTTGTGGCATTATGCTGGGGCTCAGATGAGGTTTGGGAGGTGAGGTTAGGTGGTTCCAACGCAAAGGGAGAAGAAGGAACTGAGATGAGATGAGAAAAGTGGTGAGGAATAGATTTATCTTGGGTTAGGTGCCAGTGGGTGGTGATGGTGATGGTAATTGTATGGGCTATGTTATACCCTGTGGCCTGGTTGTGGCCGCGTTGAATTAATTCTAACAGTATTATATCTTGTTGTGTTATATTATATTATTTTAGTATTATATTAGTTTTATCTGGTTCTACTAGAAGGTCCATCACTCCAGGACAGCTGGTATCTTACAGCTACTAGTGGCAGCTCCCAGGCGCTGTTTATATGGACACTTCCGAGGTCATTCCAGATCAATATACTACACCCTAACGCTAAGTAACGGTAAAATGGGCGCCGGAAATGGTTGCATTCGACGCCAGCTTAAGCGTTCCTTTTACCAAGTTCTTAGTCATTGAATCTCTGCGTGACTAGCCTGCGAATCATTACATTTTCTTGCCACTTTTGCTATTATATTGAAGCCTTCTTTGATTTTATTCTTCGGCTTGTCTATTTACTGGAGGAGATCACTATTTATGTCGATTCTTGAATCTCTTGCCACCATAAAAGCAAATAAGCCTAGTGTTGAATACTAGCAGTAACGTCGTCAGTAACTGGAGAGAGGCAGTACTAGCAATCTACTATAAAACCTAAATTGAGCCTCAGTCCGTGTAAAGCGTCACACGTAACGGTACGGTTGCAGACAAGCTCGAAGGCCCGAATACTCGAGGCAAGTATCACCCAGGAAACCCCGTTTCACTGCGCTCCATCACCCTTGACATTCTACAGTTTCTTCCTTTTTAGCTAACAGCTCTTCTCCCCTACGCGAGGTTTTTACGGGCTCTGCAGGGCTTGCGCTTTACATCATTGTTGCCGGGGAAATGATTTACCAAAAATATTAATCAATTTTGCGGTTGTCCCACGTCACATTTGTAGTATTCTTTCGACATCATCCAGCCCTGTCATTTTTTTGACCGTATTGTCCAACACTCCGAATGGCAAAACACTTCCAATTCGCACTAGCCAAGCCTTAGTTCCCTTCCAAATATTCGGTGGAGGTTGACTTCTTAAAAGGTCTGTCACAACCAAGCTTGCCCATTTTTGTGACGGCATACCAGAATCCTCAAACAGCTCACCTCGAGTCGCTCTCTCCACAGCCCCTTTTGCCTTTTCATAAATTGACCCAGCGGGCAAAAAGCCCCCTTCATCCTTTCGTTGATTCTTCTGGAAATTTGATTGGACAAACCCGGTTTTGAGGTCCACGACTCTGATACCAAACGGCTTGAGCTCTAGCCGCTGCGTATCGGAAAAGATTGCCATCGCAGCCTTCGAAGCGTTATATGTAGCTTGAAATGGAACGGTACATAAAGAGGCGACGGATGTGTGATTAACAATCATCCCCTTAGACTTTAGCAACAGCGGTAGAAATGCCTGTGTGACTGCAAGACATGACCACACATTCAGGTCAAATAGCTTTTTGGCCGCTGGTATCGAAATATCCGCTACTGGCATATTGTAACCACCGCCAGCGTTATTGACTAGAATGTCAAGTTCGGGCACTTGTCTGACACAACTAGTAATCGAACTTTCCGAAAGTACGTCCAGGCAAAGTGTCTTGATGCCTCGAGATGCCATTTCTGTCATTTTGGAGACATCTCGTGCCGTCGCATATACCTCCAGCCCGTTTTCATGGAAGGCTATCGCGAGGGCAGCACCCAAACCGCCGTCAGAGCAGCCGGTTATAAGGACCTTGCGATTGTTATCGGACATTGGCAAACGTAACAGAACTGCTCGCTTTGGATTATGGAAAAGATTGAGATAAGTCAATATCAGAAGGGGGTTCTGCGATTTCTCAACTGCATAGACAAATGCGACAAACTGCCTTTTATTATTGAACAAATGGGCGATTAGTCAAGACGTCATTAGATTAAAATAGGAAATAGAAGGGTCACAAGGGCAAAACGGTCAACATCTCGTTAGGTTTTGCTTATCCGATTATCGAGTCGGATTATCTAAGGTTTGTCAGGGCCATCCCAGGGTTTGCCTGGCGCCACGCCACGCGGCTCACGCAATTAGAACTCTAGAACGTCATCGATGGGCGAGCCGCTCATTTTGGTCAATAACACTAATGCGAGGCAGATACTGGAAGATGGTACGGTAAGCTTCTGCCTCGCGACGCGACCATTTCCCAAATGCGTTCAAAAGCCTGGACTTGCACTTCGAGACGCACCAATGGCGCGCTGCATCACCGGCCTATTGGGGTGCTACGATGGCGGTCTGTGAGTATGATAAGAAGGCTTTAGGACTCAAGGTCTCCAGCGCGAGGGACTTCACAGACGGAGATAGCGTTGAAGGGAATAAATCCTAACCAGTCACATCCCGCCAACCAGTAAACTCCGTCAAATTTGAGAGGCATATCACTAAAAGAGAGGCCGTTACGCTCTAGCTATTAGAATGATTGAAAAGCAATATGATTGGAGAAATCTTTGCCGATCGGCAAGTCTGCAACTGGAAGTATCCCATGGGCTAATAAAAGCTCTAGAGGCTAAACATTAGCCTCCACACTTATAATCAGTGAGCCGGGAGTAACGCACCTTCTTGGCAACAATGCTGGGGATCTATGGCATCCAGCTGACAAGGCTACCTTAGCTATTGCCAATAAATACCCTTCCTCTCCTGCTGGATTCCGGACAGTAACGCCTTTGATATGTTTATCTGAAAATAGGAGACGGCGGGCCCTGGTCTCTAAAAATGTTTGAACATTGGCATCCAGCTTATACCAATTCGATGACCTCTCCCGTCCACTGTTGAATGTACTGCTCGCCATATTAAAATATCCTACTATGTCACCAGCGTTTCTATCCACAACCCGTTGGCATCCACAGTTGCACAAGAGGAAAGAAAGTCTTTTCAAGTTATCCAGTGCCAATTCACAACATGCCCATGTGCTGAAGAGATTTGATCATATTCCGTATCACTACGCGATTTTTATTGTAAGTATCTTCATTAACTAAATTATCTGAGAATTGAGCTTTAGCGCTGGATAAATTGTAGAAGCTTTTTAAAAACTTCATTAAGGTTCTCATTATAGTATTATGTGACCACCCGCTGGTATGAAGGGGCGGGGGAAATGAAAGTATGGCTCGTACCCGATGGCTGCTTTGTAAGAGAGCTTTCTTTTCACCCTTCTGCATTCGAGTAAACTTAAATAGATTCATAGTGTCCATGAAGATATCACCAAGCCAGTTTCGCCTGTTTGAAAAGAATATGGCTCAAAAATGATAAGAAGGAAAGGCTCTGTATTTTTACAACAGTAGGTTGGAAACCAAAACTTGTTTGGGGAAATGGGAGCAGTGAAGAACGCAACCAACCCGGTCAACCAGCATTGACTTTCCTATACGGTGACGTCACAATGCGACTCTACCGATTGATTTAATGACAACCATTGACCATCCTTCTTAGAAGTATTGTTTTGTATTATTGAAATCATGCCATCCTTTACAGGATCCTGCGTCTGTCGCAAGCTTGAATACAAACTGTCCCTGGCGTCTCCTGAAGATGCGCGGACCTCGCTCTGCCACTGCCGCAACTGCAAAGTAAATCGAACTCCAGACCTGTACTCAGATCTCAATACTGACAAGCAAACAGAAAGCATTCGGAACTAACTACGGACTAACAACCAAGGTCCCCAAGGACAGTTTTCAGTATACGAAGGGAATCCCGAAGCAGCACGCCGCTGATAATGGCTCTGGTGTGACCATCTACCGCGAATTCTGCGATACATGTGGTAGTTTTATTCTGGAGTATGGGGTATGTGGTAATAGCACGGCAAAGCAGCATAACCTGTCAATCTAACAAGCTACTGGAATCTTTGGTTCCTCGCAGGAGATGGCCAAAGAGAAATTTCGATACATCGCGGCCGGTTCTTTCGATGATCCTGAAGCATTACCACCCAAGGGTGAGTTCTTTTGTAAGGCTCGAGCGAGCTGGATGCCAGAAATTCCCGGTATGTCCAAGACATGAAGTCAGTGAAGTTGTATGGTTCTGATATGTGCAGACATCTTTCATAAATGGGAAATTAAAGAGTAGTCTATGAATACTCGATGATGGATTGAGGAGGCGGCATCGATTTATCTTGCTCTACTGCCGTGGGCGGTTGCCCTTGAATATATCGTCTGTATATTAAAAGAGGAGAATTCTATCACTTGCAAAGAGACATACTGGTATCATATGGCACAATTTGTAGGCTTAAAGACGTGAGGAATCATAACAATTAGCGCTGTAGTTCGTGCTGGCATAGCCGCAGCTGGATTTGTTGTTGTAGAAAATTGCTGTCGTGCGTTACGTGCATGGGAGGTTATGGGAGGGATTGGTAGATGGGGCAAAGAATGGGAAAAAGAAACGGTTTTCAAAGCAGTGGGGTATTCACTTACAGCTGAGCTCATTCTCATCTCTTCCGAGGTTTACATGTGACAACATGGCCAGGCTGTGGGCAGCTTGGTCGATCTGCTATACTTCGGCTAGCTGGCTTGCCGCAAGATGTTCTTATAGTTTCATCTATTTTAGCAAAGTAATGCTAGAATGGCGTCAGCTCAACATGCTTGAAACGAAAGATATCACCTGTACTCTAGGTCCTTCCTTCGCTCATCCATGGATTCTGCTGTTCGGCGACCACCAGTAATCGTACGAACCCACCAATATCTCAGTCATCAAGGTGAACACGTCTTTGAAATAAAAATGAATATATTAGATGCTGCCTTTTGTGGGGTAGTAAAGGCAAGGAAACAAAGAAAAGAGAGAAGTTTTCATGATTATTATGGTAAAAATAGAATAGGTGGTTGTAGGTCACGTAATTAGGCACATAACTCAGGCAACATCAGTTCGTTACACAGATAATAAGAGACTTTTTGTTTATTCAATAATCATAATGAACTGATTGCTCCATTTTTCCATTCCACCAACATCACCTTAATTATCGCGCTGGTTCTGCAACCTTTCTCGGAAAGCACTTTCTTCCCTAACGATCTCCAACGGAAGCGTTTGCCCGACACCAAAAAGAATAAAAAGCGCCCATTTCCAACGGAAGGGATTGACCAAGACGAGAAACACAAACCAGTATATCAACTCCGTGTATGTAAAGAAATCGAATGCTCTAGGTGGCGCTCCCTGCTTCATCCAGCGGGTAAAATCAATCCAGGTTTTCATGCGTTCTTCTGTCGGGTTTGTGAGCGGATCCGTCAGAAACATAAGCAAAAAGCGCGTATAAATGCCAATATGAATGTTTCCGACCGTTCCGATGGCGTTTACGTAGGTACTGTTATTGGCGCAGATGCTCAGGTGCTTTGGTGGAAACACTTGAAGATACCAATCCGGGGAGAGTAATTATCTTCGAATGAATCCTGGGGAGGAATGAGAGTGTCGGTCGTTTAAAACCAGTCGCCATGATGATAATATCACCTTCGACAAGCTTCTCGTAGCCAGGGCCACCTTTAGGGGTATCTCCCGATCGATGATTGAAGAGGATGCCAGACTTTTTGACACTATCAATATCACCACGTAACCAACGGGCCTTGCCCTCTCGGATGAGGTTAAATAGATCTGAGTTTGCCATTGGGGTGGTCGTAAATAGACCACTTTCAGGAGCAATGTCTTCTAAATCCCGATAGAAGAATTTGCGAAGCAACCACTCTGGTAACCATGAAAGAGATATCTCTTCGCCCCAGATGTTCATAGCCAGCAAGGACTGTACCAGAATATTGCGTGGAATGATCCATTTGTCTGACCTAGAAAGGACGTCGATTTCGGAGGCTCCAGACGCAACTGCAAACTCCAGTGCTTCAATGGCACTTGCGCCGCCTCCGATGATAAGAGCCTTTTTGCCTTTGATGTCCTTCCCGTCGAGATTTGATGAGTGGCAGATGGTACCATCGAATTGATCTTGGTCTGGTAAAGTGGGCATTTTGGGATCTCCGCAAACTCCGACGGCTGCAATAACGCCGTCAAAGCTTCCATATTTCTCGGGGTGATTGTTAATGACCCACTTGCCCGACGACTTTGCCTTTTTAACAGAGGTAACCGGCGTTCCGAATTCTGTGCGCTCTTCCAGGTCGTAACGTTTCCACAGATCGACAATTTGGTCGCGAATTTCGTGTTGAGTGGGATATGCGTGTTTATATTGCACGGTTGGGTGAAAGCGATACATGATGCTGTGGATCTGCAATGCCGATGTCGAGTTGACGCGCTGTAATTGTGAGTGGTAAGTCGACTAATTTTGTTGATAATTGCACGTACACTCCATATACCTCCTAGTCCTTTCTCTTTCCCGCGTGCCTCAAATATTTGCACCTCAAAGCCATGGCCAATACAATGTGCCGCTGATGATACACCGGTCAGGCCGGCACCGATAATGGCGATTTTCCTTTTAGGTAGGCCCTTGTTGAAGGATCTCGACGGGGAGCGCGAGGGTCCAAAGATCCACGCGAAGAAATTTTGACTGGTGAAATATAGTATCGAGAAAAGAGACAGTATTGGATTCATGGTGAGCAGAGGGAAAATGAGCGAATGACGATCAAGTTGAAGGGCCCTAGGGAGGTCAGCCGTGAATTAAGGTAGCAGGAGGTGAGCCCGACGAAATTTTTAGTATTAAACCAGCTTAGCTCACACCTCAAGCTATAGCTACCATTAGCTATAAGAGAGTGACGTTATTCTGGACCATCAGACAGGTTGTGCCATCAATTTTCCAACAGAAAACACATGGTTGCCGTGCGCAGGGCATGACGTCAACTGCAGGCGGATACAGGATCTAACGTCTCGCCCGAAGCTGAATCAAATTGCCTTTGTCAAATGGAAAGAAAAGTTGCGAGGTGATTCATATTCAGAATAATGATGACCAATTAATGATACTTTATTCCCACGTGTTTCCCCAGTGCCGTCTCGAGACGGTCTTGGGAGGCAGATGTTTTATGCTGCCATTATTTCACCTATACCCCCAAGGATCGAAACAAACCCGATAGTTTTCTTGGGGTCTATGAAAGCTGTTCTCTATTTACAAATCAAAATAGATTACTTTCGCCCAAGGTTTTACTGTCTAGTTTAGCGCATAAAGTCTAGGGCTACGTATCTGCTTTGGATTGTGCGGCTTCGGATCTCTTGCAACACGTAGTGCTAAACTAAAAATATTTCATCCTTAAAAGAAGTTTGTATTTACCTGATGGCTTACATTAGATACACTTAATTCCCTCGGTGCCGAGATTCTAAGGCATAGAATGCAACAGACATGTGATTCCCTTCGTTGTGGTCCTTCCTTGTTTTGAACCTTTGTTGGCCAAGGTGTACCAACACCTTGAATGAAATCCTCCCAAAACGGGTAATTACCGGTAATGGCTTGGCATAGACCCGATCATAGCTTCTGCCGATAACGACACGTGCCTGTCACACAACTAATGCAGAAACAGCCGGTTGGTGATGGTTGATTTATGATGTATGAGGCTGACCACAACGCAGCCGTACCTTCTATGACTGAATTGTGACGAAGATCTCCGGTGCCTATAGGGCCAAATAATATAAATTGAAGATTCCATCCAGGTCAACAATGCTCCTCAACAACATCAGAACTACATCTACACCTCCAATTTAATTCAAAGCCACGATCACACATAATCATAATGGAGACTGCCAAGGTTCGCAAATGCCTACCCTGATAGGGATACAAATGCCATGAGAATGGTAGGCTAACTCTATGATAGAACGCGGCCAACTATGTCTCAGAGTCCGTCAAGGGCACTGGTCATGAGACTTCCAAGGAGGCCAACAAGAATGTCGCGAAGGACTCTGATGTAGGCATTGGCAGCCGTGCTAGTGCCGCAAAGGACGCTCTGAAGGATAAGACCAAAGAGGAGAAGCACGACGCCAAAGCTGATGCTCACAAAGGTAATTGAGGTCTTACGTCTTATTATTACCGCATTTCAATACTCACATATTTGCAGAGGCCGCTAAGCACTAAGATTTCTTCGTGTTGAAGAGAATGCCACTCCATCCGTATAATCGCTATTGTTTAGTGATGAGTTGCTTGCCAATGTGAGAGGTTTCGGTGATAAATGGCAACGACCATGACAATGTTTGCGCGGAAGGCATATTTAATGATATCGTTGAAGAATCTGGATGACAGAATAACATGTTTCATATAATGAGCCACGCCCGCCGTATTTTGGAGTGCCAGTTATTGCATCTGTACTATCTTAGCTGTAAAATAATCGCTGTGCTAAGGCTTCATTCACTGTACCATTTGCCTATAAAGATTCGGATTCTAACTATCAATCAGGGCAGTAAATCTTTTTCGTGGTCTCTGTTTGGGTAACTATGAAAGTAGGATTTTGGACCTCTAATGCCGAAGACTCGGTGTTTAAAACGCGGTTAGAGGACTAGAACACAATACCTAACACATGCAAGAAATAGGATGTATTACCCATGGTATCAGCCAGAGGACATCGGTAATTGAAGTGTTTCCTCTAAAAACGAAGGTGGACGGATTCATGTACTGTTGAAATGGGCTGTTATAAACTTGGATATAAAGAGAAATTTATTTTATGCATGGCTAGATGAGGCTTGATACGAATAGATCGTTGAGGCAATCCTTATGTCACAATATTAGATATCACTTAGCGTTTGGGTGAAATGTAATATATTAAATGATCGCCACAATATAGACTGGTATCTAATGCCGCCAGAACTGGAAATGCAGATGCCAACGCGAATGCCGATGCGATGCGATGCCGCGCAGAAAAGATAGAGAGAAAAGTAACAGAAGCAGAAGCAGAAACAAAGGGGAAAAAAATAACAATATCGAAAAAATGCCAGCGCGAACCCCACCAGAACAAAATCAAAATCAAAGCCAGAGCCAAGTCGAGTCAATCCAGTAGAGTAGTCAGTCCGTCCGTCCGTCCAATCCATAGTCCCATAAAATCCAGCATCAATCCACCGTCATATAATCATTATCATTCCTGCACATGGGAGGGTCCCACATGCATCAATCCACTCAACTCCCTTCTCGCGAATCGCTAGTGTTCGCAAGACCGCATCATCAAATACATTGCTGCTCAACCCCCCATTCTCTCATCCCCATCCAAAGCCCACTCCTCCCACGCAGCAGGCCTAACACAATCCAAACACCTAACAATCTCCACGCCCTCAGAAACCCCCTCAACCGCACAAGAAGAACAGATCTTCCGCCTGGAACAGCCGAGTTCATCGTATGGATCGTCCCCTGCAGCATGAGCCGCAGCTGTAGGTGTAGGCACTGCGCCGGGACATGAGGATCCGTCGCAGAGACGTAGACAAATATAGCATGCGCGTTGGGCGCAGAGATCACAGTCTGCGTAGGCATCTAGGACTTGGCGGGTTGTTGGGCGGCGATGGCAGATGTGGCATGGTCGGAGGGCGGAGGGATGTGTTGTAGATGTAGTTGTTGCTGAAGATGGTGCTGAAGTAGGGGTGGTTGAAGGGTATGGGATTGGGACGAGAGTTTTAGGCGATACCGGTGGTGAGTAGGGGTCTTGGGGTGTTGCGTAGATATTTGGGGATAAGAGAGACGGTTGAGGCGTGGAGGTTAGGAGGTATGATGAATGTTGTGGGTGTTGTTGGTGTGGATGTTGTTGTTGAAGTTGAAGTTGTTGGAGATGGCGGCGTTTGCGGGGAATGCATCTTGGTCTGAAGTCGAAGTCTTTGTCCGGTGATTGTTCGTGGCTGTGATTGTGGTTGTGTCGGTGGACGATATATGGATCGCAGTTTGCGTGGTCCACCATAAATGGGACAAAGGAGGCTCTATTCATGCCATATCGTATGTTAGATTTGATGGGTTGGGTTGGGCTGGGCTAGAGTAAACAGGAGAGGATCTTACGGGCGGGTTAACGGGTCTTCATTTTCACGCTTGCGTTTCCGCCAGGCGAGGGCTTCGTCTGCGAATCCAGGCATGTGTTTCCGAGGTATATTTAGCCAGGAAAGGGCGGGTATAAAGATTGAGTGAAGTGAAGTCGAGGGAATATTGTGAAAGGGAGGTGAGGTTGGCCGGGCAGAAATTCCCAGTTGCCCTCACCGCCCAGGGCGGTCAACAGCGAGTATAAAAGTATACTACAGCACACTGTTGAGGAGATAGAATTATTCATATCGCTTATTTATTTAATAAAAGTAGTAGAAATACAAGAAGAAGTCTTTCATTATTTCCAATTTTGATCATTTTATCAAGTTCAAGTTCAAGTTGTTGGTGTAAATCTTCTGAGCAGCACTCAGGCTGGCATATGCTCGTTTGTTTGCTACGAACAGCCATGCCTGCATATACATTCAAGTTGGTTATTTTGATTATTTATATCCCCTGATCCAACTTCGCTTCTTCTTCCTCTTTTTCTTCCTCTTCCATTCTCAACTATACTACCCTTTTCACCGCCACCCTCATCATGCTTGGTCGTCGTACTACCTTGAAACATCCCAGATTCCGCACTGCCATCGCAAAAATAGATCACGACATCCGACTTGGAATCGAAGCCGACGAATACCTCTCCAGCGCTAAGTACCTTTGGAAGAATCATCTAGCACCCTTACTGCCAAACGCCCCATCGTATTTGCCCTTCCTCAACCCCCCTCCAGATAATGCAGATCTGTCTACTCGTCTTCTAGGTAAGCTTCATCAACTACTCCACATGACCCATAAGTCAATAAAAACATCGAAACTGCCTCCAGTCGTTAACACTTTCCAGGATGGATGGTGGACCACGAAAAACCATTTGTTTATGATAGCCTGGCTCTGGTCTGCAAGTTTGCTTTCAATGTTGTTGTTACCATTAGGCCTTTTGTTATGAGGTTCTACAAGATCCCATAAAGAACTGTTCGAAAAGGAAAAAGAAAGATGAAAATATTTTTCGGTAGATAGAGAGAAAATAAGCTAGCATTTTATTTTCTCACATTGGTACAATGTACAGGACCACCTCAATTGCAGTCAAGGCGGATATATCCCCCATGGATTAAATTTCACTGATACGGAAGAAAGAATAGACTTCATAAAGTCGCGGTCCTCACACTGATGGCGAGATGCAAGTCATTCAGGACTGCATGTAGAGTTCCGAGAATTCTCAGAAGAACTTGAACTAGTACTGGTATGTATGGTGTGGCTGAGAGAACTAATATTAGCCCGCATCTGAACTCACAAGCAGTTGAGTTCGCTCAGTAAAGACACCCAAGCTGATCCACTGGCTTCGATCTGACTTTTTTTGAGTTCACTCTTTGGAGGATTCATGACGATGTCCATGAGCTCATAGCCGTATATCATAGATCTCCTAGGTGGATGCAGTGAGATTCGAGAGAAGTTCACGGAGAACCCCATGATGAGCTCCCGAATTGTCAATTTGTCTTTGCCTGATGCCTTGAGGATGACTCCACCATTGTCTCTCAGAGCTTCTAAGGAAGCTGATGCTCCATCTGATGTAGGGTTTGCCAAAGGTGCCAAGCTACGAGCCTGAGATGGCTGTAATATCGGAATGATTATCTCGTTGGCTGGAACGACGTTGATCACGCCGCCAAGTCTGGAATGATGTCGAGTTGAACGAGCTGAATGTCGACTTCCTTCTTTCGCCTGGACTGATTGCATTGACGAATGTATTATGAGTTGTCGCCATCATGTCTTCCGCGACATTAGAACAAAATAGCGAGAACGCCGCATCCCTGTCCATCAGGCTCCATCGGCCATAGACCTCGAGTCCTCCCTTCATCGCAGCAGAGAGGATATCCTGGCCCAGTGGAACGGTCACGTCGGCCGCCTGGGCCAGCGCTTCGAAGCCGGCGACGAAATCGCCCATGCCACAATGAAAGACATCCTTATCGCGCTGCAGCTCACGCTACTCACACGTCTCCGTGAGGATGAAAAAATTCGTGCATGTTTTATACTGGTCCAATTTCTCATTTGATTAATTTCCTATAATACTCCCACTTGCATCGTTCCTGGTTGGCTGTAAAGACGCCTCAATCTTCTAAATTCCGTCATAAGGGAACACGCTGTTGCAAAGTTGAGGCTTTCCTCCCAGGGCTGGTCGAATTCATCCCAAGAAGGAGACTCTTCCTGGAATAAAACATCCTCGAGGTCGACAATCATCACTTTACTCAGGTTGGACTCTTTATTGTCGCAAAACAAAAGGTTCTTTAGTCTCTCATCCCAATACTTGGCCTTCCTTTCATGTAAATCTTTAATAGCATCCATAAGCTGTGATTGTAGCGCTTCTTCATCAACCTCGGTCACGGTCTCCCGAGCAAGTATATGTAGAGGCGTTCCCACAATTTCAAAAAGTATAATCGCTGGACGGCCATTGAAAAAGCCTTCTCCCCAAATACTTCGGGATCGCTTTCCCTCGAAGATTTCTCAGCCTCTCATACGCTACTTTCTCAGGCTGAAATTCCGTTCGCCAACCATCTTTTTCTTCTTTGGCGATGACTTTCGATGGAAAATCGCGAGGTAAAGAATTTGCTTCAAGTTCCACGCGATGTACCGTGCCTCGCTGGTTGAGTTGGCTAATGTTTCTCACTGCGAAATGCTGAGTGTGACCGTCCAAAAAGATTGCCTGCAGCTGCGTAAGCCTAACAATATCCTCTGCTCTCCAGGGCTTGGGTTTGAAAACACCCCCATACCACAGTGGGCTGTGATGCGAGCTGTGAACTCATCGCAGTCAATGGTGGTGGAAACAAGACAACCTTGGAAGATAACAGCGGGTGAGTAAGGAGGGGAATGATCCCTTAAGAAGACGTGAATTACCGATATGTATACATATGATCTCAGGCCTCGCATGGTGAAGTCGGTGGCCTTACTTCCTCCCTTTTAAGAAATGGTTTCAAGTCTCTCTTTCAAAAAATGACTAAATTGAGATTGTAAATAAATGAAATAGTGGTAAATGCATTGCGCCACGAACAGTGCTGGCACCGAGAAAATACATTCAAGTCTACATAGTCTAGCACTCCTAGGTAATATATATATCACCTTTCTATGCACACCCCCCACCCACTACTCCAACCAAGCACCAACAACCCCCCCCAAAAGCCTCAGTCATCCACCCCTCCTCATCAAACCTCAAATCCCCATCAAACCCATGCTCCCCATCCCTAACCGTAAGCGTAACACCCGGCCCCTCCAACCCAAGCCCCTGCGCCTTCTCAACGAACCCCTCAACATCACCAACAGGAACAATACTATCCTGCCTCCCATGAATAACCGCAATCCCACCCTTCGGAAACTCAACACCCACACTATCAAGTTTAACAAAAGGATAAAGAGTCCCTCGATCAACCCCCTCCGTCCCCCTTTCATACAACCCACTCAAATGCCCATATTCCGCCGCAGCAAGCATAAACGTCATACTCTCCGGCACACTCCATGAGGACTTCACACCCCCAGCCTGCACGCTAGCCATATACTCCTCATAAACAGATTCAGGCGTCGAATGACCGAACGGCGGATCGGCCCGCCGCGCTGAATACGCACCAGGCTCAATCATCGGATACGAGGCCATCGCGGCACGAATCGATCTCGGATGCGATAAAGCGGTATATATACTCAACAAACCACCAGCCGAATCACCGGCCGTAATAATCCGAGTAAGATCAGCCTCCGTAGGCACGGAGTGAGATTTCAATAGAGCGCTGAACTCGGACGAATGCAACCATGTCCAGAAATCTTCAATATCGGCGTAGATCTCTGGACTTGTTGCTTCAGGCAAGAGGCGGTAGTTTGGAGATACGATTATTGCGTTGTGTTTTGTTGCTAGATCGGATAGCCAGTGTGGAAAGAAGGGCAGGAATAGACTGTCGCCCATTACGAGGCCGCCGCCATGGTAGCGCAGTATGATGGGGCGGGGGCTGGTGGGGGCGGTTTTTGGGATGAGGATGTCTGTTCGGATTTCGTGGGTGCCGACTTTTTTGTAGGGGGTTTGGATTAGGTCGAAGTTTGCGATTTTGGGGTCCGTCATGGTGGTGGTGATGGCGGGGTAAGGGTGGTGAGATGGTGGGAAATGATAAATTGTGTAGATGTAGTAGATATTTAAGGGACAATGAGTATTTTGAGCGAAGTGGGATGGAAATGGAAGTAGAACTGGTCAATGATCCTCTTTATATATCCGAGAATAAATGATCCAAAGTGCCACGGTCTACAGCCGTATCCGAAGCGAGGCATTTAGCCTCTCGGCCTTAAAATAAACCCGAGGCCGCATCCTGCAGTATCTACCAATAGGGAGATTAGATAGACAACCGGGAGGTTAATGGGAATATCTCGGGATATGAGGTGGATTAAGCATGAATTAAACCTTCAAGTTAATCCATGGATATTGATTGCTATGTTTGCACCACCCTTAGGAATAATGTTTGCAGATCTGGATCTTGGCCCACCCACGGGCCGAATCCCGAGATCCCGAATTGCGGCATTATCACCTTATCCCCGTTGTAACGGCATGGATATATGGTACGGATAGAATTTCGGCACTTGGTGTTAATAAGAAGGGATAGTATATGAGTATCTGTAGATTTTTAACGAGGCCATTATCTCTCGGGAGGCCACAATGTTATTTGGGCGGGATGGTGGCACTACTCTCCCTGTTGTACTCTGCGAATACAAACATACTATGTTGTCTAAAGTAGGCATTATATATTGATATATTCAGCACTTACATCATCCAAGGTCCATTGGTCTAGTGGAATGACGTTCGGTTTTGATCGGTCAGACAAACTTCCGAAAGGTCGTCGGTTCGAACCCGGCATGGACCTTTTTTGCTGATTCCTCAGAATAGTCTACATAATGATTGTGATTTTTTGGTATCTTTTCCTCTGCATATAATTAATGTCACTGTAATAATACCAAGCGGTTCATTCACTGCTGCACAGGCAGCTGTATAAGTGGGCATCTTTGAATAGCTTCGCAGCCATGTGACTAGGTCTGTTTGTTTAAAAGACCTGATCCTATATGGACCATCAAGATCAAAAATAGAATTACTGTTAAGCTTAATTTAATGCAGGTAGTGTCAATATACTATTTTATATATATATAGAAATGTACCACTTACAAGGTATACTCCATCTTCCTGGGCAGTGCATCTTGGCAACATGGAGGCATACCCGGCAAAGACCTTAGCCGCGCCTAAAATAAACTCGAACTGAGACATCGAGGGAATGGAACTGGATACCATCTACAGCGCTTTGGAGTAAATGATTTATGACTATTCATCCAAAATATCTATGGATACTAGAATAGTAGCATAACTGTAATATCACAATATCCCAGTCATTGAGTCCCGCGCAACCCGAGGCAGTGGAGGGAACCCGCACCTTCGGAAGCGATCAGCCGATCGGGAGGAAATGGGACAGGACGGGACGGGGATACATCGGGATGCCGTAGGGTATCCTTGCGAGCCGGGAAGATCAGATCAGTCCGGTTTAAATGGGAGGCTGTGTTGTTCTATTTATTCTACCCTAAATGTTACCCTAAATTATACCCTAAATCCTTAGTTTGACTAGTTTCTAGCTGTGTTACTGGGATAATTGGGAATGGGAATGGGAATATCGTGGGGATGTCTGGAACTGCCGACGATCGGCAGTTGGCGGTAGTCGGTTATAGGAGTGGAAGTATAGGAAGAGTACGGAATATTAGGTACTTATAGGATAGACAGAGTAGATAGTTGCAGTATGAGAAGTATTCTCATGAGTGTACTTCTGTTAGTTATAGTCAGCTATACATAGTATTCTAGCATACTGTATACTCTACACTGTACTAGGCTGTGTCTTCCACATCGTGGGGATGTGGGGAAGCAGAACTCCTGACAATGGAATATCATACTTTCTATTCTAGTAAATCTGCTATTTCTAAACTAGTATTACTAGTACTATTTCTATTAATTCTTTAATTCTATAATTCTAGCCTACAACTACACTATATTCACCGCCTCTGGTTGGCTGTCTTGCGTAATCCTTCCGATTGCGTCGATTTACTTTAAACACTTCACCTCCTCCGCTTTTCCGCTCCTCCACTCCTCCGCTCTCCACGCGACTCCGACTCCGACTCTCCCAATTCACCTTCTCCTCCCTCGCAGACATAGCATGTATCCTGCCCAACTCACTCCTCATGGATGAGGGTTCCGACAAGGCCCCTCGACGAAAGAGGGTCTCGCGCGCCTGCGACCGCTGTCGAAGCAAAAAGGTACCAGCTACTCCAGCTACCCCCCCTCACACACACCCTCGCCCAATCTCACCCTACTAACTCACATCTCCAGGACAAATGCGACGGCATTCGTCCCACATGTTCCGCCTGCCAGGCCTCCGGCCAATCCTGCTCCTACGACCCCCACGCAAAGAAACGCGGTCTCCCCGAAGGCTACGTCCGCGGACTCGAGAAGCTCTGGGCACTATCGATATGTAACATCGACGGGTTCGAAGATACCATGCTGGCCATGCTAGGCGCGACCGCCGACTCGGCCGATCGTCGAGCCAAATTGATGTCTGTCTGGTCTGACGATACTTCTTCCGAGAGTTTACATGAAACGTGGAAATCGAGTCGTCTTTATGGTGCGCTGGAGAAAATGCTCTCCAGTTCGGAGCAGACACAGACTTCCGCGACAGCTACCGGGGCGGGGACGGGGAAACGGTCGCGCAATCCGAATGACGATCCTGATAGTGGTTGGGGGTATCGCTTCGGGAGAGAATCGAGTCCACTAGGTCCGGATGCGCCGCGAATTGTCGGACCTGTTTCACTTTCGCATTCGCACCCGCACTCGCCCACTGCGAAGCGCACACGATTGGGGCAGTCACAGTCGCACTCGCACTCGCAGCCACAATCCGATCGCAGTATCACATCTTCACCTCCGCAAACCCTCCAATTACCCGCGCAAACCTCCCAACTCCTCGACATCTATTTCGCAGCAACACACTCCTGGCTCCCAATCCTCGCAAAACACAATACCCTCCGCGCCTCCTACCTCTACGCAAACACCACCGTCTCACTCACAGCCACAACCCCCGGCTCCGGCGATCACGCTGCACTATGGGCAATCCTCAGCTATACAATCACACAATCGCGAACCGATCCTCGCTCCAGTTCCAGTTCCAGTTCCAGTTCCAGTTCCAGTCCCGCCGGCATACTGTCACTAGCAAAAGAATACTACACCATCTCGCGCCATCTCATTCCTCTCGAAAAAGACCGATACGAACTCGGTCATATCCAAGCATTACTCCTACTCACGTTGGTGAATATGGGACTGGAAGATTGGACAGCGGCATGGTTATTAAGTGGACAAGCAGTTCGCATGGCGATAGCGATGGGTCTGGGCTCTTTCACCGACATGCGACGATCTGACGAGCTGAGACAGGGCAAGGCCGTGTTTCTGGGCTGTTTTGTCATTGATTCACTTCTTTCTTTCCGCCTTCGTCGTTGTCCGGCTATGTCGGCGAATGATATTGCACCGGTTGGTTTATTGGAAGAAGATGGATTAGAAGAGTGGAATTCTTGGGCCGATGTTCTTCCCACGGCCAGCAACAGCAGCAGCACCACCACCTCCACCACCACACATGGAAAGGTCCCCCCACGCCGAGGACCGCTAATGTCTCTAAGCTGCTTCAACCGCCTAATCGAACTATCCAGCGTCCTAAACAAAATCTCCCGCAATCTCTCAATGGGTTATAAACCCTCCACATTCGCACAACAACTAGTCATGGACCTGAAACAATGGGACGACTCCCTCCCACTAGGCTGCCGTCTAATCGGGCCAGAAAGTATCTACCCAGAACGACACTCGGCATTACTCCCACACCAAAGTTATCTAGGACTAACATACGTCGCCACCTTGCTTTGGTTATATATCTCTCTCATCCCTGGAGAACAGGGACTCCATCGCTCGCAAAGACCCGCGACAGAGGGTGCGAAGAAGTTACTTTATCGTGGGTTGGCTATGTTGGCGCAGCATTTGGATAATTTCCCAATTTGTGCTCTGCCGCCTATGTTTGAGTTTGGTCTTAGGACTATTTCAGAGCAGGCTTTTGCTTTACGGCAGAATGTTGATTCGTCCGATTCGTTTCCGTTTGTGAGGTGGGCGGAGGAGTTTCGTCAGAAGTGTTCGGCGCTTGTGGAGTGTTGGCCTGTTTATGGGTCTCTTGTTGTGGGGATGGAACGGGGTCAGCAGACGCAGTCACAACAGCAGACACAGACACAGTCGAATGGGTATCACCCGTCGCCAACGAACTTTGGAAATGGAGGCGGAGGTATTATGCCAGCACCGATCACGGCAGTGCCAAGTGTACCTGTTCCTGTGTCTGTTCCCGCTCCTATGCCCGAGCAGGTAAACTACGCATCATCCATAATGGGAATAAGCATGCCGGTAGACGGGCAGTCCTTAACGCCAAAGGACACTATCATGGAGAACACAGATCTACCCATGATACCAGTGGATAATAGGTCCGGCCCATTAGAACCGATGGATATGGAGAAATTACCACAATCACAACCACACCCACAACCACAACGACCAGATGCAGTATACCCATCTCATCCACCACCACAACACCCACATCAACACCACCCCTCAACGCCAGACTCCCCCTCAATCCTCTCAACAAACCCCTACGCATCAGCCCCCAACTCCGCCCCAACCTCCACCTCTATCCCAGGTCCCGGCCCCGAAGATCTAGACGCAATATTCAAAGACCTAGCCTACCTCGACACAACAGAATGGTCCTCGAACCGTGAAGCCGGACTCAAAGATTTCGGATTCCTGAGACGACTCCACATTCCAGGCTTTCTGTCATGATCCTGATCGACTTGGTTCCCAGCCTCTTGTTCATCCGCCTTCTATTGCGGATATTTGGCCGCCGCCAGGATTTTTTCCGGAGACGTTTCGGGATAGTGGGGATCGTGGGAGGGATTTATAGATGGGGGAGGGGGATCTGTATATATACCCGACTTGTGCACTGGCATGGAAGGAGTGTGCAGGTTAAACGTTGTGTATAAACTTGAATCGATATACTATTCTTGTATTAAATGTTGCTTAACATTATACCTGGAACTTGGAGCTGGGTTTATATTACTAGTATGACGAAGCTTGAACGCATAACTACTGGCACTAGTAGTACGAGAACTAGATATTTTACTACCTAGTAGGTCATTCCATGCCGCCCTTAAAGGACTTTCAAGTTGAATTAGAATCTGCGGACTTCCAACCTTGGAATGTTCAAAGAAACTGTGTTCGGACATTGCATTTGACTAATCACTGCTAAATCTAGACTCAATTCATGATACCACAAGAACTAGAAACCCATCGAGACTGCCACCTCTTGAAAATCCTGCCCAGGTGGCAGGGACAACATTACTACGAACCAGGTGGATCATGACCAGACCGACCATCCTCCACAACAACAGCAGCGAAATGCATTCTTGACATACTGAGTGGCGTATACCCATCCTCCGATTCAGCATGAATATCAACCTTCTCCATATCAAGAAGTAAAATCACAGCCTCTATCCGGTTCCAATAGACAGCCCAGAAAAGCAGAGTCCGGCCATTATTATCCGCACAGTCTAGATCAACGCTGATCTGTCGCGGTCTCTCGGGAGATTCTCAATGATCATGAGAATAATCTCGTTGGGGAGTGCAACTCGCGGCATTTTGAATGTAGGTAGTAGAATCTGTTGAAAAGTGATAGGCTGGTCAAAGTGACAAAAAGCATTCAGGGCGGTGATATCAAGAGAAATGAGAGAAGTGACAAAAAGCATTCAGGGCGGTGATATCAAGAGAAATGAGAGAAGTGACAGTGAAGCGATCTAGACAGGCAAGGACGAAATTGCGGCCTTGTTGCCTGAGGCTGGGAGTTCCCCAGGCACCTACGCCTCAACCAAATCTTCAAGTTCATTTTTGACATAAAGATTATTCATGGTGAATGAGGAAGCGATGGAATTCTAATGTTAGCCACAGAAAGTGAGGTTCAAGAAGGCAGTGGCCATGTTTTCTCTATATATAGATCAAATGTCACAGAAGTATTTCACTGCCGCCGTAGATCAACTGGAGCAGAAAAAGCAGGCCAAGAGCATGGGAAGCCCTTTTTCTCTCTATATATATTTGCATCCATTTCGTTGATAATTAATATAAATCCATGAATATGGACTGAGGACGGGAGAGATGATCATGATAAGATATGTGTAGAATGGAAGTCTAGCTGAAACTACTAAAGCTGTCAAAAACTAGATATAGCGTGGTGGCCTGACTAATCCTGTGCGACCTGATTCATCCGGTCTTAGAATCAATCACATACGAAGCTTTAAATCTGCTTGTGCATAATATGTTCGTTGTTGTTGCATTGCGGGTCTGGCCCGCTATACTGGCCTTGGCGGTTATGCCACTATCATGACACCTTCATGTGCACAAGTATGGCTAGTCGGGCAGTAAAAATTTATTCGCAGTTTTTTATACAGTCAACAGATAACTGGCTTACTTTCAATGTTTTATCAAGGTGAATCTACGTCAACGCCCCTCCCCCACGTGCCATCTACCCCTGAAGATCCCATTGAAGCTAAAAAGAACCGAACGGGTAAGTAGGTTCTCCACCAAAAGCTTAATCACCTTTAAAGCAGGCTACAACAATCTATTGCATACTATTGAACGATATCGAGTGGAGGTTATTGACGTGCTTGGGGATTTTCGAGTGGAGGGGCACCGTGAGTGTGCACTGCCACGTCATGGAAACACTGCCCTGACAAAATAAAGGGCAGAGTGTGCTGAGAGATATGGGGCACGGAGTAGTGGGGCAAAGATCGACTTGGGATTTATTTACCGGTGCTCCATAGCTTTGTTATGTTCAAAGAGCTTGCCGAATACAGCGTAATGATAGGGGCTCATTTGCGGAGATCAGGGGTTCAAGTTTGCGGCAATTTTCCAGAAAGAAGGGTATATCGCGACTAGTGTTCCACCATTAAATTGAGATCACATTTACAAAGTACTATTGTCGCAGCCCTGTCGTTCCAAGGTGGCTTAGATGTCTCTGGGTACTCCGTAGAGTAAATAGCTTCCAAGGTTGGGGTAGAAGTATACAAGTCCAGTGCATAGGGCGAGACTGCAATTTGTGCATATTAGAATAACAAAATTTGCACTGAATAAATGGAGATGAAAAATTTGAATACTAGTAACTGGTACCAACAAAAATGAGGGTTATGAAAGGCTTTTTCTACCTGCACAGGTAGTCGATGTTCCTTTCTCACATACCTAGGTATCATGCAACTTGGCAATATTGTGCAGCCACACAGTAATTATAGATACAGTGCCATTGGAGTACGAGGGAGTAATATTTGAAGCAAGCAGCAGAGTAAAATGTATTTCTGGCGTGTCTGAAAATAAAGAGGGCAAAATAGCACTCGAAATTGAATATATGTCTATTCGTGCATCTATATATTTCCAGCGAGTTTATAGGCTCGGCATTCAAGTTGTCACCAGTGGCACTCAACCCCAGACTCGGAAACTGGTAGGTAGTATTTTCGAGCCACCCTCGCATTCAATTGCTGGAAGAGAAGACTGTAGTTTAATTGAACAATTTAACAACTCTTCAGACCATAGTACAGTAGTATTACTAACTAGTAATTTTTGTAGTGCTGTTTCAGCTGTCAGCCAATGCTGAGTCATCCATCAAGATCAACCTCGGTTCGTCGACTTCGCCTCTTCTCCACTTCAACATTCCCCACAGTTTCACCTTCAACACAATCAACTTTGAACTTTTGAAACCGTTGGAACAAGGATGAGTTCCCTCAATCTGCTGCATGTACATGCACTTGTTCCATGAGAACTCATCCTCTGTGCTATCCTCCGGATAACCGCTCCCCAGCATCATCCCTGGCGATCTCTACCCTCCTGGACACTCCACTTGTCCCAGTGCCCCCGGCGCCAGTCGATCCTTGCTTCGCCTGCCAAAAAACCCGCAACCGATGACGCTGACCGTGGGTCGCCGGGTGGTTCTTGAACCCTCGCCACGGCCTCGTTGGCCCCTGGCCCGCGTGGTCGCTGATCCCTCTCCAGCTTGCCCCAATGCACGACCTATCACTCCAGCGCTTCGTTGCCGCCGTCGAATCAGCAATGTCTCTGACCGCAATTCTCCATCGATCGCCAGCTGGGGGGAGAGGGGCATGGGAATTGCGAACGCGAACCGTCCTGTCCTGTCTTGTGTCTGTCAAGGCTGATCACCATCTCCCTTTTTCTGTCCCTGCTGTCCCTTCATTTTCACCCTTCTTTCACTTCTTTCATTTCTTCTAACTGCGACGACTTCTCCTCCTCTTTCTGCTCCTCTCCATGGCCCTGCCTTCTACACTCCTTTACTGATTGTTCATTCTTTCCGACCCGCGACAATGTTCACTTCCCCACGACGATGGATTTTCATCGTCTCTCCACTCATTACCCTCAGCCTGATTTATTACCTCTACCTCAACCCCCACGGCCACTCGGCCGCAGCCAAAAATGCCGAACATTCTATCCACGCCGAGCAAGGCCAGATCATTATCGAAGAACCGTCTCCTCCGACCAGTGACTCCGTCCCCAAGACACCCAAACCCACCAAGCAGGAGCTTGAGGAGAACCAGTGTGGCCACGTTCGCCGAGATATGGATGATATCTTTGTTGTCTTGAAGACGGGCGCCACTGAGTCTCAACAAAAGGTCCCCGTGCAGCTCCGCACCACCCTTCAATGTGTCCCCAACTACGCCATCTTCTCCGACTACGAGGAAACTATCAGCGGCGTGCCAACCTACGATGTCCTCAGCAACGTGACCGAAGCAACCATGAACAGCGAGCCCGAGTTCAACATCTACCACCGTTTGCAACAGGTTGGCCGGGAAGGCCTCACCGATGAAGAATGGGGTGACCACGAGAACGGTCCCTTCGGAAAGACCAACAATCCCGGATGGAAGCTGGACAAGTGGAAGTTCTTGCCCATGATCGATGGGGCATTGGAAGCGATGCCGGATGCCAAGTGGTACATCTTTATCGAGGCCGATACTTATGTCGTGTGGCCCAACCTGATCAACTGGCTGAACCACCTGGACCACACTCGAAGCTATTACATCGGAAGCCCTATGCAAATCGGCGATATCCTGTTTGCTTATGGAGGCTCTGGCGTTATTCTCTCCGCCGAGGCAATGAAGCGTCTTCAAACATACCGCTCCGAACACCAAGCCGAGCTGGAGAAGATGACCGCCGATGAGTGGGCTGGAGACTGCGTCCTCGCGCGGGCCTTTGACCAAATCAAAATCCCACTCACCTGGGCCTGGCCCATGATGCTGACCACTCGACCCTGGGAGATTGACCACTTCTCCGAGGGTTACGGTCGCCAGCCCTGGTGTTACCCAGCTGTTTCATACCACCGTATGACCCCTCGAGACATCGAGGAGATGTGGCGATTCGACCGGACATGGTTCAGAAGTGGCAAGAATGCTCTTCTCCTCCACGCCGATGTATACCGTGAATTCATTCACAACGGTAGCCTCGCTGGACGCGATGATTGGGACAACATGTCACCCATTGATATAATCTTCGATGAACCCACCAAACCCTCGCTGGAGAGCTGCCACCAAGCCTGCACGCAGAACAAGGAGTGTCTGCAATATACCTGGAACCAGAAGGAGAATACTTGCAAGCACGCCTCAACGACCTTCCACGGCGCTGCAAGCAATGGCACATACTCCGGCTGGATGACCCATCGTGTGCAGAAGCTTCTGCGAAACTTCCAGTCATCTTGTCCACAAGTCGAATACATCTTTTGAAGCGAGCCATGAACACAACACCAACACAACACCCGTTTAGCATTTTCTTTTCACCTCTTGTCTTGTCTTGTCTTGTCTTGTCTTGTCTTGTATATATACCATTCTCTGCACATACTTCCTATTTTTCTCTTTGCCGCGATCCTTTCTTCGCAACAAGATCATCGGCGAGGCGTTGCTGGCATTTCACGCACTTCTGCGCTGCATTTCATTTATATTTTGTTTTATTGTCTGCTGGACGGACTGAGACTCCGAATCGCTTGCATGAGATCCAAGGATCTGATCAATGCATCAATTTGACGATGAATATAGTCAATCAAACGAAGAAATAAATCTATCATTTCAAAGTTCAAGTTCAGTTCTTACGGGATATCCTTAAAATACTACAAGTAGTAAAGAAAACAAGTCGTGAATCAGACTAAGACGGCAAGCCGAGCCGAACCAAGCTAAAACCCCCCGACCCCCGAGTCAAAATTCCGTTCGTACTAGTAGGGTGAGGTAGCTCAGCTGGTCTATCAATCTGACGACAGACCCGCCTCGGTACATAACCCAAGGTCGTATGTAGTTCGATTTGGTAATTATTGTTCTCCAAGAGGTGATTAAAATGCCGGGTGATCTTGCATTTGGGGTTAAGCTTAATACATGTCCTTCTTGCCTGCAAGTTACATAACTATTAAGCTAAACTTCCCGGGGGGGCCTCGGCTATCCTCTTTAATATTTAAGCAACATCAACAGCAACATCCGATGAATCCTCAGCTATCTTCATCAAGCTCCCCAGCAAAGCCTGCAGATCAAAACTGCCATCGTTCGACTCTCCTTCATTCTCACAGAACTCGAAAACATGACCAAAGATATTTCCGGGCTCACCTCCATTGGTAAAGGTGATATAGCACGGGGTAGTCTGATAATTGTTCGTTTCGTAATCAGCAAGTGTGTCTCCCTGCCTTTCTGTCTCAACGTAATAGACAGACCCATACACGACCTGCCCTGGGGCATCCAGGAGAGTGGGATGTCGGCCCCATAGTTTGCATTAGTAGCCGAGTATAGAGACAGGTCGAAGTTGTGGCTCGGTTTTTAGACTGAGAAGTTCCCGGAGTATAGTCGGATCAGCCAGGGTGCCGTAAAGGAAATAATGACCGGTAGGTGAAGTAAATGGATTGTGATAAGACAGTGGCTCTTTGGGTTCGTAGAAATAACCAGGGGGAGCGGACATCGGCTTTAGGATGTATTTTGAAAGTCTGAAGTTTGGATCTTCGACTAGACGTCTGAAGTCTGGATTTTTGAATGCAGGAGGAGGAGGAGGAGGAGGAGGAGGAGGAGGGGAAGAGACAGATTTATAGTTAGCAACTCCCTTGTCTCCTTGGTCGAACTCCATGATGGATCGCGAGACATTGAAGGTTAGATCTTCGAGTGGAGGAGGTGATGCGGGAAGGGGAAGGGGAGAGCCGGAGGCTCCATTGTCTCCTTCGTTGCCAAACATTTCTGTAACTAACGGCCAGAAAAGTCAAAACAGGGCGAAGGTGAGAGCAAGCTGAAGAATAAAACCTGGATAGGAGTCTCGGTCTTTCAAGTCGGGGGTTTGTTTTCACCGTTTCCCAGAGCCACCAAGCGGCCGTGAAGTGCGAAAACCGCGCAAATGCGTAGCGCTTCTCCTGAGAAAAGACTGAAAAATAGCCTGGGGAAATAAGACGAAAGAGGTGTGGGCGAAAGGTGGTGAAGGTGGTGAAAGGAAGAGAACTATGTGCGGTTCACCTCGCTGCTCACTGGTACTAGGCAGCTGCTGCCTGCCAGTGAGGCCACCCAGAAGTTTATACTGACCTCATCGCTACTCGAAGCGGCGTTAGACAGACCACATAGGATAACAGCGCAATAATCTCAAGGCCAGGTGGCTCAGACATGATATTCTGGTATCATTAGATTCGCAATATTGAGCCCTCACGATACAGGGTAATAAATAGCAAAAATTGACAAGCTCCAAATTGTTAAAACTTCAAACTTGAAGAGCATTTAGGTTGTAACTATGCCAAGGTATATAGTACAAGACAATATATAGCCTGGTGAAAGTCCTTTCTTCCGGATTTCTTGCCGCGGAGGAAATTACTAGTAGCTTGAAGTATACTAGTACGCTTTCTATTAGGGTGCGGAGTCTCAGGGTGGCAGTAGACTCAGTGTTGGGGATACGACTGGGAAGGATAATGTGTAGGATACTAAGTAGTGTTATGTTTATATCTCAAACTGGCTACTGGCACAGATAAATCATGAGGATATGTATAGGATGAAAGACTACCTGAGCTCAAAGGAATTAGATTTAGCGCTGTGGACCCTTGTCTTGAAATCAGTAACTACGTAGTACTGATCCGATTGCCGCCATGGAGCCCGTAGGCGAATAGAGCGGGTCATGTTTTCCTGTTACTGCGAACAACTTGGTGCAGGCTAACTCACAAGGTGGAACTATGGAAGCTGCGGATTTCTAACAAAAAGCAAGATGCCGAAGGAAATATCGGAATACATCTATAAGTGTCAGTATGATATATCAAGTAGACGAATCAATATCAAAATTTAACAGGGAAATTTACCCGCCTCCAACGTAGGTAGTGAATGTCCAGCCGTGGGCAATTGCCGCGATGGAAAGGAGCGCGCCAGCTGCCTTAAGAAGCATGACTTTTAAGAAATCGAAAAGATTCTTTAGAGGATGAAGTAGGTTGTTGTGTGTGAGTAAAAAGAGGAGAGCAGAACGTGCGATCTTTATATGCTAGGAGCTAGCCTACGAAAACAAAGCTGTGAGCCGATATCATGATGTCTTTGTGTTGATGATTGAGGAGCGTAAACTAATTGCGATGCCAAGGTGCAATGGGGGCTCGACGTTGCTGATAACGAGGCTATCGCTCCAGCCCCCGTCGATCTGGGGCCAGGATTCTCTCTTTAACAATGAGTGGCTTATAGCCCCACGTGGTATCAGCCGAGTCTGAATCCTGCACCAAGGATGATATCATCCCTGAATACACGACGGTGTACGTATGAGGTTAATTAGTGCGACGACCCAATATAAGCAAATTGGATTCTATTGGTGTATGTATCATATCTGCCTTCCAAGGTTGACACCAGCCTTGAAATAACATCACACAAGATCCTTCAAGGTGTATGCACTTCGCCTCAATCCTATCCACCCCAATTTCATCCTTCCCAATACCCAAACTATCCATTCATAGAAAAAGAAGAAAGGAGATGAACCAAGGCTCTCTCATGATTTGGCCTTCTAAGCCATTCGAAGGCAGACGTCTCTCAACTGATGTAACATTCAAGATGAAACTAGCAGCTGCTGTAACAACCTGAGCCACACTCTGCTAGCGCGGCTCCGCAGCTTAATTGCAAGCCTTGCCTCTCTCTTTCATCTCTTCTTCGCTCCCAGTATCGCTTCCGTCTCATCTTCCTTCTTCTTCTTCCTCTCAAGCTCTTGCTTTCGTCGAATCGCTACTACTCCCTTCGCCTGATCGTTACGTCGTATCTTGATCTCTGTAAGTATCTAAACATCCTCACAGATACAGCTGTGATGCCACATCTCGCACTAAACACTACCGGCAAAATCCCAAATGATTATATACTTGCTGGAATACACGACCTTGAGAACTTTCTCATCTAGGTAGCCAGGAGGGGAGCTTACAGAATGTTGTATTGGGATGCTAAACCTAAGAAGGCAACCAACTTGATCTAGTAATTCACATGTCCGCCATTTACATATCAAATCATCCGCTAACCTCCCGGCCTTATGCAGTACCAGCTGCCCCAACCGTTCCAACTACACCAGCCTTTCGTCGCTCTCGCAGAAGAACAGGCACAATAGTCAACACAACAGAAACACTAACGACGATGGCTTGTAGGCCAAAGACCAGACCCAATCCATTTCGTTGAATCCAAGCAGGCTGGAAATATCCCACCGCAAACCCACCACATGTTCGCCACATGTTGAGAATGGCAGAGACGCAGGTAGATCGATTGGGGTATTTCTCCAAAGCATACGCTGTGATAGCCCTGGTCGGAGTTAGCATGGCCGTTGTCTAGGATTTTGGGCTGGGGTTGAAAGGGACGGCGGGGTGGAACATACACGATTGTACCAACCATTCCAATATTAACCATAATCCACCCAAATGCGATTCCAATCCAGTGTTTACCGAAGTGCATCGTCAGTCCATACGTGAGCAGTCCACAGACCATGCTACCGATGGGAAACCATACTCCGTGTAGTCGATACTCAGTCTGCCAGGCATGTTGGTGTCGGCGATAGATCCATCCGTTGAAGAAGTGACCAAATACCCAACCTGATAAATTGATTAGAATTTTTTCTACATGTGACAGAAGCTTTATCATGAAAAAAAACATACCGCATAGTGCGCCAATAACACCAGCGAAGCGCATGGATGATGCCTCAATTGTATCAAAGAGGTAGGGCGGGCTGTGGAGAAACGTATCGATGGTAGTGGTGATTCCTGAAATCGTCAGCACTGTTCCTATACAACTGCGTCGCAAAAATATGTCATAGAAAAGGAAAATGATAGGGGATAGACATACCGATAGGCCAGGTAAATGTAATCAGAATGGCAATTCCAGTCATCAATAAAGGGAATCGGAATACGTACACCACTAGGATCTTGCACCAGTATCCCAGCGTGTTCCATTTCGGTTGGCCAGTGTTTCCGAAGCCGAAATAAGAGCCTAGTAAGGAGCCCGGCTGTCTATCCGGGTTGTAGTATGTTTCTCGGCCGAAGGCGAGGACGAGAATTGTTGATAGTCCGTATAGAGCTGTTAGTACCCCAAAGGAGGAGACCCAGTTTGTGCCTGCGCCAATGTAGCCGGCTATCGCGGGACCAAGAAAGGGTCCGACGAGGAATGTTGTTCCCCTATACTTTATTAGATTTGAAGTCTCGGGAAGTGATGATGATGGCGCATGTGGAAGTATTATTCAACTTACCAGATGTTGATCATGCGAGGCCATTCTAATAAAATCAGCAAGCTGTGACAATGCGCTAACAACGAGTGTTTACTTACCCTCTGGGCTGTACATGTCGTGAATAATGGGAAGTCCAATCACTTGAGGAACAGTGCCAAAAAGCCCCTGCAGTGAGCGAAAAGCCGTAAAAGTGTTGTAGTCGGTCGAAAGGGTGGCTCCCAGGACCATGAACATTGTGATGACCTGCGGCCAGATCCAGACAGGGAAACTGGAGAGTCAGTTAGTTGAAATTGTACTTCACCACTTATTAAATTATTCAAAATTGGATTCCCCTCACCGGCCATACGCCTCCACGAGCGGAACAGCAAACAGTCCACCGAATCCTTGGAGCAAAATGCCCCAGTTCATGCTCGTCGCGGACTTATTGATGGAAATTCCCCATTCCATTGCCTGGGGAGTGATAAGAGTACCACCCCAGACCATAGCTCTGCGATAGGTACACTGAATGAGCTTAAATGCGACGATCATCGGAAGGGTGGAGTATACATACCCATCTGCAAGTAGCGAGCTCGACATCAGCGCGAGAAAGAGCAGCGTTTTGCGCCTCTGACTCCAATTCTGCGGATTTCGCTCATCCATATCCCCCTTCGATTCTCCCGAGTGTACCTCATGCGTTGAAGCATCCTGGGATAGCGAGGAAGAGTCCATCTCGTGTGCCTCGTTGACGGGGGAGTGTTTCTCCATTTTGCGTAGTGGAGCTGGTATTTACCAGAATTGCCGATTGTGACTCGGTAGATATCCGGAAGGGATGCCACGCGGCAAGGGGAGTAAGGATAGAATCAAGGGAAAAAGAGAAGTGAGTGAGTCCTGCACTGGCTGCACTTTAGCGAGCGACTATCGTTTCCCGGGAAGACCAAGGTTTTATGCATAGAAGAAGAGGAGAAGGGGAGGTTAGATTGAATTCTGACACATGGCAGGAGGATTTCTCGCGTGGCGTGTGTCGCGCAGATGTCCAGGAGACAGGTAGAAAAAAGGATACGAAAAGAAACCAGAAAAAAGGCAGAAAGTGATAGCCCCCTTCTTCTTCTCTGAACTATCCGAATTGTACGGACTAACTAACTTAGTTCGTCCACCTCCACCTCCACCCAAAGGTTGGGTTGGGCTGGGTTCGGTCGGGTCTCGCGAACTTACGATCTGAGAGTATGTAAAGTATCTTATTTCTTTCCCCTCAATTACCCGAGGGAAGTGAACGGATTTGCATTGGTCGGGCCATGGACTGGAATCACACAGATCAAATTACGGCTTTACGCCCCTCTCCACATTGATTTATCGCGCAGATCCCTTCTAGACCCGGGTTCCACTTGGCGCCACTTTGAGGTACAGGGCATCATTTAGGTTTTCAGTCCTTTGAACAAGGCTAAAGTTAGCTTTTGTATTTTTCTCTACGTCTTTTACAATACTGCGTCCATATGGAAGACAAATGTGTTGTCTTTTGCGTTCGTTGGGATCGGCGAGGACTTTCTCTCTCCTTACTGGCGTATCGCTGTGATTTGATATGGATTTGAGGCTTGCAGTAGACTCGTCTCACGAGTTAAGTGGCTGACCAACTTTGGTGGAGTATTTCGGTTACAAAGTTAACTTCCAGAGTGACATGGACATTCTAACTTACTTATTCATTCGAGTTTACTTTTGTATGGAGGAGTCATGCTGGGAATGTTGGGCCACGTACCCCCTTCATCTACGGAGTACATATGTACATAAGACACCAGCACAGCGGACCCGATCGCATCCATCTTTGGTAACGTTCATCCGATTTACAAGTGAGCCAAATCATGTCTTTCCTGGCTCGATTAGCAGGCCTACTTGGCCTGGCTGCGCCAGCTCCTGTTATCCCTCCAGGCGCAGCCCTCGCAGCTACGATTACAGTGGTAAGTTTTGCGCTGGAATCGAACTTAACTTAATTTCATTTTGCTTTGGGTGAAATCTGACTGGTTAGCCGGCTTCTCTTGGGTTTGTTCCTGTCGCGGTCCATTTCGATCTCTTTGGCGAATTGGTTCGTTTGAACCGACATGCGACCGCGGAAGAAGTGGCAAATGCCTGCAATGCGCGCATCAGGGCGTGTTCCACCGGGGATCCTGAAATTGGTATATCTCTCGTATTCTAAGTGCTTTGGCATTAATTTTGTGAATTTTTGCTAATTTTCCCAGCTGTCAGACTTGCCTGTATGGATGCGACCACTTCCCATTGATTACTACTCCTATGTTTTTTGTTTACTTATTAACTGATGCTGGCTAGCCGACACGCTGTATATTATGTCCGGACTGGGCCTAGTCGAGCGCGTGGCTGAGGACTTATTTGCTGCTAATGCAATCACTCGACACATGGTTGACATGCCTTCTGCGCAGCACGGCGCCGTGCATTTCACAACCGAAGGGATGATGGCCGGCGCGTTTATGATGAAGAAGCTTCAAGCTACTAACTTTGCCTATCCATTTTCCGAAGCAGACGGACCCATTCAATATGCTTACAAACTCATGGGAGAGGAGAAGCTGTCCCACGAACACACTTATTCGATTATGGAGCAACAAGGTCGCATGGACAGCTTTAATCAGTTCATGGTGGGCAAGTTTATCAAGTTTGGCACATTTCCGGACCGTGTTGCTTCACTAGGATACAATCTCGATAAAGCCCTTGGCGAACCAGGATCTCTGGATCAGAATCCTGTTATGGTCGATATTGGGGGCGGACGGGGTGAACTACTCCTAGAAGTCCAGGCGGCTTATCCACATCTGCAAGAGGCCAATCTAGTTGTCCAGGAATTCAACACAGAGATCGACGCCGGCGATGTCCCCGGTGTGCGACTGATGGAGTGGAATTACAAGGAAAGTCCCGAGCAGCCGATTCGGGGCGCGCGCATTTACTCACTGCAACATATCCTACACAACCTGCCTGATTTGAACGCGGTGGCGCTTTTACAGAAGCTCTCGCGGGCGATGACGGCCGAATCGCGGTTACTTATCATCGAATATGCGAAAAATATGACTTATACCTCGCTCCACGCGAGTATGATTGCTTTGTATGGGGGCCGCGAACGCAGCCCGGCCGAGTGGAGGCAATTGGCGAGCGTTTCGGGGTTGGAGGTTGGGTTTGAGGGATATGTGCGAGCGGGTGAATCATTGGTGGAGATGAGGTTGAAACCCGAGTAATAAATTTAGCAAATGAATGAGATATCGCCGGATTGAGTTCTGGCCCCAAGTTGAACTGGCTCATCTGCCTAGCGTGTAAAGTAAATTGACGTACTTTGTACCCCGTCCGTACATAGTACTGACATGGTCATGGAACCGGAACAAGTGGGGATGAGCATGTTGTCAGTGGAGTGATCCTCCGGAGCCTTTTCCGGCATTACATTGACTCGGTAAAATACCGACAAAATATCCAGTCGAACAAGAGTTATACGAGATGTGCCTGATCCTCAATGCGAGCTCAGATCATTCACGATATGCTTTGCGCTCTGCATGAACACCCAAGAATTGACAAGTCGAATGTGATGGGTGATCGGCTTGATTCATCACATCTGAAATCTCAGCTCGAATAAATCACACAAACAACCCCTCTCCACCAATTGACGGTATTGAGTTCGCATCAAAGCTTTTTCCGGGTAAATTAGGAACTTCAATTGGCCGGGGTCCCCTCAACTGATGTGGTGACTATTCCTATGACAGACTAGAATGGATCTCCTTACCTTTGACTCAAGTCCATGACCCACTTGTGAATCTTATTTGATCTTCCGATCAAGACCCGGACAACTAGCGCCCGGGTTCCACTGTCAGTGCTCTGAACTTCCGTAGGTTATCTCTTTTACCTGGCTCTTGGGTTGGTATGGATGCAATAGGAAAATAGTACTCCGTACACCGGAAGGAAAGTCGCTGAAGAGGGGCATTGCTTTTTCTCCATTCCAAACCTTTGGACCAACTATTGAATGCACGGCCTCGTTTTGTACAACCCTTGCGTTGGCGACGCATGGCGGTTGCATGGTCGCCATTCGTCCCCAGCTCGCATTGGAATGTCGCTCGCCTGTGCCACCGCGTCCACATGGGCCTTGCAGGAATGAGACCCCTACGCAGGGAAACAAACTAGCTGGGTATGGGTGGAAACCGAACAAATCCTTTATTCCTCCGGGTCTTCCTCGGAAACCGGAATACGTATATGGTGTCCAATTTTAGCGCCAACATAGCCTTGGAACACCTGTGAACTATTGTTGGCCCTTTTATCCATTATTCGAGTTTATTTGATCTCTCAATCACAGAAGTGTGATATTAGGTTCGCACCAACCAGTGGCCCTGATATCCATGCCCTTCCTGTGATTCATCATCGTTCCTGATCACCCCCCCAGTGCGGCCCCCCTTGTTGGCCCGGTCAAACTTAGTCCACTGGGCTGCCATGGCAGGGTTTACATGTAAGTTGTTTGCGAGGTAATCGGTCTTTAACTTTCTACCGAAGTGTCCCATATTCCACCCCCACTCCTATATGATCTGCGCAAGTGCTGTCTGATCCATCAACATCGATGCGATTCCTCTTTCATTCTCTGCCAATGCTTGCTATTTGAATGCGAGTCGCGCGCTGCAGTTGAGTCTCGATCACAAAGTTGGCCCTTACATCATCGCCATGGAAATCCCCCGACCCGGAGAGGGAGATGTCGATATTGGTAAGTCGCGTGCTTAGAAATTTTGAGTCTGGCGGTTGTTGACTGATGTTTGATATGCATAGGCTCTGGCACATTTGCAGCTTGCTGGGTAAGCCAAGCCTGTCATCTTCCATGTGGTACCTTGAGTAACTAACCTGTCACTTAGGCGCTTACTGGAGTGGTTGGTGTCGCTCTGCTCTTTCGATATGCCGTCAAGTCTTGGGTTCGCTGGGCTCTGCCGCAGGTTACTGCACCTGGAAGAATTTGGGGCATCGAAGATATGTTCTTCCTAGTCGCTTATGGCTTTGATGTCACTCATATGACATTTATTCAACTGAGGTAAGTGTTCATCCTGTCCAGGGATTCTAAGAGTATCCAGCTAACTAGAGTAAAGTGCCAATTGGGGTCTCGGACGTCACTTCTTCTACCTTAGTGAAGAAGAAAGATTCCACGCTATGAGGTGGGACTTTTTGTCACAGCCTATTGCCGTCGCCTCGGCGATGGTTTCAAGAACCGGCATGATGTGGTTTCTATTGACATGCTTCGCAGCGAGTGATCGGAAACTTCGAATGTCGATCATCATCTGTGCTATTGTCCAAATCGTTGCAAATATGGTCACCATCGTACAGATCATTGTCCAGTGTGGGCCTAATCCATATCACTCCGCGAATCGTGTTCAATATTTCAAATATATGTGGACTCCTTTGCCAGAGGATGGATCGGTCGTGTGTCAATCACCATCTGTTCAAACGACCGTCGGGTTTGTCCAGGGAGGTACGTACTCGATTTCACTTATACTTGCATCGTTCTCTATTAACCGAGTCTTGGCAGGCTTCAACACAATTATTGATTTCGCGCTCGCTGCTCTTGCTGCCGTGGAATTATGGCAGTTTTTCTTGCGAACGTTACATCGCGAACCAAATGTTTCATTCTGGTCTCAGTTTCACAAAATCAACAGCACAGTACGATCACGTCGCATCTGGCAGACACTTACCCTGAGCGGTCCTCTTATACTCTCCGGTGCCGCTTCAATTGTGAAGACTTATGTGCGTCCTCCTTCAAGTACTCATTTGCCCAGTTCTAACATGCAATGGTGCAGAAACTCAAATCGCTCGGTGACCGACTAGACTTTACTTATAACATCGTCTCATTTGTCCTCTGGGTGAAGTAAGTTGTCGATAAATATTCCGTATCAGCCTTTTTAATTCTAACATAAATTTTTGCAGGATCGAAAACTACAGCATCCTGCTCGCTTCCTGCGCACCTGTCGCCCGTCTCTTCCTTCGCGCTATTGTTGACAACCGTCGCGATGGCAAACCAGTCGGCTACTGGTCCCGATCTCGCTCGAATAATAATAATAATAATAACTCTGATAATTCGAACGATACGGAGCTCAAGCGACGACAAAAAGACCAATGGCTGGACTCGGCAACAGCGACAGCGGGGAATTGGCAAGATGAAGAGAATGATCCTCCGCATTGGGGTACCACCGAGCGTTCTGAGAGTCGGATCTCTCGAGCGCAACAGCCCGATCATTTGGATGATGGATTTGTGACTGTCAAAACGGATATTGTTGTGCAGGTTGATGATGGGCGGTCTGTTTCCTCTGGTGGTGCCAGGTTACTGCCTGAGGGGAGTGAACCGCTTCATGTGCATAGGAAGGAATAGTAAGGGTTGGGATATGTAAAAGCGAGGCCGTGTAGATATAATATGTCGTGAAGTATAGTAATTCGATATGCAACATGAAGTACACGAATCAAAAGCACAGGTATTAATTGAAACCCCATAAATTCCAAGCCTTTTAACTAGCATATGTAGCGAAACATCTTACGTGAAACTATGTAAGGCCATATCTCTGGATAATGAATCCTAATATCTACTAAGACTTGCAAATTGAGATCAAAACATGTTCCTCGCTTCAAGTAGCAAAATAATAATTATGACGAGCCCGGAACATCCAGTCCACAAAAACGACCAGAAAGGTTCCTGCGATCAATACTATTGCCCAATTCATATTATCTACCGGTGTCAGTGAATCGGACCTAATTGCTTTGAAATGGAGTCTACTCACATATGTTTGCCTTCTCCACGGGGATATAAAGTGGGAAGCTACCAAGATGGGATACTACGTCAGCCAAACCACTTTTACGCTACTAGTAGATATCAATAAAGAGCAACGGGAAAATTCTTACAGAAGCATAACGCTGATCAGCAAACACCAGCAGACGGAAAATATGTTGATGGCCCATCCGGCTACACCCAGGTTAAAGGCTCGTGGTGTCGGCAATGCTTTGCGGCCGGTGACGACAATCTGAGAACGTTTAAGTAATCGCAAGTAGAGGTCGCATCGGAAGTGTAAACACCCACCAGGAAAGTTGGGATTAGATAGCCAACTTGGATTGCGACTAGTCCAATGCTAATAATTACTTGAAATGCGTAGTCGGAGCCAAAAACCACCACGCCTAGAAGTGACATTAGTTGACTGTCATGATCAGTGTAGCTAGATGGGAGAATATACCAATAATCAGTTGCGCGACTCCTGATAGAATAAGGGTGTTGAGAGGTGTATCAAGCTTATGATTTATCTGAACGAAAAGGTTCGAAAATGGGAGGGCATTGTCTCTTGCCATTCCCCATGTTAAACGAGACGCTGCTGTATTGAGGCCCATACAGATAAAAAGACTAGTCAGTGTTAGAAGAAGGTCTATCTCGAGATAAACGCTCGGGGGAAAAGGCAGAAGACAAAATGATATTATGGATGAAGTGGCATGATAAACTCACTTGATCACAATCAGAATTATGACAACGAAGGCAATCCCACCAGCGGGATTCTGAAGCACATCGACAAACCAAGTAACGTACGGAATGCTGAAGTTGTAAGCTATTCTCCACATCTACATGGATAATTATTAAATCGTGGGCAATAACTGACTCTGTTTCCATGTAAGACTCCCAATCTTTGGAAGTAAATCCCATGATTATTGCAGCAAGAAAAGTGGTTGCACCGCTGACAACCATAGACCATAACATAGCCCGCTTTGTGGCACATTTTGTCAGCTAGAAATGATTCACGGGGCTAGGCTGAACTGTAATACTCACCGGTGCGTTTCTTTCCGGGTCTTTCATTTCTTCGGCAATATGTAGGATCCCATCCGTTCCATACAACGCATACATTGGGGTATAGAAACTCATAATCCCTACCCATCCACGACTTTCGTAGCCCGAGTTATTCAAAAACTCGGTGAAAACAAAGCTAGCGGACTGCTTTGGTGCCAGCGCGAGGAACAAGGCAGCCCACACAATTGCGCCAGCTATGACTATAAATCCCCCAACCAGTGAGAGTAATGGAAGGTATTTCTGGGAAAGCGAGGCAGCAAGTGCCAGAATTGTAAGCCCGGCATACATAAGCCATTCCAGCCATCTCTGTATGTTATTTATAAGCCCTTCGACATTCAATCTTCTCAGCAGTAGAGATATAGTGTCTTACCGTGGCTTGCCATTCCGGGTAGCTGATCTGGATGATACCTATGCAAACCTGTGCAGAATTCATGGTACAGCTGGCTGCCGTAGCAATTTCACCAAGAAATATAACCCACCCAATAGCATATGAGAGGAATCTCCGGACGCTATGATGAAAGAGTAGGAATTAATATTGGGGGAAGTTCGGCCGTTGAGGGGATCATGAGTTTAAGAGTCAATTTCCTGGTCGACATTTTGGGGGTACACACCTTGGAGGCGCAAGCTTTTGAGTGAATACCCTATTTCACGAACATTAGTATCTATCAGTTCCGTTACACTCGCTTCCGAAAACCGTTCTACCTACTGTTGACCGCCAGCATATGGCCAGATTGAGCACATCTCAGCGAGGGATGCCATTAGAAGGCCTTGCCCAATAGTAACAATAACTCTGGCCTAAGTCTTAGTTATGTTTTTTACGGGTAGGTAACTGGAAGCTCTAACGATGAGTATATCAACATCATCGGACCTCCAATATCGTATACGGTATCGAATAAAATGATGTTGCAAGTCCAGCTTGTCATCATGAGAACCTGCCATGCAGTTGCTGCATCAATGATTGTTGTTAGTTTTCGATACTCAATTTGGGCTTAGAATATGGGTTGAAGAAGGGTATCATTTGCGGGGGTTTGCTAACCACTCCAGATATTGTACACTCGCTTTGGGGACTCTGCGGCAAGGATTTCCCTTGTTTTTTGTCAGGTTGCACATTTGCGGGAAGAGAGTTTTTCCGAATATCTAAAGACATTCTGAGGGTGAGTTGGAGCCAAGGATTTTGACAATACTTAGAAGCTTGTCTTGGCTAGGTTCCTTTCTAGGAAACCCATCAGTATTTGAACTTTCAGGGTTCGGACAGACCGAGAGAGGGAGAGGAGGGGAATAGACAGCATTCTCAAACTTGAATTCTCGTAATACAAGTCATCTTTGTAGCGGTTAGTCGATAGAGTCTTGACGCCCGTTAATTTACGCTGATAAGCAACTAAGGGAGACCTTGCAGCGGATCAAGTGCCTTTTCTTGCTATATCTCAACTATGATGCCAACAACCCCTTTCAAGATACATCGAACGTAATATCTGAATTAATACCCTTATCTATGTGTCGTAGATACGTGTCGGGCACACCGACGGATAGGGTCATATATAGTGAAAGATGTAGATATTATCAGTCGCAGATGCCCTGAAAAGAGGTTGAATCGTGCTAGGCCAATTAATTAAATACCAGAGAAGCATTAAGCAGCATCATGGATAACTCATTATGTGTTACAGCGTTACACCAATTGCCCCTCTATTCTTTGTGATCGGCATAATGCGGGTGAGCTAGGATGCTCGTCGAATATGGGGTATAAATTCGGGGAAATGTGCCAACGGCTCATCTTATTTCTAAACAATCAAGCTATTTCATTGGGACCAAGCCAAGAAATTTCCAAAATAAAGATGTCTCAGTGTCAATGATGTCGCTACATGAGGCAAGGCGGGAAGAGAACCTGCCACTTCGGCATGTCCGATTGAAGCCATCGGGGGTACCGCCAAAGGTTTTATTTTCAAGATGCTTACATATCCAGTGGAATACTCAAAATTATAACATCTTTTAATTGACTGCGATCGGCTTTGGAAGTCATGCGGTTCGCGCAAACTATATACTTGCTGCACTGCTCTGATCACACCACAGAACTGGTAGCCTCGGCACTTCAATTTCGATTCTAGAATAGTCCTCATGACTCAGATGATGATATCCCGTGAATATCGAAGTTGGATATCGGTATCTAAATATGAATCTTGGAAGCCTAAATTCCTTGTAGGTTTCAGCATTAGGAGTCCTCGCTAAGATATAGAGTAGTCGCCTGCCGTATAATGCACTCAGTAGGTGTCCAAATTCCCACCCGGAAAAGGAATATGCTTCTCTCTTCAATTCGGTCGAATCCATAGCACTGCACGTTCGTGTTTTTGAATTGCAGGGTCGTGGTCCAAGGTTATCTTGATTGACAAGCCCCAGAGAGTACTACCCCGTATATACCTTCCACGGATATCTTCACTTGGATGCGGCGTCGTTAACAGTTTTCGGCCCACTTGAATGCAATATTTTGTACTCAACGCCCGAGTCAAATAAAATAAATGATTTCCTATCCCATCTAAGCACAGTTATAATTTTAATAAAATTTCCCCATTTTTAATCCGAGAAACCTCGAAAATCCACGTCATCGCCGCGTCTCCCCTGGCCAATCACCACGTGATGATAAGCATATCGACTCCGCGGAAGTTCAACTTCACTTCAATGTTGACCTTCTCTTCTCTCCTGTCCATCTCCATCTTCATCGCCGCTATTCTCCTCAGAAATGGCAGCTAAGGATTCGGCATTCCCTCTTCGTCGAGGGTCAGATGCCTCGGAAAAAGACTTTTTCGATATCCCGGACGAATCGTGGTCAGCGATGGCCAAACGCCAACTACGACACATCCGCACTTGGGTCATTCTCTTCGCCCTCATTGTCTACTGCTTGTGGCCGAAATCGATACCACTTCCTCCGCAGCCAAATCCCCATATTCATTATGATGAGGTCGACTGGACGCGCTATGCCTACACAACGTACGCGACTAGCGAGACAGATCTATGCAATTCCTTAATGGTTTACGCGGCTTTGCAGCGCTTCCAATCCAAGGCGGAAAATCTGCTATTCTACCCAGACGAGTGGGATCTCATTATTGACGACGACTCTGATCGCATCAGCGAGCTTCTGATCCTGGCCAAAAGTAGATATAATATCCAGTTGTCGCCAATCAAGGTCGAGGCAATCAAGCGACCGTCTGAACGTGAGTGGAAGGATAGAATAGAACAGGACCAGCCACCCATGAGGCTCAGAGCTAACTACTATTTTCACTGCTAGGATTTGCCGACGCAACCTGGGATGTCAGTTCGGCCAAATTGAACGCATTCGGCGTCATCCAATACGATCGCGTTATTCACCTCGACTCCGACATCACCCTACTCAACCACATGGATGAGCTATTCTTCCTCCCACCCACCGTTGCCGCCATGCCTCGAGCCTACTGGACACTCCCCGACTCCCACACCCTCAGCTCCCAGATTGTCGTTATCGAGCCCTCGTACAAGGAATTCCTGGGATTGCAGGAATTGACCCGTCTCGCGACCCATGGCCAATTGGATATATGGAACGGGACAGAGGGATTGGATACGGCGATTCTAAACCATCGCTATGGGGATAATGCTATGGTTCTTCCCCACAAGGAGTACGGCCTACTCACGAGCGAGTTCCGCAGAAAGGAACATAAGAATTTCCTGGGCACGGAGAAGGACTGGATTCCTGACAAGGTCATGGCGGAGAGCAAGTTTGTGCAATTCTCGGATGACCCCTTGCCCAAACCTTGGGTTATGTGGCCGCAGGAAATGCTGGCAGAGATCCAGCCTAAGTGCGACAGTAAACCCGGGACATCTGAGGAGAGTGGATGTCGCGATCGAGAATTATGGAAAGAACTCTATGATCATTTCCGGAGGCAGCGAAAGGTGTGTATGCCCCTGTTCTGTTTGTGCGCGCGCGTGTGTGTCAAGGTTCATTCGTGCTGACTACTCTTTCTTCGACAGGACGTTTGCAGGTTACTGAGTTATCCTGCACCAGTATAAGAAGTGGTCGTGTCTCCCAGGAGTGACCATCATTTTTTCCATTTGTAGATTTGAGCGTATCGGTATTTAGGCGTTTTGAGAACGGGAACCCAGGACAGGATTGTACAGAATAGACAATATAAGTCATTGAATTCGAGATCGAGACTGAAAGGTTGAAATGCCAGTGGCAGGGTATCATGCAGGAAAAGTAAAAATCGAACAGAAGAGTAGAGAATCGAATCAAACCAACATCATGATCGCATCAAGAATATCCCATCCCTTTCCTCCACCACCCCCAAACTCCCCGCTGCGCCATCAAACTCCCAAACTCCTTCACACTCTCAACTTCATTCAACCCAACATCTCTCCCAGTCGCGCGTGCTTCCTCATCAGCCATACCCCCCGATTCAGAGACAAGTTCCCCCGGTTTACGCACCAGCTGGAAATCCTTATATCGTAACCTCTTCACCACTCCAACCCACCCCTCCACCTGGCCCTGTTCCTGCCCCTCGACGTACATGATCCCCGGACACCCGCCGGAGCGAAGAAGTACGAAGCAGCTGTGGGTGTCGGCGGCACGTTTTAGGGCGGCGACCTTTTTGCGGGAGGTTATGTGGTGGGTGCGGATTAGAGCGTTATAGAGTTGTGTGGGCATTGCGAGTTGGGGAGAATCGTTGGGGAGAATCGTTGGGGAGAAGAAGGGGGAGAAAGGAAATAAAATGAAGGACGACTTTGAGGCTGGTGGAGACGATCTTGGCGGGTTTAGCGTCTTAGTAATGGGGTATTTGGGGTACATTTCGTGGAGGAATGCGAGGAATTATTGGCCACTGAGGACGAAACTAGTATAATTGCTTCTTATAAGCTGAGAGTTAAATGAATATTCGGTTTCTTATATTTTTTCTTTTCAGAAATATATGAAAAAGAATACCTAGTTCTTTTTGAAGATGGCTGTTCGTGATGGACTTATTTTCATCGAATTCGCCATATACTTGATTCATCGATGAATCACTTAAATCTCAACTGTATCTGCTTCAGTAGTCCATACATGATGCAAAAACCCTCGCAGGAAAATACGAGATATCTTCAAGTTCCATTGGCCCAGGTGAATCCATTTCGCCGCATCATCATGCAGTCACACTCCGCCAATTGTGGGTTCTCATAGGGGTTTCCTTTAACGGAAAAGCTGCCGAGAAGAGATTGACTCAGAGCGACCCCGCGGGGAAATCTTTCTTTCTGAAGTTTATGAGGTCTTGACACCAGAATTCTTTGCCTTCAACGTCAACTTTCTGATCTTGTCTGGATGGAATAGGTCTTTGCTTCAATTTCAACACGTTCACTATGGGAGTCACTCAGACAGGTGAATCGCTACAACTCCCTCCAATCGAAGATCCAAGCAACATCCAGGCTCTACTAGATGAATATGGATTGGAATTCACCCCAAATGGAGAGTCAATTCGCTGGTCTGTAGGGAATAAAAGACATCCGCGCAATTGGCCAGCTTCTCGCAAGATCTACGACACAGGCCTGGTCATCTTCTTGGATCTATTCACGACATCCGTTAGTACGGCCGGGAGCTCAGCGGCTGATCATGCTCGTCATGAATTTGGCATTGGAAAAACACTGGCTATTTTCCTGTTCGTCTCGCTCTCTTTACTCGGCCAAATGTTTGGGGGTATCATATTCCCGGCTTGGTCTGAGGCTTTCGGTCGCAAGAGGCTATACATTGTCAGCACCGGTTTATACAGCGTCTTCTGTCTAATCGTCGGCATTGTTCCATCTTTGGCTGCTGTTATTGTTGGACGCTTTTTCGCCGGGTTTCTCTCTGCAATTCCGGCTATCGTTGTCGCGGGGAGTATTGAGGATATGTACAACTCAAAGGATAGGGTGTGGCTCATTTTCTTATGGGCTATTGTGGCTAATATGGGTCTTGCTTTGGGGCCTATTATGAGTATCTACATCACTGTTTCTCTGAGCTGGTATGTGCATGAAAAAGTAGCCCCTTTCCCAGGCTCCAAAGAAGACAAAGATTGACTTGCTTTTGTAGGAGATGGGTATTTCGAATTTCTGCCGTCGTTACGGCGATAGTTACGGTTCTCCTATTCGGCATCAAAGAATCACGACCATCATCGGTCTTGGAAATGGAGGTTGCAAAGGTCCGCAAGGAAAGTGGACTTGATACCCTCAAAGCATTGAACCCAGATCACACCCCCGACCTGATGACATTCGTCCGTATTGGTCTCTTCCGACCCATCCAACTCTTCTTCACGGAACCTATCGTTTTCATGGTGGCGATGATGAGCGCAGTGGCATTTGCCCTGATTTATCTCTTCACCGAGGCCTTACCACCCATTTACGTCTCGATGGGATTCTCAACCACATCCTCTTACCTCCCCTTCATCGCCATCTGCGTGGGTCTCCTATCTGGAATGCTCACACGCATTCAAGATATCCGGATAATCCAGAAATACAAAGAGCAAGGCATCCCTCTCGAGCCAGAGCACAAACTGCTCGGTTTTTCCATTGGCGCTCCAATTCTAGCCGGTGGCCTATGGTGGTTCGCATGGACGATTCCGCCTTTAGTGACTAATGTTCACTGGTTAGTCTCTGCGGCCGCGCTTGTGCTGATTGGATATGCTGTGAATGAGTTCGACTCGGTACTTGCGGGATACCTGGCCGATAGTTATATGGGCTATGCGGCTAGTGGCTTCGCAGCGGTTCAGCTTCTTCGTTCGTCGATGTCGGCTGTTTTCCCGCTCTTCGCGACTGAGATGTTTGAGGGGTTAGGTGCTAATGTTGCAGCCTCGATTTTGGCGGCGTTTGCGACGCTTTTTTGTATTATTCCGCCTCTTTTTACGAGGTATGGGAAGCGGATTCGTTCGCGGAGTACATTTGCCAAGTATAGCTTGCAGGTGTATCGCGAGAATGGAATTGATAAGAATGGTTATTGAACTATGGGGGTTTCGGTGATATTTGTTTTTGGGTTTTATAGAAAAGTTTAGACTTGAAGAAGACTCCAAGTCGGATAGAGGTGTTGTAGCAAAGCCTAATGCTAGCTGCATTGAACATATTGAATATAGTTTGATTCCCCGGAATATCTCAAATATCTAAAATATATTCAGCAATTGGACCATTACCTGAAGAAATTGGAATATCGCAAAAACTTGAACAAACTTGGCAACATAAAGAAAATTACATTTGTTCCGTTGTAATATGTGGCTGCAGCCCTGGAGAGTACGAAGTCATCTGCCCCCTCCTCTGAATCATCACCGCTACTAGTATTTACTTAGATGATCGGTGCCCTCATGTTTCTCATTGCTTTTTCGACAAGTCAGACCACGGACATTTTCTGCTTGTCATATCTACGGACGGATTCATGACAGGTCGCATTGACCACCCTGCACTCTGCACCCTGCATCGGCCACCAAGCATCGGTCATTGGTCATCAAATATCGGCCATCGCTTTCCGCGGCAGCTTCAAACAGCAGCTCCATCCCAATATCTGGCAAAATGATTAAAAATCAATCCAGAATTAGCTGTAAATAGCCGCGCTGAGAGATTCACCGCCCGATTCAACCTGTCAGCATCATCCAATTCATCCTGGATCCGCTTTTCCTTTGGTTCCAGGTGGATCTTCTCCTCAGAACTTCCTCATTTAGTCGGCACCCGCGGAGACCGCGGGTCCTCCTCTCTTGCGACTTACCGTATTTGGGTAAACTTGCGCAAAACCCCCGGTGGCCAAAGTGTTCCTTGTTCCTCGTGGCGCACTCCCTCGTGGCCGCCTGAACCGTACGGAACTCCCATTGGCCGCGCTAGATCCTCGGAACATCAGATCTTCTTGTTCGTCATAAATCATAATGGATGTCGGACCCACCGGATGTCTCTAGCTTGGATGAATGATTTTTCGTTTGTCCTTTACGGGTGTCACTATTGGTTGGTTGTTAATTTAGAGTCATATTGTAGCTTGGCTTCCTCTTTCTGGACCCTGGTCCAAGTTCTGGATCTCTTGGAGCTTCTGCCTGTCATGAAATAAAATATTCTCTTCATCGCCACTTCTTCTCATCACTCAACCATGCAAATGCGTGTTCTCTTCAACCTTTCATCATAGAAGCATTTGATCAGGATTCACCATGCCTGCTCCTCTGCACTCGCGCCCCCAGGCGTCCTTCATTGCGGGGCACGAGGCACCATCTGACGATCACGGCCCTCGTGTCCACGTCTCCCACGCAGATGAAGATGCCATCGCTGATATCCATCGCACGCTGACAGAGAAGAGTCAACCAGGTGAGGTACAGTACTCCGAGCCTCACTCGTCCTTCGACAAATTTCTTGAGGAACAGGTCCAGGGAGGGAAAAAGCGCTCCAATCTGGGAGTGAGCTTTCAATCTGTCTCAACATGGGGTGAAGGTTATGGTCATGCCAATGTGAAGACCTTAGGAACGGCCTTGTGGCGGACCTTGACTTGCCGGGATATCTACGAATGGACAATTCAACCGTGGGTATCATCGAAAAAGCCCGAGGATGGAAGGCAGCTCATCCGAGACTTCTCTGGTGTCGTTGAAAGCGGCGAAATGATGCTGTAAGTAGAAGTGGGTTGATTCAATAGAGGGAATGGGTATATGGCTAACATTTCCCAGGGTTCTGGGACGTCCAGGAGCTGGATGTTCGACCTTCCTGCGGACAATTGCAGGACACCATTCTTCCTTCCTGGGAGTAACAGGCGCAATCGACTACTCTGGCCTATGCCCGGATGAAGTCCGCAAGCACTACCGCAGTGCTGTGGCATATGTACCCGAGGACGACGTGCATTTCCCCACTCTTACTGTGAAACAGACTCTCGAGTTTGCGCTGCAGAGTAAGACTCCTAAGCGCTACCAGGATCGAATTCCGCGGTATCTCGAGATCTACGGCCGCGTGTTTGGCATGACACACACGATGAACACACTGGTTGGCAACGAGTATATCCGTGGTGTCTCGGGTGGCGAACGCAAACGTATCTCCATCATTGAGTCACTAGCCACCGATTCATCGGTCACCTGCTGGGACAATTCGACTCGCGGTCTGGATGCATCATCTGCACTGGACTATGCTCGGAGCTTGCGGATCATGACCGACACCTGTGGAAAAGCTACACTACTCACACTCTACCAAGCCTCAGATGCAATCTACGAACTTATGGACAAAGTGCTTCTGATTGACGAAGGGAGAATGCTATACCAGGGCCCTGCTAGTCAAGCGAAACAATACTTCGAGGACCTGGGGTATGAGTGTGCCGAGATGCAAACGACTTCCGATTTCCTCACCAGCATCACTGTGCCCGAGCGACGACGATTCCGTGCTGGCTGGGAGGACCGTGCCCCCTAAAGGTCCAATTGAACTGGAGCAGGCCTTCCGAGAGAGCTATGCTTTCAAAAACGTTCAGCGATCCTTGGAGATCTACGATGATAAGCGAGTCAGCGGGAAAGCCAACGGATCTTGCCAAACTGACTCGGAATGTGGAAGCGTTGAGGAGCTCAAGCGCAGTCTGCAGAACGACAAATCTCGCTTTGTCTCTTCCAAATCTCCATACACCATTTCGCTGTTCCGACAGATTGTGATATGTGCGCAGCGTCAGATATGGCAGCTCAAGGGGCACCTGAGTCCCCTCTATATTAAGTTCATTTCTTGCGTGATTTACGGCTTGTTGATCGGCTCAATGTTCTACAATCAGCCCCAGACCACCGATGGAATGTATTCTCGCGGTGGTGTACTCTTCTACTCCTCTATCCTGCTGGCCTGGCTACAGATGTCGGAGCTGGAGGATGCCATGCAGGGAAGAGATATTCTCAGCCGACAGAAGAAGTTCGCATTTGTGAGACCCAGTGCTGTCTGTATGGCTCGTGTCATGCAAGATATGATTCTCACCGCGTTTCTGACCATACTGTATCTCATTGTGATGTATTTCCTGGCTGGATTGCGTTCAGATGTGAGTTTACTTCTCTTTTCTTCAAAACATGCAGAAGGAGTTTCTAACGATTTTAGGCTGGGCCTTTCTTCATCGACTTCCTCTTCATTTACACCTGCACTGTCTGCCTCACAGCCCAATTTCGCGTGTTTGCGGCAATGTCGAGCAATTTTGAAGTCGCTCTAAGATACTGCGGTGTGTCTGTGCTATTCTGCATTGTCTTTGGTGGTTATGTTCTGTCTGTCGACAAAATGATACAGGATGTTCCCTGGGTAGGATGGATTGCGGTAAGGGGAATTGAAATATTAACCAACACATTAGCTGACTTTTTTTCAGTATATAACGCCGGCGTTATACACCTATGAGTCTGTCATGGCTGCCGAGTTTCACAATGTCAATTTCACCTGCACCGCCTCCTCAATTGTACCAGAAGGATCCAACTACACCGACATTGCATACCAGACCTGCGCTTACGCTGGAAGCAAAATTGGCAGCACTGTCGTGAACGGAGATGACTACTTGGCGAGCCAATTCGGATTCTACTACAGCCACGTGTGGCGTAACTTTGGCATTCTTTGCCTCTTCACCGTTGTCTTTGTTGGACTTACTTGCTGGCTTAGTGAAGTCATGGAGTGGGAGTTGGATGGCGCCGGCCCAATTCAATACAGAGCCCCGAAGAAATGGCTTAACCGCAAGAATATCTCTGGATCCGACGAAGAAACGACTCCTGTTCCGGTTGACCCCAAGGCACCTCCTGCTGTGTCCCAGGAATAAAGTCCGACCAGGTTTTGGCTGCGACCGAATCTACCTTCACCTGGTCGGACCTAGAGCTCAACGTTCAGATTGGCAAAGAAACTCGGAAACTTCTCGACGGAGTCAATGGATATTGTAAGCCTGGAACTCTGACAGCTCTTGTCGGAGCTTCTGGTGCGGGCAAATCTACCTGTGAGTTAGAGTCCCAGCATCATGATAATATTTTCTAACAATCCTTAGTGTTGACTGCACTTACTCAACGACAAAGCGCTGGCACACTTTCCGGCTCGATGTTCGTGGATAACCAGCCCATCGACGATTCCTTCAATCGGCAGATCGGATACTGCCAACAGATGGACATCCACGACGAAAGTAGTACCATCCGAGAGGCATTCGAATTTTCCGCCTTGCTTCGGCAAGATAAGGACACCCCGAGAGATGAGAAACTAGCCTATGTGGAAACGGTCTTGCAGACACTTGACCTAGTGGAATTGCAGAACGCGGTTATTGGATCCCTGGATATTGAGAAGAAGAAGCGTGTCACAATTGGAGTTGAACTGTGTGCACGACCACGGTTGCTTTTGTTCCTTGACGAGCCTACCAGTGGACTAGACAGCCAGGGTGCAACAAGCATCGTGGCACTCCTCCGTCGTCTGTCGGATCAAGGGCTCGCTGTCCTCTGCACAATTCACCAAGCGAATCAACAACAATTCGAAGAGGTATGTTAATCATCGCCAACGCCCCATCTATCTAATCACTATATTCTAATTCCTTCAGTTCGACCGCGTTCTCGCACTGAGCCCAGGCGGAAGCACATATTACTTCGGCCCCGTTGGAGAATCTGGCAAAGCAATTTTCGAATACTTCACCAAGCATGGACACAATCCCGAGAAAGTCACTAATGCTGCTGACTTCCTTATCGAGGTTGTGGTGGGTGGTATGAAGTCTTCAGGAAATCAAGTCAACTGGGCATCCATTTGGCGCGAATCTGAAGACGCGAAGACTGTCAAGAAGGAAATTTCCGATATTCGTGCCCACGAGAATGTCCACCAAAAGACTACGGCCCCATCCCTTCCTTCGCTCTACGAACAAATCGTCCTCCTCACTCAACGAACTAGCCGGCAATTCTACAGAACAGCAGAGTATCCGTACTCGCGTCTGTATGCTTCGTTTCTTCACGCACTCATCAACGGTCTCACGTACCTCCAAATTGGAGACAGCACGACCGATCTCCAGTCCAAGGCCTTTTCTGCATTTTTGGTTCTCATGCTTGTTCCCGAATTCATCAACGCCATCTCCATGCGCTTCATTCTAAACCGTGACATCTGGTTGGCAAGAGAGGGTCCGAGTGGGGTCTACAACTGGATCGCGTTCAGCACTGCGCAGATCATTTCTGAGATTCCATACGCCATTGTTGGTGGAACAATCTTCTATGTGCTCTACTACTTCATGGTCGGGTTGCCTCTTGGCTTCGCTGCGGGATACAGCTTTCTGATGTTTTTCCTATTTTTCCTATTCGCTACATCATGGGGACAATGGATCGCTGCTCTGAGGTAAGTACCCTGGCTCAACTCACCATTGCTTTCCATACTGACCATACTAAAGCTCCGACTCCATGGTTGCCGCAACTCTCATGCCATTCTTTATCATCATGTGCGAGCTGTTCAACGGCATCCTCCGCCACCATGAACAAATGCCCGCTTTCTGGAAGTACACGATGTACTACATAACGCCCTTCACCTACTGGATTGGCGGTGTTCTAACAGCTGTCCTCCGCGGAACGGATGTCATCTGTTCGCCGAGTGAATTGACTCTCTTCGAGAGTCCGCCCAACATGACCTGCGGCGAGTACGCTGGTCCCTGGCTTGCGAGCAAGGGCGTTGGATACCTCTCAAATGAGGATAGCAGTGGTATCTGCGGCTACTGCCAATATAGCCGTGGTGATGATGTGAGTTCCCCAAGCATGAGCAAGTCTTCAGCAGAAGTGGAACGTGAGAACTGACTTGGGTTAAACTATAGTACCTTGAGAGCATCGGCTTGGACGAATCGAAGATGTGGCCCTACTTCGGTATCTTTTTGGCATTTACGATCACGAACTATCTGATGGTTTACCTCCTTGTTTATGTTCGTTCTGTTATGAAGCCTCTCTGGAGGAAGTGATGATGCGCCGCATCCTTTGCATTTGCATTTGCATTTCTAGCTATAGCGATTACACATAGCGGCATTTTGGGTGTTTCCAATACATTCACTTTTTATGTTCTTCTCACTTTGGCTCACTCTACTTAAACGGTCTCTCTATACCAGCCTTTCATCTCAGCTATAGCTTCACATAAAGGCGAATCTAGGAATTTCTAAATTGAAAGCAAGATTCCTTTCGCTGTAACCTCATATGTTATTCAGACTCGGACTCTATATTGGAGGTAGCATCAATTACCAATAAGTAACAGTATTTCAGGGTAAAACTGGCGCCATTAGTTCAAATGGTAGGATATAGAGTATAGGCTTGTAGATCTAGAAACAATGACGTCATGAAATGGTATAGTGGGGGAAATCGAAAAAAAATGCCGTCCTCCCCCGCCTATTTTCGTTCGTTGCGCGGGTGAATATCATCGTTTCCTTTTGCCTCGCTCGCTTCTTACTTCGAATCAAGCAAAGTCATATAAACTGATATTTTATACACGCAAAATGAGTGCAAGTACAGCCCAAAGATAAACAGTCTATATGATGGATAATGTGAACCTCCAACTAATTACCAAACTAGACCGAATTTGTGCGTTCCCTATTAGATCACATTATACAGAACTTCTGTTGGGATGCATGGCCTAGTTCAGCAGATCATATCGTCATTTCATACTGATCGGCCTTCCTCGATTTTAGCTTGTCAGCTTCTCCGCCCCGGAAGCTAAAGAATATAACTATGGCGCCGAGCCTGGAGAGACGTAAGTCGTTACTTATTCCTAGCCCCTCGAGGTTAAACCACAGAGGAAATACCCGCGTTTGCCTTCGAATTTACTAAAAGTTTGGGATACAATAGTAAGAGCTTTTTGATTGAATTTGTTACGAAAACACTCACAGTGGTCGGTGATAGGGTTGATAGCGCCATGCACGTTCCAGCTCCAGAGGGGCATCCTTTCTCACATGCTCTAGTGTATGTCATTTTCCTTCCAATTGAACTAACTGTGTGAATTTTTATTTACCATATATACTACCCTTAGTGTCAAAACATCCGACATGGATCCAGAGGATTTCCAAGAGCTACTGGCTGATGCCTGGGCTAGGACACAAGCTCCCTCCGATGATAAGGAAGGATCTCTTCCAGAAATTTACATTAATGTCTCAGAGGCATTTCCAAATCAATAAACCACGGAGACGGACTTGAACTATTGAGTTAGCCATATACAATATCCACTGGTCGATGAAATTTACCTTGCATAATGAAGCATGTGAAAAAGAAATCCAGTGGCTGATTAACACTTGAAATTGCACTATGTACTACTACATCATATTACTGCATACAAAACTCGACCGCCATTTTGAATCGAACACGTCAGCTATTATCCACATCCCTTAATACGCATACCGGAAATGAGGATTCTCCTTATCCGTCAATCCAGCCCACTTAGTCTCATCAACCATACCGTCATCAACATGGCCCTTCTGCTCATCACGCCGACGGTTGACGAAGAAATAGTACCCGAACAGCACAACCGAGAGAACGGCAGCAGCAGCCTGAGTCGCCAGAACTGCAATTTTCGCAGGCCGATAGTCCGGTGCGTCTTTTGCTTGAAATGTCTGCGGGCCGATAATATTACCGACAGAAAACGATCCCGCGACAAGAGCACTTGCGAAGGCGCGCTTTGTATGGCCTGCTGTATTTGCCATTGTCCATTGGTAGAGGATTGGGAGGGTGGCGACGATAGCGTTGACGAGGTAGATGCCGATGAGAACGCCTGCTGTGTTACTTTTCGGAAGGAATGACATCAGTCCGCCGCCGATGATTCCAGGAATTGTACAAAGGACATTCCAGGCCCAGCGGTTGGATGTCTTGCGAATTCCATATCCGACGAGTAGCGTGAAGAAGATGCTAACAATGCCCCCGGGTGTGTTCAAGAGGGCGGAGATAGGTCCTGAAAAGCCGAAGCCAGCAATGAGGGTTGCGGAGTATGTTGTTACCACGCCGCTGGAGACAGAGATAAGGATCGTTGTCAAGGTGATGAGCCACAGTTGGGGGTCGATTAGACCTTCGCCGATTTGTTTGAGGTTGATCTTTGTGCTCCACACGCCTGTCTGGTTGGAACTGACGTGTTCGAGGAGCGCGACTTTTTCTTCCTCTGACAGCCACTTTGCTTTGATTGGGGTGTCGGGGATAAAGAAGAACGTCAATGCTCCGACAACGGAGGTTATCAGACCAAGAACAATGAACATAATACGCCATCCTTCCAATTGGGCATTTTCGACATGCTGAAAAGCAAAAGAGATGATGCCGCCCAGTATCTGTGCGGCTCCTAGTCCCATGTACCAAAAGGTGAAGCGAGGTGCTTGCTCGCTACGCGTATAGTACCGACTGCTAATCAGCATCAATGAAGGGCCGATCGTGGCCTCGAAGATGCCCAAGAAGATCCGCGCGACGAGTAAAGTCTTGTAGTCTTTTGCGCCAGCGGAGGCTGCCGCCGCAACGCCCCAGAAAAACACATTTCCTCCGAGCCATTTCGCGGCGGGGACCTTTTGCAAGAAATAAACTAAGTTGAAGTCAATTTTTCTGCGGTGCTCTTCACATTGAGGGGGAGGGATGTGATGTGATGTGATATATACGGTAACATATGCAAAGCAAGGGATGGCTTACCATTTGGTACTTCTGCAATGAGATACGCGATGAAAAACCAGGATGCCGTGTTCGAGAATTCGTTTCCTTTGAGCTTAAGGTGCACCTTGATTCCCATAACAGCCGCATACTAGACATTGTTAGTATCCGATGCAATGCGATGTCGATGCGCGACGATCGGATCGTCCAGCAGTGGCAGATCCGGGGTGGGACAGCTTCGGAATCGAAATCGGACTCGATTGAACTTACATTCAACATGACTTTATCCAGGAACTGCAACACATAGCAGCAGAACATGTACGGCAGTAACCGACGATCGATCTTTCGGCGCAGTGCCGCGAGATCGACATTCGCGTTCGCATGGTGACCTTCGAGGTAGACGACCGCGTCGTCGCGGTCGACTGCTTGAACTGCGGGCTCTTTCTCGCCCATTTTGCCTGTACAGCTGCCAAATAGTAGGACTGGAGTACTGGACCTGGGGGTGCAAAAGGAAATCGGATCAAGCTGGGGTGTGCTGGTTGTTGAGGGGAGTGGGATGGCAAAGTTTAAAACAACAGAGTTTCGCAGAGATGCTGCGTCCAGGTGGCACTTGTACTGGCATGTACTAGGGTAGTATCAGCAAATGTACTCCGTCCTCCGTACGAGTTTGTCTAATGAGTTAGTGCTGCACTAGCTGGGAGCTCACCTCTTGGTCCTATTGGTCTGTGCAACTTGCGTGGAGATGAAGCACTATGAGACACTGGATCCTACGCATCGACCAACGAGATCGGCGAGATTCCCCGACACCCAGGATCGCTAATCTTCGGCTGCCCCGGTGGGGTTGAATTTCTCTCGGCTCGCGATCTAGATCGATGGTGTGTTGCACGCGAACCAAAACCGTAATTGCAAGGCTTTGTTGAGGGACAATGGTTGGTGGTAGGAGGTTCGGGCGCAAGGGGCGAAGGTTTTTCCTAGGCCAATGCATCCAGGGATCGTTTGATTACCCATGCATACATACATGGAACATACAAAGAACTTCTCGCTACAGCGCTAGAGTACCTTCTCGCAGATTTATCGATCCCATTTCCCTCCACGTGGATTATTCTCCTTCATCGATGCCTCGCTAACTGTCACGATGGGATGGGTATACAACGCCACTCCCGATGTCGAGGCTGTGTCGCAGTACCCTGTGGTGCTGGGCGTGTGTCTGAGTCTCACAATACTGATGGTTATCACTGTCTGTTTGCGCCTGTTTATGCGGGCGCAGGCGAGTCGACTTGGAGCGGCGGATTATGTGATGGTTATGAGCATGGTGAGTTCCTGTCTACACAACATTTGTTTTTAGGTGCTGACTGTATATAGGTGTTTAGTATTGTCTACAGCGCTCTCTGCATTTCCCGTGAGATTGAAATCCTTAATCTATGAGTTCCCCGCGGGTCTAATGCAAATGAACAGAATCACGATATGGACTCGGTCTTCCACTAAAGTTGCGACCAAAGGCTGACCTGGCCACATACACTAAGGTAAACGGATCTCGACACAAGAATACTTGCATTCTCCCGGACATCGAGCTGACACAATTATTTACAGATCAACTACGCCGGCCGTCCCTTTTACCAAATTGGCATCGCCGGATTCAAAACTTCCCTCTGCCTCAGCTACTTACGACTGTTAGAGGGCACTTCAAAAAGCATATATCGGATCGTTATTTGGATTGTCATCGCGCTCTCAACATTAGGTCATATTGTTGGAGCCTTGATCTTGATCTTCACCTGCAAGCCAGTGTCAAAGGCGTGGATACCCAGCGAACCTGGATCATGTCTACCTGTTGGCGCGACATTTTACGGCCTCGCGATTTTCACGATCATTTGCGACGTTGTCATTATTTTCTTACCGATTCCACTCCTTCTCCGACTCAATATAAAGCCCGCACAAAAAGCAGGCGTGGTCTGCCTTTTCCTATTGGGGCTGTTCACGACGATCTGTTCCATCCTTCGCCTTACGCAAATCCACCGTGTCGCATTTGGCGACGGAAATTCCACTATGTTGGTACTTTGGGGGACGATCGAGTTTAATGTGGGGGTATGTTTCTTTCATGATCTGCTTCCTTTGTTTCATCTTACGACAGGAGGTATACTTACTAACGTTTCAAGAACATCGTCACTTGTGTCCCATACCTCGCCCCCCTTCTCAAGGGCTATGTACGCGATTTCCGCTCCAACAGTGGCCGCAAATACTATAACAGCAACGGTCGGAGTTATGCGATGGAAACCTGGACCAAGGATGGACGCTCCCAGCTGCAATCGCACGCTAGTGCGCCGAAACGTACGCCGAGTGAGGAATTAATCCTGTCCAGTCAGGAGCCTTCGCATGGTGGAATCGAAATGACGGTGGAATACCGGGTGTCGAGGGACACTCTCGCAATTCCGAAGGGTTCATGATTGGATGACCCTGTAGGATTTGTGCCTCGAAAGTTTGGGCGGAGGGAAATTTGAAATCAATGGTTGTAATGTATATTTGAGTATGGTTTTGATAAACCTTGGAAGTAATGTATAAATCGAGATTACGGTAGACAAAATGGATTGCATTCACCAGAGCTTCAGGGCTGAGAACCTTGGAAGGATCATGGCCCCCCAAGTGAACCAATTTATTACCGACATTAGCATCAAAATCTGCCGGAATGTTTGCTTTGCTGATACATGCTGGAGCGAGATACTTTTTAGTTAAGTTCGAACTAGCCAGGGATGCACGCCACGCCAAACTCAATGCATTCACACTTCGGGTCGGGCTTCCGGTTGCACCCTTTGGCCCCAGTAAGTGGATCGCACGATCCACAAATTATATTGGTGTTTGCCTAGACATTTGATCCACTTGAGCAAAGCTACTGCACGCCCAGGGGAGACTGTTCCTTCCGGTGGGGGACTTGTAGCCAGTCTCTCTTCAACGACAAGGATTAAGTTGACGCCGCGCCGCTGATCGTGGGTCGGCGATGGGCGCTCGGCGGAGTCCGGTTGTTAGATCCTTCAACCAGATGTTAAATACCCTATCGGGTGAATGAATTAGGAAAATGGAAACGGATGGGGAATCCCATGCGAAAGCCTTGTGTCGGAGGAACTTTTGTCTGGCACTTCAAGATAATCTGCTCCGTAGAGATGCGTTAGACGCTTCGGAATTCCACATCGGGCCGCGTAGGCGCAGCTAGACTTCCCCGAATGCATTGCATTGCATGATTCTTTCATAAAATACAAAGTAATATTATTCGTATTGCATGGTAATGGTACTGGATTAGGTGCTGACGGCGTCTTGCCTCGGGACACGATTCACGATGTTTCAGCGTTCCATCGAGCAGCCCCCCTTGATTGCATTCCTTGTAGAGCTACTCCGTTCTCCGCACTTTGTGCACGTACACCTGCAGTACAACAGCTGGACACAATGACGATCCTCATCGTCGGCGCGGGCATTTCGGGCCTCATCCTCGCCCAACATCTTCAGAGCAAACAAATCCCATTTGAGATTTTCGACCGCGACTCTGCCCTTGATGCCCGCAATGGTGGCTGGGGGTTGACCCTGCATTGGTCGCTCCCTGCGCTGCGCTCTCTACTGCCTGACGAACTGGTGCAACGATTCCCGGAAACATTCGTGAACAAAGATGCAGCCGCCCGTGGTGATGTTGGACGATTCCAGTTTTTTGATCTCAAGTCGGGTGAGGCGTTGTACAGCGTCGATGCGGAGGAGCGTATTAGGGTCAATCGGGGACGGTTGCGAGAATTGTTGACAACGGGGCTCGATGTGAAGGTACTTTAAAATCGGACTGGGACTACGGGGATAAATCAGAGAGGCTGATCAGCGCAGTGGAGCAAAACGCTTGAATCGATTGAATCGACAACAGACGGGGTGACCGCGCGATTCGATGATGGCACTGAATACAATGGCCAGGTTTTGATCGCTTGCGATGGTGCTCGGTCGCGTACGCGACAAATTCTTTATCCTGATGCTGCAATGAATCCGCTACCGGTCCAGCTACTTGGTGCATCCGCACTGTACACTGCGGAGGAGATGAACGGCGTCCAAAAGATCGACCCATATATTTTCCAGGGCTCTCATCCTGATACAGACGTCTTTCTTTTCTTCAGCTGTATGTTCCCACACTTTATTTTGTGGAATTTTCTAACCTTATCAATGAACAGTCCTGGATACACCGAGTAACTTCGATGAGAGCAGTCGGGATCGATATCACGTCCAGATTATTATGTCTTGGGCTGACACTAAGGGGATAAATGTTCCGTCTCAGAATTCCGATCGTATCGCATTGATGAAGAAGTTATCGGATAATTGGTCCGAGCCATTTAGATCGCTCGTGCAGAAACTGCCTGTCGATACAGAGGCGCGATCCATTCGCATTGAGGATTGGATGTTCCAACTCGGTCGGAAACATGCGCACCCTCGTGTCGCACTGGTGGGGGATTCCGCGCACACTATGACGATGTGTATGTTTGTCGTAAGCCTTTGTTATATCTTCGCTTTACTAACTAAATGTAGTCCGGGGTGAAGGAGCCAATAACGCCATTGTTGATGTTTTGGACTTGGTTAAAAGGGTGGACCTGGAGAAACCAGAGTATGACAATCAAGAGAAAAGTTCCCGTCTTGTCTGCTCAAAGTGCTGACAATTCCAGATCCTTCAATTTGCCGACGCTTTCAGAGTCTTTGGCAGCCTACGAAAAGGATATATTTGCGCGTGTGGAATCCAGCTTTCTCAACTCCCGCCAAGCGTGTTTGGATGCGCATACGTTCTCTAAGATCAAGGGTAGCCCACTTGTGATGGCGCGGAATCTCAAAAAGGATTAATTGATGGTGTATGTGAATCCAGATAGAAATTCATAGAGTGGTTTTCCATGTCGAACTTGAAGAAATGCTATCCCTCACTATACCGAAGCATATAATAGCACAACCAGGGCAATTTTGAAATGTTATATGAAGGTTCTGCTCGCTCTTCTGAATTCACCCGGTATGAAAAGGTGCCTAATATTACTGGTACTATTAGTAATAATTCCTTCTAGGCGGAAAGCCGTCAACTTGAAGGTTTAAATGGAGTGGTACAGTGCAGAAATATACTTTACACGCCGGCTGGTGACACTATTAGGTTTTACCTGATCTGACTCTTGAGGTATCTATCTGGAATAGTATTCTTCCTATTCACGAAAAGCCCATTAAACTTGAACTAATACTGGTACTATGCCACAGCCTATTAATATATCTTCGCTATCACCTGGGCATCCGCCACCATCCATGAACAGCCACCACGCATCACCCCGATATTTTACTAACTTGAAACCTTCTCCTCAACTCGAGTTACCGACACACAAGTCTTCTCTAAACACATAGTCCTCAAGACAAGCAGATTCTGACTTTGAGTCTGCAGAAATCTGCAAAAAGTTAGTAAGACTTGCAAAAGTCGACAGAGCAAGGAAAGACTCACGCTTGATACCGTTGAACATTCAGCACCTCCCTCTCAACCAAAGCTTTCAAAGCCCATCGAATATCACAAACAAGGCTTTCGCACCGACTCCGACTGAATTCTTCCCGCACAACCGCGCGCATCATGTTCATACCTGCGTCAGCGGCCATTTTGTACGCAGGAACAATCCACCCACGTTCGCGTAGCTTCGCAGATACGGCAAACTCATCGAATAAAACTCCTTGCTCGGGGCCAAGTCGAAATGCCACTACCGGGAGGCCGTCACCACTCCCTTCGCTCATTATGATGAATCCCAGAGCAGAGAGTTGGCTGCTGAGGTAGTCTGCTGTGTCGGTGAGATTGGTCATGATGGCGGTGTACCCTCTCTTTCCGAGACGGATCATTTGGTAATATTGTGCGATGATGTGTGATGCCGGTTTAGAGAAGTTCAAGGTAAAATTCAGCTGGTCAGAGCCTAGGTAGTGGATGTTGAAGATTAGGTCATCGGGAAGGTAGGAGGATGAGCGCCAGAGAGCCCAGCCTATCCCGGGATATACCTGGATACTATTAGATATAATGGAAACGGGAAGGGAGTTGCATCAGAGGCTGATGTTTATTGGAATTTGGCTTACGAGTCCGTACTTGTGGCCGGAGACGTTTATCGAAACCACATTCGACAATGCAAAGTCCCACTCGAGACTTGGATTTACGAATGGAGCGACGAATCCACCACTAGCTGCATCGACGTGAATAGGCGTATCAAGACCCCTCTGTACAAGGAGGTTGTTTATACCCTTGACATCCTCGTATTGACCCGTGTATGTCGTTCCCAGAATGGCGCAGATTCCGATCGTGTTTCCGTCAACGAGATCCACTGCTTGAACCGGATCGATAACATAGCGCGTTGACGTACAGGGAACAAGCTTCTCTTCGATCTCAAAGTACCGTGCTGCTTTTTCCCAACATACCTGTACACCACTGCTCATGATCAGGTTTGGAGATGATGTATCTTGCCCGGCGGCCTCTCGAGCATTCTGCCAGCGCTTCTTCATAGCCAGGACAGCTAGCATTATCGCTTCCGACGATCCAATACAGGCAGTACCTATGGCCGTGGTCTCATTGTTTTCTGTCGGAGCGTGGAAGAGATTGGCTAGGATGTTGATGCAGCGATGTTCGGTCTCGACGGATTTGGGGTATTCTTCTTGGTCGACAACATTCTTGTTGGAGGATTCTGCGATTAGTTTTTCCGCTTCTTCCTCCTGTCCGCTGTTAGGAAAGTGGTCGATGAAAAGGTGAAAGTAATCGTAATGTTCGTACCATGTAAGTTGTTACAAAACTGGCGAGACTTTATTTGTTTGTTAGCCTTTTCGTTAATCATTGGAAATGGTGTATGATGTTGCATACTTTAACATGGGGTGTCCGTCAAGGATCAAGTCATCTTTGATCATACGATAGGCAACATCCTTGGGCATTTCCTCCTCCGGGAAATATTGTGACGGCATATGTTGTGATGCAAATCGCGATCCATAGACGTTGGACGTCCTGGACGATACGCGAAAATGTTTGGAGAGTTGTCCAGCCATGATGAGCCTGAGAATCAATTGTAAATTGTGATATTACTACAAAACTCAGGAAACCGATTAAGTTCTCCTATTTATGCTATCTAGTGATGCGTAATCTTACTAGAAAAATCACGCATATAAGCCCTGACAACGTGATGAGGCATTTTGGGCCAAAAAGGAGAATGGGGCTCAGACGCGACCAAAAGCAAGGTCTCCCAACCCTCCGAATATATCCGTCGCGATTATTTCTCTTGCACGTTCCTCAAAGATCCTCAGTTTATTTGTATTTGGGGTTACTATTGCCATTTAAGTCCACTCTAACTCGGTAGTTGCTTTGTACCATGTTTTTCCAATCCGATCGAACCTTTTTTAGCCAAGCCTTCTAGAACGATTAACGTTACCCCTGTTTCGATCCCGTTTTACCTCAGCACCTTTGCCACCACCCCTTGTTTCGTTGATTGAGACACATCACACATTCTGTCGCGCCATTTTCATCGTGTGCTGACGGATAAGCCGCGACAATGCAATGTCGGTCATTGTTACCAATCCCGCGCAAGAATGCGCTTTCAGGTGTTGATTCGTGAAATACGGCGGATATCTCGGTAGTCTAAAAAAATAGTACCAGGGGCTTTCCGATATGCCGACCGATTGTTTCATTCGAATATAACCTACTGGCTTACGTAATTAAACACTTCCGCACGGTTAAAGAGCGAAGTATCTGCGAGTGAGCAAAAAATTAGGAAAGCCGTCTCTCATCTTTGCGATATGGAAGGGAATTACAGTAAAGTCAAAGAATAAAAAGAAAAGACCAACGATCTGACATCCCTCTCCTTATTTTTCCCGATTTGATGGAAATGGGTTTGGATCCATATCATCTGGCAACCAAAGAACTTGACCTTGAAACCCGGGCAAATTCCTCCATTTTCTTTGTTTCAAGCGCCTTCCAGTATTTATTTCCCTCACGACTTGCAGCATAGCAGCGTCATCTTTCAGCTTACTTGTAAGCTACTTAGCATCCAAGACCCTAGTAATTAAATCTTTCTTGCGTCTCTAGGAATTGCGAACCATCCCTTTCCCCTCTGCCTATGCCCACCCGAGGCTTGTCACTCGTCCATGACCCGAAAACAAAAAAAATATCAATCTGAAAGGACTCATGGAGACATACGACCCCAAAAAAGACGATACACGGGAATTTCCCCTTAAATTCGAGTTTATTATCCATAGTGGATGTGCTGGATTGAGGTAACTTTGAGCATTTCTCAGGTATCAACGACATAGCCATTCCACCCGACTTCTTCTCTCCGTTGATAAACTGTCCCGAGAATCCGGTCCTACTGGCCTGTCATACAAATACCCTATTGCTTCGGTCGGCTTTGCCAAGTTTCCAATGGTCGTAAACCTCCCAGGGCTCATCGTACACGAGAGCCGTTGCATTGTCCACGAAAGGGCGAACGGGACAGTTAGAAGAGAATTCACGACCGGGGATGGACCGGAAATACCTGTCCAGAACCTTGGAATTTGGTCCATGTTGGAATGGTCCTAGTTCAGAAATATCTTTTCTCTGCCAGACACTCCGCTCGGCTTGTGCCCAGCCGATCCGTCTGCCTTGCAGACCACCAACAAGCGTTCCCCTTCTTTCACTAGCCAAGTCATACTCGGGTACATGTACCCGGTCCATAGCTTGAAGACAATCGACGCGACCCGGTTGTAAAAATATGCAGCCTCGCGCTAATCTCTTGACATCCTTGTCTGACTTGTACTTCAACCTCCTTCTGCAGAATTAATCATAAGTTCATCGACATGGAAAAGGAATCTTCATTACCGACCAAGATGTTACGGTCCTTGGGTGAGCGCTCCTAGTTTTTTTTTTTTCTCTTCAAGCTGGAAAAGAATTAATCATCTCAACCCAGGCCATGTGGAGAGATACTCTGCAACCCGCATCGATTTGGGAATATATCTCAATGTCACTCTAACAGCCCGCTACAACTGTTCCGACAAGCTTGCCGTGAAACCTGCACTATTCTATGCACTGGCAGCCCTCATAGCGAAACATCCAATCCTCTCAGCGATCCCATGGGCTATGAATACAAAAGAGCCTTACTTCATACGTCTGACGAAGATAGATTTGAAACAGGCTGTTAGGTTTGTCGAGGATGAATTCCGTACAGAAAATACAGATTGGAGAGAGTTCGTGGACAAGGTTCTTGAGAAGGAACACAATACTACTTTCGAGAGTCGAAATGATGCAGATCTTCCATTTTAGAGATTATGTGTTATAACTACCCGGAATATTTCGGATGCTTTTAGCTTGATCTTTGTGTTTCATCACTCACTCATGGACACCCAGAGTGCTGATTCATTCCACCAGGAACTGGAACAATATATGGGGCAATACTATTACTCGGGCCAAAACCTTCCAGTGAATATCGTTCCTTGTCCACATACAACGCTGCTTCCCTCTCTGGAAGAAATGTGTAATTTGCCTATCTCTGATACCTTTCATCTATCCCAAAGCACTTACCACGAGCCAAGCCCAGAAGCCTGGACCGGCGCACCTCAATCCTTACCCGTGAAGACTCGATTCAGCTCGATATCGTTTGCCGAAAGAGAGACGCGAGATTTAAGAAAGTTCAGCGAAAAGCATCAGAGCTCGGTAACAGCAACACTTCAACCCTTACTGGCACATAGCATATTGAGCTCTCTTCCATCTCAATATAAAATGCTCCAAGGTGACTGCGCGGTCTCTCTGTGAAGGTTTCTTCCACAGCCGATTGAAGTGACCAGCTTGGGATGCTATGTCGGCTCACTATCGGTCACCTATCCCAAAAAGTCTTCATTCGACTGGAGCGATGCGCGTCGGACGAAGAGAGCGAGCAGTGAGACTCTTGCAAGGAAGGGAAGAGACATGCCTGTTGGTTACTTGGCCTTCATTCCAGACATGCATTCCTGGATGCAAAACAAACTCACCAAGAAAAGAGCAGCAGCCTTTGATCTTTCCAATATTGGAACTGCCTTAACCAGGAAACCTGGTAGAGGGCACTCGCAATTTAAGATTGAGAGCATGCTTTTCAGTCAGAGCTCGAGTGCATGCAGTGCGGCAATCAAGATAAGTGTAGGCACAGGACCCGACGGGAGACTCGTGTTTGGATTTAGCTGGCAGGAAGGCATTGTTGATGATGCTATAATTTAAAATGTTCGAAGGGAGTTGGAATATGCGGTGACGCCTTTGCGAGAACCTCTTGGCTGTGCGAATTGAACTATTTGAATACATCTGCCACTTTTTCATTTATCTTTCGTGTAGAAGTTTGTAGCTCCTTTTTAGACAACATCAAACTTTTACTATCTGACTTTACATGATCAAGTCGGAGCTGTTTCGTATTCCATTGAAGTATTACCGAATTACGTGTTAAAGAATCGTGTTTTTTTAGAATCAGTGGCAACTTGAAAGTATTCCGTAGGCGCAGCGGAAAGAACGGAAGCGTCTCCAAAGACTTATTTGGGGGTTCAGTTTCCGGCAAAGAATCAAGATATGATATTTTGCTATCAATGACTAATTTTGTGACCGATTGTTGGGTAAAACTGAGTTGTGGATATGCCTTCTGCGACATTTTCTCCGTAATTCCCCCGCACATCGAGTGCCGAGCCGGCCCCAACAGGCGTGGCTCTCGGGTGAATGTACCCGGATACCCAGTTCTTCTACCTGGTGGCAACCTAGAATAGATTTAAAAGGGTTCTTTAAATCGCTTGCCTGCTCACACTAAAATCACCATATATCTTGTGTTCTTACCCCTCACTTTCCGATAATATACAAAGCCATTATTTTTTTCTCCCTACAAAGCAATCTCATCATGTCGAAGCTTTCCGACTATCGCTTGCTTTCGTTCGATGTTTACGGGACGCTCGTAGACTGGGAAGGGGGCATTTTTCATGCATTGCAGCCAACTCTAGCCAAGAATAATGCTCAATTTTCACGACAACATCTGCTGGCTCTTTATCATGAGCTTGAGCGAGAGCAGCAGAACAAGACTCCCGACATGCCCTACCACGAGCTTTTGACCACTGTCCACCCGGAACTTTGCCAGCGCTTGGGAGTGTCGCTGCCCACTCAGACTGAGAGCAATACTTTTGGTGAATCAGTTGGACACTGGCCCGCATTCCCGACACCGTTGAAGCTCTGAAGCGTTTATCGAAGAAATACAAGCTAGTCGTCCTGTCTAATGTCGATCGTGCTTCCTTTGCCAAGACCAACGCCGGAAGTCTTCAGGATTTCCATTTTGACCTGATAATCACCGCCCAAGATGTGGGGTCCTACAAACCCGATCTGCGAAACTTCCAGACTATGTTAGACGCTGCCGATTCGGCCTTTGGAATTCAGCCCTCCGAGGTTCTTCAAACTGCCCAAAGCCAATTCCATGATCACCACCCGCCAAGAAGATGGGAATCAAGTCTGTTTGGATTGAGCGCCCTGGGGCTACAATGGGAAACCTGCCGGAGAATATTTTTGACTGGCGTTTTGATACATTGGGAGATATGGCTGATGCGTTGGACGCAGGAAGGTAGATATTTAGACTGCACATCCAAATTGCATTAAATACACCCTTGAAAATGAGTCAATTTTTCAATCCCAATATGAACTAAACAGAGTCTGAGGAATCAAGCTGTTGATATTACTTTGTGCAAAATCTGTAAACTGCTCCCGCTGTAAATAATAACAAAAATGGTTAACCCTCGACCCTACACGACCCGGAAATTTCTGACATCGAAGTCTCGCCGTAGTAAAGGCTCAAACAACTCAAGCGTTGCATCGTTCTAGAAGGACCCATGTAAGATGGCAATGGGATGTACAGTTCTAGGACAATGTTTCCGTGTTCGCTAGTGCCCACTAGCGCGTTTTCAATGTATTTTGACGCTAAAAGTCGCGATCGCGGTCGCGTCTCCCCATCACAACAATTTTTAACCAAATTCAACCATGGTTCCACGTACGCCATTGAGGTCTACTAGTACCAATAGGGGATATAGCCATGAAATATCTCCATATTTCAGAGGTCAGATATTTAGTTTATCAAAGATTGGCACGGCACAGGCTAGAATTGCCCATCTATTGAATGTTTCAACATCAGCTGTTCAGTATACCTACAACAAGAAGCTACACGAATTAAAACTAATACACTGTTACGACCTGACCGACCACCTATATTTCAGAAAATGATAGAGTTTCTATTTTCGACATCATTCAGCGTGATCCCTTTGTTGGTTATGATAATACTCACGCTCGAAGTGGATTCAATGTTTGCAACAAAACTTCTTCATCGAATGCTGTCGAAAATAAAAACTCTATGGATTTCTGATAATGTAGGTGGTCGGCCAGATCGTGACAGTGTATTAGTTTCAATTCGTGTAGCTTCTTGTTGTAGGGTATACTAAACGGTTGATGTTGAATAACCAGAACTCCGATCTCCCGGATACATTACACTCGGCACGATATCGCAAAACTACTGGAAAATCCAGTCGATATTCACGAATTTTCGGCGGGGCTCACCCTATTCGGATCGAGATGGCACTTGCAGAATACTTCATGAGTCTACTGGTATTACTCTCCAGTACATACGACCATAGGGTGTGGAGAACAGGGCTTCCCGTCCGCTCAGCCGTACTTAAGCCACACGCCGGCAGGTTAGTAGTATGGTGGGTGACCACATGCGAATCCCTGCTGTTGTATGTTTTTGTTTTGTTGGGTTTTTTTTGCCGCCCTACCACTTCAGTCCCTTCAGCCCCGCACCTGAAGGCCCTGAACAGATGAGGTGGCCACTCGGCTAAACCTGCCATGCTTTTTTATCACGACATTTATCCCCTTTCATGTGACCTTGCTCCGGTCTACTGCCCGGTCGATGCGATCTGGAGTAATATATCTACAGAGGAGAGAGTATCTACGAGTATGGCTCTGATACTATCAGAACCGATATAATGATGGTAATGCACTGGAGTCTTTGACATTCTTGGAAGTGTCCATGTTGTGAAGCCAGTCTTATCTGCAGCCTGCTCGTACTCGGAAGTTGGCCGTCAGCTGAGCTGGCGGACAGCCGAGCCGCAATCATTCCAAGGGTACTATGTACAGAGCAGAATGGATTTGAGAAGCTTAATGGGAAGGTCCTGCCCAGAGGGATTGTTGGCAATTGTACAAAACCAAAGAAGATACCCAAACAAGGCGAACTTTATGAAAAGGGAGTTGCCACCGCTGAGCTTTCTCACCGCTACCATGGGGTAGCAGTAGATCTATCAGATTTTGATCAAACAAGATGTAATCAATGAGAAAGTATGTGATATTCGGGCATTTCACGGGACTGGAAAGAGTGAAAAGAAGAATTAGGAGAAATGCATATATGGACAACTATCTATATGCTAACTATCACCTAAGGAGGCAACCTCCGGTGTAAACCACACTAGTTCTCCTACCTAATTGTACCAACTAGTGTAGTAGGGATTCCTGGTCTCAACATCGGTATCTCGGAGTTGTGTGATTAGGGCCTTAGCAACAAGGCCGCTGCTTAGTTTCGAAGAAGATAAATAGTTTCGTTCGATAGCATCAATAACAACAACTATGTTCCCCCTTATGAAAATGTCCTCCTGAGGCTGATGAGGTAGCGGTATCGGTATACCGCTCATGAAAGGTTTTATTGCTTGTTCGATCATCTCTCTATAGCGTCACGCTTTGCCTATCTCGTTCCTGCACTCTGCGAGTGGGGTGGTTTTGTCTCTTCGTGATCGACCCGTCTGCTTGACAGACTGCCAGCGAGCATTCCCATCTTATACTAGATAGTTAGTAGTTACATCTGGGAAGCTAGGTAAATTCCTGCACTACTAGTATGCGATACGCATTGTATAGACTCGCTTGGCCAGTATCGGTCGGCCTTTCTAAAACGTTTGGCTATGTAGAAGGATCTTGTAATTTGTTATTGATCAATAGTATTAAATTGTATATTTAACTTTGAATCAAAGTGCTGTATCCTTCACGATGCTCCAGAAGGTGAGATTCTGGGACCAGAAGCCACGAGCATCGCAGCTGTGATATGAACTATGTACTCCGTTGCGCACATCGACGAGATAATCTGCACCGGGGTCTCTTTTGTGGCCTATGGGATCAAGCATCGGTAACCTGAGCTTCATAGGCGGTAAAAGGATCAGGATCCGAACCCCCGTGGGCCAGCAGGCCCGCGATACTGTCGTGTTCCTTCCACCAATGAATTCCATTATAGTCACCTGTGTCGCACAATGTATCTGGGCCACCAAGGTCTCTTATGGCGTCTTCGACACATGGGTTTGAACCCTTCCACCCTCCATCTGGGGTATTGAATGAAAACGAGGGACCGTATCCGTCGACAAATTCTTTCCACTGGAAATTAGTGACAGCGCAACCTTTCGAATTAATTTTGTCGTGAAAGGCGGAGGCCAGACTTGGGAAATCTTTTTCGTCAGAAGTCCAATCAAAAACATCCCAAATGATGTAGATAAAAAAGGCTCCGCCATTGACATATTTGCAAACCCCGTCTGGTGCATGTGTGCTGATGATTGTCGGCTGGGCGGCGATGGTTGCCGTTGTGCCCTCGATGGTCTTCGCGGGGGTGAGCTCAACGGCCGAATTTGCGAGAGTAGAGCTCATAGGTGGTTCATAAGCCTCCGTAGGCTCTCCAATGCCCACTGTTATCGTACCTGGACCGAGTCCAAAGCCGCCACCATCGTGAGTGGTGATCACCACTGCCTCGTTATACATGGAGCTTCGCCCCATAGGGTCGACCTCGGTATAGTCGGTAATAGTCTTCGTGGGCGCTATGGTAGCGGTTGAGAAAGAAATGCTACTAATTGCTTGGCAGTTACCTTCCAGGACTGTGGTCGTTCCCTGGATATGTGGGAGTGGTGCCCACTGAACAATGTCATCCTTTTCACATTTGCAATAACCGCGTTCGTGATCGTCGGAAGGACCAGGATTGTTGCAAATCTGAGGGTCAGCAGGCCCGTCAGGCTTATGGATCAGACCGGAGGTCGGGAAAGTCCTCAAGTCAGTACACTTGGGGCCTCTGGTCGGAGTCGAATACAAGCTCACAACCGGGTCATCGTCAGGACCTCCCGAGCAGACGCAGAGGGTCTGTGTTGTATGTGCTCCAGCATACTCCTCTGTATCACAGGAAGCAGAGGCAGTTGTACTGCTGGTGCTCATTTTAGGAGCAGAGGTCACAGCTGCCGTTGATTGCACATGGAGGAAGCTGGTCATGGGGAACGTCTTGATATCACTGCAGGCTTTGTCGGTGGGTTTCATGATCCTGTGGGACAAAGAGTGCTTCGCTGTTGTGGACTGGCAATCACATATCGAAGAACTGCTTTCAACAATTTCCAGACTACACATGGCAGTGCTTGAAGTTGTGCTTGACGTTGTGCTTGAAGTTGTACTTGAAGTTAAGCCCGAAGTTGTTTTTGTTGTTGAGCCTGAGCGACCACTCGTCGTCGCGGTATCGGTTGCTTTGGCACCTGATACGGATAAAAAGCCCGATGTTTCCTCAGAAATTTCCGATGGTTCGGAGGAATAAGCTTTTCTGTTGCATGAAGGCACTCCTCTCTTGCGCTTACCATCATCGCCAGAGGAGCTTTCATCAGATGGGGAGTTCATGACCTGATCCTGATCTCCTGGCGCAGGATTGAACTCAGTCATTAACATAGCTGGCCATTCAGCCTCCAAGATGGGTTCAAAGACATTATCTCCGAGATACGCCTTGGCTCCAGCGTACTGAATTTCGCACTCGTCATTATCTTCCTCTTTCCTGAAGTTGTTGTCATACTGAACGAGGACTTTGCCCCAGCAAAAGTTATTATCCGCGTCTATCACCATTTCCGCACCCCCATTCGCCATATCGGCCGTTCCAGCATTGGTATATGAGCGGATCCTCACGCCGTCCGCCAGGCTGCCCCCGATCAAGTCACGAATTTTGTCGGCAATTTGACCGACCTGATCAGGATATTTCAGCGAGGCAGCTGGTAGTTGATGCTGTCCATTACGGGCTCGCCTGACGTTCTCCTGTTGTCTTGCTTCTTCGGGCCATACTGGAGGACCATAACCCTCAAGAGGATCAACATCAGAAGGCGTGACAATTATGGCTTGTGTCTGGGCATCGCTCTTCGTGAAAATCTCATTCTTAATTCCATTGATAGGTATGTTTCCCCACATACCCATCACAAGACCCTTTTCTAGGCGGTTGAGCACATCTTTTTGAAAGCGACTACTGACACCTTGTGGAGATATATAGTTACCAAATATATCGTATGACGCAGGCTCCACGAAGGATGGTGCTTCCCAGAAGTGTGACATATACAAGCCGTACTTTGACATCAAAATGACCGATGTACACCCATAAAGATCGAGTAGCGCGTAGTCCTTGGGTTGATCTTCGAATTTTATCATCAGTGCTGTTGAAATAGTATTCCCGTCGCCCTGAGGAAGCTTGAAAGAATCCTTTGTCAAGTCTTGGAACCACTTTACCCAGCTACTGTGTAACGGCTCGGTGAATACTCGCTTCATGAAAGTCGAGTTCCTTACATTGTTTGTTGGCAACCCGAATTGCCGCTTGATCAGAGTCGAATTCCAATCAAGGAGCCCTGGATAATTTGACTCAATTAAGGCTCTCTTAGACTCTGAAGATCCTGTTTTCGCGCCCCTCAGTCCAGCAGGAAGCACGTTGTTATTCGAGCATGCGGAACATTTCGGAGAACAGTATTCAAGAGTCTTAGAGGGACTGCTTGTTGAGCTTGAAGTTTCTGGGCTTGTATATGATGTTTCTGAAGAAGTCTCTGAGGATGTCTCTGAGGATGTCTCTGAGGATGTTTCCGAAGAGGAACTTGTGTCAGATGGGGATGTTGATGGGTCGGAATCAGGGTTGTTGTTTGCTTCTTTCGGAATAATATCGTGAAGTGAGTCCAAATCTGGTCTCAGATTATCTTTGAGTTGATTTTCAACATCTTTGACAAAGTCCTCCGGATGATCAGACTCAATAGACTTCGAAATTCTGTCTTCAATATTTTGAGCGCCGCATGTTATGCTCTTGACTGTATCAAAGAGAGATCCAAACAAACCTCGGCCCTTGATGTCACGGCGTTTCTTATTGCTGCAGCCCCCGCTGGAGGACCCACCTAGGCTTTTGCCAAGGTTAATTCCATTAGGTGTTGTCTTTTTAATTGCATTGAGTGCAGCAGTTGCTTCTGGGGCTTTAGGGTGCTTGACCCAAGAGTTGATGAGAGGCACAAGAGCTCCAACCTGTGTCGAGTAGGATTTGGCACTGCTGGAAGCTTCACTACCACTTGGATCTATAGTCCCGATCAAGACGTCGGTTGTGACTATCGAACCTGAGATGCTAGTTGTAATAATCGCGGCATCTTCGGTAAGCGTTGAGGACGGTACACTGTACGAGGTTATAGCACCTGCTATTGTCTCGGTTTTGAGCGAGCCACGTTCACTGGTAGTGAAGACTGAGGTGGACAGGCGAGTAGATACAACGGATCCAGAAGCAACAGAGGCTATATGATCCAAAGGCGATGATGGAGGCGTACCAATTGATTGCACAGCTATGTCAGAATCGCTCTGTGATCTATTGCCACTGGCAGAGGAACTGGACGACGTATTGGTGCCGGGTCCTTTGCTTTTGGAATTTCCTGGTGAAGTATTAGGACCTAGGCCCTTTGTAGACGTCTTTTCTGAAGTTCGGGAAGTAGAGACAATCGAATGAGACTGATCAGCGCCACTAGATGGTTGATAATTCTCAGAGGCGTTGGATGAAGACGTCTTAGGGACACTAGAAGTCTTCGAAGACACCGGCGGCTGGGATGAGGAAACCCTCAATGAATTTCTATTGATGGTCTTGGATGTCTTGGAGCTAGCTGGAGCATTGGAGGCAGCCGGAGCATATGGAGGCGTGTTGGCTGTAACAGTCGGCGAGGTATATACAACAGGCCCTGAGAGTGCAACGACCAATTTAGAGCTTCCCGATGTCACTGGGACCGATGACGAACAGGAAGACGGGACGGAGCATGACACTGGTAGAGTACAAGTCGCATGGGACACACAAGAGGAAAATGATTTATAGCATGTTGGCACCAGTGAACAAGGCGATGATGATTTATCTTGAGAGATTGCTGTTGCATCGGCCACGGCAATGCTCGCAAAAGCCGTGCCCAAGGCCAACAATGTCTTGAGTGACATGGTGGAAATATGAACTGTGAGGTTAGGAAAGAAGCACTATTGCGGGTTTCGCTATTATATAGTACGGGGTACAGCGGAAATTACTATGCGGAAAATATCTCAAGATTTTCAAGATATTTTAAGACCGCCCCTTTTGATGACGACCTTTCATGTCAAAGTCTACTGATAATTAACCTTCCTGTGAGGCTGAAATTGGGCTTTGGTCCACTGAAACAAAGTTCTTATTTGCCATTTGAGATCCTTCGGTTCAGTTTGATACGGCAGACCCACGCTGCAGAAACGAGGCCGGTGCTAATCCCACATTTTCTATTAATGTATGAAGCGAGAAAAATGACCGAGTAAAAGGAATGCAACGCCAGATGGGGCCGCTCGTCTACTTCGTACAGGGGCGATAGGATATGTACATACAGACAGTATGGCAGAGGCGGAATAACTTCACGTATACTCCATCTAATTGGCCCACTAAATGTTCAGGTCTTCCAGACGCATACTTGTGGTCCTTGCTCATGACCGGCATCCACAATTTCTCGCAACCAGGGCTCGGTCACTGTATGTCATATTAGGTATTGTATGGAAAGAAGAATGAAATCTGGTCAGTCTATCGGATCCCCAATAGTGTGTCCTTGGCACACGCCACTGTAATTTTAGCATTTTTAACAGTATTAAAAAACTCGTTATTCATACATTTATCACAGCAGCCAGGAAACTATCTAGCAATTTTCACACATATGTATATGCTTGACTTTCCCCCAATTCCTAATTGGGAGTAGTATAGTATCGCCTGATACTAGGATGTTATACGAGTATTGCTATGTCGCTATTTTGATAGCGCCTCCTTTCAGCCATCATATAGTAGTATAGCAGCAAAGTATCAAGGGTACTATCTCTACTGCTCACCATACAAATTTATATAACGAGCAGGAGAAAGTTGAACCATCAAAATATTTAAGTTTCATCTTCTTTCACCTGCGTACAATTTTTTTTTTAGCTAATTTATAGTAATTTATCCAGAGATACGGTATATAACTTATCAGAAAGCTATCCGATCAGCCTGAAAATTAAGCTATTCGCAACTCTACAGTCATATAGTGACGCTATATTGGCTACGAATTCCACCACCACACATCACCACCGTACTGAATCCTTTAAATCTACAACAAAAAAGAAAATAGACTCTGTTTCCTACCTCAGAGACTAGTGTCAGTAACCTCCATACCTACGACCGCGACCTCCAAGCTTACTTTCTATCTACTCTGAACATACCGACCTGCGACTGTATACGACATGGCGTATTCCACCACAACCATAACCGCCACACTATTTACACGTAATGGCCAAAAATAAGAACCTCAAAACGTCAGTGTGGTAACAATACATATCATCCCCAGTATTACATATACCGTACCATTCCGAATTAGGTATTGGGGGTGTTCGAATACTGATTAGGGGTATCCACCTACCATTGCTCCTATTGTAAACCAATCATTTCCAACCTTAGAACCAAGTTGGTTTGACCCTGCTCATCATCTGGACCCCTGGCCCCCTCCTGGCCCCCTCCTGGCCCCCTCCTGGCCCCCTCCTGGCCCCCTCCTGGCCCTCCTGGCCCACATGGCCCTCATGGCCCCCACCCCCCCGCGGCCCATAAAGTTGCCGCAGGCATACGGATCCAATTCCTCTGCCTTCTCGGGGTTACGTCAGCCTTCCCACCTGCTTATTTTTAAGATTAGATTTCGCATTTGCACTTTCTCTCCCCACCATTTTTCTTTCTCTCGCGCTCTCTCTGTTTTTTTCTTCCTATCCTTGCTTAATATGTTGAATGACTTAAGTCCCAAGCTCCAAAGGTTTGATGGAGACAATGACCGCGCCTATGAATTTTATGAGGAGTTTCTAGAAGCTTGTCGACAGGGGGATGTTGACCAAGTCCAGCAGCTCTTAACCCAACAAACTCACCGCGGCCAAGAATGGGTGTCCTCTGGCATTGAAAAAAATTCACGTCAGCAACAGAGGAAAAATGGTGGTTGGTTTGTGGTCTTGAGGAAGCTGCGAAAAATGATAATATCCTCATTATGGAATATTTGCATTTAGAAGGGGCATCTATTAGATACCATACAGTGGAAGCAGCCAAATCAAGGGGTGCTTGGGAATTTCTACTGAACCATGGCTTAGATGTGAATAACCCTATGCCTGAGGCAAAGGTGCCGCTTTTGTAAGTTCATACTTTGATTGTTCAAGTCTTTGCAGAACTAATTAGTTTTTTCTAGGCACGTCGTACGTTGTAATGATCCAGAACTCCTGCGTTGGTTCCTCTCGCTGGGCGCGGATCCTAATTACGGCCCAAACGAGAGTCGTTTGTTACTCGAAGAAGGTGCTATTCAACCATTTTCGCGGCCCGAAAACAACTCGGGGGCTGCATTGGAGCTGGCTGCTTGGGTTTGCGACATGGTAATTTTTGAGCTTTTACTTGAACACGGTGCTAAGCTAGAGAACAGCCTTGCGCTGCACCGAGCCATGATGAGGAGTTCTAATGACCGAATTGTCTTTGCGGAGCGCATTCTAAGCTATGGGGCTGATATAAACCGCGTTGGTTACCTTTCTCCGTACCCGGCAAGGTGGAACTGCTCTTGCGGTGGCGGCCAGGCTTGGTACGCTAGATCAGATACGCTGGTTACTGGAACATGGAGCGGACCATTATATCAGTACTAGTCATGGTAGAACAGCAGCAGACTATGCTTTCCTGGCCCGGCGCGCTGTATTGCCACAAGTCATAGAGTTATTCAACGAATTCAAAAGACCTCAGTAGTTGGGCATCGTGGGCTCAGGTGACTGGGTGAAGCAGAATTCTGCGACGACCAATTTTTCCTCACAACGGACTCGGTTGTGCCTATTTTTGAAACGAACTAGGTCGTTACCATTGTTGATGTCTTATGCGGATGGCATCCACTTAGGCATCCACGCCTACACCTGTATCTAGTTCCATCCCTGCTTCCTTCTTCTTCTTCTTCTTCTTCTTCTTCTTCTTCTTCCTCTTCTTCTCTTTAAGCTATTACTTTTGTTCGAACCGCTACTACTTCATTGCATCGTATGCTACGCTGTACGTTGATCTGTGAGTATCTGAGAATACTCACAGGTATAACTAATAAAACTAGGTTATTAGCTAGAAAATAGAGCTGCTAAAGAACAGATATCTTATATATTAAATAGATTTAAGGCCTCTTTATAGTCTTTTTATGTTTATAGTCGTACTGTCACGGGATTCGTGCCAAAGAGGGTGAGTCTCATTGAAGAGGCAATTACCTCGCTTTGCTATCAGAATCCTTTGACGATCAGGCTTCATTTCAACTACGCTACACTAGGTATTCGTGCCCGATTCCACGTGATTTCAGGGATGAATGACCGGAGGCGAATGCCTCTTTGTTCTTGAAGTTTCTTCAAGAATCTGTCTCTGTCTATTCTTAGTATTGATTGATCTATCTATTATTATCGTTGATTACCATTCGAAATTTTGCCTAGTCACAGGTCTCTAGCCTGTCCCTTAGTAAAGCTATTACATCGCTATGGTGGAGGTAACGAAAGATTGTAGCTCTAATTAAATTATATATCCGGATTGAATAGTATACATAGTTACACTCAGTTTCTTATAGTTCAAATTCGTAGCTCAAAATATCAGTGAAGTTCGTGATGTATTTTAGGGAGCTTCGGCGTGTCTTGAATATCCTTGTCTGACTGTAGCTCGCTTGGATGATAATAACCCAACTCAGTCAGCTGAAGTGGCTTCGTCGCGGCTTTAGATGTCTGCGCGATGCTATATTGATCTTTGGGTTTTGGGTGAGAATTTGCGCTTTGCTTTCGACGAAAGATGATTAACCAAGCAAAGAGCCCTATCAATACCAGGCTGCCAATAGCACATCCAACGCCAATGCCAGCCTTTTTATCCGGCGAAACTCCCGAGCTGGACCCGGAGCTCTCCGATGAAAGAGGTACCCAGAAATCGCTCCAGCTGTCTTCCCACGAATTGTTTGAAGCCTTGATTGAGGTGTCACTGGCCTCAATGCTCTGCTGAACACTAGATCCGATCGCTGGCGCAGGTGCTTGAGCCAAAAACCAGTAACCGCCCCCAGTGCCGTCTTGCCAGTTTGTGCTAATGAAGGCTGCTTGAAGTAAAGCTCTGTCGAGGACGAAGGAGTCAGAGGGATAATATGGGAAGTAAGTGGTGTTGTGTTCCACTAGTGGCCCTTGAAGTGTGAGCTTCAAGAGGAACTTTGATGGTGATACTCTGGGTGTCTATGCATTTTTACTTAGTTGGCTTTGGCTATTCGTTACATACCCGTATTCTTTATTAAAAGCTTTGTTATAGAGGCCTCGATGCGGGGCTGGTCTCGGGCCGAGCGCGGATCGCCTTCGCAGGCCGATAACCTTAGCGTTCTTGAGCCGCGATTCAGTGCTCTCTTCGCCGACAATAGATGTGGAACAACCTTCAGGGCACGATAGTGAAGATGGTCCAGGGAACAAGAGCAAAAACCATCCAATCTATCCCTCATCTGCATTTCAGCACCTCGTCAAATCTTCCCCTACAAGAACCTACAAAGACGACTTTTGCATGTCAGTTCCGGCCCTTCAGGTGATGGGCTGAAGGGGCATCCCGCTAAAGGCAAGCCACCTAGGGCAAGCACGTGGGCGCTAGGTGGCCAGCGACATACAATATCTGTTGTATGTTTTTGCTTTTGGTAATTTCGTTAGGTTTAGTGCCCTTGCCGCCCTACCACTCCAGTCCCTTCAGCCCTTTACCTGAAGGCCCTGAAGCCCCTGAACGGATGACGTGGCCCCTCGGATAAACTTGCCGTCCTTCGTGCCTTCTTTTGGGGGCCAAGACCGAAGCTGACTAGAGCTGTAGGGTGGGCTAAAATGATAGCGAATCACTGAAAATGAGTTCTATAGATCGGCAGGGTAATACCGATGACTATACTCGGTGTGATGGAATCATACAGCGCTAAGCAGTGATGATTTAAAACCTGAGGCTATATAACAAACCCTCCCGTCCGGTTGTAGTTCGCCCTTAACGTGTTTGTCGTTTTTATCTTAAGGTCCGGTTTCGATGCGGTCGGTTATGATAAATTCTCGAAACCTCTAATATAGTATATTTTTCTTGCGGTTAGTACTATCGTAGGCTCTTGAGACCTATTGTGTATGTTATCCTTGCTTTATCCGGAATTCTGGGGGTTCTAAGCGTACTATCGATGCTGTTAAACTATTGTATGTTTGCTTATATTTATACTAACGCTTAGAATATAATAGTAATCAACTTACTAAGTCTATAGCGCTACAGAGTAGTTCTAAACTCGCCTCGCTAGCTTAACCTGCTCTGTCTGTGCAGTTTACACCGGCTGTGCCTACTGCTTTACTTCGACCAAAGATCGGTAAAGTGTCGATGGTATATAGCGGCCTTGAGGCCGAGGCCTTTGAGAAGGTGCTAGAATTATACGAAGAAAATAGTCGCCGGTATAACTATCCTATGTTTATCCTTCGAACGCCTATCCTAGATAGTGTCTGGAATAAACCTCTTAATCTCCTATCAACGATAATTAAAGAACTGAGTAAACCAGAAGATTAGCGATTAGAATAGCTTTTGTAAGACTAAATTATAACTCCCTAATTATATATAGAACTAATAGATAATTTAGTTAGTTTAACGCTGATACAGTGCTTATAAATCTAAATATACTACTTAAAACCTTCCTACTTTCTTTATATCTCTCAGACGTTTATATTCTACTCTCTAAAGATTAGAATGGGATAAATAACGGTAATTTTTCTATCTGTGTAAATCTATAGTCTGTTAACTTACTGAATTCTGTGTTAGTATAACTAACTCTGAAACCTTATATTAATCTGCCCTAGAGGGACTAATCCGCTTTATCTTATATCCTAGAGTACGAGGATTTTTTAAGAGCTGTCGTATATTGCCTATCGCGATGGTTTAATCCTTATAAAAGATCGGATAATAGAGAATTACTAATAACTGAAAATTTAGCTCCGGATATAATAGTGTACCCTAGAGACCTTCTTGTTTATATAGCCGGAGTTCCTAGTAAGATTCGGGGGGAGAAATATAATAGTATATATTGCTATCTCAGAGCAAGAATAGCCAGAGTAGAGTATATCTCTAGAGGCTACTAACTATAAAAACAACACTACTATATTTTAGGAGATTTATAGCTATCGGTCTATTAAAGAGCCTTTAGAATAAGAGGTTTTTAGAGTTAACTATTAAAGATAATAATAAGGACGATAACTTATGCTTTTTGCCCTCTGACCCTCTGCTATATAGCCCTGAGTATTGAGTAGATATTTTAAATACTATTGATACCTGATATTCTATATTTATCCGTAATTATAGAAAACCGAATATAAGCTATACTCTAGCTGGCGTTTGAATCACTATTCAAGGACGATCTCCCCGCTCAGGTTATCTCTACTAACCGTCGTATCTGTAGACTTTAAATAATTAAGAATCCGTAACTTCCCTACAGATCAAGGCTTACTTAAAAAGCCTATAGTAGGCCAAACCGACAGAGTTCAAAAAAGGACGAGATCCGATATTGATTCTTGTTCTTACAATACCTTACGAGGCTCTTTAAAGCCTTTTAATATACTACTTCTGAAGTTGGTGGTTTTTGCTGGTTACATAGCCCACTTACTGGCGTACCAGTCAAGGAGGCTTTCGGAAAATTAGGATTATCGAGTTCATACATAATTATCTGATTCATATTTTGCCCCAAATTTGTTTATAATTCATCGATAACCCGCCAGTTCTCTTTATCGTAGACAAGTCAGATAAAGCAGCCAGTTGCTCAGCGCATTAGAGTCAGCGCATTGGAGTCGGCACCAGGCCATAACAACAGACTTTCGCCAATAACACATCCAGATTGAGATTAGAGGCGCTTATATACAGTACCCTCTTGCTAGCTAGACGACATAATTAGGTGCGGCCAACGCCAAGAACTTTGCTCCACGTTGCGCAGCGACGTTGTGAGCCAACAGATACTTATCCAAGAACAGGAGCTTAGAGCGAAGAGCGAGCCAGGTCGATTACCGACACAACGGGGTATTGGTCAGGTGGCAAAACATGAGGCTGTAGCCGAGATATTATCTGCGTCTAAGGTAAAGAAGGGGCATGTTCTTAGGCTGACTATCTGGTAACCTCCGTAGCGCTAAGGCAGAATACCTTCAGAGTTCCCGTGACCGCGGTCTTAGCGTCTGCCTTAGGCGGAGAGAGTATGTCGGTGGCAGAAGCCTAGTTGACTAGGTACCCTTTGATTTCATACACCGCCTTCCTGAAAATCTAAGAACCGTCGGCAAGAGGAAAAGCGTTTTCCTGATACCGTTAACTCTCTTTCTTAATAAACGCCTTACTTAACCAGACCTTATTTGTGGCCCCTTTTAGAGGTAATGAAGAGAGCTATACCCTATAATTACCTAGGTTCAAGGCCGTAAGGTCGTTGCTATATTAAAGCCCTGTTCACTTCTACGAGGCGAAATTATATATAATGCTATAAAGGACAATAACGCTAATATTCTCTAACTAGGTAGCTTAAAGAGAATTGCCCGACTGTTCCTATCCCCTATCTTTATAGATATAGGCTTTCGAGTTGCAAAACTGTATCACTCTTCCTCATTCTTCTCGCAATTCGAACCCCTGCTTATGATTTTACCTAGTTTATCGAATTTAATAGCCTTTCTTTCCTTTTTTTATAATATCTAGCGTCTACGCTGGGTTATTTTACGGGTTCTTGGATATTAAGTTCTATCCTTCTATACTAAGAATCCTAGTAAATCTTATAATTTTCTCGGCGAACCTTATATTATTATTAAATATATTAGTTAATCAAGCAGTAATTTGCTTTCTATAACCTAGGAGAAAGGGTACTTTACTGGCTCGCGTTTCGATTACAGTAGGCCGAATTGCAGTAGCTAGCTTGGATTTCCTGCATTTGGTAGAAGACGGTTCACGCCTCCCGGGTTTTTATTAAAAGATACTGCAATGCCACTAAGTTGGTAAAATTGGAAATCAACTCCCGTAGAATTCTTTATCCCCTGCCCTTTTACTCTGCCAGCTCCCCGGTTTATGAGTGCCCTCTGGTCCGGTTCCAGGACCAATTCTTTGTGTTGGATCATCAGATTGTAAATGGTACAGTTGGAATGGTATACGTGTTCCGAAAACTGCGTTTGTCAGAAGGTGCGTAAAGTTTTCACTGTGTGGTGGGTGAAACATCATTCGAACCCCACGTTGGTACTGCCATAATAGTCATCCCATAAGAACCAATCAAAGGTACGGTCCGACATCGGCTTCTGAGGGTATGGTAGACTACTTTCCTGGCTGCGGTCCGGATGATGGGATTTTGGACCTTGAAGCTCAGTTTCAAGTATTCGGGACGTAGCATTCATGTCAACCGGCAACCAATTCAAATAGGTACTGAAGTCATGATCACCCAAATCAATGTTGATCAGGTCATCCCATGGCTGTGTGGCCTTCTCGCCAAGCGCTGAGCTTTTCTGCTGCTGGGATAAGGGGGCTGTATTGCCGGCTGGCTTTGTCGAGTTGCCATGGCGGGTATGAGATTGAGCCAGCTGGAGGAACACAGCCGCAGTATGCTGGAGCTTGTAGCATAAACCAGCAAGAAGCCGCATTTGGGACCTCATCTCGGCAAAGTAGTTTACCGTCGTAGCCAATAAGCGCAAATCCTCGTCATGTTTCGGATAGTGGCTATGCTGGTGCACTAAGTTCTCGAAAATAACGAAGAAAGGGGCGAAAGGATAATAGAGAAGTTGCCTGTGTCAATTTTGCGGTTAGCAGGGTCTAAAACAATGAAAGTTTCTCATACCAGACAACTCCGTTATATACTGAGCCCCAGTTCGATACCAAAGAGGGAAGTAAGGAAATTGCTTCGCGAGCAAAGGATAGGCGAAGATCTGAGGTCCGATCGCTCTTCAGTAATAGAGTTAGAATGTGCAAATATTGAAACTTGACACTATTGATTCCCAGTTTCATTTCATGAATTTGATCTGCATCTGCTGATATGCGCTCGTTCTCCATGGCTTGCGTCAATGTCTGAATTTATGAATTAGATATTTCAGTGTCCGGACAAATGGCCAATACAGTGTGACTCTTACCATATTTGCGATTGAGAACCAACCTTCCAACTTTGATCGTGTCTCATCCTTGGATTTCTCCGAGTTGCTCACGCCCAGAACATCCAAAACATCGCTCATCAACTTAGCCAGCTCAACAGTATTTTTGAACAGCAGGGCACCAAAACCGGAGTTTTGGGATTTCTGCTGTTGACTACAGGGGGCCTCCGTGTCATGAGGACTGAATTTCCGCATAAACTCTTCGTCGGGCAGCGGAACATAACGATACAGGGAGAATGGCAGGAAGGCAGGCCGACCAAATGCCAGCGCGCAAGATTTGTCCAGCGTGAAAAGCATCCAAAATAAACACAGCTTGTGCTGCGATTCATCAGATCTACCCTTGCTGGTCTTGATATGCAAGCCCAAAGCTTCGGCCTGGCGACAGGCATGGCTTAACAGCATCCATGATATGTTGGGCGAAGCAAAGTCTTCGCCGTGAACAGCGAGCAAGGCCAGAGTCTGTACATTAGCCAAGGATGGTTCGAGGAAAATCTGGCTATCATTCAGTGCCAGTTGGGAATTTTGTCGGAGTTTGTCTTCATGCTCATCCTGCTGCGTAGATATGGCAGCAAGTAGTATATAGTTGAAGGAAACAATCCACGCCTTTTCCCGGACCTTTTCAGGTTCGAAAACAATCTGTCTGAGGACTTCGTCCGACGGGAAACGAAAAAATGGCTCACCAAGCTCGCAATGCTCCAGAAACTCTATTTCATTGAGTCTGAGGTTAGTAGAACGATCTAACGACAGTGAGGGGGGAAGAGAGGGGAATGAGCTCACTGCCAAGGAGGGCATATCCTGCAGATCTCGATGGTACATGAAAGCCTGTTGAAGCTTTCGTCGGATTTCCAATTCTTGCTGATGTCAGACTCGATGACATGTTGTGAATCTCTGATATGGCACACTGTCGAGAATCTTCGACACCTTGTCGGGCTAGGCGCTCGATGCCCGCGGGCGCCTCTTGAAGAAAAGAGAACGAATGCGATGGGCCGATATATAGCTCTGAATCGGATCTGTCTGCTTCATTCGCAATCGTCTGGTTGGATGTAATAGGTATTTTGGATAAGTCTCTTCGTGGGGCTGCCACGGACAAGACACGCAAGGCTTCTTCAACCGAGCTGGTTAGAGACTGGATTATGCGCTCTAGGCGTTCGAGGCGACTCTCAATGCTAGTTTTTGTATCTTTACTAGAGGCCTCCGCCACATGAAGTCTTTTCCCGTTCGCGTTAAATGACGACACTTCTCGCGAATATACGCAGCTACTTGGCCACGGCTTGCAACCACTGCATTTCGGAATCTCTCGCGAACATCTTTTAATAAATTAGCCAAGTCTGAAACCCCACCTGGGGTCATGCAAGGGTGCGACATACTTGAGTTTCTTCACTCGACAAAAGTCGCACTGGCGCTGTCAGTTTTCGCAGATTCCCGATCGCTGCCCGCGCTCCGTACTTACAGCGAACCGAGCAAAGCCGCGCCCGGAGGCTGTCTTTGAAGATCCGGCGGCTTCCATAACTCTTTCGAAGGTCACAGGGTTCTTTACCAATATTATGGAGCTCTGAGTGAAGATGGCGAAGTGTATGAAGTAAAGGTTGTGCGGCGGTGAGTGGTCGTCTCCGGACATCGCTCCGGATCAGGTCCGGCCTCGACCAATGAGAAGGGGTAAAGCCGGAGCTGGAATTATACAAATTTACGTTGCCACATATAGAACGTCGCGTTTATATAAAGCCGATTGATTCGAAGTGTACATTTTCTCTATTATCTTTTATTCCCATTCATTGCTCATCTTATTCAGATAAATCCCACCATGCATCCGCCACCCTCTATCGCAATAATCGGTGCCGGACCGAGTGGTCTTCTCTTCGCCCGCCTCCTTGAGGTGAATGGACTCAAGGACTACATTGTTTACGAGCGTGATGAATCGTCCATCCCGGGCCCGTGGCAGCAAGGCGGCTCCCTGGATCTTCATGGCCCGTCAGGTCAACAGGCACTCAAGGAAGCGGGTTTATTCGAGGAATTCAATGCGGTCTACGCACGCTGGGATGCCTCGCGGATGCACATACTTTAGGTCCTCTGGAGAGACAGTAGGGCGCTTTGGTGAGGGCCGTGATGCGCCAGAGATCGATCGCCTGCAGCTACGTCAACTTCTACTCAGCTCTATACCCGCGCACAAGATCCAGTGGGGTTACGGTGTGCGCTCTCTTGAAGGGAGGAAGACCAACGGTCTCGACGATGTGGGTAATGGCTGCGTTATTCATTTTTCTAATGGCAGCTCGGTCACTGGGTTCAAGCTTATTGTTGGAGCTGACGGGGGTTGGAGCAAAGTCCGTCCCTTGGTAAGTCAAACAGCCCACAGAATCAATAGGAATTCTGATCCTAACTGATGATCGCAATATGCAGATCTCAACAGCCCAGCCAGTGTATTCCGGAAAAATGTACATAGAAGGCAAGATCTCGCACAGCAACGCGAGCTACAAAGCAGCCCACGAGTTGGCCGGCCCGGGAATGATGATGGCGATGGGTCCAAACAAGAGCTTGGCATTGCAGCAAGGGGCTGATGGCACGTATAGAATGTACTTTGGTGTCGTCGTTCCTGAAGACTTTTACCAACACCGCAATAGCAGTGCTACGGAAAAGTCCGAAGCTGTACGACAGTTGATGCTATCTTCGGAGAAATTCTACGCAAATTGGGCACCGCAACTCAAAGCTATCGCTGCAAATGCAGAAGGTCCCTTCCGTGCCTGGAGTTTGCACTACCTGAGACCAGAAGAAGTCGGTTGGAAACGCGACGCAGCTCCAGGTGTGACGCTGCTCGGAGATGCAGCGCATCTTTCAACACCTTTTGTGGGCGAAGGAGTGAATTGCGCCATGTACGATGCTGTGCTACTGTCTAAACATCTCCGTGAGCTCTTTGGCAAGCATCCTGATATTGCAAGTGTCCAGGAAGCAAGCTTGGAAGAGGCCCTGTCTTCGTATGAAGAGGAAATGTTTGAGCGCGGTCGGGACTTGATCCGGCGCAGCGCGGAGAGTGAAGCAGTGCTTTTCGGTGATAATGCAGTGGAGAACGTTCTCGGGTTCGTGGATGGAGAACATAACGAACTGCTTTATGATGTAAAGGCCTCTGGTGGCAAATAAACTCTTCAAGTAGCCGTTCATTAGTATCGATTCAATCCGTTTGGTACCTGTCAGATTTTTTGTTCTTCCTGGTCAACCCAAGAACCCCAGGCTCTCTGCAGTGCAGCTATTGCGAGAAGTGAAGAGAAGCTGGGACGGATTGCGAGACCCAAGTTTGCTCTGTTTGCATTGAACCTTCAGTCTGCCAAGCTCCTCAGTTCTACGGCAGACTTCAAGTACCTTTCATAAAGGTATCACGTAAAACTCGGTATTGTTACATTGTAGTTACAGAACGAGTTTTTTACGCGCTGATCTTATTAAGCGTCTCAGATCATGTGACTAGGGTTTGAAAGAGTATCTTATACGCTTCCGTCATAGAAGGCGATAACGATCGCTACTGTAACAAGACCAGCTTGAGGGTGCTGTGGTTGCTATTACTGCGGATATAAAACGGTTGCGTTGTGTGCTGAGCGGGAACTAACCCCGACCGATGGCGGACCCACCCGCGGGGGCACCCAAACCCCCTCCCACAAACGCACAAGAAGCCGGCCTCAATTTGTCGGTCGAAGATTTCCAGCCCCGGGTTCCAACCGAACCGCTACCGTTAGCCTATATACCCCACAAGAGAACCTGTATTAGGGACGCCTTCTTGCCCTCGGAAAATTCAGGCCGTGTTACGACTAGAGAAGTATAGAAGCTCATCGACAGCCTGAAGACTATCATTACCTACCAAACTATACTTATCGAATCTACTAAAGCTGAGATCAAAGAGGTTAAATATGACTAAAATATCCATTATAATCAAAACAAGAAGCTTCATAAGGAAGTCAATGCTCTGCGAACTCAAATCGAAGCTTACCCACTGGCGCCTCTAATAAGATTATAGGCCACAGTAGCAGCTGAAGGCAACGCTACCTATCTATAGCTGAATCCCTATCGTCCCGATAGGTAGCAATACCCTCTATAAGTAGGAGCAGGAATAAGGGTTATCTACTAAAGGTAATTATCTACGAAAGATTAATAGCAACTTACTAGTAATCTATATAAGGAGGCTGTATAGGAGCTTGCCCTGGAACTGGGCGTATCTATTAACCCAACTGCATACAGGCTACAACTGGCTATTCACCTACGCTAAGACCTTTAGCTTCTGTGACAATGATTAGTGCAGGTACGGCGTATAAGAAACTGTCACCTATATTCTGGTAGACTGTCTAGAGTTGAGGGATATCAAAGGGAGCTATGAAGTGGAGTAGGAGACGCGTTTCAAAGTATCTTGATTCTGCTGGGAGGCTTAACTGAAGGTAAGAAAGGTAAACCAGACACTGTCTCGCGGGCTAGGATGGTTAATGCCGTACTGGACTTTTCTGAGGCGTCACAACAGTTTCAGTCGCGCGCTACAAGGGCAGCCTAACATAGGGAACGGTAATTAGGCTATGATAGGCTTTGATGAGGCTCTTAGTTCGTTTTCAGGAAGTGGTACACTCAACTTGTACTCACAAAGAGATATATATAGTAGTTGTATCTTGCATATCGCTTTTTGCGAGGGGTCAGGGTAAATGAAATCATCCATCCATCCATACTGTAACAAGACAACTAAGTAAGAAATCAACAGTCAAGATGGCCCGGTAAATGAAAGCAAAAATCGTTCATTTTATCCCTCATCTATATTCTGGTACCTCATTAAGTTCTTTCCCGCCAGAATGTCTAAAGGTCATTTTTGCATATCAGTTCAGACACTTCAGGTGAAGGGCTGAAGTGGCGCCCCACTAGAGCGGCGAGCCGCCTAGAGACAAACTCGTGGGCGCTAGGTGGCCAGCGACGTACAATATCCGTTGTATGTTTTTGTTTTTATTCTTTGGGGTTTTGGTTGCTACTTTGCTTTCCAATCTGTTCAGGCCTTTCACCTGAACTCCTGAAACACTTGAGGTCGTTACCCGGCTAAACTCGCTGTTGTTTTGTCGTCGCAACACCACCCCAACCCCACTTTAGAAATGCGTAGTAAGGAGAAGAGGCAATGGAAAGAACTAATACCCTGAAACAAAATTCGCATCCAGCTTGCCATGGCGGGATACCAAAAATACAACTTGGGAACATAGAAATCTTTATTCAACAGTGGCAGATGCAACTGGGTATTATCTTTGTGAGAGCAATGTTGCATGGGCTTTTGAGCATTGAGTTACTCAATCTCTCTCACTTCGTCGGAAACCGTGACTGAAATATTCTGAATTCAATTATATAATATAGCCTTACTATATTGTCAAAGTTTCTCAATTCTGACCGACTCACTGCCTATGAAGGGCTTCCAATTGAGCAGCGCGAAATATCTCTCCCATGGCACCATCTGTTCGAAGGTAACTGCCCTTCCCTTTAGTGAACCAAAAGCCAGTTGCAACAACCAGCATCGCCCCAAAGACTACAATAGCCCAGTTCATTGTGACAGTGGTAGGGGATGGGGAACCAGGAAACAGGAAAAACACAGTAGTAACGCAACAGTATATGAGTCCAACCCAATTAATAATGGGGCGCAAGCGACCAAGACAAAATGGCCCAGGAGGGATATCGGACATTCCAAAAATCACGACCGCGAATATAGGCAGCGCGTAGGATATAGTCAAAGCGACTGTGGAGACGCTGACCACTGCTTCCACAGCCGCATCTGTGAAGAAGTACAACACGCCCACCAAAGAAATGATAGCACCTTGAGCCCACAGAGCCCGAGCTGGAACTTTCCAATAGGCATCAACATGCATTAGGTAGTTACTGAATGGGATGCCGCCATCGCGTGCAAAACCCCAGGTAAGTCGAGACGCAGTTGTGGTAATACTAATCCCTTGACCCAGCATGTTGCATACAAAGATGCTGAAAAGTGCGATGGTTCCTTGTGGTCCGACAGTCTGCCTCACGAGCTCCACGAAAGGAAGTCCCGAGGTGGGATCTAGCACGTCCTCCAAGCTCTGGATAGAGAAAAGACAAACAATCATGAATATACCTCCTGAAACTGCACCCGAGACGATAGAAAGCCAAAGAACACGCGGGCCATTCTTCTGCGGCGACGGGAGTTCTTCGATCATGTGAATCACAGCATCGAAAGCTGTCAGGCCATAAGCGGACTGCACGAGGCCTATAAACCAGGTGACACCATCTCTCCATTCGGTGTCATTGATCCATTTCCCGAAGACAAATGAAGGTGGTTGGAATGACAGGTTGCTTTTGACGCCGACTGCAATAAGTAGGGCCAGAGAGAAAAGGATAAACTCGCCTCCGAACCAAAGACCGACAAGATTGTTGAACCAACGTAAGATCCAATCTTTACGACAAGCTATAACATTCGAGAATGTCATTACCAGAGTGATGGAAAAGTAAATGACGAACTTCAACCATCCAATGTTTGTCCCAGTCCAATTTTCATCAGACATCATCTTCAGTCCGAGTATAATCTCGGTCATAAATGCATTTTGCGACGCCGCAAGGGTCCACCACCCAAACACATTGATCCAGGCGCAGGAATACGACACAAAACGGCCAAGTGAGGATTTCCAAAGACGAGACACCCAGTAGGCTTGCCCTAACGCGGTTGGCATCATGCTGCACAACTCACCCAAAGAAAGAGCCACGCAAAGGTTGCAGAATGTCACAAGAAGGAGCCCGTAGAGTATAGTGATTGGCCCTCCATTTGTTAACCCATTAGAGAGATCAACTGCGAAGGTTGCCCAGGTTCCGAGGACGCTGAATGAAAGTGCGAGCATGCTTAATGGGCTGAACTTGCGTGAAAGGGGCTGGACATCGCTAATTGTCCCCAGATCATCGATGTCGTGACTGGAAATAGCGCTTGATCCGGTCTTTTCCATCATTGACGACTTGTCTTGGTCCATTTTAGGTGGCTTGTATTGTTATGAACAGAGTTAAACGTGTGGGAGCATAGAAGAGTAAGAGAGAGTTGTCAGAACTCCTTGTTGAAAGTATAAGGTATTTGTAGGTCGTCTCTTTCCACATCCCTGTTAGATAACATCCACAGGTTCTGGTCAATCTAGCTTCCCGATTTCATCTAGCGAGTGCGAGGCGAACATTGCGAAAACCTTAGAACTTGAGAGTGAAAATCGTGGGATTGGGGCAACCCCGCAAAAGCTTTTCCCAATTACGTTATCTGGACTCCAGACTTGCCTAATTTGTCAAGAATTTCGGCCAAAACGGTTGAATCCAAAAGAAACTCTGCTAGCCCGATGCTGCACCCGCCCGTTCCCAAGGATAGGCATTGCGCTAAGCCAAATTGGGCAAGTTAATTGACCATAGATACCTGGAATAAATCAAACTTCCTGTGAGTTAGCGAGTCACAGCTATTTATACGTGAATCACATGAATATTCAATTATTTATAACCACACCCGTTGACTATAAATTTCATCCACCTTGATTTCCAGCAGCTTTACTTCCCAACAATCTTCTTCTATCTTATCCTGTTACGTGTCTTTCCTTGATTCTTTAGAACCACACTAAAAAATGGGTGCTATGCCGGCTAAACATGCCCTGCCATCTTGGTGGAGGACCCAGCTGCACCAGCTTGACGACTATGTGTCGTCCAAATCTGTGCCGACGGAATCGGATATAGTGATTATTGGATCCGGAATATCGGGCGCATCGGTTGCGTATCATATTCTCCAGCAGCATAAAGGACACAATCCACCAAGAGTCACTATCCTCGAGGCGCGTCAAGCATGCTCCGGAGCAACGGGTCGAAACGGTAAGCCAACAACTAATGTCCAAACGCACCTTTTATTCACCGAATTTGACGCAATTAGCTAGGTGGTCACCTAAAGCCAGATCCATACAGCTTCATCGGTGAACTTGCGGCGGAGTACGGCCCGGAAGCAGCCGAAGAGGTTGCAGAATTCGAACGATCTCACGTTGACACAATCAGCAACCTTGTGAAGTCCGAGATGATCGACTGCGACCTTGTTGTGACAAAGGCAATTGATGTTCAATTGAACCCCAGGGAGTGCAAAAAGGCTAAGGCTAGCTTTGATCATTTACCAGGTATCGGCATCAAATCGGCCAAACGAGTCAACTTCACTGACCAAAAGGAGGCGGAAGTGGTAAGCTCTCCGTATCTCAAAAGTCATCAAATTAGTATACACTAATCAATTTTCTCCAGCGGTCTCGCGTCAAAGGAGCTCTCGGCTGTTTCAGCTATGAGGCAGGCCACGTATGGCCCTACAAATTGGTTCTACACATTCTTGGTCGCTGTGTCGAACAAGGAGGAAAACTTTACACGCACACTCCAGCACAATATATCTCGCCAGAGAAAGATGCGTCAGACCGGTGGACGATTAATACACCACGGGGTACTATAAAAACGAAACATGTGGTTTTTGCCTGCAATGCTTACACGTCGGCTATTCTTCCTATGTACTCGAACAAGATTGTTCCAGTACGTGGTGTCTGTTGCAGAATAGTTCCGACCTTCCCAGTGAAACGGCTCACAGAAACGTACACATTGCGATGGTCATGGAGTGAATTTGACTACCTCATTCCTCGTGAAGATGGAAGTGTGATTGTCGGTGGAGCTTGGAGTAAGTACTACCGCGACACGGGCACTTGGTACAATAATGCCAAGGACAATGAGATGATCGAGCCCGCCAAGGAATACTTTGATGGTTATATGCAACGGAACTTCCACGGTTGGGAGGAGAGTGGTGCATATGTTGATCAGATCTGGACTGGAAGTAAGTAAACCTCAACACCTCTACTCCGCTCGAAAAAAGAAAAAAACTTGCTGATGCGGTCGTTTGTTAGTCATGGGCTACTCGGCGGATTCCTTGCCTCATATTGGACAGGTCCCCGGAAAGCAAGGCCAATTTATCATTGCTGGGTTCACAGGTCACGGAATGCCGCAGGCATGGCTTTCCGGTAAGGGTATAGCAGCCATGGTCTCGGAAGGAATCCCATTTGCTGAATCTGGAATCCCGAGGATCTTCGAGACTACCCAGGGTCGCCTGCAGAAAAGCAGGAATGACATACTAGGGACGAAAGGAGAGGTTGCTAAATCAAGTGCCCGCTTGTAACAATATATGATTGAATTGATGCTTTTCGCTTTCTTCTCGTGGCAGCGAATGAACCGCCCGGCATATAGCTTCAGATGCATGCAATAAAATAATCCCAAATCCCAACGACTTTAAGCTACACTATCCAAAGTGTATAGTATTGGGGATTTTTAGTGGCGTGCTTCTCATATATAAGAATTTCTAACAAGTATACAAAGGTGGCTTCTTGAGCTCATGGTCTCTAGCTCGACGGATATAAACGACAACCGCCGGTGGTCTGAAAAACAAACAAGGAGAATTCTGCTCAGGAAGCGAACAATGTCTACTGCGTAGATGGAAGCAATGATCTACCCACTAATGCCTTGCGCTCGGAGCACATATTCGAGATGCACTTCGTCAATCATTTGCTTCAGTGAGTTTGTAGAGGAAAAGAAGCCAAGACGGGGAATTGAGGAGGAAGCTTGAACTCTAAGGATTGGAAGCCTGCTGATTCTATTTGGTGCAATGAGGTGTTTGGAGTTAAGAAATAGAAGACTATATCGCAGATTGACACGACCTGATGACATTCGTACAGTGTCAAGTAGTGGAATGACCTGGTCGCGAAACAACGGCCGCCAAAAAGAATTGGGTCCACCATACGCGTCCATCGTTCCCCTCATTCACTTCTTTGACTTTATCTTTCATTTCTCAGAGGCTTGCAAACATCCAGATAATCGTGTCTGGCTCAGATGAAGACGGGGGGGGCAAGGGGCACCTGCACTGACCATCTTGGTCACCGCGTGATGCTGGAGCAGTTCGTCGAACCAGATTTCCCTTCAGCCGACATATACTTGGTTCTGTTCTAGGTCTACAGCCTTGTTCTCCTGGATGATGATCACGAACAACTGAAGGAGTACCTTATGCAAAGTTTCATAGATGACGAGCTGAAGCCTTTGTTCGAGATTTATTCATACTGCCCGCCCGACGCATCTGAAAACCTCTATATCTATCTAGGAATATTTAGAGTTAGGTATAGAATCTAAATTAGACAAAAATTAATCATACGCGTTATGGTAGTATAGTATAAAATTATAATTTCAATAATTCTAAAGAGAGTCTGGAGATTAATCCTAGCGATCCTGACACGCTTATCGATTATAGATAGGGACTAGCCAATTCCTAGACAGATTCTATCAACAAAATATGATTGGATCGGATCTGATTGAACAAAAAGAAGAAAAACAAACCACACTCGAACCCGGATGGCTATATATAATGTTTCTACCACAATTTCACCCCTTTGGCTGGAAAAACGCGCACTGAAATCACATTGACAAATTGCTTGAACATCTAGTATCTACCTAAGCACGTATATGTTCATATACTATAGCGAGTCAGGCTAGGGAAGAGCCGACATTCTATCTACGTCGAGATTTCTAAGCAGCGCTGGTCGCCATGACGAGACCAAGGTGGCCACGATCCATGCTTGGTGCCATCCCATTAACCACGTCGGCCGAGAAATTCTGCAGATCTAGAACACGATGAATTCGGACAATCTTCATCATCGCGGCATCAACCCTGTCATCAGTACGCGTAGCACCGGCGGGAGCAGCAGCTCCCAATTCGCTGCCAGGTAAGTTCTCATCCAAGGCCAAGGTGGAAAGACAGCCACCCTCCTCCACCTTTGCAATAACCCTGGTGCAGAATTCGACTGATCGGGCGACTTCCTCTTTAGTGAGTCTCCCACTTATTTCAACAGTGCCCTGGATGACTACACGTATGTCCATGTTAGAGGTTGACAGGAACATAACTAAGAAGTGTAATTAAGCAAACATACCTGGCTTGAAATGGTCAAATGCGTTGTCAAATCCAGGTTCGTTGATATCGTTCAAGATGTTCTGCTCACGACCATAGATCTGCTCAAGAGAGCCGGTCACCACTAGCAGGAAGCGAGTGTAACCCTCAGCAACCTTGTTTGAATGCCAGGACACAGCGGTTTCCTCGCTGCAGTCTCCTCTAATCGATGCACAGATCGTAATAGCTGCCGAGAGCCCACTGTTCATGGCCAGATGGACACCGGACGAGAAGAGCGGGTCAATAAAGCAGCCTGCATCACCGGCAACACGGAGATGGGAGCTCGCGTATTCAGTTGCACTGTACGACCAGTCGGATGCGGTCTTCAGGTCGCGCGATGTCTCGTGCGCGCATTCTCAAGGAGCTTAGCAATTCCCGGGGTTTCCTTGGAGAGAATGTGTTTGTAGAAGTCCCAGGTGCCTGTTGCTCCGGACGCCTTCTTTTTGGCAGAAACGCGGTCTTGCTTGATGGTAATCCCAACCGAAACGGTGCCATCGTGCAACGGAATATACCAGGCCCAGCCGCTTCCATCTTATTCCTTTATTAGTCTGCAGTGTTGGTAGAGAGGTCCGAATTTGCGGTACTGACCATCAATTGCCTCGAAAAATGGGTCACCCTCTCCAGGGCCATGAACCGCCGCTGACTCCCAGTATCCCCAGGTCGCAACACTCTTGAGCCCTTGGTTATACTTACGGCTCTTCATATATTTAGTACTTACTAGACCCGCCCGGCCGGATGCATCGACAAGGTACTTGAATCGAATGGTCCCTGAAGCACCGCTCTCCTTTTGCGACCAGGAGGCAGAAACTGGTCGGCCCAAACTCTTTGTGGTGCCCTCAGCAACACCCTCGGGCTCCGTATGCTTGTTCTCAAAGTCAACTGCGGTTACCTTCGTCTTGTCAAAGATTTTCGCACCGCAGTCTCCTGCATGCGTAAAGAGAATCTGATCTGCTTCGGAGCGAATCACGTTGAATGCATGATTTCCAGCTCCGCCGGCGGCAAGAAAATCGGTGACTGAGCAGCTTCACAATGAGTCTGACGTTCATTTAAAATGAGAGGGACATAGCTGGCGGTCTTACACCCAGGTTTCCTCGAGTTGAATTTAAAGGTAGCTCCATTCTGTTTGACGAGTCATTTCAACTGAGCTTCATTAAGGAAACCTGTGCAAATTGCAGTAATTACCTTGTGTAGGAATCCGTGGCTGTCGAACTTTTCGTAAGCACCGATAAACTCAAGAAAGTATTTCACCGATGGTAACAAGCTCTCGCCAATATGGTATCTATACTCTTTGTTAAGAATGCACCGGACAATTGGTATAAGAGTAGTTTCTCTCTCTTTCTCTCTCTCACCTAGGGAAGGAATCCGCCTCTAGCAACACAGTGTCAATACCCTCGCGGGCCAGCACAGAAGCTGTATACGAGCCAGCTGGCCCACCCCCGATCACCAAAACGGTGCATGTTTCTGGAATCGACATGACGAATGACTGAGAGTGTATGTGTTACACAAGTTGTCACAATAGGATCAAGATCGACATTTTGTGACAGGTTCCACGTGGACTATTAAATGCCCTGCTTCTTTCTGCAAGACCACATTGCCGATAAGCCGCTAAAGAGCCGGCAGGCCATGTGGACTTCTCTGCGAGACGCCGCGCGAGGTATACATAGCGGCAAAGCTAATTCATCAAATTCATGGAGGGCGTGGGTAAAGCCTACTGCCGCTAGAACGCACGTCACATCTCACTCATATTTCGCGCACACTCGTATCCCGCGCACACTCGTATCCCGCGCACACCAGTAGAAGTTCCGCGCACACTAGTATTTCGCGGAACCTAGAACACCGTATTGAAACAGATAAAATACAATTGAATATTTCAACAACAGTGTTAATTTTTAGGGCTATCTTTCCTGATATAACCTTATACAACTAGTTAGAGTAACATCTCTTTTTAATCAATTAGAAGAAGTATTTCACTATATTACGATAATACGGAGGTATACGTTGTAATTCATGTGTTTTATCTACAATGGATATATTTTGCAATATAGACACTTGTAAGACTTAGGTGTTGAGATATTGCATGCTAATTTATCGCTTTTAATATGGTATTCTCGGGTGCGCGGGATACTAGTGAGATACGTTAGTGTCAGTAGAACTAGGCTGCAATCATCGTGAACAAGTGATGACTCATCAACAGATGAAAAGGACACGGTTCTGCAGGGCGGAAAAGCAATACGACATTGAACAATCTAGACCAATTTGCTTCGCCTTCGGCGGTAGAGCTAATCATCCTAGTAATTGCATCAATCCTTCAGCGGTATGGGCACTGGTTGGGTATTCTTTCCTTGTGGGCCTAGCATGTAGTCTGGTTTGGGGGCTATTATGTAGTGACATGGCCCCTGGGCTTTAAGAAAAACCACGAACTGGGATGGAAAGTTAATATAACTTTCGATTCCTACGTGTAACCAGCTATCGCACCTTCGATTCTAGCTACCGAAGTGTTTACAAGAGCCTCAACTTTTTTTTGCTTCTCCTGATATACTGAAAAATTTGCTCTATTAAGCAATGTCCAGTTCCAACAACGCAAACGCAGGGGGAGACCCGTATAGACTCAACAGGGATTTAGTGGCGTCTACACGCCTCAATCTCCAGCATTATATCTGGAAAGAGAGCATGGAATATGTTCTCCATCCTTCCATCAGTCTTCCTGATTCCGACGTGTTCATTGCCGATATAGGCACAGGTACTGGGTAACGGTTCCCTGCATGATTTGAATGGCTATCTGCATGCGAGCTAACCACTTCTGTAGCATCTGGCTTCACGATCTGTCCCGTCAATTTCCCAATGCGCAGTTCCACGGATTCGACATCTCGGGTGAGCAATACCCAGCTGCGGGCTTTCTGCCATCAAACGTGTCTCTTCGCTACCTCGATATATTGAAAGAGATTCCATCTGAATACGTGGAGAAATATGACGTTGTTCATGCACGACTTCTCGTGCAGGTGGTCAACCAAGCGGGTGGTGATCCTCGACCTGTTATTCAGAACCTTTTGAAGTTACTGAGTATGTTGCAAATTGGAACTCTCAATGCAATGACCAATTGTAAGCTGACAATAGCGACATGAAGAACCCGGTGGTTACCTCCAATGGGAGGAACCCAACGATGACGCCGGGAATCGGAAGCTGTTGAAAAGCGATCCTTCAAACTCGACCGAGGATACGGAAAAGTTGCTCGCAGGACTCAATGCAAGATTCCAAACCAAGTCTGCGTAAGTTTCTATTCTTTGAAGGCCTCATGTTTGACGATGAGCGATGCTAACATGGCAATGTATAGTTGGTCGGCCAATCTTGCAGAAACCTTTGCCGAACAAGGACTACAAAACGTCCAGAAAGAGGAATTTGCGGCTAGCGACTATGTTCTGATCCTAGATCAGATAAACTATCTCAACCTATTTCAGGAGTTGATAACCAAATTGCCCGCCGGGTTGAAGGAAGAGCTCAGTGCTTTGCACACCAAGGCCATCGCTGAGTCCAGAAAGGGCGTGGCATGGAAGGTTCGAAGATTTGCTTTCGTGGGCCAGAAGTCATAGACAGTGTTACGAAAGAAGACGTAAGGTAGGAGCTAAATGCAGAGTTTTGTCCTCAGGTTGTATGAATTTGTGGTCAATTATGGCTGCAACACACAAGCAATAAATAGGTGGTTCTCTGCTAGAATTGAAAATGAATATCTTTACAGATTTCGAAGTATCAAACACTGGTAATTTCATTAGCGTCGTCCATTATTTTCAGACTTTATACTCACCTGCAATATGATAATGAGATTGATATTCCGAAACCAGTAGCCAAGTAACAATTTGGTGCGGTCATGCTGTTGTACTCTCAGCGAGGTAGTAAAAGCCATCAGGCCTATCAAGCACGATGACCATATATATCTCCGCGTGAATTATCTGTCTTCATCAAGTTCTTGACACAACTTGGGTACATGCATGTAGGCCCTCAGTGAATCGACATCTATTCAGCAATATGAACAACTATAGTAGTATCTATGCGGGGATCAATTCTTGTCACCCACTGTATAACCTTAAATATACCCGGTTCCAGCAGATGCGGAAGCCGAGGTGATAATGCGTCTCTTGCATTGAAGGTCACATCCCCAACTCCTCAACCAAAGCTCCTGTTGCCATTCCACCCAAGCACCCAATGTACCAGTCTAAGGCCAGTCTTACCTCCTTATCTGTCAATGCCCTCTCATCATATCCAAATCGAATCATGTATTCACCCTTTGTTGCAGTTTTGATCACCTCCAGCTGGATGGCGTAATTGAAGTACATAGTATTCTTACTCATCTTCATAACAATCCAGCGCATAGGGTCCTGCTTGCTTGGCGCTGCCTCAAACGGCTGGAAGCAGAACAGACACTTGGCGGCCGACGTAGAGCGATCACGTCCTAGGGCATTGTATATTTCGCCAAGCGAGACAAGCCCATTTTCCGTTGAGGTCCAGAAAGCCGCTTGCGTCTCCTTGAGTAAGGACTCAATGGACTGGTCTTTGGCTAGATGACCTTGGAAAGGTAGGAAGTTCGCACAGTTCCCATCAATGAGTTGGGGGTGGTCCAGGGGTACGTTCCGCCCAGTTATTAGATTGTCGTAGATGACGTCATGGGTTCCGCTGATGTGTGCCAATAAAACAGAAAAGGCAGTCTGGAAGACGATGGGAACAGTGACACCATTGGAACTGGCAAGATTGTCGATACCAACAGAAGTGCTGACTTTAGCAACCTCGGTTTTTGAGATCTTCGGGCGGATTACATTGGAAGGAAAATCAAATTTCCTGCTATCAAGCAGACGCACCCAGTAATCAAGCTGAGGTTGTTTTGGTGTCGAAATGACATGACCAATAAAGTCTTTGAAAGGTGTATGCTTGGGAATGGGCAGGTCCTTGTCCAGGGCTTTGAACTGCTCATCAAATATGTGTAAAAGTGTTCCGTCATACGAAGCATGATCTAGCTTGATGACAAGGTACTTTGTGCCGTCTTCCGTGTTGACAAGACATGTGTATCTGACAAAGGGCTTGCGCGGATCAAAGAGCTCTCTCCATTCCGCTGCCAACATGTGTTGCTTCTCCTCTTCTTTATCAAATGACTTGTACCGTAGATTCAGTATTGGAGTCTTGAGCACAACTTGGACAGCTGTATTCACGTTCGCTTCTTCAGCGTAAACATACAAAGCACGCAGGATCTGGCTGTTTTGGGTGAGTTTAGTGGTGAGTTGTATCCAGCGATCGAAGTCAAAGTCTTTCGGCAGCTCTCGAACGGCCAATAGTTGCCAAAACTGCTCTTGTTTGTTCCCTTGAGTCAGAAATTCAATCTGTCCAGGGCTGCAAGGGTAAATGTCTTCAACTTCATCTTTCCGAACGCCAAGCTGAGACAATCGCTCCCACACCGTATCAGGTGGTTTGTATTGAATGTTCTGCGTAGTCACCGTAGTATTTGATTTGATGCTTTGCTCCATCAATGCCGCTTGTTGCCTCAATGTATTCCTTGACAAAATATCGCTGACTTTCATTTCGTACCCTTGCCGACGAAGCATGCTGACAAGATTCAGAGCAGAGATGGAGTCTCCGCCCAAAGCATGGAATGAAGAATTGGCGTGGATCTGGTCTAGCGGCGTTTCAAAAAGTTCCGACCAAAGTAACTGCAGGTTGAGCTCTGTCTCGGTGGTAATGGCAGATATCACTTCCTTGGGTAGGTAATGTTTGAGTAAATTGTCCGCCATACCTTCAACTAGACCTTGCAAACGCTTCCGATCAACTTTCCCAGCCGCTGAGAATGGGAACTTGGCCACAGGTAGCCATATAGTGGGAATCATATAGCTCGGTATAGTGGCAAGTTGACCCTTGAGCTGATCAAAATCAAGGAGTTGTCCAGGAGGCAGAAGAAAGCCCGTTTCTATCCTCCCTTCCCTGTTCCCGCAACGTATTTTGAATAAAACGCAATAAGCTGTTTTTTCTTGAGAACCGTTGCGCAGACAACAATGCACGTATCAAACATGCTCGTTCTCATGACAACACTTTCAATCTCACCCAATTCAATTCGGTAGCCGTTGATCTTAACTTGATCATCTTTCCTTCCAAACAGTTCGATGTCGCCATTGGGTAATATTCTTGCAAGATCACCAGTGCGATAGATTCTTCCCTCGGGCCTGTCAACAAATGCGCGCACCGTGGCGTCAGGGCGATTCAAGTACCCCCCTCGCCAGCTGGGGACCCGAGAGGCAAAGTTCACCGACGCTGCCATTAGACACTGCGTTCATTGTCTCAGGATCAAGGATCAGGGCAGTGACACTCTTAAAAGGCCTACCAACATTACGTAGATTCATTTGTGGATGAATAGGCGTGGTGGTGATAGAAATGGTGGCCTCAGTCGGTCCGTATGCGTTATATATCGTCACGCGCGGTATCCATGCAGCCAGCAATTGCGGGGTGATGGCTTCTCCTCCGGTAATTAATATTTGAAGAGTCGGCACTTCCTCAGGATTGATGAGTGCGGTCATCGAAGGTGTCATATTGGCTCGGCTGACATGCATTGTATTGATCAATGTGGTGAGGTTGGATTGAATGACGCTCTGTGGAGCAACACACAGCGTACATCCACTGGAGAGAGCTGTAAAAAGCGTGTCTAGAGAGCCGTCAAATGTATAGTTTGGAACCCATAAAAACCTATGCGTGATCTCAGTCTTCGTTGCTTCATTGATTGCCTGGGCTGCCGCTGATAGGCCCTCGTGCATCAAAAGGGTCCCCTTCGGCTTGCCAGTACTGCCGGAGGTGTATATAACATATGCGAGGTTGTTGGGCTTCAATCCAGGCACATCATGTCTCTCGATCGGCATTGCGTCCCATTTTAGATCATCGAGTACAATGACTTCATATCCAGCATCAATAAAGAAAGCGGCGTTGCATCGATCTGCGATGGCAATATTGCCTTCCAAGTCCTCAAGAATTCCCAAGTTTCTTTCCCGGGGGTTCTCTGGCCCAAGAGGTAAGAAGGCACCTCCAGCGACTAGGATTCCAAATATAGCCACGACAGTGTTAATGGACTTTTCGAACATGACGGGGACAATTTGCTCCAGCTTAGTTCCTTTCCTTATCAATAGGCCCGCAAGCTGGTTGGCCTTGATGGCCAATCCAGCGTATGTTATCTGGTTTCCTGACGCGTCTTGCACGGCGACCTTGGCTGGATGAGAAACAGCCATTCTTTGAAATGCAGAATGTGCCAATTCGGGATGCTCTCTGCTGATCGTTTGGGTTTGGTCCCCTTCATTAGACCTGATCAAGTGGTTCTCCCCTTTGCTTTGCAGGCTCTTCATCCACCGTGAATTAGGATCCTCGGATTTAAGATCGCCTGTGGACCCGATTGTTGGTTGCACCAATTTCCAATTTCCGATTTCCGTAAGTGGCGCAGATGATGCCGATTCAAGAACAACCGCAACCGTGTCGACGAGAGTCTGAGCGAAGTCTCTCTCAAGCGATGAGACGATGGTTACGCAATCCATAGTATCCTTGTTGATCTCAATCTTGACATTTTCAACAGAGCCAAGATTTTTCTCTGACAAAGGTTCTAATCCTCCAGACGGCCTAGGCGCGGGTATTTTGATCAAGAAGTTCACCATTGATCCCACGAGATCTTTTGGCTGTCCAGTTGTTTTAAGGATACGGCGTAGCCCATACTGAGCATTATTCGCAACACCCCAGAGACTGTCTTGCACACTCTTGAGATGGGCTTTGAATGATACCGTTTTGTCAACTTTAACTCTGAGTGGAGCAATCATGAGGGTAGGACCATTCATCTGGAGGACACCTGGAATTGGGGCTTCTCGCCCGGAAAGGGTGACACCAAAAACGACATCATCAGTAGAGCCAGCAACAAACAGAACAACCGACCAAGCAGCATACAACAGCACACTTGGTGTAACACTGAGGATTGATGCGGCACTTTGCAAATCAAAATTGAGTTTGGCAGTAACCGTGCTTTCTCGACTTCCATATGATCCAAGTGGACTAGGCTTGACTCCATCGAGATAATTGCTCCAGAATGCCTCCATGGCAGTATCGTCATATTTCTGCAAGTACTCAACATAACGTCTGTATGCCGGTCGTTGGATTGGTTCCTTTCCAAGTAGGATAGATGTGAGATCATCCGAAAAGAAATTCGTTGGACCAGTAATCGAAAAGAGCATGATGAGTAGTGAGGACTAGAATCTTCCCCGGCAGAACAGCCGCTCTCCACCAGAGGTCGCCGGGATACATCAGATCTGATGCTCTGTCTTTAATATAATCTTTCACATCCAATGTGGATGTTTCCCACGGCAATTCTACAGCCTTCTTGACTACCTGCAGAAATGATGCTCCTCTTGCGGCAAATGTTGTCCGAAGGAGAACATGGGACTTTGCAAGGGATATCAATGACGCTTTCACAGTGGCCTCATCATGTCCCGCGAAGCTGTAAGAACGGCTATAGATGTAGCTTTTGTCGCCCATTAGTGTGTTTGCAATGGCTGCCTCTTGGAAAGGTGTGACTGGATAAGCATCTTCGACCTCCGAATGTTCGACTTTCGCATATTCCGAAGAAAGAGGCTCACGAAGAAGTGCAAACGGGGTTATTTGGTCTTCATCGCTGACTTCTTCGGCTAGCTTCTCAACAAGACCAGCGACAGCAGAGAGCGAGGCTCCAAGAATAATATCATCGACCTTCAAGTGAAGGGAATGTTCAGATAGAAGCCATGAGATAACCTGGATGGCTTCAAGGGATGTGCCGCCTAACGAAACGAATGAGTCACCCAGGGAGATATATGATTCCGGAATTGACAAAAGCTCTGCCCAGAGTTTTCTCAATATATTTTCGTTCTCAGTGAGGGTGCTGCCATTTGTCTCGGTCTTGGAACGATGAGGAAATAACTGTCCTGAATCACGTTGGCGCTCAACAATAACTCGAACCGCTGGCATATCGACTTTCCCGTTGGCATTCAGTGGCATTGCAGGGATGGAAACCCAGAAACTCGGTACCATGTAAGATGGTATCCTCGATGGGAGAAATGAGCGAAGACTTTCGACAAGGGGATCCCATTCGCACTCAGCACGACTGACAACGACAGCGACGAGAAGCATTTTCTCATTCACAAGAACTGGAACCACAGCCGATTGCTCAACATCCTCATGTGCTTGGATTACTGAGTTGGGCTCGCCGGGGTCAACTCTCTGGCCATTGATTTTGGCTTGAAAATCAATCCGTCCCAGCATTTCAATGGACCCGTCGGCGTGACGAACCGCCATATCGCCTGTCCGATAGAGTCGACCTGGGCCAAATGGGTTGTCCATAAAACGCTGATTTGTTTCTTCTTGAAGATTCAGATACCCTCTTGCGAGCTGCGCACCTCCAAGACATAACTCGCCAGGGACGAGTAGAGGTGAAAGTTTAACGGTTCCAGGGATTAGAATGTACGATGTCGTTGTGTCAGACGGTTGTCCAATATTTCGAGGATTGGAATCGCTGAACAACCTGCAACGCCAATTGAGTTGTGTGCATTCGCTAAGGCCGTAGGACGAAAAGAGTTCTACCCGATGTGCCCATCTCTTGATCACGGTCGAACTGACCATCTCACCACCCAATACTAGTCGTCGAAGGAGGGGCACTTCATCGGGTGAGATCAATGTCGCGGTTGTTGAAGTCATATCAATTGAGTTGATCTGCATGGTGTTTATTGTGGAAGTCAAATTCACAGTAATATTTTCTTTGAGGCCAGACACAGGCAGCCGCCTACACTCAGAGTCGCCCAAATAGATCTCTGTGCCGCGGAAAAGACAGGGTTGTAAAAAAGCAATTGACGAAGATTGGTAATTCTGGGGAAAGCCTTCAGGCCGCTGAATGCGGCTTGATGCTCAAGCTGTACTGCTTTGGGGTTCCCACTAGAACCCGATGTATAGATGATGTATGCGAGGTCACTAACACGCTGATTCGTCATGAGGTCGGTTTCATCATAATGTGTTGACTGCCGGAGTAAATCGTCGACTTTGAACTCCTTCTCAAACTCGCCTGCTGTATTGTCATCCACCAAGATGAAATCCGCCTGAACATCCTCTGTGATGTAGGACCTGCGCGCTGCTCCGGCATCCGGGTCCAAAATGACGTATGCAGCACCAGCTTTCAGGATGGCCAAAAGTGCGACAATGAAGTTGATTGATATGTGCATATGTACCGGCACAATTGAAGCTCGAAGTGATTGTATCTGTCGTGCTAATCGATTAGACCGCGCGTTCAGCGTTGAAAAAGTGAGTGGTTCATCCCGTTCAAACTGCACTGCCTCGGCATCAGGTGTCAATTTAGCTTGTCGTTCAATCAGGAGATGCATTAAGCCGCTGTTGTTTGCATGTTCTTGTAATATTTGCTTCTCCATTGGTGACATTATCTGGAACTCCGAGATGCTTGAGTGATGGCTCTCCATTGTCTGTTGCAGTGCAGTCGCAACATGGTCCAGTAGCACGCGAATGTCTCTCTCTGGGACGGTTGAGTTGTGCCATATACTGAATTTGAGATTTGTTGAGACACAAATGTTGAGAACTAGAGCAAATAATTCATCTCCAGTGGTAAGAGGTTCATTACCATTGCCTGCCCAGATAATGGAAACTTTGACCTGAGGATTATGTGCCGAGGTTTTCGCAAGTATGTTTTTGTAACCAACATGTGCATGGGAAGACGATTTGGCGCTAACTGTTCCCACATGACGTATCCATGATAGGACATCCGTGTCCTTTGGAAGCGTAAGAAATAGGGGAAAGTCGTGGTCTAATATCCCGATTGCTTCATCTTGTCCCAGGCTTGAGCGATCCCGGCCAGCCACGGCAAATTCGGTTGTGCGCTGGCCATCTGCCATATGTCGCGCAGACACAATAGCCCATATTCCATAAAACACATCGTGTAGACGAACATTGTGCGTTTTGCAGAACCATAGAGTGGCCTCAAACAGCCCATCGGATATGGCGAGCGTCGACTTGCAGCGAGGCTGTTGGTATTCAATAGGAAAGCATTGTAAACTCCGTTGGGTTCCAGCTTGGTGGAAGATCTCTTCCCAGTACTCATTTGCGATATCGACGTTATTCAACGGTTCGATGTGTACATTGGCAAGCTTGGCCTGGTGAGGCTCTTTGATACTATCATCGTGCGAGATCATGATCAATTAGACGATATGGCTGCCACTCGAAAATAAATTGATGAATCGTTTCTGAAACGTGTTGTTAGCCTCTATAGACAAAACATAGCTCAATTTGTGTATCTTTAACGTCCCGTTCAAACTGCCCTGGGATGCCTCGAGATACCCAGCCAATAGCTGTTTCGCAATGATTGCGAACCCGTGGCGCACCGAGGAATCCACCAGCGAGCGCGGGGCGCTTGAAAGTCGGTGCCTGGCGGCAAGGCTAGACTGGCGGTAGAGCTAAGCCATTTTACTATTGTGGATATTAAGCGGCTGCCTTGGTGCCTGGCAAATCAATCGGAGTAATCACCTTCTTTGCAACCCTAATTTTATTTCTAAGAGAGGATGTTAGAGAGGATGTTAGAGAGGATGTTAGAGAGGCCGCATAACAGGCCGTAGTTGGACAGTATAACGATTTTATTCTATGTTATGAATCATTCTGTATTTTGAAACACCTTTCATTATTATCCCAAGCCTCTCGGGGACCAAATTGACCGAAATTAAGCTACATCTCCCACCAGCCCACTTCCCCGTGCAGGGCGTTCAGTCGACCAGCAGTTTGACTTTTCCCCCGCCGAACACTCTCTGCACAGCGACTCGCTCAGGATGCTGCCGCAGGAGGCACAAACAGCCTTTCTCTCTTCAGCAGAAGACTCAATACGGTGACCAGTGCTCCAGCTGTAATGACCAAGGCGTATGTGGTGCTTAGTGCGGAGACGATCACATCCAACACCCGCTGCCGGTCAACTGCCGACAGGTTGTCGAAAAGCGTAGACCCGGCTCCGGTGATAGTTTGCTGGATCTCCGCGGTTGGCGTATTGGGTAATATGGCCTTGATTCCATCCTCACTTTTGTTGAGGAATACCGCATTGGCAATGGCGAGGGCTAAAGTGATGCCAGTAATTTGACCAGTTGAAATGAAACCAATAGATGCGGCAACCATTTTAGGCTCGACAACTGCCTGGGCAACTGAGAACGATGCCTGGCAGAATAGACCAGCCCCAATGCCGATGAGGACGGTATATCCATAGATATTAGAGATGGATGTCGCTGTGCCGACCGTAAACATGAGTGCACCACCAATAACAACTAGAATACCTCCGACGAGGTACCAAGGCATGTAAAACCCCACTTTGGACAGGAATGCGCCGTTCGAAATGGTGGCGAAGATCATTAACATGATAAACGGTAAAAGTCGAACACCAGACTCAAGCGCTCCATCTCCACGACTGAACTGGAAGTAGAGAGGGGTCATATAGATGGGGAGAAAGAGGCTAGTCCCACCAGCTGCAGTCATGGCGAACAAAATTAAGACGGTGCGGCTCTTGAGAAATTCGACGGGGAAAATGCGACGAGCGGGGGTAGTAAAGATTGCATAGGCTTGCTGCAGGCCAAACAGGACGAACAACACTCCAGAGCAGCAAAAGAGGCCAATTATCTTGCCCGAGTTCCACGGGTACATGACACCACCGAATGATACGGCCATGACGCCTGAACAGAACGCACCAAGAAGAAGGATGGTTCCCAAGTAGTCAAGCTCACGAGCACGGTTGGCAAGGCTGGTTCCGTGGCGCGGGTCCTTGCTGGGCAACATGAATAGGTATACGGGGGCGCAGACTGCGCCAACACAGAGATTGATATAAAAAGACCAGCGCCAGGTTGCAGACGAATCTGTGAATGCGCCACCGATTATAGGACCCAGGACTGTTCCAATACCCCAGACCAAGCCCGCTCCGCCGACGTACACAGGACGCTCCTGCATGGTGGTTGTAACGGCCAGTTGTGTCATGAGGCCAACATACATACCAGCTCCAGAGACACCACAAATGGCTCGACCCACGATCAAGGAGTCCATGTTTGGAGCAGCACCGCAAATAGCTGACCCAACTTCAAATACCAAGATGGTTGTGATGTAGGTCCATTTGATATTGAACTGAGAGTAGACTTTGCCCCAGACCAAGTTTGTCCCCGCGGCGCCGATGAGAAAGGCAACACTGAGCCATGACAGCCTGTCCACGGATTTGAACTGCCCGACAATGGCGGGTTGGACGTTGGCGACTATGGTCTGGTCGAGGGCGAACAGGAATTGCGAGCTGTAGATGGCCAGCACAACGACAGCCCATTTCCAGCCTCCAATCTCGCGCCTTTCCTGCTGATGTGACTCTTCTGGCTTCAGGTCAGTCTGGGCTTGTTTTTCGGCATCGCCATTGACTGGTGCCACATTGGTGCTTTCGTCGCTCTGGTCGGCGTCGATGTCGAGCTTGGAATCATTTGGGAGTTTCTCGGAATTTGTTGACGGTTCCATTGTGAGTTCGGTTCCTTGTCCTCTTGTCTGGCAGAATCAGAAGAGTCTGTAGCCAAGTTTGCTAGTTGTTCACGATCAAATGATTGAATAAATTCCAAGTCCACAACGCCATGAAAAGGAGAAAATTGTGATGGCCCGACGACCAACCCAACAAAGGATGACAAATGTGACGAGCGAAGGAGAAAGGGAGATTACCAAGCACAGTCAACCCCTTTGAGCAGGGCTACTGCAGATTGCAGTACAGGCTAGAGATCATCAGATGGAGAAGGCACGGTTGCCGCTGGCTAGTAGCCATGCCATTACGCGGTGAAGACAAGGCCATTTGACAACCCCAGCTGCTAGCTGTTCTAGCAAAGGCAGATATAACAGGCTTAGCGTCGCCGCGCAGGAGAGTTCGATCTATGATCTGCGTGGGAGAGCCCCACATACCGTATAAACGATCTAGTCCACAGTCAGCTAGCGTTACCGCGCAGTCCGTGGAGCGCGGCAGGTGGGCCTAGCGGGTCTGGGGGCCTGGGGGCCTGGCGGGACTCAAAACGGCTAGCCTTAGCGCGCACGTCTACAAGAGATGTTTGCCTTGGGCCATTTATGGATCTCTCCAACAACTGGCCCATCAGTGAACTAGCTCATTAGATAAGGTCAGGTACCCGAAGGGAAGCATCATGCAATCCACTCAGCAATACTCATATAGTTTTGAACAACTGCAGTTCACTATTCACTGTGCAAGGTGATAGACGCTAGGAACTCTGGAATTCGTCACCTATCTGTCTCATCATGTCTGACGCAGCAGAAGCAACAGCTGCCCGGAGAGGGCTCTGATTGATGGAATTGATATGTTCAACCCAGACGCCGCCCACGAAACAAACGCAGAGATCTTGAGGAATTTCTCCATCAAACGCAATGTCTTCAATCTATTTGCCAGGTCAACAGGTCTATTCCCGCCCATCATGGACACTTTGAACGCTTTGCTGGACGGTCAGAGGCGCACCATTCAGATTTTGGACTACCAGCTCGTCGTTCTCCGCATGACGTCCACCGTCAGCGCCGAATACTTGTTTGGCATCAATGAGCCCGTTTCGAGGGTCAACGGCATGGGCGATGAAAAGATTGAAGCGCTTCGCAAAGGCTTGAAGTCGGAGGAGCTTTTTGCAATGGGAACATGGTCGGAGCGACAGCAGTGTATCATCACCTTGGTGGATGAGTCGATCGCAACGTGGACCAACACTGAGGAAACCATCCAATGGGCTCGATCATTGATGAGCGACGATGAGGTGGTGGAGCTGTATATTGTTTTAGGGTTCTATTCTATGATTGCTCGCATGACAAGGGGTCTGAGGGTTCAGAAGGACGCTCCCATCGCGGGTCTGGGCCAGGCTATTGTGCAGAACATAACCAAGAATGCAGCAGATAGCCGCGAGGATGGAAAGCTAGAATCCGCAGCTTTAAACTAAGCACGAGTAAGTGCGAAATGCTGAATTGAGCACTTTGAAAGGCCTAAAAGAGGGAGAAGAAAGCGAGGAAAGGTCAAAGTCTCATAAAGGAATACCAGCAGTAGAAATATAACCGATAGTTCAAGTTGGTAGTATTTACGTTGGAAGTTGCTAAGACGTCCCGGGCCGAGCCAACGGGAGTCGGCTAGTCCCTTATTGCCCACGCCGATCACTTGGGCCAAGTACATATATACTCGCTCCATCCCTGGATGCAACAACATTTCTTTGACCGATCACTCTCTCAATACTAGGCGGTTATCAGCCAGCAACCGGCGAATGCACTTGCGGAACCAATGTCTTCCCAAACGTACCATGCCATTGCCCACCGTAAATTCAAGAGCCTTCAATCTCTCATTCCCAAAAGCTGGCTCCTTGACCCACTACCCGACCCCCTCCCACTCGATGTCCGCTCCCTTGTTTCGAAAAGCACCGTCCTGACTCCAGACGAACTCTCCATAACTTCCTCATATGACGTGACGTCACTCTCTCAACTTATCCATTCCCGGGCGCTCACATCTGAAGCCGTGACCACCGCTTTCTGCAAGCGCGCCGCGATCGCTCAACAACTCACCAACTGTCTCTCGGAAATCCTCTTTCTACCGGCTATCGAGCAAGCACATGCTCTGGATGCTGAATACAAACATACAGGCAAGACACGAGGGCCGCTACATGGAATACCGATTTCTTTAAAAGATACGTTCAATATTAAAGGGTATGATTCTTCGATTGGCATCGCAAGTCTCGCAGGGAATCCTGCAAAGGAGAATGCCGCGTTGGTGGATATACTTCTTGAGCAGGGAGCAGTACCCTTCTGCAAGACCAACGTCTCGCAGACTCTCATGGCCTTGGATTCGCATAACCATCTCTTCGGACGTGTTTTGAACCCACGGAACAGGCGGGTTACAGCAGGTGGAAGTAGCGGTGGCGAAGGAGCTTTGATTGCCATGAGGGGCAGTGTTCTGGGTATCGGCACGGATATAGGGGGGCTCGGTACGCATACCGGCAATGTGTAATGGTCTCTACAGTATCAAACCGAGCTCGCAGAGAATCCCTTTCACAGGCCAAGAAATTGGGCAGCTGCCTGGTATCGATAAACTGGGGTTGCAAGGTAGTGCGGGACTTATGACGACGAGTGTCAGAGACTGCGAGCTGTTTCTGAAAGCGATTGCAGATGCTAATCCGTGGGAGAAAGATCCGAATGTCGCTTTCGGGTCGTGGGAAGGGCAAGGGGAGATAGGAAAGAAACCGTTGTTTGGAGTTCTGAGAGCTGACGGTATTACCACGCCACTACCACCAGTGGCCAAGGTCCTTAATGAAACGGTTGAAGCTGTTCGCAACGCCGGCTTCGAAGTTGTTGAGATCAATGCTCCAGCGTTCAAGAAATATCACTCACTGGCCAACTCATTTTTCGGGATCGAGGGGAACAACTTTCCATTGGATATACTTGAGAGAACCGGCGAACCTTTGATTCCCTGGCTTAACGCGAGGTTAAGAAGAAAGAAGCATGCAGATTTAATACAGCTTAGCGAATTACATGTCACAAAATCGGCGTTGGAGAAGGAAATGTTGCAAATCTGGAGGGATGAGAATGGGAGAATGATCGATGCGTTAATCTGTCCAGTGGCTCCTCATCCAGTGCCAGAAATTGACAGGTGGAATGGTGTTGGTTATACAAGTGCGTTTGTCGTATTGGACTATCCGGCTGGGACACTGCCAGTCAGAGACATCTCAAATGGTGATTTAAAGGATGAACTACCTGAATCGGAAGTCCTGGGAGGTTGGGATTTGAGAAACAGGGATTTGTGTAAGCCCTCTACCTTCATCCCCTCAGTATTCCGTCCGTCATACCACTCTTACATGTTTCAAACCTTTGTCTACCCGTTCTCTTCCATGGATGCAGTGGGAAATCCTATCTTGCAAGTTTATGCTGATCCATCAGAAACAGGGCACCCAGACATCAATGATAGGAAGATATATCTGAACACGAAGTTATCAGTTCAAGTGGTAGCTCCCCGATTGCAGGAGAGAAGGCTTTATCAAGCGATGGCACTTATTGATGAGATCTTACGTGGTGCTAACTCGGAGATTAGAGCTAGGATTCAATCCAGGAGCACGGTAGCTTGATATCTGATGCCACTGCAAAACCCCTTGCTTTATTGGCATCTGTCTGAAAAAAAGCGGAGGCATTTCAAGACTAGCATTCGTCATGTTTTGTTCAACCGTTTTTTTCCTGATTTTTAAGGCATCCACTGCTGAATCCGCATGCCCAGCCTATCTCAGGCTATTTTCTCATATCATTATGTATTTAGAGGACACATCTCATCTACGGTTAAATGCACTTATTGGTCAACTTCCGTACTTGTGCCTACTGGCTTCCGCGGACTTGACAGCATCAATTACGCGTCCAAAAAAGAATGTTTTCTAACGAGGAGCCAATCATGTAAAGACAAAAGGCCTTAGTTGGCCGCCGATCCCCTCGCGAAAAAGACGCAATTCAGCCTAATTTGCGTATGGCTACCTAGGTGCTGCACATTTATATCTAGGTATGAGTATTATTTGAGGTCATTCTGGCCTGGATCTCGGCCTCCGGCCCTGGTGGTCGGAGCCAGCTTGCGCTTTATTACGACTACACTGAACTTATAAGAAATATATCTATTTGATAATGATAACAAACAAATACATACATTGATTCTACCGTATTCATACTAATACGAGCTTCAAACTTTCACTAGAGGAACGCCAAATATGCAAGCCATTCTTACAGTCGTATCCGGATATTTTGTCAAGGCCCACTCTTATTCAAATTTTCGTCAGCCGGACTCCGTCATAATACCGTACTAGATACCCGGGTTTTAGCGAGACAGGGGGCAGATTTCAAAAAAAGGTTGTTACCCACAGCGTGCACTGAAATCTTCTAATACGAGCTCTTGTCTTGTGCGTAAAGCCCTAGGTAGCACGCGTAAAGTCGGTCAATGTACAGTGTCACTTTGGAGTCCATACAATATACTACACATTAATCAATTCAAGGCTCGGCTCGTCAACTCACTACGGCCCCACAAACCGCTCGGGTAGTTTTCATATGCAAGTCATGGCTACGATCCGTGACGGCGATCTATGGGGCTTCCACCCGAAACCCTAAAAGGTTAATAAAAACATTGTTCTATTCAAATAATATCAACAGCCTTCTTTGCAACACGATTAGGACGTGCGTTTATGAGTTGAGTCTTTCCCAGTTTCTTTTTTCTTTTTGCTTTTCATCCCAGAAAAACATACCAACCACGTCGCTGCATCGCTGTAGCCCAATCACAACTCTCAGCAGAAGTGACCCTAGCCTTCCAACATTCTTCCATAATTTGTAAGGCCTCGAAGCACACCCTGTAGAATATTGGGTGATACCTGCTCTGGAAATAAGACCCCGGAAGAAATCATAATGTTTATCCAGCGCTAAGCATCCCGAAATGCAAAATGGCCACACCAAACTTCGTAATAAACGCGGATCTTTCAAACTCTTGAAAGCAAGTATCGTTTCCGAAATGCTTTCTGCAATCTCGGGAACTTTTGGATAAGGACCTGAAATGACAACATGGAGATAGGTTATAGCTGACAGTAGAAATACTTTGCTGATTTCCGGATGCGCAGGTGTTGAGGTGCTAGGAGTAGCAGTTGTTGATGAAGTGGCTAGCGATGATTCTCCTCCTCTTGCCCATGAATGTGCTTTTTTCTCAATGGCTGCTAGCTCTTGCCGAAGACGGGCCTGTAGTCCGTCACCACGTTTTACCAGGTCAACAAAACTCAGCTTGTTGGCGCTTTGAGCCTCTTTCTTCCATTTGTCTAAAAGAGAGATTTCCAGGATAAGAGCCATTACTGAATCCCGGCACCCAGTATGGCTTTCCAGGGAAATTTCAAAAGTCTCAAGTACTTGTAAGTGATTTATGTTAAGGGTTAGATTTGATCGAGTCGAAGCAGAAGAGATGATGTCAAATGCGATGAAAGATCCGAGCACGAATTTGAATGCGCATTCAATTTCGGGGCATAGAGCGGTCGTCTCACTTCCGCTCTGTGGAATTGTAGAGTCGTGTGGCATCATCAAAGGCGGAAGCTGGGCCTGTAAAAGTGAAGCAATGGGACCAGATGCCGTTCGCAGGTGTGTCTGCCATTTCTCTTTTCCACCATTGAAAGTCTAACATGCTTAAGATATTAGCACTAAACTTATGACTAGCTGAACCATTGCTTACCTACCTCAAAGAACAGAAGCTGCAGTATAGACATGAGAATCTCTATACTATGGAGCAAAAGGCCACTCCCTTTCGATGTGTGAGAATCATTTATCATCACCTGCATCTCATGAATGGCTATATCGTAGTGGCTATTTTGGGTCCGTAGTTGGATGAGGCTAATAGCAATGTCACTATTTGGCGATGATGAGCTTGAAAGACGTTGGCGTTCGCTCAGAGCTAAAGCCGCATGGTATACCGATTTGACTCTTCGGAGGATCGCAAAGAGCCAACCTCTTCCTTGTTTCTTTTGGCAGTGAAAAAACGGATACTGGATGTAGAAGACTTCGTCCAGGTAGTACATAAACAATGCATCATCTGTGTCTCCGCTCGGGTTTGTTATTTGAGAAATTAATCCCACGGAGTCGTAATTAGTAGTTGTAGTTGTTTCCATGGAATGATATCCATGGTCCGGAGACGCGCTATCTTGCAATTCGTTCAACGCGGAGCTGGTACTCTGATCCTTTGAAGAGTGAATGTCCTTTCCAGAAACGATGTTTTCGAAAGCCATGGGTGATACTAAATGCGGCGAGGAATGTTGATTCTGACCGGTAGTATAGGTAGAGCTGTAGCCCTCTAAATCCAACGAAGCATCATCCATGATAGCAAGCTCGTTTGGGGGCCAAAATGTCCATAGTGTGTCAATAGAGTTACTCGACTCTATTCCACTATCTTGAAAATGTAAGTCATCTTGAGTAAAAGCCCCGAGGTGCTCATCGAAGAAAGTTTGCGAAACAGCCGCTGGCGAGGGTGTATTCTTAGTAGTTGAAGATCTCATGCCAAACGTTGAGACCAATGGTGACTGATTGGCGTGAAATTGCTGTCGCCTTCCCTTTTTCGACTTGGCCTTGCTAACGAGGCGTTTGAACTTTGAGGCTTGATCTCTTTGCAACACGCCATTATCCATCCATTCAGGCCTCGGGCCATATCCATGACACTCCAATTCGAGAGAAGTGCACGCCGAACACACAGGGCGATTCTCATCGCATTTCTTTTTGCGGAGGCGACATGTCCAACAGCCATGATTACTTCGCGCGGCTATATCAGGAACAGATAAGTATCACAGATAATATCTTACCTACCTAAGTGCCTGCTAGGAGGTAACTAGGTATCCGATAAGCATGCGAGAGGGCAGCGGAACATACATATTCTGACAGTCTCAGCCATACTGGTTCTATAACACTCGTACTCAAATGGGGCCTCGTTCACTTGGCAGATAAGGACCACCGGGCTGAAATGATGAGAAGGGACCAGGCTTAATATACCCCTCCTTCAGCCGCGATGTGGTTTGATTATGTAATAATACGACTCAAAGCGCATCAGGAAATGTTGGGATGAAACATCACCGACCGTCCAGAGTGTGTCTAGGAGGCGCTGGCTCTAGGTTCTGGTGGCGCTATGGGGCCAAAAGACGGTTACTAGTAATTAATAGTAATATGCTAGTAATCATTGATGAAGAAATTTTATTTTAAAAAAAAAGTTAGTATTGGTATGCGCTAATAAAAGGAAGCTGACAAGGCTAGCCATATGTGACCTAGGATCCGCCCCCCAACGTCTAAGCGAACAGAATACCAAGTGACCAGTCCACCCACACCAATGATGCCGACCTTTTTACGAAGACCGCAGTCGTGCTGCTTCGGGGGAGGGGGAGTAGGTGGTGATACCGCCACACAACATCGGCGCGCCCTCTGGAGACGAAATGGCATCGGGGATCTTAACGACAAAGTGGGAGGACGAACGGTTATACAGCAACTATCCACCATAGGACTAGCGTCCATTGGCAAAGGCCCCATTGTTCGTGCCAACCATGCGGTACAGACCCTTACTTGCAGATATGTCCCTATTATACGCTGATTTCCCGGGGCTTGGATATGAGTTCGTCTGCCGGGCGGTTGGGAATAGTTGTGCTGGACGGATAATCTGGTTGTTGGAAGGCTCAGAACATGTACATGTCTTGTTGAGATACCATTAAGTTGCAATCTTGCCATGCATATCAAAGGCTGGTCAGAATGAGCCGATATGAGATACTCTCATTACCGTGTTAGCAGTTTGGTGATCCTTCTTTGATAGGAAAAATATTGGACGACCCTAAGGACACCATAGTTTTCGCGCACCATGGAATATGTAACGAACTGGGTTTGTTACCATTCGCGGATGCCTGACGTAGATGGCATCCACTTAGGCATCCACGCCTACATGTACTTAGTTCTATCTCAGCTTCCTTCTCCTTCTTCTTCTTCTTCTTCTTCTTCTTCTTCTTCTTCTTCTCCTCAAGCTATTACTTTTCGTCGAACCGCTACTGTTTTATTGCTTCGTATGCTACGCCGTACGTTGATCTGTGAGCATCTGAGCATCCTCACAGAATATAAGGTGATACTACACCCATGGGCCATATCCCAAAATTTAACACCCACTTAGTATTATGTCCAACTTCTAGCTTAAAATATGGCCTTAATATCATTTTAAAAACTACTAAAGAATTACTAAAATATTAGTTAGAAAATCTGGAATAAACTAACAACACGTACACGTAGCTACTCATTTTCGTCTTCTGCATATAGTGCCGTGTCCTTTAGCGCAGCTCCACTCCACATCCACACCGCCGGGTGACTCCATTTCACGCGCGTCGCGTTTTTTCCAGCTGCCGTTCAGCTCTCTTCTTCAAGTTCGAGGTTTTATACAGTTAGCGTCGCCGCTTCTCCAGGGCTATTATGGCCCGAAAGCAGAAAGCTCAGCCGCCGCCAGTTATACAGACACAGACGGATGGCCTCCCTGAGCCCACAACCTCAACAGTCATCCTTCCTGATGTCCCCAGACTTTATTCGGATTGTGACTTCCTCACATGGGCATCTGCCATCCAGAATTGCCTGATCGTCGAAAATTTGGATAGCTTGATTGATCCATTAAAGCCGAGGCCGGCTGCATCAACTCACTCATTACCGTTGAAATGGAGATTCTGGTCTCTGACTGTTCGGGATTGGCTGTTTAACCAACTCGATGACCAAATGGCAGGGTCGATAAAAAGTCTACCTACCGAGCCAGTGTACGCCGATGACCTCTGGAGGGAGATTGAAAAGCTCCATGACAAAGGCTCGGAAGAGAATGCCAACGAGGCCGCATGCAAGCTTTTCAACATGCGACGCTCATACTTCGCCGGGGCTGAAGAATACATAATCCTTTGGCGATTGATCAATGCCATATGTACCAGTCTCAAAATAGGTATCACGCCGTATATGTCTACTGTGATCATGTTTGACCAGGTCAAACCTGATCTACCAGAACCTGTTGCATTACTACGTGGGCGAATTGCAATGCGTGGAGGGAACGCAGTCAACATGGAACAGTCTGAGTTCTTTGAAATCTGTGACAGGCTTCTCGGAGATGATTTTGAACCGCTTCCATCACTTACCAGTGCCATGATTGAAGCTGAAAGCAAAGTCAAGAAAGTATCATAAGAATTACCCTCCAAGGGCCCCGGAGGAAATATCTCTCGGAAAAAGATCCGAAGAGCTCCACCTAAGGGCAAGAACTATGCTGAGTATGCTAGAAAATGGCGTCAACACACACCACAGCAGGATAGCAATGGCAAATGTTCTTATTGCAACATGGGAAATCACAGCTGCTCCGTCTGCTTCTACCTTACCGAGCAAAAGCCTGCAGGATGGATTCCAGATCCACTGTTGTGGTGCTTCGAAGATCAACGCGCGAAGGGCAATATTGGAAAACGACAGTTGAAAAAAATCGAAAAAGGTCGAAAGTTTCCCCCCAAAAGGCGCTGCGTGCTTTTGGAACTCCCAGCCGAAATCCGCACTCGAATCTACACATACCTCTTCACCTCATCTAGAGTCACTTTCGGCAAGAGGGGTATCGACTTGGGCAGGGCAAATACCATGAAGCCTGCACCTCATTCTTTGGCCATTCTCCGTGCTTGTCGAAAAACCAAACAAGAAGCAGAGTCTCTTTGGCTCGGGATGATTCTGTTCTGTTTCGAAAGCCCGGTGCCTATGCTTGATAAACTCTCTACGCTTCCTTTGAGTACTCTTTCGGAGATCCGCCATATGCGTGTCGGTGGGGGTGAGTTGAAGTTGTGTCATCCAGGTGATCCCTATCCCATTTTTTACAGTATTCCCTGGGTCCTCAAGTTACTCCCTGGTTTACAACTAAATACACTTACCGTCCTTGAGCCGGTCCTCGGCCATGCGTCCTATACTATGTTGAGCGAATTCATTCAACATGGCACTGGTTGGAAGAAGCTCTACTTCATCACCCCAAATTCCAACATGCTTGGTTTTGAAATAGTGATGTTTTATGGTGGTGTGCCCCCAATCTTACGCGAACCTCAACCAAGCACCTGGAAAACAGTTCTATCCAGTCGGGATGGGCCTGATACCGGAACGTCTGTCAGTATTTATCGGTCAACGCAGTCAGATTCCCCTGGGGCTGTTCTCGACCCGCAGACACGCGAGCCTTTCGAGCAGAAAAAGAACCGCAGAAAGCGAGGAAGGTTTGGCTTGGCTGCAGACCAATCCTTGACAGCTGAGGGTGAGGCTGAAAAAGAGTTACTGGTTATTGTCAAACGCGGACATGACGTTGACATCGTAGAAGAAGTGAACCCCCCCTACCTCCCTAAAGACATTTGGAGTTGGACACGGGCTATGAGTTGGGCAGAAATTCGTCGTGAGTGTTACGACAACACAATACAACTTTATGAAGATCGACACTATCCTGGATGGGATCAAGGTGTGGAGATTGATTCATACGATAGGATTGACGAATATACATGGAACGCCGCCAACCACTAGACAGAGTCTATCAACGAAAGATCATCATTGGGCCTGATCAGGACGGAAAAGAAAAAAGAAAAAAGAAAAATGCGGCGGCCAAAACCCCCAAACTTGAATATAATCCATTTCCTCAAAACAAAATCTCCATCCGTGTGCTGAAGATATGTCTCAAAACTGCTCTTCGGGCCAAGTAATGCTGTATGGATTATTTACTACTTCGCTATTGCGACGGGGATAATTTGGGAGGTGTTCTCGCCTACCGATAAATACTAGTCAGTCACCTGGACAGATAACGGAACCGTCAAGTCGGATGCGTCGAGAATATCATGATCCATGGGTGTTACTACTACCGAACAGGCATAGTATATTCACTGCCCGGGTGGGCAGCATTGGGAGATAAGTTCAAGTTTGCAGGCAACTTCCAAGGTTGAAACTTGAAGAAGACAGTATCTCACTTCCAATTATTTTTGAGTCTCAATTTCGTCCAGCTTTACAACCAATCAAGCAAGAACCTTGGGAAACTTGACCCAGATGCCCCTGAACTCTCTTCTCTCCTCGACAACCCTGAAACTATCCGCCACCAACCCCTTGATTGAGATGTATCACACATTCCATTAACCCAACGCGTACTGATAAGCCGAGAGCATGCAATGTCGATCCTTGCAGGATGAACCTGCTACGGCAGTATCGGAAACGCATAAATACTCGGCTAAGCTTTCCTGGTATGCAGATCCTTCATTGTGGCGTCGAGGCCCGGCGTCGCGTCCAACTGAGGGACGTCAATCCCGTCGGGACGTCCCAGATGTTTGATTCACGTCGCAGATCCTATATCTGCGGTTCCCCATCAATCAGAGCTTACTGCGTATGATGTCTCACGCAGCAGTGAAATATGTTCCACAAGTTTCAGGTGCAGCTGGTTATCTTGATGCATGAGATTCCTGAGATAGGGGCGGTCGATCGCGATGGCAGCCAAAACATCCCCATCAAACACAGGGAGCATTCTTGGCGAACGCATCATTCATCATTTATCATCCCGGTTTTATTGCATACTTTATATGCGGTTTGAATATCGGATTAATTCTCATGTCGTCAGGATTCGTCTCTCGTGTCTTACATCTAAAGGAAGTCGACTTTGCGGTCGGCTTTGCTGACTTGTCGCCCGATTTCTTATCGAGACGATGCTTCACCCAATTCTTGATCTGAGCAGCTTCAACGTGACAATTACGTTTACAGGTGAGACCCGTTTTTCTTTCCCAATGAAGTCCTAGCTAACTTGACAGGACTATTCATTCTTGCTTTCGGGTTCATTTCCATCAAACTCAAGCAACAATGGTATCTTGGTGAAGCCTGTACGTTTTACGCGATTTGCTGAAGCAACGCTCGCTGACCATTCAGTGCCGTCGTTTGTGGTCGGCGCGCTGCTAGGCCCATTCTGTGCTGGCCTCATCGATGTCAATCGGTGGGTCGGGAAGGATGATGTGGGTGACGCTGCATACGTGAGTACTCCGACCGATCTAATTAATCTACATTGAATGATCCTGACAATCTAGGCTCTCACTCGTCTTGTGATTGGCATCCAAATGGTCAAGGTTGGCTATGAGCTGCCGAAACGATACCTTCGGTTACGACTGGTCGAGTTGACAATCTGCCTGCTTCCCTTGATGACGCTGCAGTGGCTACTCACATCTTCGTGCATTTTGTTGATGATACCCCACATATCTTTCGTGAGTCGCTTTGATTCGCTCCTCTAGCTGTCTTCCCAGCTAACTTCCCAGCTAACCGCGTTGATCATCGGATCTTGTGTGATCTGCATCGACCCGGTTCTATCTCAGGCCATTGCAAAAGGCCCGTTTGCCGACAAGTACGTTCGTCGACACCTGCGCGAGTTCATCTCAGCTGAGGCCGGAGGAAATGATGGCTTTGGATTCCCCTTTTTTAATATTATCGATCGCTCTCCTACGCTACGCCGATTCGCCAGCTAATGAAATATCCAAACGCGATTGGATTGGAGAGAAGGACACCGGGCGGTTTGGAGGGGATGTCAGTCGTGCGCTGGCACACTGGGCTGTGGAGGGCGTGCTATACATGATAATCATGGGCTCTGGTTATGGATTACTTGTGGGATTTCTCGGTCGAAAGGGTATTAATTTGGCTTCTAAACGAAGATGGGTCGACAGGGAGAGCTTCTTTTTGTTCCCAGTCGCTATTGGGGTATGTGATATGTGACCCCCATTCGAAATTGTACTCACCTAATGGCCTAGATGTTTGTTGTCGGCACATGTGGGTGTTTCGGATCCGACGAGACGTTGGCCTGTTTTATCGCCGGATGCGCATTGAATTGGGATGGATTATACCATTCCGAGATTGAAGCCCGGCACGACTCTTTCAACAACTCCATTGAGATGGTTCTCAACTTTGCGACTTTCATGTTTATCGGCGCAGTTATGCCTGGGACCAGCTGCATCTTCCACAAGTCACCGGAATCACTGTCTCACGACTCGTTACGCTGGGTATTCTGGTGGTTCTATTCCGCCGCATTCCAGCCGTTCTAATGGGATATCGCTTCATGCCGAAAGTTTGCAGCGGTTGGAAGGAAGCTTTGTTCATGGGATACTTTGGGCCAATTGGTAAGTGTAGCCCATTCGTGCCATGGGGAATCCGACTGACCTTACAGGCGTGGGTGCTATCTCATATGTCGAGTATGCCCGCCGTCTTCTACCAGATCCAGGGGAGAGCGATGAAGAAGTCAACCATCTGACTGCAGCAATGGTCCCGGTCGTCTACTGGCTTGTATTCTTCTCGATTGTTGTCCATGGACTCTCGATTCCAGTGTTAAACGGCATCTACAAATGGCTTCGGGTTGCGATAATTCATGATCATCCTGTGGAGGTTCTCATGCTCTCCGATAATGAACCCGTTCCCAACAACAGCGTCGTCCATCGCGAGTCGCACTTGGTGACGGTAAATAATCGCTTCTCGTGTATCTCTAGCAATAGTCGACCGAGCCACAACTGTGAAGACTCGGACATGGCTAGGTTACGGTATAGTCGAGATTGTGAATTATCGCTTGGTCGGCTTTCGTCAAAAGAGTCATCGCTAACTCAGGCGGAACACATTAGAGAAATTGTTTAGAAATATATATTCCCTTCAAGTTGTTATGTGGTAGTCGTTGTTACTGTAATATCACTGCTACTATATATATTCCCTGTTTTCGGCACACCCAAAGCAGTTATTGCCGGCTTGGTTTCACAAATTCATCTTGTCCTTGCACTAAAACTTGGAAGTCGCGATGCCTCGGCTCGAATGACCTAGAATTCAATCGTGAGTATTCCCAACAACGCACAGACTGGCTTGTTCCAGCACCCCGAGCGATCGGCATGATCTCATATGTACAGTCCCTCGGTCGGACGAACCCACATGCGGTGATCCACAACGCGACGCGGTTATAAACCCGAGCGCCCGCGGGGAATATCAATCCCAACAACTCCATCATGTCGTGAGCAATCATGCCCATCTCTCGTTATGCACACTGCTGATAGATAATAGTTCACTCATCACCACCCTCGGCCTCCGTGCCGCTCCTGGCCAAGCGGTCCCCAACCATGCCACCTCCTTTCTGCTGGCTAATTGGGTCCTCGCGTACGCCTTGATGAGCACGCGTGGAACGAAAATGCGCCTTGGCCTGGACCACAATGTCGCGCCCAGAGAGGATCTTGGCAAATACGGCGAAGCCGCAGTGCAAGCTGGCAAGATCTCTCGCAGCGCTTTGAACAAGTTGAAGCGACAGGAGGCAGCGCATGCGAATGCCGTGGAGGGCTTCCCCCTGTTTGTCGCAGCGAGTATGTAAATTCCGATTTTTTGAGCGAAATGCGCTAACTGGATAGTTCTTGCTGCTCTATTCGCCGGTGTTCCGACAGAGACTATCAACACCATCGGTGTCTGGTACACGGCGTCGAGATTGGCTTATAGCTGGCTGTACTCGCACATTGAGTCACCGGGACTGAGCTACTTGCGCTCGGTTGCTTGGTGGTCTGGAAACATTAGCTGCATCACTGGTCTGGTGCTGGCTGGAAAGAAGCTGTAGATGTTTGCGTCTGCGTGTACATTCGCGATGATATGTATAGAGCAGTAGCAGTGCAGTTTGAACGATTGCATGATAGCTGTTGCAGCTTCAGAACCTTGTTCGGTCGGAAATTCCATAGAAGCAAATTCCATAGAAGCAGAAAAAAGATAGCCTCGCAATGTCAAATGCTTTCGTGAGATACTCTTGATGAAACAAGTGTATCCCCGCAGCTCGCTGTCGTTGACCCCGCGATTGGTGGAGAATCTACTCTCAGCGCACAAATCATGACAACCAAGACGGCGCAATCAATCCCAGCCACTGAGAGCTAGAGCTGCCCATGCTAGCTCCCCTTAAGTTAAATACCAACCTCTTTGTAAACTTTACTCTACCCCATACCCAGTCATTTAACCCTCTCCGCATCCTTGGCATGCGGAGAACAATCGGCAGCTCTTCGGGCTTTGGCCCTGTTGATCTTGCTCAGCAGCCATGCCATTGTAAATTCCTACAGGCGGGAAATCTTCGTATATCCCCGCGTGCCAACACTTCTAGATTGATCCAGGGAAATATTTCTGGGATTGGCATCTAGTGAAGGTATTTAAGAGCTGCCCACGACTCAATTGCCTCTGTTACTGTCTGGTAAGCTATTTATCAGTTCTAACACGATGAAGGTCCTTGCAATTGCAGCTCTGTTTGCTGGGGCAGTCTCCGGCCTTGCCTCGAGCCATGTAATCCCCGGCGCGCATATTATCCCGGTAAAAGAGACCGCTGCTCTCCGCAAGGTTGGAGCTCATGGACAGAAGTACCCGGATCGCCGGACAGTCACAATTCGTGCCTCGAAGAATGAGAAGGATGATGTGTCGGCCGATTTCCTTTGGGGTATCAAGCAGGCCAACCATGGAGGGCGTTTGCTGCTCCAGAAGGGCAAAACATATATGCTTGGCAAAAAGCTGGATCTGACCTTCCTGGATAACGTCGAAGTCCAGCTGGATGGTGAACTCAAGGTAAAAAAACTGTCGACAAGGGACTGTGAAATTGTGTGCTAATTATCATTAGTTTACCGATGACATCGACTACTGGCAAGCAAACAACTTCTACTACTCCTTCCAGAAGTCGATCACCTTCTGGAGATGGGGTGGCAAGGACATCAAGATCTTCGGCAAGGGTACTCTGAACGGAAATGGCCAGGAGTGGTATGATGCGTTTGCTGGACTTGAGATTTTGGTAGGCGATTCCAACCTCTACCCGGATATAGTTATCATGCTAACACAGGCAGGACTCGACCAACACTTTCTATCGACCCATTCTATTCCTGACCGAGAATGCGACACGCGTCAGCGTCGAGGGCATCACCCAACTCAACTCACCCTGCTGGACCAACTTCTTTGTACAAAGCAAGGACATTTCTTTCGATAATGTGTTCATCAATGCCTACTCTACCAACGCATCCGTAAGTTATTTACTGCTTTGTCGTCTCCGCAATTCATTCAACTGACTGAGATAGTCTTTGCCCAAAAACACCGACGGTTTCGATTCGTTGAATGTGGATGGACTCAGCGTGACAAACACCAGAATCGACATCGGCGATGACTGCTTTTCCCCAAAGCCTAACACTTCCAATATCTTCGTGCAAAACTTGTGGTGCAACAACACCCACGGTGTCAGCATGGGAAGCATTGGGCAGTACGCGGGTCAGATGGATTACATCGAGAATGCGCATATCGAGAACGTCACTCTGCTGAATGGACAGGTGAGATTAAAAATACAAGAATTGCAACACTCCAGAGATGGGCGATGCTAACTTCAATAGAATGGGGCCCGTCTCAAGGCATGGGCCGGCCAAAACGTCGGATACGGTCGCATCAACAATATCACTTACCGCAACATCCATATCGAGAACACCGATGCTCCTGTCGTTCTGGATCAGTGCTACTTCAACGTGAACGCTACCGAGTGTGCTGCCTACCCCTCTGCGGTCAACTTCACCAACATCGTCTTTGACAACATTTACGGTACATCCTCTGGTAAAAATGGAAAGGTCGTCGTCGACTTGACTTGCTCACCGAACGCTGTGTGCTCGGGTATTCAACTCTCGAACATTGACCTTACCAGCCCAGCTGGAGACCCACCAGAGATTGTTTGTGATGGTATTCAGGGAGATATTGGGGTGGATTGCATCTCGAGTAATAGCACTAGCTCTTAGATAGATGGAAAGAGGCCTATTCATGAGAAATCGCGGGAAGGTCGTGTGATTACTACCGTGATTACGCGTTTTGAGTTGATTGTGGGAGGGGGCGATACTAAAATGTACATAAAAGTATGATAGTTAGTGGCCATTACATCCCCACAATAATTTCAAGTTCGCAAGCATTTTCAAGCGACATTATAAGCGCATCAGCTGTAGAATATTGATCGGACCAAGGGATCACTGTAAACAAATTCTTGATTCTTCTTCATTTTGCGACGCGTCCATGGGTACAGACTCAGTTTTCCAGGAAATTGTGGGGAGCTAGAAACGCCACCTCCGCCAAGTCGCCAAGAAGGATCAAGCATTATCCTAGCAGCCAGGCGACGAGGACATTATCAGCGATGGATTTGCGGAGATAGACGCCTTCTTAAGAAACTTTCTCAATTACGCCCCTTACTGCCCTCCTATCGCGATCAAAAGTCCTGCGCACTGATCATCTCCACACCCCACGATCTCCACAAGGGCAGAATTTATATCCGCTGCTGCATCTAGGCTCACAGACGACCAATAGAATCGAAACCGCGATACCAAATTGACCAATGGACCGCTACAAAGAATCATCTCCGAGGATTCTATCTGTCTTGTCCGGGGTGGAGATGCCCCCCCCAATTAGACCTTATCCCCGGACTATTCGGCGGAGAGCTCAGTACGAAGAAAGGGGGCTATAAAGGTAGACCCCCGTTCTTGTTTCTTGCAGATCTATTGCTAACACAGGAGCATCCAGGATGGAGAAAACAAGCAGCGATTCCCACCACGTCGAGGGCGCTAGCCCAAATCTTGAATCGGGGAAGACGGATGCTTTCTACGTTGAAGATCGTGTTGCTCATCTTTCGGAGGAACATCGTCAATATCTTCTTGCGAGACATGGCACACTTGATCTGGATCCGATCCCTGATATGAACGATGCGGATCCTTATAACTGGTCCACATGGCGGGTAAGATGAATCTTGCTGGAGAGGAAATGAGATAAGATGAGATAATAATACTGACGCGATGCAACACGATAGAAAACGCTTAATCTCTCCCTGGTCGTCTTCCACGCTATGATCGGTCTTTTCACGGCCGCGTCAATTCAATCTGCCTTCGTCAATATCTCGGCCGACCTCGGTGTTAGCATGCAGAGAACCAGTTACCTTGTCTCACTATTCATTGCCGTGCTGGGTGGTGCACCGCTTTTCTGGCGGCCCTTGAGCAACAGATTTGGTCGGAGGCCCATCTTTCTCATTTCATTGATCTGCGCCCTTGTTGGTAATATCGGTTGTGCGGAGAGTCACTCCTATGCCACAATGGGTCTTTGCCGTGCTATCACTGCATTCTTCATTTCACCCGCCGCGGCTATTGGTAGTGCAGTTGTCGCAGAAGTGTTTTTTAGGAAAGATAGAGCACGTTGTATGGGATATTGGACCTTGATGGTGACGATCGGTGTACCGATTGCACCCTTTTTGTTCGGATTTGCCGTCATGAGAGTGGGATACAGGTGGATTTATTGGACACTTGCTATTGTGAGTCTCAATATCCCCATCTAGGGCTGCTTAATATTCCAAAAAGCATTGTTGATACTAATGCTGTTCCAGGTCAACGGAATCCAGTTCATTGTCTACCTCTTCTTCGGCTCCGAATCCCTTTACCTTCGCAGGGAAACGGCCAGAAACAACGTCACAAGCGTGAAGGAGAGCATGTTCAAATTCCGACGCATTGATCCGGCACCTTTGCGATTGTGGGACTTCGTGCAACCACTCAGCTACGTCATGAAGCCTTGTGTGATGATTCCCGCCGCCGCCTACGCGATGATCTTCCTCTGGGGCAGCATCATGCTCACGATCGAAATCCCGCAGATATTCCCAGAGCAGTTCGCGCTGAACACCCAACAAGTCGGACTGCAATTCCTGGGTATCATTATTGGCTCAGTACTGGGTGAGCAAGTTGGAGGTTTGATATCCGATCGATGGATGCAACTGCGCGAGAAGAAGGGTGGACGGTACCCAGAGCCAGAATATAGGCTATGGCTAAGCTATATTGGTCACGCGTTGACAGTCTGTGGCGTTGTCGTTTTCTGCGTGCAGTTGGGCAAAGCTGGTGATAAGTGGAATATCACCCCGATCATTGGGGCAGCAATTGCAGCTGGTGGTAACCAGATTGTCACCACGATCAATATTACCTACGCTGTGGACTGCTACCGCACAGATGCGGCCAGTGTCGGTGTTTTTATCACATTTGTTCGACAAATGTGGGGGTTCATTGGGCCTTTCTGGTTCCCGCAGATGTTTGAAACAGTTGGATGGGGTGGTGGTGCGGGGATTGCTGTGGCTCTGATTTTTGGAGTCAGCATTGTGCCTACTGTTCTATTGCAATGGCGTGGCTCTAAGTGGCGTAACTAGACCACGGGTGGAGAATCTCAAGAGAACACAGATTTCGAGCCGAACCATGACTACTTTATAATATTGCTCACCTTTATTTCTCTCCATAACTACTGAATACATTGCTAGTGGGTTCCATAACCGTATAATCCTTACACTAGTATCGCTTAATATCATCCACGCGCGGATTGCTGCATCTCGATACAATTCAGGTTTGAAGCTTGAGACCCGGATGATTCAATAATTCAACAATTGAGAGTCATACCAATCCATTGAATACAATATCAAGTATAAACATCAGTCATTCCGCACTATTTACTCGAACAAAAACATTAAATATACACAGAACGCCACCTAATCATTTCTCATAAACATACCTCCCAGACATCTTTTCAGCTCACAATCCGGCAGTATACCTACCACCCCTCAACCCTCCGCATAGCCAAATTCATCCCCTCAACCGGCTTCGTCGTAACGGCACCAGCAACATGAATCTCCTGCTTAGGATCCTGCATCTCAAAAGCAAACCTCCCAACAACGCCCGCAACCGCACACCTAAGCTCAGCCCTAGCAAAATCCTTCCCAATACAAGCCCGCTGCCCATGCAAGAACGTAATCTGCGCAAAATTCGTACTAGCGCCGCCATTCTTGTTCGGCACGGATTTCCCCGTCTTGGGATCCGTATCTATCCACCGTTCAGGAAGGAAGTCTTCTCCAGTTTCGCCCCAGAAGAGCGGGGATCGGTTAATTGCGTAGGGGATTAGGAGGATTCGAGTGCCCTTTGGAACACGCTTGCCGGCGATCATTGTGTCGCGGATACTTTCGCGGATTGTAGCGGGGACGGTTGGGTATAGGCGGAGGACTTCTTCGCAGACACCGTTTAGTAGCGGGAGGGATTCGAGGTCTTGGTGGGTTATGGCGGTTGAAGCTGAGGGGATTTGGGCGCGGATTTCGTCGCGGAGTCGGGTTTGGTATGTTGGGTGGAGGGTTAGAAGGTAGCAGGCCCATGTTAGAGCGGCGGCGGTTGTTTCGTGCTGGAAGTAGTTAGCGATTGGAAGCCGGGCTGACGGTGGGCTTCAACTTACTCCCGCGGCGAGGAAAGTTAGCATCTGATCGACTAGCTCTTCGTCCGAGAAATCGCCACCCAACATCATGGTACCCAGGACATCTGCTTCGAGGTCCTTGGCCGAAGCCTTAGATTCGGCGAGAGAGGTCCGCTTCTCCTTGACGATGTCGTTGCAGAGATTTCGGAGGAATCCGGTCTCGTCGGCGACGACCTTGTTCAAGCGCCAGGGAACGCGCTGGGCAATCCATTGGGGTAGAATGAAGTTCATGGCGAGGAAAGCCATTTTCTCGGTTGTTGGTTCGAGGATTCGGAGGAAACTTTCCGCAACTTTGTTGTCTTTATTTTGAAGCGAGCGGAAGTCACGGCCCATCGCTACAGGGCCAATGATATCGAGTGTAACACGGCTGATCGGTTGGTTAGTATATCGAAACAGCAATAAAGGATGTGGATGGAAACATACCTCCCCCAGACACCCATCTCTAGCTTGCCGACTTTATCTTCTGGATTAGTTCCTTCCATCGGGTTTTCTGCGAGCTCTTTTTCCATTTCTTCCACTAGCTGGATCGTCTTCTCCCACATGAGGGTATACATGGCGCGGATGTTCTTGATATTGAAAGCGGGGGTCAGAGCCTTGCGCTGCTTCCTGTGGGCGGGGCCTTCGGAAAGAATGAGGCCAAAGCCCAGGATGCGGGCGAGGAAGTTGCGGGCACGCCATGGCTTCTCGAAGTCATATGTGTTTGTGCTCATGATATCGAGTAGTGCCTGGTGGTTTGTGGCGATGAGATAGCTTTGGCTAATGCTATCGCGCATGTGAATAAGGCCATCGTTGGGAATTGTCTTCATCCATTCCAGCGGGGTGCGGCCACGGGGCGAATCGAAAATAATCTTTGCATTATTGAAGAGGCCCGGAATTGTGGGGAGATGACGGAGAGGATTGAGGAAGAGGGGCCAGATGAGAAAGTTGTAGATTCCTGCGAATAGGAGATTGCTAGCCAAAGCAGCGAGGACGAGAGTACGGAAAGCAAAGTCGGGGAAAGATGAAGTGTTGGATGAGGTAGCCCTCAGCGATGGAGAGGGCTGAGAGGGCTGGTAAATTCATTTTGAGAGGAAAGAGAGGAGATGACAAGGGAAGAAAATCCGGGGGAAGGTCGAGAGAAGCTGGGGAGAACTGGGGAAGAGGAATTTTATCTTTTATCTAATGGCTCCACTTGGAGAATGGAGATGAGCATAAAAGGAGCACGGAGTATGTATGATCAAGTATAGGCATCCTGAATAGTAATCATAAAAATCATTGGTATAATGTGTTATCATAATCCCCTACGGGCATCCCATTCAGGTAACCAGGATGTATACACATCAAATAGCACAGAGCATGACAGTCCGATGATGTATGGCTGTCCCTTTGATGGTTGACTTTATGCGGCGCCCGGTGATATTCTACTACTTTAGGACTAGCGTCACCTAATATGGCTAGCGTATAAATAGAGTTGCAGGTTCCTGCATGTGAAAATGAGGGGAATTTCAAGAGCAGAAGATATTGTCAAAGGCAACCATGAACCGTTGAGCGCGGGGTAGAATAAAAATAAGTGTGAAGATGGAAGAATGGATGCATGTGAATGAAGATGGAAATGGTGGCATCATAATGTAGAGACTATCAATTTTATTCATTCTGCATTGTGGAAATGACTCATGTTTATTATGATCATACTTATTAAAGTTGTTAACAGTCAAATTGATAGTCGCACAGATCGTAGGGCTGAACACGACGGTGTAGTACAACATAAATTACTCCAAGTATTTCTGCCTTAATATTTACTGCATTATATACTATGCTTCGCCGTCTACTCCGCCAACTCAACCAACCAGCTCTTAACCTTCTTCCCTGCGCAGTCTCCGTCGCATCACCAAGGTACAAGTTATAAATTGGCGCAACATGGCACTCGCGATGTCCAACAAACAATTCCACCCGTTCAAACCCTTCCTTAAACTTCGCCGCAAAGTCCAGAATAATCGGAAGTAGAATTTCATTACCGCCACCCGTGATGAGGACCCGATTGACAGGGAAATCCTTAAACCACTCGACCGGCGCATTGGATAGATCGGTATAATTGTCCCGCGGACTCTTGCCAATGTATGCGCTAGCCCAGGGTTGCGCGACGGCTTGGGTGATTAGGTCACCACCGTGGTATATCTCCTGGTCGGGGAATTCGGTGTCGAGGAGGGTCCATGGTGCGATCATGGCTGCGCCAGCGAGTTTGGCATTGTTGGGCAGGGGAAGGGGTTCGATTTGAGGGTGTGGGTGGGCGAGGTGGGAGAGTACACCGCTGACGAGGTTTCCGCCTGCGGAATCGCCGCCGAGGAAGATTGTATCGGGGGATCGGCCGGTTGAGAGGATGTAGCGTGCTGCGGCAACGGCCTGTTTTAGTTGGGTTGGGTATGTTTCGGTCGGGGCGAGCGTGTAGGTGAGGGAGAAAACGGCGAGGGATTTGTTGGAGGTCTTGAGGGTCTGGACGAGCTGGGCGTAGAATTTGAAGTAGCCAATGTTGGCGGGGAGACCGAATCCGCCGCCTGAAGACACGTTAGCATTGCATGATTGCATGTCAGGGGGTTATGAGCTTACCGTGATACCAGATCATCACATTGGTTGCATCGCGATCACCGATCCAGTGGCCAAGCGCGCCATGTTCCAGCTGGACTGTCTGTGCTTGAATGCGGGCCTTGCGGGCGTATTGTTCGTAGACTTTGTTGGACGTGGGCGTGGCATATTGCATTTGCGCCGGGGTAAGGCGTGCGGTGACCTTGCGCATGACGGCATAGCCGATGTGAAGGAACAGGGTTTTGGCCTGTCGCTCGGTGCGCCAAAGGCCGGTTATAATTCCATAGAAGGCAGCGAGGGTAATGGAGGCAATCGCTGGGAGGAAGTCCAGCTTCTGCTGGATGGTGAGTTTGACAGACATGGCGACAATGATATCAAGCAGAGCGAGCGATGGAGGCTGCGCAAAGGTCAATTGCGCATCGGTGAAGCAATCGAGGCGTATAAGGACAGCGGCAGAATATAAGATAAGACCTCGGCCCTGACCGAGGTGCAGGGTGGAGGTGGAGGCGGAGGAAGGACAACATCCTCGGTGGGTCAGTGTGAAAGCGAGAAAAGAAAAGTGTGGAGGAGTTCGCACTCCTATCCACTTTCAGTAAGGATGGACATACACCCCCCTACCGAGGTACCACAGCATTAAGCAGAGTGTGCATAATGTTGTGAGTGTCGAATGGTGGTATTGATTTAATGAGATACATCATTATTTTACTCTGTACTGTAAAGGATGAAAAAGTAGCGTAGAGGGGAGAAGGGGGTCTATAGATCGGTATGTAATATACGGTGTAACATAGGATACGGCCACATTATCGTGGACGATACGGTATCCAGCTGACAGTACGAACGAGAAGCCCTAAAATTTTCAACAATCCGAGCGAAGTATGGGAAGCATATGATATATCGAATAATATGGAATAAACAATACTCCGTAGATATCACAAAGTCCTCCTAGTCCTCCGATTTAGTACACGCCATCATCTGATACTCACAAGTTCCCCAACATTGAGTCCATGCAGAGAGACCCACCGATCGCCGTGAAACCGAGGCATGTGAGGGTCTTCGTTTAGCAGTGCCATACGAGCAGAGATTATAAGATTAAAGACGCTCTCATCTTCACTCCTCCACTCCACTTCTCCCCAGTATCTCCCCTCTCACCTTTTGTCGCCACCATGAATGGTCACGCAAATGGTTCTGCTGGCTCTGCTGCCACCGACTTCGACGTGATTATTGTCGGCGCTGGTATCTCCGGTATTAACGCCGGATATCGCGTGCAAGACCAGCTGCCCGGTTTCTCCTACTCCATCCTTGAGGCTCGCGATGACCTTGGCGGTACTTGGGATCTCTTCAAATACCCTGGTATTCGCTCCGACTCCGATCTCTTTACTTTTGGTTTTGCCTTCAACCCATGGGACCGCAGCAATCCCATCGCTGAGGGCAGCGCCATCAAATCCTACGTACGCGACACCGCTGAAAAGTTCGGCATCGCGAAGAACATCCGTTTCCGCAATCGCCTCAATTCAGCCGATTGGTCTTCTACCGAGAATGTCTGGTCCTTGAACGTTGACGCAGATGGTACCCCGACCACTCTTCGCGCCCGCTTCGTCATCTTCGGAACGGGCTATTATAATTATCACCAACCTCTCAAGGCCAACATCCCCAACCTGGATGATTTCCAGGGCCAAATCATCCACCCGCAATTCTGGCCCGAGAACCTCGATTACACCGGCAAGAAGGTCGTCATCATTGGCTCCGGCGCCACGGCTATAACTCTCCTCCCAAATCTCGCGGAAAAGGCCGACCGCGTCACGATGCTCCAGCGCAGTCCCACATATATTCTCTCCCTGCCCAACCGCACCAATTCCCGCTGGCTCGCCTACCTACTCCCTTCGTCGCTGTACCACCGACTGCAGCGGTTTATCTGGATCTACACCTCGCGCATCTTCTTCCTCTTCTGCCAGCGTTTCCCAGGATTTTCCCGCTGGATCTTAAGGCAGAATGTTTCCCGCCAATTACCCTCTCACGTTACCCACGACCCCCACTTCAAACCCCGCTATAACCCCTGGGACCAGCGATTGTGCGTCTGCCCGGATGGTGATTTCTTCCAGAGTCTACGCCGGGGCAAAGCCGATGTTCGCACCGACACAATAAAGACGGTTACTAAGCGCGGCATCGAGCTCAACTCGGGCGACTCATTGGACGCGGATATCATTATTACCGCGACGGGTTTGCAGTTGCAGATTGCGGGTGGTTCGAATCTCACTGTTGACGGGAAGAAGGTCGAGATCGGATCCAAGTTCCTTTGGAACGGGGTTATGTTGCAGGATCTTCCGAATGCTAGTTTCATTATTGGTTACACGAATGCCTCGTGGACTCTTGGCGCGGATGCGACGGCCCAGTTCATTACTCGTCTGCTCCGCACTATGAAGGAGCGGAATCTTGTTTCGGCCACGCCCCGCATGGGTGTTAACGAGGAGAAGACTCTTGAAGAGCGTCCTTTGTTGAATCTTAACTCGACTTATGTTACGGTCGCTTCGAAGCATTTGCCCATGGCGGCTGATAAGGGACCTTGGCAGGCACGTGATCACTACAGCAAGGATATCAAGTTTGCGACGAACGGCGATTTCGAGACTGGAATGGATTATGTCAAGGGGATGTGCAGTTGAGGCCTAAACTGGCTTAGATTGGCTTGGTTTGGTTTGGTGATTGTATATGATTTGTTCGGATATACCAGTTATGATTGGCGTTTGGTTTGTATATTTTAAATGGTTTGGCTTGACTCAAGTGAAGTGCGGCCATTTGCCAGTGGTGAGTCATTTATATCCATTGATAGAGTGAATATAGCATTTTGAACACATACAGCGGATTGTCTCTTCGTAGTAGTACCACCTAGTAACTAGTGAAGCAGGGAGAAATGCTCGAAGTGGTACGATCAGAACGTGCGAGTTCCAAGTTTGAATGGGACATGGATATGATGGCATGGGCGCCACAACCATCACCATGTAGCGCTGTGGTAGACAGCAGGATAAATTTCGAGATAGGAAAGTGTATAGTGGCATTGAAGCTATTCCTGTTCTCTATAACGAAGGCCAGAAATCTAAATGGAACTAGCCTAATATTGTAGTTCTTACCAATCACCGTTTCTCCTATATCAGCCCCTTCTCCCATTACATTAGTTATAGCCGCAACCCGTCCAGTAGGTTGGAGAGGGCATTTAAGCTGACCGCCCTAGAGGTCTGGCGTGTTTTATGTTTTTTTTTGATCTCTTAACTTCCGGCGCAACCCATGGCTTTAAGTTCTTATAGTCAAGCATAAATAATGACGTAACGTGCCAGGCGCTTGTTAAAACAAACAGAAATGGGCTTTTTTTCCTAATTTCAACAAAAGAATTCTCAGTCATAAACTTGAAGTTTTCGATCACGATGCTAGTGGTGAACCAAAGTCGCCCCACTGCTGAATGGCCAAAATGTTTGTTATGCGGAGTACAGATGCCAGGACGGAGAGTTCCAATGACATACTTTCCATTTAATGCGAATATGTTATCGGCTTTTTGTGATCGAAAGAAGTGGAAAACTTCCTACAAGAACTACAGGAACCATGTCATGGTTTCTTCCAAAGAAGTCGAAAGTACATATATCGACAACTCTCCACATTTGAGTTCCCACCTTTTCCGCGCGAGTGAGTCTGTTTTGGCCATTTAGTTTATTGTCATTCAAGTTGCTGATCTGTGTAGTAATCGAAGAAACAAGCTCCAGGTGCCGTCTATCGGGGATAAGTCTGATGAGCGGCTGCCATTATTCGGACCCAGGGGCCTATTACGTCCCCACGGACCCTGCTATGGCTTGTACCAGCAGCAAGATTGACTGCCAATTTGACAAAAAGAAATTTACTAGGTTTTCACCTTTGAATATCGAGCGAGAAAAGCCGGCTGAATATGAAGGCCGAGTAGTTGGATATGTTGTCCATGCCCACTGTTGGACACTCTTTGGCCATGTTCTGGAAACAGAATTCACAGCATCAAAACTGTCAGAACTCGCCGCAGCGTCTCGGAAGTACTGGCTTCAAGGAGATGGGAAAGTTGACAAATTCCACATCAAATCCCTTTGGCCAACCGGGCTCCAGGTCGAACCTTATCAAAGTCCCCTATTTCTTCCCGCAATAGGAGATATCATCGACCGGTTCCAATTCCTATCGTTCACAAGACCAAGAGTCGCTTCCATATTCAGTCAATTACCTATGGATATTACTGTTTTGATTGCAGATTTGGTTTGCCCCATAAGATATAACTTTGACGATGTCAGGGATACGGAAAATCTGGTTTCTATATGTCAGTGGCAATTGCCCCGATCTTTCTGGAGCCTTCGGTTGAATGAGAACACACTTTTTGAGTTAAATTCCCTCAGAGGGTCCAAGGCTTTACTGGATTGGCAGCTACTCCGTCTCGCGCTGATGAGACTTGTTGCTGATGAATCTTCATATGTGTCAATTGGTCTTTCGATCCGGGCGCGGGCAATGGAAAGGATGAATGGTATCAAAAAGATGTATCTGACCGATGAAGAATGCCATCCTTAGGCTGCTTTTTAAATGTTTGCTTTCAAATTTGCTGAGAGGTTTACTGTATTCGAGATAATTGAAAAATAGAAAACGGATCGTAGAAGTCTTCGATACAGAAAGGAATATCATTATTATCGTATCTCAATAACCCATGACTGGGACAGCCTAATAATTATCCTTTTTCAAACCCCCCTGAATTAAGTGTTTTTAAAACATATCACCGATCTACCTTCTCTCCGTATCTTCTTCAGCTCTTGCCTCAAATCCACTGCCAGTGGGCAGCATGTTGAGCTGATCTTCCTCGCGATCCAACTTGTAGTTGGTCAGCCAGAAGCCAGCGCAGCCGATGAATGCAAGAATTGCGGTAAGGGCATAGTTCCAAACAAGCAGAGGGTCGGCAGACAGTCCAACCATTGCCTGTCCGATAGCGGCAGAAATGGCGTTCATGAACAGTGCCACGGCCTGCACGAGGGAACGCATGTTCTTCGGGGCTTTGGTGAAGGCATATTCAAGGGATGTCACCGACGCGAAAATCTCAGATAGACCACCGAGAATGTAGGTCAATGCCTGAACCCAAACCGAAATGTCACTATATTTGCCCTCGACCTCCAGGCAGTAGTTGGCTTCCTTTCCGCAAGGTCCAACCTTGTAAATGTAGTACTGGGTCACGGTTGCAACGATCATACCAAGACCGGCAGCAAAGAAACCAGCTGTGATTCGCTTAAGCGGGGTGAAGTTGAATCCCATTCTGCGAAGACCTGGATAAATGAAGCGATCCATGATGGGGATGAAGATGATCAAAGCAAATGGGTTGAGGTTGTTGACGATGTCGTTGGGGACGCCACCCAATCTCATGGTTGCGGCTTGGGAGGTTAGGTTGTTCAGCATTTGGTTGTAGGCTAGCCAGTACAGCGGATACCAGAGGAAGACCTGGCAGGCTTTGAGACCTCGGCGCACCTCATCCACCCACGCATCATCGAAGGTCATCCACACAGGCTTGTTCTCGCCCAGTCTGCTCGGCTTAACATGGTCCCAGAACTCACGGTCGTTGCCACCGCTGTTGCTCTTGAACCAATTGATGGGGTTCCAGCTCCAACGACCCTTCATCGCGAGCCTCCAGAGACGGAATGCCTTTCCGTAGACAGAGCCAGTGGGTTGGACGAGGTTGTAGTTCTTACGGCAAAGGATGAGCACCAGTGGGCAAAGGCAGAACATGCAAGTGGGAAGCAGGTAAGATAGCCAGAAGCCGATGTAGCGCTCTGCATAAACCATGCTGATCTGACCGGTCAGAGAGCCGATATTGATCATGAGGTAGAAGTAGAGGTAGATGCGAGCGATAGTCGCAGCAGGGTCGACAATAACGCGTTCGCCACTCTTCAACGTCTTAATGTAGGGCTTCTCATCCGGATACTGCTCTGCGATGAGGGGGAGATGTTGGATCTAAAAGGTTAGCAATGTCGGTGCAAAGTATCTTTATTCGAGAGACTCACTTGAAACCACCGGTTCCGATGCCCATAATTACCAGTCCAATAGAGAAAGCACCAATCGAGCCACCGGGCTTAGAAATAACCTGGGGGATGGCTGAGATGATTAGGATAGTATGACCGACTAGAGCGCAGGCGATGGAAGCAAAAATAGTGCGGAAACGACCCCAGTATTGATCAGCAACCCAAGCACCAGCGAGGGGCATAATGTAGGACCAAAACTGGTTGACTGTTGGTTTAGAAGAGTCAGCTCTGTCTCATCATGGCCTTGATGTTTATTCGTGATGCTAAAACTCACACAACGTTAATCCAGTTGAGGCACGTTGCCCCATGCCCAGAGCACCTGGGACACCATTGGAGAAATCAGTTGTGAGAGCACCGGAGGTGGAGCCTGGGGGCAAAGGGCGCTGAATAAAGTTGACGACTGCGGAAAGTTAGTACCGACTTTTACCGAAGTGTTTTCACTGGTCTGCGCTTACAAACTGCTGTCGTTCCATAGTAGGAGAAACGTTCGCACAACTCGACAAAAGCGACGGTAAACGTCTGCCAGGGTAGCTTTCCAGAGACACGACGCAGGGTGGCCAACTCCTCATCGGTTGGGATTGTCTTCAAGTCATCGTCGTCACCGACATATGATTGGGAAACAGGCTCAATGCTGAAGTCCTGCTTCTCACTGACGGCGAGGTTGTGTTTCTCGTCCACGATGTCGTGGGCGATGGCCTTGGATTTGGCAATCTCGGCCTGGTCGACAGGGTCGGAGACATTCATCGCAGGCAGATGTGCACTACTCAGTGCAAAACAGTATCGTGAAGTGCAAATAAAAGTGGTTGCAATGCGAGAATGCGACGGATGAGGAGAAGATCAGAGGGAGGTGGGCTTGGAATGCTTTTAAAGTAGACCAGGAGGTGCGGCACAACTCGACCAGCCACCACGGTTTAGCATCAGTCTAGTGCGATTTCAGCTTGTGACACCAATCTCGAGTGGCCATATTTTGTCTCCCCAATGTGCGTCTTAGACTAGTCCATGGTCGCCATCGGTCGGGCCCCCCCCAGCGGCGTTGTACTTCGAATCTAGCCAAGCCAGGCACCGTCGGTATCCGCTTGACTTTTTCCTTTCATGGCTTGCCTGAATTTTATTTCGATATCTTTGTCTGTGCCACAAGCTTGCCACTGGCTGTAGACAGTCGCGTGCCGCCGCGTATCGCAGGATCTTGCCGGGATGGCACAATCGGGGATCTAGGCGGAGATTGGCTGCTGGTGAGCTATTGGCCCGCTGCGATGGTGCTATGATTGCGACTGGCCAACACCAGCGCCAAGAACTCTTGGCTTGACCTTGGCTGGCAGGACACAGTGCAACATCACAGCTTGGCCGGGATATTCATTGGAGCAAAAGGCGGGCAGCTTTATGAGTGGCGGGCGATAACCCTATTTCAGCATATCCCGGCAGGGGAAGAGAACTTGTGGATCCTTTCATTTGCCAGCTCTATCCTAACCATTTGCCACGCTTATCCTGTCCTTTGACTTCTTTGATAAAGCTATTTCTGAATGTAGAAGGTGGAATAGTCGACACATGACCATGAATTGCAGCTAAACTTCTAGAACACGCCACAGTGAGCAGGATTTTGGACCCTGCATCAAGAAACCCCATGTCGACCAACATCTAGCGTATAATAGCGCGAGATAACTCTCCTATTGATACGAATTCAAAGGGCTCCACTCGGGTTCAACCGAGCATTGGCATTATCGTTAGTTTCGGCCTTTCCTTCATTGGCCGCACGGGCATTGGCATTAGCATTTCCTCGTGCACTCCCCTCTAGCCCGTAGAGTACATCCTCGGACATGCCTGGGATTACCATCTCGAATGTCTCACGCACCACCGCATATTGGTAGTACCCACATCGTGCGATCGGCTGCGTCTTGCGAACATCCAGCAATCCATCTGTCAGAACTTCGTCCCGGATATGCACGGCCACTACCCGTCCAATAACCACATCGACGGTTCCCATCGGCGGATTGCCTGGTAAGCGAACGGTTGAGTGATACTCGCATTCGAACTTAACCGGCGATTCGGCCACCATGGGGACATCCATCGTGCGTGCGGCCTCCTTGCTCACCCCCGCCCGTGTGAACTCGTCCACTCCATAAGGGACCTGCTCGGCGGAGATGTTGACCGCTTCGCGCAGATCCCAGGTCGCGAGGTTCCAAACAAATCGCCCCGTTTGTTCGGCATTTATCACCGTGTCTTTGCGTGTGCCCGATACTGTCTGGTTCGATGAAAACATAACATATGGCGGGTCGAAAGTAAGGTTGTTAAATTGCGAGTAAGGGGCCAGGTTGGCTTGGCCATCGTTGTTCTTGGTCGAGATCCATCCGATCGGGCGGGGGACCACGCAAGCCTAAGCAGATATCAGCATGGATTTGGAAAGCATTGGTGGCAATTGGAAGAGTCCACCTTGAACGGGTCATGCGGGAGGTTGTGCTCTGTCTTTCCGGGCTCATAAAACATTTTGCTGAGATGCTAAGTGTCTGGCAACTTTCTGTTATGTTGCCAATTGTAGCTGATTTATACCCCGCAGAAGCTTGCTTTGCACTGCCGATTCCGACTCCGAAGCCGCGATCCACTCACTGGCTGCATAGAATGTGGAGCTCGGTGTCGGTTCTCGGCTTCGGACCTCGCTGTGGATACCATCTCCATAATGTTGCAGGACCTTCTACTCAACTGTGTACTTGTATCTGTTACTCACAATGGAGTCAGCCGGCGCCTCGGATTCGGATCACTTCGGTCTTGGGTTTACTACTTGGGCACGGCATACCGATGTAGGTCCGAGTTTTCCGGTGAGCTACTTAAATATCGGCTCTCTCCAAGACAATTCAAATTCAATCTACAATTGACAATTGCACAATAATATTGTATACGTCATTACCATCTTTTATTATTAATACTATCATGGCGCATCTCAATTTCCGCACTTTCGTCGAAGCCCTCAAGGCGGATGGCGATCTCGTCGAAATTAACGAGCCAATCGACCCCAATCTTGAAGCTGCAGCTATCACTCGCCGCGTGTGCGAAACCGACGACAAAGCGCCTCTCTTCAACAACCTCATCGGTAACCAAAATGGTCTTTTCCGCATCCTCGGTGCACCGGCCTCTCTCCGTTCCTCGCCCAAAGATCGCTATGGCCGTCTTGCCCGCCATTTGGCTTTACCACCCACCGCGTCGATGCGCGAGATCCTCGACAAAATGTTGTCTGCATCGGAACTGCCTCCCATCGCCCCGCGCATTGTCGAGTCTGGCCCCTGCAAGGAAAACGTTCTCCTCGACGGTGAATTCGATCTGACTTCTCTCCCTGTCCCCATGATCCATCAACACGACGGTGGAAAGTATATCCAAACCTACGGTATGCATATCGTTCAATCGCCCGACGGCTCCTGGACCAACTGGTCCATCGCGCGTGCAATGGTTCACGACAAAAACCACCTCACTGGGCTCGTCATTGAACCCCAGCATATCTGGCAGATCCACCAAATGTGGAAGAAGGAGGGTCGCGATGTCCCCTGGGCTTTAGCTTTTGGTGTTCCCCCTGCCGCCATCATGGCGTCCAGCATGCCCATTCCAGACGGTGTGTCCGAGGCTGAATATGTCGGTGCCATGTCGGGCGAGGCACTTGAATTGGTCAAATGCGACACGAATAATTTGCACGTTCCTGCAACGGCCGAAATTGTGTTAGAGGGTACCCTTTCGATCACTGAGAAGGCACCTGAAGGTCCTTTCGGCGAGATGCACGGTTATGTCTTCCCGGCCGACACCCATCTCTGGCCCAAGTACAAGGTCGATCGCATCACATACCGTAACAATCCAATTCTCCCCATGTCCGCCTGTGGCCGTCTCACCGATGAGACGCACACAATGATCGGATCGCTCGCCGCAGCTGAAATTCGCAAAATCTGCCAGAAAGAGGGACTGCCCATCACAGACGCATTTGCACCCTTTGAGTCGCAGGTCACCTGGGTTGCCCTCCGCGTTGATGGTGCGAAGCTTCGTGCGCTCAAGACTACCCCGAAGGAGTTCTCCAAGAGAGTTGGTGATCTCGTTTTCAACTGCAAGCCGGGTTACACAATTCACCGCCTGGTATTGGTCGGTGAAGATATCGATGTTTACAACGGGAAGGATGTTATGTGGGCCTTTTCGACGCGCTGCCGACCTAATCTCGATGAGACTTTCTTCGAGGATGTGCGTGGATTCCCTCTTGTTCCGTATATGAGCCATGGCAACGGCTCCCCGGTTCAGGGTGGCAAGGTTGTTTCTGACGCGCTGATGCCGACTGAGTATACGACCGGTCGTGACTGGGTCCCAGCCGATTTTGACCATTCGTACCCGGAAGAATTGAAGGAGAAAGTGAAGGCGAAGTGGGTCCAGATGGGATTTAGAGACTCGGAGTAGAGAAAAAGATTTTTTTTATATTATTGGTACTAGAATATAGATAAATAGATTTCCAAGTTTTCATTTCGGATTGAAATTCTGTGTGAAGAGCACTGCACCAGTGTAAAATCTCTTCAGGGGTTTATCTACCACTGTAACTTATCTCTTGAAGCTTTCAAGTTCTGTTGCCTCCCTAGACGCACTTCCAGCTCTCCGGGACTTTCTCATTGCCACCAATGTAGACTTGTTTCTCTGGGTAGGGGCAAAGTGGCCTTTGTCGAAGCACCCCCGAAGTAGGATCGGTCGAGTTCGTCCATGTAGTTGCAATAACTTGCTTTATCACCATTCCGTTCTCGACCCAATCCATTAGAGCGAGTAACGCGTCATGCTGAGGATCCTCTAGCCTATTCCGTCCCGCCCATGCGTTCGATCCAAGTCTACTTGCTTGAGAGCCACCAGATATGAACCAGGGGGCTCCAACGGGCGTGTCTCCTACATGCTCCATTCCCGGAATGTAGAATAACCGGAACCAATCTCGCACGGCATCCAAGCCCCCAAGAAGAGCCAGAGTGCGCTCGTAAAACACACCGGATGATCGAGGCACAATGCCGCCGTCAGCAAGCCCGTGAAAGAGGAAAAGCTTACCACCACGGTCGCGGAATTTGTCGAGTGAGCTATAATCCCACGCCGTGCATTCACCTGGGTCGATTTTCTCGGCGAGTGAAACAATGCTATCGTTGTACTGCTCCCAAGTCCAATCGGGGTCGTTTAGTACGAAGTTCTGGATATAACCGTCTCCAAGCCCGGATGGTGCATCGCCAGAGAGAAGCATTGACCAGGTTGCCTCGGAACCTAATTCCATTCCGGGAAAAATAAGTTGTCCGTCAACAGTGTAGTTGGCATAGATTTCCTGCAGTGTCTGGAGCTGAGGGGCCGTAAGGCAGGCCGAGGCATTGGCCGTCTCGGTATCGCAAGCCAATTCTAAGCTTTCCAAGTTACACTCACTAGGAGAAGACACAATGCCGTCGACGACTCCATCGAGAATATCACAGTGCTTGACAACTTGGTTCGCGATAACGGCAAATAGATCACTGGGAATGTGATTGGGACTTGATACGGGTAAGTTGTAAGTTGCGACTTTGCTGGTCCATGGCTGCTGGTGTGAAGTCCACCATGCCGGGGCGCCAATAAGAACACCATCAAAGGAGTCGGCATGAAGCTGCACTTCCTTCAGGCCTTGACGGCCACCCGTCGAAGAGCCAGTATAATACGAATACTGAATGTCTCGAAGATAGAAGGCTTCGGTCAGGGCTTTTCCAAGCACGACCGACCCGTGAATTGCTCGGAAGCCAAAGTCCTTGCGCTTTTCCTCATTATCAAGTGCCCATGAGACATCTAGACTAGTCGAGTTGTGGCCAGTATCCGTCGATACAACGGCGTGACCATAGGTCACACCGTTACCCATGCTTAACCAGTTGATGCCACCGGCAAATCCACCATTGCCGACTGCGAGAAAGCGGTCGTTCCATTGAGAAGGTAAAAATAGGCCAAAGCGGTATGAAGAAATAGCGGACGTGGTGACATTAACAATTACAGCGCAGAGCTCGGGGAGATAGGTTGAGTTGGAGGGATAGGCAATATCAGGAGCTCCCTCGCCGTAGCTACCCCCAGCTTCCACAAAGGCTGTGGATAACACGGTGGCTTCTTTGGGCAGGGCATGCTGAAAATTAAATTTCGTGCAAGTACTGCGATGGCTAAATGCTTCGCTTAGCGCGACAAGTGATGTCACAAGAGAAGCGTATAGTGTGGTACATCTCATGTTGATAGCAACTGAGGATAAATCTTTAGATGAAAGAGCGAAGGGGCACCAGTTAGACCACTGGCAGAGTACGCTGTGGGATCAGATAACAGGATCTGGATGCGGTAGCTACTGAATAAATAGAGAATTGAAATCGAGTGTGAGGGACCATCCAACCCCACATAACCCACTTCAAACCAGCATCATGTACCCCGCGATATCATGAGACTGTCTCTATACCAGGCTAGGTATCACCTGCACTTCTCTATCTTGCAGCTGGATCAATATAAAATGAGACAGTGGCTAGCATGAACTTGACCTTAACTCTAGAGCTGTACATTCCTTGTTCCAACCTATATCAGCATTCGCCAAATAAACGCAACCTTGTGTACTAATCGGATGTTCGTCGGATCTGTGGGCAAATGAAACACTAAATAGTTCTATGTATGTCGGAAAACGGACTGGGATCAACCAGTACCAGTATGAGAAGCGGAAAAGTAAACTCTGTATTTATAAAATGCAACTAAAGATGTGGGGCTAACTCAGGGTGTATAACGAGGCGCTGCAGATGATGTGGGACATATGTCTAAGATCCACAGGCTCAAAATTGACCCTTCAAACAGTGACAAAAATCAAGCCGAAACTTTCTATGGGTGTTATTAAGAAATATAAAAGTGAATACTGCCTATATATGCGAATCTGGCGGTGAGATGAGAAACTCACTGGAGGTGTAAACTTGGAATTTGACATGGTGGGGGTGCAAGTATATATTCCTACCACGTACTGAGCACACAGTGACAATTTTGGCAATCATTAACAGCAACTTGAACTCGAAATTGCTTGGGGAATTACCTAGACGTCCTAGAATATCCCCACCCAATAAGCCTTTAGCCGGCAAGAATTGATAGAATTCCATTGTTATCTATCATTGAATATCACGATTTGCAGCATTCCAGCCTCGCCGTCACCGCAAACTGGCCCGTGCACGGAACCGGAACACTCCGAGTCAACTTGAACCACTCAACTTTTGCAGCTGGTTATCTTCCAAGATTTATTCTGAGGATTTACATTTCGGTGTCTCGGAACTGACATATATGAACCTTTCGCACTCATCGCACCGGTAAAGCATCCCAGAAACGCCAATCCCGCTAAGTAGTAGCTGGCCTTGCAGCAATCTCGGACCTCGGCATGAATGTCAGCCAAGATGAGGCAGACCGAGTTCTCCGACTCAAATCCCGAGAACGCGAAACACACGCTTGTTATCCCTGTCGGAAGCGCAAAGTAAAATGTGACGGTCACCATCCATGTCGGACCTGTGTCCGTCGCAAGCACCCACACATCTGCTCGTATCAATTGCGTGGCCGAGGGGGGCCATCATCTCCTCTAACTGCACCAGGGAGCGTGCGGAATGCGAGGTCGCCGGAGGGCTCGGTCGGTCAAAATATTGATGTTAATATTGATGCCGATGCTCATGTACCTGCGGAGGCTGGCGATGTGCGACCTGATGATGCTTCGAAGAATTATGTGTATTCGGGGGATAACTCCGTCGTCTCGATCCTGCGACTGAGAGCGTCCGGTGCGAACGACTCCGTTGCCAGGGAGGTTGGATCGGTACTGGGTCTTCAGAACACTTTCAGTTCGTATCCATTCATGGATTCTAAAACACCCCAAGAGCGCTGGCATTCGTTGCTGGGCATTTTGCCGCAACGGACGGAAGTTTTGAAGTATGTCCCTCGCATCCCATCATGAGCATATAAGCTAACCAGCAGGTTCTTTCACTATTATCGTGTTACTGCGTACCCGTTCAATCCGATACTAGCAGACATGGATCGCTTTGAGTCAGACTTGTGCACTTATCTGAATGCCCATGCAAATGGGGACCTCCATGACCCAGAAAAAATCACGGAGCGTTGGGCAACGGATAAATCGATCGGCCACATCAGCTTGCTGCTAGCTACTTTGGCAGCTGGCTCACATTACTCCGATATCGAGTATCCGCAGCGCTTGGAACTTTCCACAGACTTTGGTAAGTTTTGGTCCCTGGCATTATTGAGCACGCTGACCATCCATCAGCACGCCGGTCATTTCATGCACTCCGCCTGGCAAATTTTCTTTTTCGCCCATCATTGGATATAATTCAGGCGCTATTAATATTGGGGAATACACTACAAAATATGGGCCAGTCGGATGCGGCCTGGGCATTGCTAGGCACGACCATTCGATTGGCGCAGACTATGGGGCTTCATACTGAGCGCAGTACCATTCATTGGCCTGAGTATGTGCGAACAAAGGCAAGGGCCTTATGGTAAGAAGAACTTCAAGCAAGGTCATGGTTATGAGAATAACTAAACTTTTTAGGTCGACAATTGTTTGGCAAGATAGCCTACTCTGCCTCTGTTATGATCGCCCTCCCATTGTATCAGTCTCCGGATGGCCCCTTGACAACTCATTCGTTGAGAGACACGGCCTTTCATATACAGATATCATGCATTTTATATGCAGAGTTGGACTGGATATTCTAGGACCTGAAGGTTTAGGCATTACTGCCGCCGACCGAGGAATCGAATACTTACAGCACATTGACCGCGTCCGTCAAAAAGCCCAACCCCATCTGCATTCTCGCGAAAATTGCACAACATTGCAGCACCACCTCGAACACCTAGCTTTGAAAATGCACACCTCCTTTTGTGTATCTGTCGCCTGTCGTCCAGCCATGAAGCAAGCGCAGGTACAGCCGCCACATTCGGATATTCTACGCTCACGCGCGAAGGGAAGTCTTATTGACGCTTCGAGAGCATTCCTCGACTTCCAAGCGCTCAGTGTTGTTCCACTGCGCAGTTGGTCTATGGTACATACTGTATTAAGCTCGACCCTTTTGCTCTGCATGTGGGAGGAAACTCGCAATGACCCCGAAGGCCGCGACCTGCAGCAAAGAGTGATCGATGTATTTTCATCCTCTGACTCACGATCGGATGATGGGACAATGTCGGAGCAAGACCAACAATGGCTGTCCGCTCGTCATATTCGTGCCTTGGTGACACTCCGAGCTGCCCTAGATAGGGAGGGAGATCGATCGGCCGAAAATGAAAACGCTGCAACAGGACCACATCCAGTTCCTTTTGATGGGTATGTTGTTTATGTTGTCTTGAAAGAGCATTGCTGATCATGCAGAAATTTTGAAAGTTATCTTGAAATGCCAAATGCCTTCGATATTTCCCCGGTCACGTATCTTGACTCGATTATGAATGGTGTGTATGACCCGCGAGAAAGCTTGCTCCTTGACTAACACTAGCAGTGCCGATGTTCGACTTCACTCAGGAGAATGGATTTTTGTAACGGAAAAAAGTATTATGATGTCCATAATGAAATAACACAATTTTGACAAATAAGCCATTAGCTATTGTTGCCATTTTCCCTTAAGCTAGCTTGCGTTTCATGGTATTGAGCTAGCAGCACATAGCTCCAAGTAGTGCAATCGCTCAATCGTGCCTTATTGGTCTAACTTTTTAAAATTGGGCGGATAACTCGGATAACTGAGACAGCACCACTATTTCCGGTTCTGAATTCCTTCTGTGCCCTTGTATTCGGTGGTTTTCTTCCAGGCCGCGTGTTCGGGGCTCGGCATTGGGGCTCGGTCTTGCTCGGAGTATGAAAATCGGGCCGATCAGCATTCACTCTGGCACTCACCTTGCCGATTCTTGTCAAAGCCGACCGAGTTTTGTTTTGCCACAGCTTCTTATAAGATAGCTAGTTTGGTTCTCTTTTCGCATCTTCATCTATCACTCACCATCGCATTATACAGTCCTGTATACAAACACTGCCTCCAAACACTACATACCAGTACCATCATACAACGACAGAAACACCTACCTCTCCCATGCTTTCTCTACTCTCCGGCACACAGACTCCCCAGTCCGGGCGAGCCTCACCTGGAAGCTCTCACGGCCTAGAAACAATGCACACCGAACACCGTCATGCACCGGCAGCTTCCCGCAAACGTATCGTCGTCGCGATGACCGGGGCTACCGGCGCCGCCCTTGGGATCAAAGTCCTCATCGCCCTGCGACGCCTGAATATTGAAACACACCTTATCATGAGCAAATGGGCCGAAGCAACTATAAAATACGAGACAGATTACCACCCATCAAACGTCAAGGCTCTGGCCGATCACGTCCACAACATCAATGACATGGCGGCGCCAGTAGCGAGTGGCTCATTTAAAACGGATGGGATGATTGTTGTGCCTTGCAGTATGAAGACCCTTGCAGGAATTCATAGCGGGTTCTGTGATGACTTGATCTCACGCACGGCGGATGTTATGCTTAAAGAGCGGCGCAAGCTTGTTCTCGTTGCGAGGGAGACACCGCTGAGTGATATTCATTTGCGGAACATGCTCGAGATCACGCGCAGCGGAGCTATCATTTTCCCACCAGTTCCAGCTTATTATATCCGGGCTGCATCGGTTGATGATCTGATCAATCAAAGTGTGGGGCGCATGTTGGATTTGTTTGATTTGGATACGGGGGATTTCGAGAGGTGGGACGGCTGGCAGACTGAGAAGTGAGCCGCTGGAATGACCAGAACAAGGATGTACTGCTGGGGTGGTAGTTTGCATGGAATACTCGGCGTTTTAGGGAAGAATAGATTGGGTACCACACCTTCACGTGAAAAAACATGTATACAAAGTCTATAATCTACAAAATAAAGGCAAGGATGCATATTCCTGGCCTCTTCTGGTCGGTTCTCCGGAACACACGCGGCTTGGGTAGGATTCTCGCTTCTGCAGCCCTCAGATAACTGGACTGCGCAAGTGAATACGGTTGAATACGGTTGGACCCTGCTGCCTAGAGTTTCCAATAGTTGACTGAGCCAAATGACTGTCCATCGTCAACCATCGTCCTCCTGTTCCTTTCTTCACGGTTGCGCCCAAGACCCTTTTTATCTCCGATCTGTCAGGAACAAGGGGCATGCCAATAGAACCTCCTCGAGTCAAACTTCTGCATCTTGCCACTCGATCTTCGCGGATGACTGTCGTGAATGGGCGTATAGTATACGACGGCGATCAAACCGAGTCCACCCGTCGATCTGCAGTTCCGCTTTCTCAGTGGTAGGGATGTTCCCCACACCCCCAGGATTCGCGGGGCCGATGCGGTCATCTTGCATTTCAGCGTTCGTGCGCATCAGTATTCTAGTCAGCCGACTGCCCTGGGCGCGAGTTTTTGTCCTATCATACTGATTCTTCAACACGCACCCAAGGCGCTTACGCTTTGGCCTTCTTCATCGACCTACCAGATTTTGCCTTAACATCCGTTTACATCTAGCGAGCCCCAATATGCTCAATGTTGACTCGCGCATGGCCGTCTCCGGTGAAGATTCCTTTCTTAGAATAGATGCAACTTGATTCCGATGCCGAAACCCCCTCTCCTCCACCGCGGGGTCAATTTGAACCTCGCGATGATTTTTCTCAACCGAGGAACCACATGTTTATTCCTTCTCCATTGAGCTTGTCAATGAACAACGGAGCCGTAGAGTGATGTTTAAAAGCAAAGTCTTTGCCCCTTGAGGGATGACAAAGGAGCACCAGATCTCATAAGTATTCTCTAGACTCCATTCAAGATGATGTTGGTGCAGTTAACTCTATATTTCCTGCTCGCCCTGCCCGCAACTTTTGCTGCACCAGCACAACAGAAGAGAGCAACTGCCCCAACTGTCACCATCTCGAAGCCTGCAGCTACAGTTATTGGCTCCTCCTTGAACAATGTGGACAGTTTCAACGGAATACCCTTTGCGCAGCCACCCACTGGATCTCTTCGACTCAAGCCCCCGAAGGCCATCTCATCTTCTCTCGGGACAGTTAAAGCTACAGGAACCGCACGATCCTGCCCGCAGTTCTATTTCTCTACTGATACTGCTGGCTTCCCTGTATCCGTTTTGGGAGAGCTAGCAAATATTCCGATATTTCAAACCGTTAGCAATGCCGGCGAAGATTGTTTGACCGTCAGTATTCAACGTCCGTCAGGAACAGCTGCAAATGCAAAACTCCCCGTTCTCGTTTGGATATTCGGTGGCGGGTTTGAACTTGGATCAACCCAGATGTATGATGGTTCCAGTCTCGTGTCCGCCTCTGTGAGCCTTGATATGCCCATCATTTTTGTTGCGATGAACTATCGCGTTGGTGGATTTGGTTTCATGCCTGGGTCAGAGATATTGAAAGATGGCTCTGCAAACCTGGGTCTTCTCGATCAACGCCTTGCCCTGGAATGGGTGGCAGATAATATCGAAGCATTTGGGGGAGATCCATCCAAGGTGACTATCTGGGGTGAGTCTGCAGGTTCTATATCTGTTTTCGACCAGATGGCCCTGTATGATGGCGATAATACTTACAATGGGTCGCCGCTGTTCCGAGCGGGAATCATGAACTCTGGAAGCATTGTGCCCGCAGACCCTGTTGACGGTACCAAGGGCCAAGAGGTATACGACACCGTTGTTGAATCGGCAGGATGTGGATCTGCTACCGATACTCTGGAATGTCTCCGCAGCCTGGATTATACCAAGTTCCTAAACGCAGCGAACTCTGTTCCTGGAATTCTTTCATACAATTCCGTCGCATTATCGTATCTTCCTAGACCGGATGGAACGGTCTTGACCGACTCTCCCGAGAATCTGGTTACCAGTGGCAGGTATGCCTCTGTTCCTTTCATCGTGGGGGACCAAGAAGATGAAGGGACCATCTTTGCTCTCTTCCAAGCTAGCATCACCACAACGTCTCAGTTGGTGGATTATTTGAAGAATATATTCTTCCAGGGGGCTTCCGAGGCTCAGCTGAAGGAGCTTGTAGCGACATATCCAGATGTCACTACTGATGGATCCCCATTCCGCACGGGTATTTTCAATAACTGGTATCCACAGTATAAGCGCATTGCAGCAATCCTTGGAGATCTCACCTTTACAATTACTCGGCGCGCGTTCCTCAAGCTGGCGACGGAGGCAAAACCAGATGTAGCCGCTTGGTCTTACCTCTCTAGCTACGATTATGGCACCCCAATCCTCGGAACATTCCATGGGTCCGATATTCTGCAGGTCTTTTATGGAATTCTGCCCAATTACGCGTCAAAGTCCATTCATTCATATTATTTGTCTTTTGTCTATGACTTGGACCCCAATTCGCGGGCCGCTGATTACATGGACTGGCCAGATTGGGGAACGAATCAAACGTTGATGCAATTCTTCAATAACCGTGGAGCACTTTTGGCAGACAACTTTCGACAGGATACTTATAATTTTATCCTAGAGAATGTTGGATCTTTCCATATTTAGGTCGGCCTACTGGATATGAGACCAGAAGATATGAGATGACGAAATGATAGCATGATACTTTCCGTGAAGGAATATATAAATCTCACAATTTATAATAGACCTGGACTATAAATTAGAACAACACTATCTCCATGTGGCCGTCACTGTGGCCGTTGAGCCCGAACAGCCAGTAGGCACAGTGTACGAGCGGTTAGGGTCACTTTCCCAAGTCACGGAAGAAGACCCACTTGTCTTCTCAATAAATTTGTACTCGAAGGACGACCCGACTGGAATCGTAACTTGAACATACCATAGATGGTTTGACGAGGTATACTGATCTGCCGAAAGCAAAATCGCATCATCAGTGTCCCAGCTACCCAACTGACTGATTGAACCAGACAAATAGACATCCTGTCCATATGAAGTGGTAACAATCTCTTTGAAAAGAACTGGTAGTGCCGTGGCCTGGGTGCAAGACGAAGTTGTGGTGCTAACAGTCGATTTAGTAGTCGTTGTAGCAGAGCCCGACGATGCACAAGGCCCGCTGCTAGTTCCAACAGAAGCTAGCATGAGCACGCGAGGCAGACCAGATGCCATTGGCACTGCGATATTCCCGTTTGAGTCAACAGTGATCGATGTACAAGTGTACATCTCCATGAGCGCAGTGCCGGAAGAATATCCACTACCGCTGAGACTCAGAGTGTAGGAGCTGCCGGACGAGCCATAGTTGGAAAGAACTGTTATAACCTGCGATCCACTTGATCCCTTCTTCATGGCAATCGTATGACTGTCTTGGTAGAATGGAGAGTTCTATTCATATCATTGTTAGATGCGGTTTCCCGGGGATATGGGTGGACGTCACCTTGGATGTAATATAAGAAGAGTCTGAAGACACAGCGAGTGCACGAACTTTATTCGTCGTTGCAATATATTGATACAGCTCAGCAGTCGTCGAGTAGCCGGAAAGCCAGGTCGCTTCGCGATTCGCGGGGTCACTGCCTCCGCTATAGTGTTGTTCTTGGCCAGCGTAGATGATCGGGATACCATCTGAAAAAAAGAGGAAGGAAATCACATTCTTTGCTTGCGAATAATCACTCGTGTATCTGCTCAATTAGAATTTGTTGTTCAATCAAGAATGATCTACTTACGAAGCGAATCGAGGATTATCGTGATTCTCGATGAAGTTTCCGAGCAAGGTGGAATCAGAACAATCAGAAGCAACTGAATTGATCATGTTATACAGATCACTGATGCTTCCGCTTGACGACTCAAATGCGTAAAGCAGTTGGTAATAGCTTATAAGTCAGATGAATATAGTCTGAGATTTGAGAAGGTAGATACTCACATGGGGTAGTTTAGAACTCCATCTAGGTAGTTTTGGTAGGGACATGTGTAGGCTGGGTCTCCATCGAAAACCTCTCCCACACAATATACGCCAGCTGCACTGTTATAGCCCGGCCAGAAGGACTCTTGAACGTGTTTGAGTGTGTCAATCCGTAGACCGTCGACTGTTTGAATATTAGCAGAGACTGGCAAATGTAAACAGGAAACATACTAGAATAGTTTGAAACTAGATCTGTAATCCAGTTATACCAGATCATCTGGACAGAAGATAGTTCGGTGTTCAGGTCAGGCAAAGAGACAGTGGTGTCTCCGAGCCAACAGTCTTCCACGTTGGTCTGGTTATCGTAATTGCTAATTAGACAATACGAATGGAAGTAGGAGGATGAATCAAAGGGATTGAAGACACTGTAGTCGACCGTATTTCCTGCACCGTTGTATCCCTGCCTTATAATCAGTATCGATAGTTACGCAGAAGGGTTCAACTAACCATGTGATTTGCCACTACATCGACCATCAGATACATCCCCCTAGCGTGTAGAGCTTTCGAAAGAGCCTTAATGTCAGCAGCAGTGCCGTGGTTCGAATTGACCTCATATCTAGGAAATTAGTTTTTCGTATGATTCAGTGAGCTGAAAACTCACATCTTCTGTTGCCAGTAGCCATGATAGGCTTCACCGTCACCCGTATCGCCGTCGAGCTGTTCGGTGACCGGGGTGATCCAGATGGCGGTAAATCCCATGCCTTGGATATAATCCAGCTAGGTGTAATTAGCCTCGTATAACGAACTAACTTCTTTATTTTTACCGCGCATACATGATTGATGATTCCTTGCCAACTTCCACCACAGTAAATCTATTCCAATTAGACGGGTTGATTTTCAAGATTGGGTTCGTTACATGCCCTGTCTGTGACATCACAAGCAGCTGTGGTTGAATTATCGTCACGTCCAAATCGATCAGTCAACAGAAAGTAAATTGACTGGGACCGCCATTCCGCAGGTGAAAGCGCGGCGATGACCTGAATGAGCAGAAGTGTAGCAGCAAGGACAAGGTACATTTTGCCCCGTCGAAAATGTGGATAATGGCACTCTCTATCTGAGTCTAATCCGCAGCCACTGGCGCATTTTATACATTAACCCCGCAAATCGAAGGTTTCTGCAGGGCACAAAAGCGACTGTCATATGTTTTGAGGTTAGACCACTACATATGACCCCCGGCTGATTGTCGGCACATAGAGCCAATGGTTCTGAGTGAATACTATTAAACTTCATTTATTCCGTCCGCCCTAGCCAGCATCAGGGTTTCACAGAAGCCCCTGATTAAGTCCGAAATTTTAATTTTAATTTTCGATCGATTTTGGCCCACTTGCATACACTAGTCTATTATTTTACTAAATATCTACAAGTATCTCAGCTCAGCTAAAGATTTTCAGTATTGCATTCTGTATATTAAATGAAATGTCGCGTTTCCGATCGCTTCATGTGGGCTGTGGCGCGTGTCCTGTGAGACTTTTCATAAGTCCACCGTGATTTATGCTCAGTCTATGACTGCAAGCACATCCGTTAAGAACTCCGCGAACATTCTATCCTGCAGGCACGCATGCAATAAGTATGCTCGGTTAATAGACCTATCTGCAAGGTCGGCCTTAGCGTCCAGCGCCAGTCTCCAAGAGGGAGATCCTCCGCGCACCAGGCGGACATTGTCGATCAATATTTCTCCACATTTGCAAAAAAGAAAGCGCTAAAAGCCGGGTTTCGAAGGAGAAATGCAGGACATGCCCTTTTTGCATGCGCGCTAAATTTCCTGACAAAACGCCTCCTTTGCAAGCGAAGCCGACGCGTTCAAGGACGGAAAGGCGAGGAAGATTGATTGGAGGTCACCTCTCCTAAAGCCCCGGCGGGCGTTGGGCTAGACAGGGGACGGAGAATCTGCGGGGTGATTGAAGACATCTGTAGAATGCAGGCCTCAGGGGAGGCGTAGATGTGAGATCATAGTGGCTTGATTCAGAAGACTCGGGTTAGCATATATTTTGTGAGTGGAAAAATCGCGACGGTGAATGTAGACAGAAGGTGTAAACAAACGAGAGAGTTGCTAAAGTGGGACGCAAAAAAGAAGAAGAAGAAGAAGCCGCTTGCAAAATAAAGACTGCTGATCCATTCGAGGGGTAGGGACCTCATCCGTGACAAAGCGTTAGCGCGTCTGATCGTGCAAAAGCAAAACTGACTGGCACGAAAGCCACAAACGAACTAGTTAGTTAGTCTCCAGCCCTTAGTCTGCAGCCCTCCGATCTCTGCCTCGTCACATTTCCCCACCCCCGGTTAAGGCTCCTGCAATTTAATGTTGACATTTGAAATCCAACTGAAGCGGGCACACAGCAACGTGGCGATGCATAAAAGCCATGCGAACACCCTCATTTGAACACCAGACAAAAACAGAGACAGTTGATTCTTCATCATGGCTCACCGCATCTGGACTACGCTCTGCGCGCTAACCTTTGGCTCGGCTGTGTTGGCCGCACCACAGTTGGCACCTCGTGCGACTGGTAGCTTGGATGCCTGGCTGGCATCCGAGACTGCGGTTGCGCGAGAGGGTATCTTGGATAACATCGGCTCGAGCGGCGCGTATGCAAAGAGCTCGGGCTCGGGAATCGTCATCGCCAGTCCGAGTACAGACAGCCCTGACTGTGAGTGCCAAACATTTGATCTTACAGGAGAAGAGTCTGACATCGCAGATTATTACACTTGGACTCGTGACTCGGCTTTAGTCATGAAGACCCTGGTGGATCTGTTCAAGAATGGCGACACAGACTTGCTCACGGTTATTGAAGAGTACATAAGCACCCAGGCCTACATTCAGACCGTTTCCAATCCCTCTGGGGGTCTCTCTAGCGGTGGGCTTGGTGAACCCAAGTTTAATGTCGACAAGACAGCATATACCGGATCATGGGGCCGTCCTCAGCGCGATGGCCCTGCCCTCCGAGCCACTGCGATGGTTGCCTTTGGGCAGTGGCTAATTGTGAGTTACCTTTCGTGCAAATACACCATGTCTCTTGCTGATGCATATTCTAGGCTAATGGATACACATCCACGGCCACTGATATTGTCTGGCCTATTGTTCGCAACGACCTTTCCTACGTTGCACAAAACTGGAACAGCTCTGGATACGGTAAGGCCCGCCAAATTTCCGGCCCAAACGTTGCTGATGAAGAGCAGATCTGTGGGAAGAGGTAAACGGAGAGTCATTCTTCACAACAGCCGTTCAACACCGCGCCCTGGTTGAAGGCAGTAAATTTGCTAGTCAGGTGGGATCATCCTGCTCGTACTGCGACTCTCAAGCACCCCAGGTACTTTGTTTCCTGCAATCTTACTGGACCGGCTCGTACACCCTGGCAAACTTTGGCAGCAGCCGTACTGGAAAGGATGCAAACACCCTCCTGGGTAGCATTCACACTTTCGATCCCGAGGCGGGCTGCGATGACTCAACCTTCCAGCCTTGCTCGGCACGTGCTTTGGCAAACCACAAGGTAGTTACTGACTCATTCCGATCTATCTACACTATCAACTCTGGTAAGAGTGCGGGACAGGCTGTTGCAGTCGGTCGTTACCCTGAGGATTCTTACTATAATGGTAACCCTTGGTACCTGTGCACAATGGCTGCCGCCGAGCAACTCTATGATGCATTGTATCAATGGAATAAAGCTGGCTCTTTGACCATCAGCAGTGTCTCGTTGAGCTTCTTCACAGACTTGTATAGCTCAGCTGCCACGGGCACCTATTCATCAAGCAGCACTGCGTACTCCTCGATTGTCAGTGCGGTCAAGACATATGCTGATGGCTATATGAGCATCGCGGTAGGCGAAATCGCGTATATATATCCCGATTGGCATCATGACTGATATTCTACAGGAACAATATGCCTATACAAATGGCTCCATGTCCGAACAGTTTCTCAGAGCTGATGGAACCCCAGCGTCAGCCCGTGATCTGACTTGGTCATACGCAGCCCTGCTCACTGCAAACATGCGCCGCAACTCGGTTGTTCCCGCAGCATGGGGCGAGACCTCTGCAAGCAGTGTTCCAGGAACATGCTCTGCGACTTCAGCTACGGGAACCTACAGCACCGCTACCAACACAAACTGGCCAAGCTCCTTGACGAGTGGGTCGGGTCGACTACCACTGGCGGAACAACAACTAGCAAAAGTTCGACTACCACCACTTCCAAGACAAGCACTACGACCTCATCATGCACCACGCCAAGCGCTGTGGCGGTCACTTTCGATGTTATCGCCACGACAGTATATGGCGAGAACATCAAATTGGCTGGGTCTATCTCTGCGCTTGGCAGCTGGGACACCAGCAGTGCTATTGCCCTGAGTGCAAGCAAATACACCAGCTCCAACAACCTGTGGTATGTCACGGTCAATCTGCCTGCTGGTCAAGTTTTCCAATACAAGTATATCCGAGTTGCGAGCTCTGGTACAATCACATGGGAGAGTGATCCGAATCTCTCTTATACAGTGCCGGCGGCCTGCGCCACGACCGCTGTGACAATCAGCGATACCTGGAGATAGACAGTTGTAGGGCTTAGTTTCCGCTCTGGGATTGCCAGCGTGAATTTGAAAGATTCATTGGGCCGGGAATCAACGAATCAATTGATTGCGCCCGCTGTGAATTGATAGTTGGAGATCATCTGTTTATTGGAAATTCTTCTGTTATTGAACATTTTGTATCTAACGGTTTCTGGAATACACTACGTTGATGTTAACGAATCATTTTCAAATCAAGCAGCATGACTTGAATAGACAGTCGTCTGTCTATATCAAAAATTGTATATTACAGGTGATGGTTACGGATAAATAGTCCGAAGAAGGCGGCTGCGAGAGAGCTCACAGACGATACAACATAAGTATGCTTGAGGCCTGACAAGTAGCAAGCCAAAACAACTTCACGAATTTGGCCCGTGAGATGGGCGATATAATCCGTGTCTGCCATCGCCCGCTTGATAATGTTCTCCGAGCCAGGGCCTCGCACATTTCGACGCAACTGAGCTTCGAACTCGATGCCGAGGACCGAGTTGCACATTGTTACACCAGCCGTCATCGCAAAGCTAATCAAAAGCATATAGCCCGATGTAGCCATTGCTATTTCGTCTGAGGGTAGAATTGCCGTCATGGCCACAAATCCCGCTGCCGAAGCGATCCCAGTACCGAATCCACCCGGGAAAACGTAAAGCGACTCCCAGAAGCCGGTGTTGCCATTCCAGAAGAGATACAACAAGACATAAGCGATGGACGAAATCAAACCAGCCAGGATGAGAAGCAATTTATACCGCCCCGTTTTTCGAACGTATAATCCCGCCAGAATACCTCCCACGGTGTTTCCGACTATGGTGGGAACCAGATGACCGCCAGAAGCCGTCGTTGAAGCACCCTGGGTAACCTGAAAGTACAGTGGGATGGAGAACAACATGCCCAGTTGAGCCATTATTTGAAGAAATCCGATAATGTAGCTAATGGCAACGTTGGGTCTTCGCAGAATGCGCAAATTGAAAATCGGATCTTTGGCGACATACGCTTCAACGAGAACGAATGAGATAAAGAGGATCAGACCGCCGCCGCCCATAACAACGGTTATCCAAGAACGCCAGGGGAAGGACTTTCCTCCTTGGTCAATCATGCAGGTGATGGCAACTATCGCTCCTCCGAGGAAACCCGTTCCCAGGAAATCCACGTTGGCGAGTTTCGAGAGCGTGCTGTCTTTGTTGGAGACCACTTTCTGGCCGATCTGAAGCTTAACAACGACCAGGAATGCGGCCAGGGCGACGAATGGAACTTGTATGAGGAAAAGCCTGTTTGAAAATAAGCGATGATTCCTGAAGAAATGGATTGTTTCCCCCACTTACCACCTCCATCCGATTGTATCGCTGAGCAATCCACCAACAGGACCTCCCAGACTGCGACCGAGAGTCATCGCAATGTTGACATAGGACCTCCAGGTTGCCACATCACGCCTGGGGACGATATCTGTGATAATTACCGAACTGATAATCATCGTACCTGCCCCGCCCATTCCGCTAATTGCGCGGCCTAGAATTACCGTCCACATCTGGGGTCCAACACCACTAGCGAAATGTCAGTAAAATAACACAACACGTCTGAAGCATTTTGCATACCAAATAATGCATCCAACAGCAAAGAGAAAATAGGAAATCAGGAGAAGGGGCTTGCGGCCGTAGATATCGCTCAATTTTCCGTACTGTATACTTCATCAGCTTTGTCGCTGTCCGAGTTTCTAGTTCATCCCCATACCATCGGCTGAGCAGCACAAAGACCCAGTGTATATCCAGTCGATAACCAACTCGCATCGCGTAGACGATTGAAATCGGAAGAAACGCGACCCGCAGCGGCCATAACAAGCGTTGCATCGGCATTGGAAATAAATTCACCTTCAGTGACAGAATATGAGTTTCAATGCGAAGTGTAAAATCTTGAATTTCGTACCTAATAGAAGCACTGCGACAATCGCTCCTACCCCTGCTGCAGTCTTCACCGTCTGTTCTGTATTTTGTGATTCTCCGAGTAGTGGACTTTCTTCATCTCCGGATGTGGGCGCATTGTTGACTGGCTGGGACCGAACTACCCCCTCTTCATCCTGGAGTGCATCCTGCGTGCCATATTGGCTTTTGGTGACCATTTTGTTCTGTCGAGAGGACAGGCTCAGTGACTCTTAACACAAGAATCTCCGGCCAGCCGATTTTCCTGGGGGCGGGGAATGGTAGGAATTAAATGTCCGACAAGGCGAGAATAATCTAGGATAATCGGCACATGGCACTATGAACCATTGACTGTGCCTTTTTCGTCGGGCCACTCAGGTTGAATTATTGTGTGATCATAGCGATCGCAAATCACGCGATTGGTGGGGCCCTCCGCATTATTTTCAAATTTCCTTAGCTCTATTGATGCTCTGTACCAAGGTTAGAATTATTTTACTTTCTACCAGCCGGATGAAATGCGATTGGTGAACCTTTCGGTACCATTATTCGGAATGATCTTCTTCGCCTTTAATCGCTGTTCAACAATATATATTAAATGAGATATATGCATTTGTACTCCGTACATATATTTTCAACCCCGATTTGGATCGCCATTGAGACCCGCAATTGCATCATGCCCCGCCGGCTATTTTTGCCGAGCAAAATCCCGAGTATGTCATTGTAGACGAAGCTCGAGGGAGGTCGTACGAATCTTCATAAGTCCCGAAGCGAGATTGGAAAAAGTACTCGCATAGTATCGGGTGACTTGGCCGTTGGACTTTTTGTTCTGCAATTTCACCGATGATCTGGTTGGAACATCGTCAAATTGTTTGGTTCTGAGCTCAACCCGATTTACTGATGTTTGGGGGAAAGTCCATAGCTCTTTCTTGATCTATGACTCGCATTTCATAAAGGGAAATCAAAAGTTGGTACCAACACTTCTCAAGTGTGCGTTCCAATTACGTCTTATAGTTGATCTGGTGGGAGATGCCCGAGATACTATGAACGTCAGCATTTGCCGACTCAACCAAACGTTCGCTATCCAACGAGCATTCAGAAATACTGTTCTTGGTGCCAACAAGACGTGATAGTGTTCTTAGGTGCTTGAGGGAAGATATGTATGTGCAAAGAGACTCCGGGATGGGTCTGCCGTCTGTTCGCCGGTAGCTTCGATTCGGCACACAACAAGAAGATACTTCACAAAAAGCTTTATACTTAAATTGCCTTCTTCTAAAATTCTTACCCCGTTTCGTACTATTTTTATATATGAGTGATCTTGCATCTGTAACCTTTGGAATAAGAGCTCACGTAGCCGTCCATATATACATATCAGGTTCCCTGTAGCAACTCTTGGCTTTCACCATCCGTTGTACCTAGGTAGTCACACATCCTACCATTCTTTCTCACTCCAGTGCTGGAAGGTATAAGTGCGCACGACGAATGCCGCCGTTGCATTAACAGCATCAAGCAACTGGATGAAGCGGTATAGACTGAGTGAGCCATTCTGAGGCCTCTGGTCACAGAAGAAGCAACGTACCGCAAAATGAGGTATCTAATTAGGCCGATGTTTATCCGAATTCCCCATTACTTGCCTTCCATTAACATGAATTCAGATTTATTCATTTCGGCTACCTGATCTCATATTCCAATCCACCGGCGCTCTAGATAGCTCCCGGTCTTCCAAAATGCAGACTCGTCCCCGAAAAGTAATGTAACCTTCCCAGATTTCAATGATCCTTCGATGATTGATGGGCGCTCATGAAATAACCCCATGAATGCGACAACTTACTTAGAGAAGGAGTCTTAGAAAGTCGAAAGATAATTTGTCGCCTTTAAAATCTGTCACTTTTGAAACCATCGATGCCGATTCCGTTTGGAGTAGTCCTGCTTACCAAATTTTTGATTCCAATTTTTTGGCCGATCATTTTATTGCGGTAAATCGTATTTTCGTTAATGGATTGATGAATTTGATCTGGATTCAAGTCTTCGGTCTCCGCTCACGAGCAGCGGTGTCCGCCGTGGGTCTGTTAGGATTTTGTCTCCTTTAGGTTAGCGTCCTGCGTCTCAGTGTCTCAATTTTATGAATGTGGTCTCCGAGTGGCAAGGGCTGGAGCTCGCTAAGCCGCGACTATGAAAGAACGCGTACCAAGTGCTCAGTATGGGATGGTAATTAGAGCAGTGGATCATAGAATATAATATTGGTACAAGAAAATGAGTTGCAGAGGTTACCAGTTGGCTCATGTAACTACAACTAGCCATTGCTTTTATTACCGTAAATTACATACCGTTGCACAGCGAGGCCCGCCATGCTCATTTGGCACAATTCTCACAATTTTCTCTTATTCAGTGTATCATCATAGACCAACCATACCCACCAATATACAGGAATTATTGATCGCACTGAAAAGGCCGTTTACGCGTCTAAGGATCAAGAAATATCTGATATCTCAGAAACTGCGCGAGAATTCGCGGTTTCAAACAGCACACTATACCCGACGATGGCATGTATGGAGATTTCCATCTCGGCGCTCACCAACATATCCCGGGGTCACTGGAGGCGGTTGAAGAGCCTTAGAGTTTAGCGACTCGGAGCTCATTAGTATTTGGAACATGGTATCAGCATTTCTACATGTAGCTAAATGCTATACACTGTTACTTTCGAACATAAAATTTCGCTTTATTCCACCGCCTGTCCCGGCATGAACATCATACTCTAAATGCCGTGCCGGCTAGAGTGATAATCGTCTAGTTCCCCGCACTCCACCCCACATTTACAGCCCCAAAACCTTGCGGAGGTAACGCATATATTCTGCATAAGTTCCACATCCGTAACTGACCGGGTTTCGCTTGATTTCATATTCCAACGCTTATAAAAACTTCTCAATACAGTCGAAATGACAAGCGATGATAAGATACGAAAGAATGCCCTCAGTTGCAATGGATGTAGGCAACGGAAGGTGAAGGTAGGGGTTGGACCCTCCTTTCGTATGCCTCCGGTCTAACTAAGAAAAGTGCGAAAAACCCTCTTCTGGTCCGTGCAATCGATGCAGCAGACTCGGCAAGCAATGTCAACTAGGAGGGTCTGTATCGCGACCGTACTATCACACTTCAAAGGAAAGATACGAGCTTCTGGTGTCCGTGGTTCGGCATTTTGTGCCTTCGGCCTCCTTCGGAACCGAAGACCTGCGGAAACTCCTGGACACTTTGCCAGCTCCAGCGGAAGGATCACCCGCTTCTACACCACCTAACGATGTGGCCACCTCAAGTGGTGGACCGGGCCCGTGGCCGTCGGAGGCTGTCACCCATATGGATACTCCAACATCCTCATATTCACCCAATCCCCCCAACGAGGAATGTGAAATCGAGGACTTTGAAGATACGCTGATGGTAGATGCTATGAATATTCCTCGTGGGTGCATTATCTATTTCGCTGTTCCTCATGTGGGCTGTGTGCGAGATTTTACGAAGCCTTGAACTAATTTGCGTGGATTTATAGGATTTAGTGGCTCTTCTAGTTGCACCACTCTCAATGCGAAAATAATAACACATTTGTCCAAAGATACTCGCGGTATATCACCCCTCAATGACAACGATACCCCGTTGTTGTTAGATGGACAAGTGATCTCTTATCGAAATGCGGGCTACCTCCCCAATCGCAAAGCCCTTGACAAAGCAGCCGTGAGGTTTTTTGCAGAAGTAAACAGCGTCGTATATATCCTTGATCAGGATAGATTCCACTCTTGGATTGACGATGTGTATGTCGGGAAGGAGGTGCGTGCATCCGTGCTGGTCATATTGTATCTGGTCATGGCCCTCTGCGGCGACAAAGATCCTAGTTTTCATATTGCTCGATCCTATATGGATGACGTGATAGAAGAATCGAGCTTGGAGAGCGTGCGGGCGATTATGTTGATGGTAAGATTGTTACCACTGGCCGTCGATATTCTGTTTTCGCTTACGAATGCTAACCTTTGATTGTCAGAGCTTGTACCGTCAAAGGGAGGGTGAACGCAGTGTTTCTTGGGCAATGCTGGGAGTGGCAATCCGAATCTCACTGTCACTTGGCCTTCACCAAAGTATAGGCTATAACCACGATACTTCCATATATGGATCAGAAATCAAGCGGCGCCTGTGGTGGTCCCTATGCGAGTTTGACAACTGGGGGTCTTGCATGCTAGGGCAGCCCTCTGGCCTCGGTCAGACGGAAAATTCCGTCTCTCTACCCTCACAGGTGATAAAACTCTATCTTCTCTGAGTTTCTATGACGACTAATTGTAACAGGAATTCAATACTACACCCTACACTCCACCTGGCTATGCCAGTAGCTCAGCATCTCTCGGTATTCTGATTGGCCAGATATCCCAGAAGCTGTATATCCAAACCGGTGATTTGAGAAGTAAAAAGCAGCTGAGTAATGAGCTTCTTGAGAAGGTCAGAACATGGAACAACGAACTGCCCGATCACCTTCGCCCAAATTCAGCAATCCCATCCTGCTTTGCACGTGCTACATTATATTTAAACCTCAAATATAATTACGCCCGTATGCTCATTGGGAGACCGTACATGGTCCATTCGATACTCTGCAGCAAAAGCCATGACGCTGTTTTCGAATCCCGTGCAGCTACCTGTAAAGATGCAAACCGTGAATCGGTCGAGGCCTTGATGGAATTCTACCGCCGAGATCTTTTATCTACGTGTCTTTGGCTTGATACATATTTCATCTTGGCAACATCAATAGTTCTATTTCTCCGTGCTATCGAAATGCCGTGTGTGAGGAAAGAGTTAGAGTTGTTTCTGCCTGTTTTGAAAACGTGCGATCAAAGCCAAGTTGCGAAATACGCCGCTCAAAGTATGGAGAAGTTTCTGCATAATCCCGAAAATGGTGTAACGGAACCATCGACTGTCAACGTTGCAGATTCTTTGGCTCGGTCATCAAGGCTCGGCCAGTTGAGTGATAACTGTCATGAAATAAACTACAGTGACTTGGGAGATCTCAACGCCCTTGGCTCCGACTGCTTCGGACTTGGAGAAAGTTTTGACCTGGACTTATGTGCAGCTTGGAATGAGGTTTCGAATATTGTACAATAACTTTGTGTTTCGAGTACTGTATCCTGCTAGATACCATTACGACACGCCTTAAATACATGTCTATCAGAGATTATGCAACAGATGTGAAAGTTCTCAAGTTGAATTTTCAACATCCAACTCAATATCAAGCTTCGTAGTCTATGACCAGCTTCCCGGCAACCTGTCCCTTGCGGAGTCGATTTACGGCTTCAGGGAACCTTTCGAAGGGCAAGACTTCACAAACCTCCCGCACTAGTCCTCTTTGAATGAGCTGCAATACTGCCTCTGTATCTTTCATTGTGCCCACCAATGTTCCTTTGATTGACAGATTCTTCAGAATCATTATAGTGGGGTCCACATTCATGCCTTGACCAGACGAGGCTGCAGGAAGTCCAATGCACATAATCACTCCCCCAATTCTGGCACCGATATACCCGATAGCTGTTGGGTATGCAGACGGCGCTATAACAAATACTCCGTGGGATCCAATACCTCCGGTGAGAGCAAGAACCTCTGCAACAGCGTCGGGCACCTCTTTGAAATCAACGAAAGCTTCTGCGCCCATCTTCAACGATAAGTCACGTTTTTCGCTTCCTGTATCAACAACAATAGGTCGTAGTCCAAAGGCTTTCGCGATCTGCACAGCCTGAATCCCAACACCACCACCACCACCAATGATTGTAGCCCACGATCCGACGGTGAGTTCAGATTCTCTAATGGAACGATAAGCGGTAGCCGCACTGCACATTGCGGGAGCGGCTATGTTATCCGGAACTCCATCTGGAATCATGGTGGTGTATCGCGCTGGGGAAACAACATAATGTTGGAAGGTTCCTATGGTTCATGATAAGAAAGTGAAAACCGAACAGATATTTGAAAATTGTGTTACCTGTGGCACCGACCCCAGTGAGGATCTTCCTTTGGCAATGGACTTCCTTGCCTCCCCAACAAAGACTGCAGGACCCGCATGTGTACCAAATCGGCTTTACCCCGGCGCGGTCCCCAACCTGAAAGGTTTTCACATTTTCACCTAGCTTAACAACCACACCCGCTCCTTCGTGTCCAGCGGAGCATATACCGGACGCTGACATTTTTCTACCACCAGTGTCGTTTAGCATGTAGTGGATATCTGAATAGCAAATACCGGTTGCATTAAGTTTGATCAGAACTTCATCCGGACCTATATATTATAAGATTATACTATCTCGTTGGTAAAGCGTCATTGATATCGTATTACCTGGGACTGGAACCTTGACCATTTGAGTCTTCATGGTAAAGTTGGGGCCTTCGTTGAAAACGACAGCAGCCCGACATTCCTCCGGTATAACATAGCTGTTAGACATTTCAACAAGCTGGGTAGTAAATATTGTGGTGCAAGGAGATGATAATCAGTATACTATAGTTAAGTTGGCGGGAATCATGAAGTGCCAGGTATATGACCCTTAAATATATACTGTAGAGTGAAATCGAGGGGCGGAAAGTGATGGCGCGGTGTCCGGCCCGCTCTCCGCCATCTATACAGCTCGGAATCCGCTCGACTATTGCGTTTTTTTCATCTTACATAAAGAAATGGCCCTTAACCAGTACTACACGTAACTGAGTTTATATTTGGTCTCGCATTTACTGGAAAGCACCCGCCGCTTTATGTGTACTCTTCCTTCTGACCGGTATTTGGTATCGCCAAATTTGAATTCACTAATAAGACTTTTTTCTAATTTTGTAATGCGAATTCCTAGATTCAGAGTTTCGGTCCAACGGTTATTTGAACTTTGAAAGGACGGCAATATTGGTAGATTTACGCATACAGTATTTCTGACACCTGACGAATCAAGTTCAACCCTTTGAGAAAATAAGTTTAACCTGTGGCCTCGATAGTGTGTTTCAGTCTATTCATTTTTACTGCCGTCTTGACTGCCGCTAATTTTTGACTCTCTATATGTGGCCTTTGTAGTTAGGGCTTGGTATATATTGGTTATCTAGAATCAGCAAGGGATTGACCTGGAATGGGCGATTGTTCTCCGGTCTACGGAGTCTTCAAGCTACCATTCAGCCATCCGAATGAAGCCCATGCAACAACCAATGGTTTTCAGATAAATAACCAACTTTAGAAAGATATATGCATGGCTAAAACGTGAAGAAAGTCGGAAACTGGATTTCAAAATAAATTTTAACATGGATCACAATGGATACACAAATACCCTTGATACCCGGTCCATTTAATACTGTAAAAATTAGATCTAGATCCAATTAACTATGTTAAACGGAAATCCAGAGTCCGAGTTTACAAGGGCTAGTATCCTGCAAGGTTCTAGGGTCCCACCATTGGTAAATTTTGAGGCTGAGAGGGCCCAGGCATCTAAGATCGCCCTCCCCTATGCCTTGCTCTATCCTCGATATCTCTAGTCATTCGCATGTACCGCCAATTTCCTGGTTCTGACACTCTGATCGTAAAATTTCCTCCGCAGCTCCTGCTCTGGAATCACCTGTCGTTCACTAAAGAACTGGGAAAGTGGGCTCCTTGGCACCGAATTCCTTGCGGATCTTCTCGGTTACACCAGACATGTCGCAGAGGTCGATTGCGTTATCTAGCTCGGTCGCTGAGACCCAGCTTCCATGAATTCCATTTCTGAGGCGGAATGGAAGTTCTATGATTGCAACGGGGCCCTCGAGAATTCGTTGGGCGTCTAGTATCAAAATGCAAGAAAATCCGGTATCCCGCCTGTTGGCGAGAGTGATAAGGTATCCATCGGCCTCGGCCGCTATCATGACATGTTAGCAGTATCCATTGTGACCGTTGGCTAGAGTTAAAAGATTTACATTCAGCCTTTCGCGGGATAAATGCCACTTCGTGAATAGCAGTGTGGTCACCAGCAGACCAGTAGATCAATCCCCCGGTAGCCACGTTGCACCTTGCAATCGCGTTGTACACACCACCGACGGGGCCATTCTCTTTTGTAGGATCATGCATGGCATAGAAAACAGTGTTGTATGGCTTGCCGACAAAACGGTCATCAACCTTCGGCATCTCGCCGTCAACATCGACCAATACAGTAGGCTTGACATGGAAGTCGGTCGCATTGGGGTCAAATTTCCATCGCACGTACTGGCTAACATTTCCGCTAGTAGGAGGCCTGCCACTCGCAGCCTCCATTGGGTCTTGACCACGCGGCGGGAAGAACCAGAACTAAAGTAAAGTTAGTGATGAAGATCACGTTGTTCAATATGCTCGAAATTGTCGTACCTTGTTGAAATTAGTAAGAGGCGCGTCCAAATAAACACACCCGTCCTCGCCATCAAATGCATTTCCGGTGTGTCCGTAGAATGCGTTCTTGTAAGTGAACCACCTGATGTCTTCCGGCTTGGGGTTTCGGCGGGGCAAAATTCCAAAGGTCAATGGCTTCTCCTCGGCCCAAGCGAAGTGCTTAGACCCCTTCTTCATCTCATCGACAGACTGTGTTTCAAGCGGGGGAATAATGAAAATAACCCAGTTGTCGGTTGCTGCCATGTCGTGCATCATTCCAACGTAAGGGGCTTTGAACCAGCATTCTTCCAATTTCTTGCCCTCTTTGCTGAAAAGGTAATAGGCAACATCAGCGGTGCCATCTCCCTTAGCCTCATAGCCCATAGTTAGCATTTCCCCGGTGGTAGGGTCAATTTTAGGGTGCGCCGTAAAGGTCGGCGCAGTGTATTGCCCATTGAAGTTATAGGGTCCTATCTTCACTTAGCAAACGGATATATCATCTTAAGATTAATAATTTGTGCTAACCTTTTGTCTCCAAAGTGTGCGGGTCCATAGCATATGGAGGAGAGTCTTCCTTCAAAGCCAGAAGCTGCTTCTCAAAGTAGACGATGTGCGTATTTGCAGTCGAGGTGAATCTCGTGTTTAACACGAGGATCATCAGTGTATCGATTGCGGTACTTCCCAAAGACTGCCTGGCGGGCTGCCCTCTCGATTACAAACTTGGAGGTCCGGACATACTTCTGCTTGAAGTCGGCGTGTCCGTCCTTGATGCGGATGGCATCGATCGCGCCATCACCATTAATGAACACATCGTCATGATACTTCGGTGCCCAAAGAGCGTCAGGCATGCAACGATAATAGGTACCCTGCACTTCTGTTGGAATTGTTCCTTTGACAACACAGTTATATACCTCGCCTTCGAATCGACAAGGAGCCTCAGCTCCCTCGTAGAATGGAGTCTTCGGATAGGCAACCTCCGGCTGGGGCGTAAGCTTCTCGGTAATTGCGGCGATATCAGACATCTTTATTTACAGAGAAGTGGGGAAATTGGAAAGGTTTTATATAATCAAGATGCTGAAAAATGAGATGAATCGCAGAAACGGAGAACCTCACAAGTTTATATTGGTGACCCGGGGCCCGCCCAAGTGAGTTCAAGTTAGACAACGTCCAACCACAGCCACTCTATTCATTGCATTCCTTCTATTTCGGCAACCGCCATTAATTCTTTAAAAATGCCGAATGGGAAGTTTGAGAGAAAACCCCGCGCAGGGTTCGTCGAAAGTGATGGGCGAATTGGAATGAAGATGATTTCGATAGCTAAACGCGGAGACCGCATCAACATCTCCCAACGAGGCGGACACCGAGATTTATTTTGCCCCATTTGGATTCGCACAACTTAATTATTCGTTTTATTTCACAATGTGTACTTAATCATTATCCTACACTGCTTGTGTCGTCACTGTTCCAGATATTATGCCCCCAATGATGGATTCACGAAACTACCCGTTCAAGGAATTCGGCGACGGAGACCACATCTATGCTACAGCTTATTGGACCAAGTCACAAATTGATAATCCTCTCGGCATAGCTCTTGCCTTCCATGGTGGTGGTTTTGTCGTCGGCTCCAGAAAAATGTTACCTATGGTTCAAATAGACTATTTGGCTAACGCTGGATTTGTTGTTGTTTCCGCCGACTATCGACTATGTCCCCAGGTATCATTGTACGAAGGACCTATCCAGGATGCGAAGGACGTTTATGCATGGTGTAAGGGGTCCCTTCCAGCGCTGCTAAAGAATGATGCGGGCCTCGACGTGGATCCTTCCCGAACCATTGTATTTGGCCACTCGGCGGGTGGCTGTTTGGCTTTGCACACGGTATAATTGAAATCATTCTTGATATAAATCACAGCATCCTTACTAATATGTCTATTTTCTGCGTTCAGGGTGCTCTCTCTGATCCCCCACGTGCGATTCTCGATTTTTATGGTGTCAAGTGCACGACCGATCCTTTCTGGTTTGCACCTTTACCGGCTCTGGCGATGATCCCTTCACTCGACGAGGCGTTTATCAACCAGGTTTTCAAGGAACCAGTGTCCTCCAACACAATGCTTTCATTGGAACGGGCTTCCAACACCAGCGAACAGCCAAAAGCGAAAGGTTTGCCTCGTCCTGACCTTTCCGTGCCGAGAAATGCATGGCTTTTTGTTACTTTGAAAGAGGGCACACAGTTCCCGGCCATTGTCCAGGATGGAGATTACGAGCGTATCGACCCTGTAAATTTATTCTCGGGCAAGTTCCCGCCGACATTTTTCATTCACGGCGACGCAGATGGTATGATCATCCCTAAGTTCAGTATCGAAGCCAAGGAAAAGCTTGAGAGCTTCGGTGTTGAAACTGGAATTTTGCTACCCGAGGGGATGTCTCACGGCTTTGATGTTGGAGTCGAGCTCAACGAACCGGAATTTGCTTCTATTCGTGCAGGTCTTGATTTCTTGATCAAACACGCAAATATCTAGGTTTCCGCTTTTCAAGATATTACGTTCCTTTTCAACTCGCTAGATATTATGAATTCCATCTCGATTCCATTGTACTAGCGGGCATTAATAGTTTGAGTCGCTACCAAGGACGGTGTCCTTTCGTATAATTTTAGTCATCGTAAGCCTTTGCAATTGAACGTTCTGGTACATCCTCGGCGTCAAACCCGGTCAATATCTACTTTTCCTAGTCAATTATGCCCGTATTCAGGAGCTGCATTCATCGTGGGTGATAGCTCTGATGAAGTGGTTGCTGCATTCGAAGACTTGATATCTCTGCAACGGACATCAAAACCATAAGACCTTGCTACTTATCCAACAATTTAAAGTGCCTGCAAATAATGCGAATATTCCGCTCATTAGAATAATGATGAAAATAAATAAGGCGGTATATTTGATTTGCAGGTCCCTTGTATGGGTTTATCACGAGGGCTAATCGATTTAACCCGATCTTGCAATGCCAAAATAGCTACCAACCTTGGGTTGGATTTCGAAGTTGCCTTTGCCAGTAGGAATGGCAATAGTTATCACATGCCGTAAACGTCTTCTCTCTTTTGATAACACATTTTGAAATTAAATCCCAATCGGAAGTTTAAACAGACGAATCGCATTCTCCCTGCCCACCAGTTCCTTCTGGTTATCTTTCAATTCCACCGTCCGCCACCATTCCTGGGCTTCCTTGACTTGATCATAAGGGGTATCTATGTCTTTGTTAGGAATTATGTATATGGACCTCTTGAGTAAGTATCGCACCTATCGAGTATAAACATCTCTCTACTCCAAGCTCCTTGATACAAAACTCGAGTCCAGGAGTCGAAAAGTTCCCGGAGGTAGTGATGAAAATATTATTCCGAAAATAGTAGCTGTAGTCGTGCTGTGAGGGTCGAGTGGCCTTCTTGCTGGGTTTGTTGTACCAGTGCGAGGCTCGCCAGAGATTGAATGGAATGTTCTCACCAAGATGTCCGGCAACAAGCTTTAGGCGTGGAAAGCGGTCGAAAACACCGGATGCGCAAAGGGCATAGATGTGGAAAGACAAATCTAAGTGGAATTGAACTCCTGCCCCAAGTAAGTGTAAACGAGATCCGTACTTGGTGTTGGGCTGAAGATTGGACAGTTCTGGATAGCGAGGATGTAAGTAGATTGGCACGTCGAGCTCCTCCGCCATTCTCCAAAAAGGGTCATAGGCCGTCGTATCATAGTATATTTTGTCGCCCCTTTCAATGCTTTGAAAATCATTGATCAGCCCGCCAAAGAATCCCAGTTCCTGAATGGCTCTTTTCAATTCCCCGGCTGCCTGGGTAGGATCATGCATTGAGACAGCTGCCATCCCACCAAAGCGAGAGGGTCTCTTGGAAACCTCGGTCGCAAGCCAATTGTTAAATCCTGTGGCAGTTTGTTCTGACAGCTTCTGGTCCGTGATTCCCTGGCAGCCAGGCGCAGTCAATGAGAGCAGCATATACTCTACACCATCAGCGTCCATAGAAGCCAATCGCCCGTCGATGTCCAGCAAGCGTCGTTTGTGGGATTCTAATGCAGCTTTACCCGCATCTCCCGGAGTCAATATATGCTGAGATTCGCCCAGAATCCAAGTTGTTGCCGGGTCTATAACAGCCTCTTCCACAGCGATGGTACCCTTAGTTGTCATGATGTAATAAAGTAAGGATAGCGGTTGGATATTCTAGGCGAGGAACTTGAAATGCCGAATGCTAAATAGCAATAACTAATTTTAAGAAAAGTATTGGCTTTAACTGTCTGAAATACCGACCAACCAGGAAGTGACGCCAGCTCCTGCGGGAACCCACAAAAGTGGACTGCCGGCGCGGCCCCCGAAAGGGAAAGCCAGTGATGCACCTCTCCTACCGTCAGCACAGGGTTGATGATATTTCCTTCGTCTCCGCACCGGTAATAGGTGAGGCGGACACCGCGAAATGCATTCAACGCGGCTTTGGGCCACGAACGGTCGGGGTCCGATTTTTCGCTCGGTAACTATCCCACATCTGCAGCCTCCGAGATGGTCTAAAAGTGAAAAGGATACAAATATCAACGCATTTGCTGGGAACCTAGTAGAAAGCCAACATTTTGATCTCACTTCACCTTGATTGGGTGACAAAAGGAGGGTATTGGCAAGACGGGATGCTGGTCCTGGTAGAGTTCATCGAAGGCCTGAGTAGCGGCATAAAGTGCGGAGCCCGCATAGTGAGCTAAGGAAGGTTAATTGCCATAAGGGAGGCCACTGGGTGATCTGATGGGACGCTTATTTTTGCCGGTTTCATGGGCGGGGGTCAGGACGCGTATGGATGCCAAGATGAAAGCCGCGAGAGGGTTTAGGTCGAAAAATATGTGATGTACGAAACACAATCAAATAACTCGAATACATGCAGGGACTTCCAGGATTGCGACAGGTGGCAAAGGGTCCTGGTAGGCCTCAACGTTAAAGTTGTGAAGATACTGTAAAGTGTAATGGTGAGTCATACCCGGTGGTGGAAAAGACGGCAGTCAGTAGCTATTTCCCAGCCCGTATAGAAGTTGACAGTTCTACAAAAAGTCTCATCGCCCTGTCAAGAGATAGATCCAAAAGACTGACATTACGATGCATAGATGCAACTTTTGAACCGAGATTTTTGTTCAAGCGTGAATTCCAAGGGTTGAAGATGTGGGGAATCTCTACGAGCTCCACGAGAATATCTTTGGTAACCCATCTATTTGTGTGGCTTGATGGCCGCCCTCCTCCATCTTAATGTCTGCTAGGCTATAATATCACCCAATATGTTGATCAAATGGGAACATAAGGTAGGTAATGATAACAAACTAACTATTCGATCTCGATCAGAACTGACTTGTGTTCTAGAAAGGCACTGATGCTGTCAAGTAGGCCCTCCCTTCCTACCCCACTAGATTTCCATCCCCCAAAGGATAGGTCGTGGCCAGTAACCGGCGATGTACAGTTGATCCCGACGGTCCCCGCTTCCAGCCCCTTCGCAAATCGCATAGCCCTGCTGATATCCTTCGTAAAGACAGCGGCATAAAGGCCGTATTCAGTATCGTTGGCCTTTGTAAGTGCCTCTTCCTCGGTATGGAAGATACTGATGTTTACCACCGGACCAAAAATCTCTTCCTTCATGATCTTTGCATCTTCCGGGACATCGGTAAATACTGTCGGCTCCACGAACCCATCCTTAGAATCACCACCCAGAGCGAGCTTTGCGGAAGCTTTACCCGATGCAATGTATCTCCGAACCGTCTCGAACTGAATATCATCTGCCATCGGGCCATGATTTGTTATTGGGTTGAGTGGGTTTCCTTGGTGAATCTCACTAAAAGCAGCATTGAAAAGCCGGGAAAATCTCTCAGCGATTGTGTCTTGGATATAGATTCGTGAGTTTGCCATGCAAACCTGACCACTATTCCATTGAATACTCTTTGCGGTCTTTCTCGCTGCTGATTCTAAATCGGCATCCTCGAAGATAACAGCCGGGGATTTTCCGCCCATTTCCAAGATCACATTTTTCATGTTCGATTGTGCAGCAGCAGTCTGTATCAGACCTCCAGCTCTGGTGGAGCCAGTAAAGCTTATCGCGCGGACATCCATATGCGACGAAAGGGTTGCACCGCTATTATGGCCATGTCCAGAGAGTATATTCAATACCCCGGGAGGAAAACCCGCTTCGATCGAAAGTTGGGCAAGTTTGAGGGACTATAACTATCGTGTTATGGGAACTGCCATGTTGAAATGCTGATTATCGACTCTAGCAATGAGCTTACCGTCAAAGGAGCTTTTTCGCTGCTCTTAAGAACAACGGTGTTGCCAGTAATAAGGGCTGGGGCAACCTTTCCTGCGAGAGTGACCAGAGGCACATTCCAGGGAATGATTGCCGCTACTACACCAAAAGGCTGACGGAGTGTCATATTCACAAACCCGGGGGTATTCAGACTGGAGACTCCTTTGGCAGTATACCCAGCCTCTGCAAATAACTCAAACTTTTGCGCAGCAATCATGCTATCAGCGTAGCTACTGACGGGTCGCCCCATAGAAACAGCTTCGAGATAAGCCAGTTCCGCAGTGTGCTGACGCAGTAATGCGGCGAGCCTCTTCAGCGGAGCACTTCGCTGCGTTGGGGACAATTCAGCCCACGACGGCTGTGCATTTTTAGCGACAGCTACTGCTCTGTTGGTATCTTCCACACTAGCCTCGAAGACTTGTGTGGGCGCGTCAGAAATAAGGCTTGTCATAAGTATTTGAAGTTGGTTCGAGTCAAATCCTTACCTTCTGCGACCAGCTCATGGCTTGAGGGAGTGTAAATACCGAATGTCTTCTTATCTGACGACTCGACAAACTAACAGGTATAAGTGATGAAAGATTCGTATTTGAGTATAGATTTGCGAGCATACCTCTCCATTGATAAATAGTCGAGTCTCAATGTTGGCTGGTTTGCCGTCCACGGACGTACCAGGAGTTGCTTGTGTAGAAGTCATTCCTGGGGGAGTTGTAAGCTCTGAATACTCACCAGTATAGCTTTATTTTGAATGGATGGACAGAAAGCTCAATTGTGTAATATATGTTTTGCAATGCCTGCAAATTTAGTATTCGGTCTCCGCTAACTAAATGTCAATCGCGGGGTCCGCACTTGAAGCCGAACCTCCCGTTCTTTGGCAATCTTATTGGACCAGACTTCAAAAGTCGAAATTTTATCTCGGCATGATCCAGTTCCCGCTCCGGGGACCGCAGAAAGGAATGAGCATATTGGGCCTCAAGATTTTCGGTGCCAGAAGTCCCAACCACATAGCAGTCTAGTAGGCGATAATTATTTGTTAGGCTGCAGTTTGAACTTTTCTTGAGTATTGAACACATCCTATCTTCTAATGATAACTCCATAAAATATTACTAATGTGGCAACTATTGCAAACTTCCACCCAAGGTATACTACCGGATAGTACAAAATGGCATTGTTTTATTCTGTTTAAAAATAAAATGTCCGATATTTATCAAGCTGAGTTCCTGTGGGGCGTAGTAGCTCCAGTATTGACATCATGATATGTATTCAAATAAACTGTGACTTTACTGGAAAATTGACGACCCGATACAGGGTCTCCAATTTATATATTCTGCAGTGGACTTTGGCAATTTATCGGCGATACTATTTACAGGATAAGGCATTGTAGTAGGGTCACAGTATCACAGCACTCCAGACCTTCAGGCCGTGACCTTTTTCACAGTAACTGGAACTGATGGTTTGATAGCGACAAAGGCATCTTCAACGTCGAATCCAGCCTGGATCTCATTGTCATGATTTGCGAACGATAACTTCAATCTGAACACAAGGAGAGCCAGGGTCAAACTCATCTCCATATATGCCATGCTATATTTGAATGATATCAGTATCCAAATAAAAATAAACAGAGGGATAGATGAAGTAATTTCAAAGACTTACTTTCTGCCTAGGCATGACCTAGGGCCATAGGAGAATGGAGAGAATGCAGCTTTGTCACACTTGATAGAAGAGTTCGGCAGCCAACGTTCTGGGAGAAAGGAGTCCGGATTGTCAAAGTAGAGAGGGTTATGATGAAGTGAGAGATTGCAAACTCCTATTTCTGTCTGAAAGTTTGAACTGGCTGTTAGAATCATTAACCGTTCTTTCATTGCCGAAAAAGAAAAATAAAAGAAGTTTTGGGTGGGGGGGGAGAAATATTTGTTCATGTATGTATATTTTGGGGAGTCTCTTACGCCAGGAGGGAAAATACAGCCGTCAATAGCTAAATGGCCTGGGGCTCGGTCGACAACTATCCGGGGAATTAAGCCTGGATTTGGTGGGCAAATCCTCAAACCTTCCTCAATGACCGCATGCAAATAAGGGAGGGCGCGAAGGGCCTGGTAATTTATAGCCTCGGCAGAGTTGAAATTCTCACAAATTTCAGCTGTCAATTTCTGCATCGTCTTTGGATTCGCCAGTAGATGCCAGATAATAACAGTCAACGCTGTAGACGTGGTATCGGAGCCTGCGACACTGTACATGGATGGTATTAGTCTGGATAAGATGCAGCTGATAATATGTGCACTGTAAACGAACAGGAGAAGAATTGCTTCACCCATCAATTCCTGCATCCCATACGGCTCTTCATTATCCGGTCGGCGAGCCTGGAGTATATTCGTGAAGAAATCTTCTCGTTCCGATTTTCTAGTCCTTTGTTCCATCATTGCTTCGGTTGCTTTCTTTATCCGGTTTTGTTCAATTTCAGTCCATGAAGAAATTGCAGCGAGACGAACGAACCTGGAATACGTGGCCCCGTTTGGTCATCATTTCCTTTCGATGGAGAACTTTCCAAATAGCACGTGGCCACCTATGCATAGTCCCTTCCTTAAGCAAGTTTAGTCTGTGAACTCACGAAGGAAGTAGAGGTCGATGCTTACCCTAATGACCAATTGAACGGAATTTTCCATAGCCTCCAAAATGCGATCTCTTTCCTGCTCATTTTTCAAAGTCTCAAAGCATTTACCAAAGCATAGATCAGACAAAACATCAATAGAAAGAGCGCCCAGCATCACAGCAATATCAATATTTCCTGACGCTGCAATTTTCTCACAAAATGTATCGATATGCTGACGGATCAACGGTTCCATGATTTCCAGCTTGCGAGGTGCGAACGCCGCTGACAATATCTGCTTCTTTTGTTTGTAGATATTGTCATTGGTCGTGAAACTACTAGGCATTCCAGGTGCAAAGGCCTCGTAAAAAGGAGACTTTAGGACCGGTGCGCTGGCAGAGTAAATTGCAGGAATTGCACTCGCTGAATTTGTCGAGATGACATTAGGCCCGATTCGAACAAATGGCCCTTGTCTAAGCGTCAGCCAGTGGAGCAACAGGTTCTACTATGTATCAGGGGAAGCCCTTACCATATCTTTCGTGAAGCTGTATCAGTTTGTGGTGTCGCTTTCCGCCCCAGCAATGATATAAGTGCCACAGATCGGTAACCTTTGCAAGGAATGGGCCCGGAATATGGCTGAGGGGGGTGAAAAAAGAAGCAACCAAACAATTCTTGTGATAATAAATCCAAACGAGGCGAGTAAAATCATAGGAATGGAATTCAGGCCGAGGGCCTGTTCTTTCACAGTGGAACCCATAGTCCGGGGTGAATAAGAAGCAAATTCGATCAATTGGTTGTTTCACGTAGGGTAGGACAGAAGTAGCCAAGCAACCTCGAATAAAGTGAGGTCATAAAGAAACAATATTCATATTGAATGGTAAGCTTTCATAGATATAAATACATTAGTGACCTTGAAAATGACTCCACGCTATGGGACTTGAAGTGGATACGGAGTTCGCACTCGTATTGCTCGGTGACCGCTACTGCGTGCCATTCACAGCCCATCGATGATTTGAAGGCGGTATCCGTGTCTATATAATAGAACCCCTAGATAAAAGAGGAGCTTTATGCTAATTCTAAAGGACGATTGAAAATCCGTATCCCATGGGCTGGTGTCGCTCATGATTAGGAAAAGGAGTGTGTTACCCTCACTTGGAGCGGGATTCAGGCTCTGATCGGAGCAAAAAGTGTGTAACTCTGCATGCAGTAAATCGAAACGATAAAGTATAGCCTAGTAGGTGGTTGTCTTTTAGGTTGTTATTCAACTGGTCCACTTCCTACATAATCACGACAAGTATTCCCAACTCAATACCATCGTAAAATTTTGCAACTTCTACTTAAAACCTTCAGATTCGTTATTGTAACAAATATATCTGCTATATATAGTTGACCTATTATGCACCAAGCTAAAAACATGCTGTGGGGACCTGAACGATTCGCTATCACAGTGATGGGCCAAGCGTGGGGGATTCGGCTGTATATAAACCTCAACTGTCAGACCTTCTTTTCAAGTGAAAACAATGTGTATAATAGATAAGACCGGCTCTAGTGTTTGAAACGTAGCTAGCTTGTTAAAAAAAGATTATCGAGGGGTGGTATGCCGACGGAGGGATGTCCGAGGCGGTGCGGTGTCCGAGGTGCGGTATCCGAGATGCGGTGTCCGACTAGGTAGCCCACGCCCAGACTCGGCAGGAATATTAAGAGTGTATCTATGAACTAAGACTAAAATCTTCATACGGGACTACGATAATTATTCCTCACTTTCACAGCTCACTCTGCGCTATAAGCGTTGTCGCTGGCTTTGAGCAAAGCGTAGAGAGGGGATTCTACAACTAGATGCTTCGCTATCCTCCTTATAGACCTCGTATCAAGACTAAGCCACCGTTTCTGAATGGAGACCCGGGAAATGTGTAGCCTGTCACCTAATTCGAAAAGTAACCCTCCGGAGTCCGCAGATATGTGTTCACCCCCACATTTACACATAGCGGAATGCGTATTCCCAGGCTAACCAGTAGAGTTTATACGAGATATTCGGCTATTCAAGAACTGAAACCTACTCTTGTCATTTGCTTATATGTGGATCATGATTCTCGATTGATTCCTTTCGTCTCGAGGTATTGTTCACTCTTCACAGAGGGCAATTTTAATCAAGGTTCCTTTCTTCCAAAAAAAAAAAGTTGAACTGTTCTTTTTCAACATGGCATTCGATATATTACATGTTTTTATTGGACTTTCTATTGCTTTTGGACTCTGGATCGTATCTCATGCGATATACGATCTCCTTTTTTCGCCACTGCGTGGTATTCCGGGCCCTTTCCTCGCCCGTCTCTCTAGTTTATGGGAAATAGACGCTATTCGTAGGAATGGTCTTAACGAGACTTACATACGACTTCATGAGAAATATGGTCAGCAGTCTCCCATTCCTGGACCTGACGTCCTTGGCTGACTGAAGACCGCGTGCACTAGGACCTGTCGTACGGATTGCACCGAACCGCTATAGCTTCAACACCTTAGAAGCTTTGAGGACTATATACTCATCAACTGGTGGGGGTTTCGCCAAGTCCGACTGGTACGCGGCGGCTGGCCATCCAGATACGCCGAATATCTTAAGCATGCAAGATTCGCGGCTTCATGCCCAAAAGAAGAGAGAAATAGTCAGCCTATACACCATGACGACCATAGTAAACTATGAAGGGGCTGTTGAAAGAATTAATGCTGTGCTAATGCGCAAATTTGGTGAATTTGCAGACACACTCAGGCTCGTTGACCTTCCGGTTTTCCTACAATATTACGCCTTTGATGTCATTGCTTCTATTACGGTCTGTTTTTGCATCGGAGTTTCGAAACGGAATGCGTCTCTAACAATGTCCCAGATGGATAGGAATTTCGATATGATGGAGACTGAAAGGGATCGTACTGGTTTTCTGCACAAAATCAAAGTTGCCACGAAACATCATATGTCCTTCGGTCCCTTTCCGTTCTTACATGTTGTACTCGCCAGAGTTGCTGGTTTGCTTAAAATGAAAAATCCGCATAATGAGCTGTTCCAGTTCATCGCGGAATCAGTTGAACGATTTCGTCAGCTCGGCTCAAAGCCCAGTGAGAACCAGATGTCTGAACCGTTCCTCGCCAAACTTTTGGATCTAGAACGGAAAGGGAAAATCAATGAAGGATCTATTTTCAGTTCATGTGGTTCCAATGTCATCGCTGGGTCTGATACTACAGCCATCACTCTAAGTGCGGCTTTCTACTATATATACCGAAACCCAATTGTTCTTGGGAAGTTACGAGATGAGATTGATGCACGGGAACGGGCAGGGCTATTATCGAATCCAGCTAGGTTCAAAGAAGCCCAACAGATGCCATACCTGCAAGCAATAATCAAGGAAACGCTTAGGATGCATCCGGCCGTGGCCCAAATGCTTCCACGAGAAGTTCCGCAAAACGGCGTCCTCCTGAGTGGATATAAATTTCCAGCAAAGGTGTGTGAAAATCTCACCGTGTATTACCTGTCGTGTCGACGATTTTAACTTTTCCTTTCAGACACAGGTTGGCATCAGTGCGTGGGCACTGCACTATAATCCAGACCTGATTGATTCCCCTCGAGCTTTCCGTCCTGAAAGATGGCTCGAAGACCACGGACATACACTACCGAGTTCGGCCTTGAATTTTGCGGTTCGTGAATAGCCCAATGGTCCCTTTGCTTTGGGTAACTAATTCTAGTTTCAGTTCGGCGGTGGCTCGCGTATATGCCTCGGCAGGAATATCAGTCTCCTCGAGCTGACCAAAGTCATCCCTGAGGTGGTGCGTCATTTCGATATTCGCTTCGAAAATCCTGATCAACCATGGAAACTTGACGTCGGCTGGTTCACCTGGTCCTCGTACAAGTGCTGGATTGAAAAGAGGAAACCTGCGGAGAGGGCTGTTTGAAGGTTAGGTAACATGTCACGCATAATATGCCTCATTTCGTCTTGCATTGTGGCCCTAAGCGGAGAATTGCGCTTCTTATGATAATAGGCTAAGAGGCCAAGAGGCGCTCTGGTTCTTGTATTGGTATTGTGAAAGCTCCAGACATCAGCCAGCATATAGCATATATCCGAAAACGCGCGCATGCCTGATTAGTGGCGCTTTGAACACAAGATCCGTTGAAGCACTTAACGCGGGCCCCTACCAGTGGCTGTGAGTTTGGAGTGGCTTGCCAAGGAACCTCCCTAACCATACGAACTGGACCTAGATTTTCAGCTCCTAGAGCTTGGCCATGAAGCCGCTCGGTCGAAGAACGGCAGTGGGGTAGATAAATACCGAGGGGAGCAGGCCTGAAAGAAGAATGGATGCCTTATCGAAGCCCTACGGATGGGCTCACCGTACTTTTCCCAACAGTCCTCCACTCCTTGCGGTGCAACAATTCTCCGGAGGCGGAGGCGGTGCAATTCTGGCCGAAGAGCCCTGACAAAATGTCTCCGAATTCAATCATGGGGCTTATAACCGAAAAGCAAGGAAGGACGGCAAGTCGGGCCCGACACAACTCGGATTTTGGCACACCGCACCGAAATTGTTTTACCTCGGACGATTCCACCAAGGTTGCGTCACAGACAGGAACCTGCGAACTCCAAAGCTAATCCGCCACATCGACACCTCAGGATTCACTCCATTGGCCCGTGGCAGATCATGATTGGACCGATATATTTAAACCGGGTCTTTAAAATCTTAAACTGGTACAGTATGCAGAGACGCACTAAGCACCGCGCTGACGCCGCTTGCTAATTTACAGTGCTGATGCTCCCCCTTTGCCGCTTACCTCCGATTTGTGCCAGTCACCCACAGCCACTCATATGCGACAACATGACTCGACCGGGTCCACTTCGAATTGTGCGCGGACATTAATCAGTCTTAAAACCGTGATGACCTCCCGATTTCTGGTTCAGATCCACGAGTGGACCCTCAATTGCTGCTGGAGACGGCCAGCGAAAGTCCGAAGGGTCAAAATGATCCAGAAAATTCCACCATAGATGGAGTTAGCTATGACGCTGAGGAATTGCAGCGTATAAAGGCCCCGATTTTCCCCCAGCGACTAACTATCTTGACACAATTGAGCTACATTTATCTCATCACGATCACATTTATCAATCATGGGTTCGACCGATTACAAGTTTGAGGGCTGGATGGGCCTCGATGCCAGTGCTGCTCAGGGCAACATGAAGTGGCAGGAGTTCGAGCCTAAGCCCTGGAGGAGACCGATGTCGATATCCAGGTCACTCACTGTGGTATCTGCGGTTCCGACATGCACACCTTGCGCAGTGGATGGGTACGTGGAATCGAGGTTGCTTTATTATGTAGAAGCCTGAGCTAATATATGACACTCTTCTAGGGTCCTACTACCTACCCCTGCTGCGTTGGCCACGAAATTGTCGGCAAGGCTATCCGCGTCGGGTCCAAGGCCACCGGCGACATTAAGATTGGCGACCGCGTCGGTGTTGGCGCTCAGAGCGGTTCGTGCCAGAACTACGATGGAAACTGCGAGGCCTGTGCCAACAGCCTGGAGCAGCACTGCAACCGTATGACCGGAACATACAATGGAACATTCTTGAACGGCGGCAAGTCCTACGGAGGATACGCCCTGTACAACCGCTCGCCATCACACTTTGTTATCAAAATCCCCGACGCCATTCCCTCCGCCGAGGCTGCACCTATGCTTTGTGGTGGCATCACCACTTATTCTCCCCTCCGCCAGCACGGTTGCGGCCCCGGTAAGAAGGTCGGTATCGTCGGTGTCGGTGGACTGGGTCACTTTGGTATTCTGTTTGCCAAGGCCCTGGGCGCCGACAAGGTTGTCGCTATCTCACGCAAGGCCAACAAGAAGGAGGATGCGCTGAAGCTGGGAGCCGACGCTTATATCGCCACCGACGATGATGAGGACTGGGCCAATCATCACAATCAGTCTTTGGACCTGATCATCTCGACAGTTTCCTCGTCTAAGATGCCTATCGTTGGATACTGTCAACTTCTGCGCACCCGTGGAACCTTTGTTCAGCTGGGGGCCCCCGAGGATGGTGGTCTCGAGATCCCTGCCTTCAGCTTGATCGCTCGGGGTATCAAGCTCGGTGGCTCTTTGATTGGTAGCCCCGATGAGATCCGTGAGATGCTGGATCTCGCTGCCACCAAGGATATTCACCCCTGGATCGAGGAGAGGCCCATGGAGGAGGCCAACCAAGCCATTCTGGACATGGATGCGGGCAAAGCTCGCTATCGCCTTGTGCTTGCCAACAAGTGGTAAATGCAAAATATGTGATGAGTTAAGCGAAATATAAATATAGATACCTGAATAGAGCAATACCATGGATGAGTGGTGAATTACAATCTGAATCATTCTCATGAACGTACTAAGTTGTCGAGCATGAAGTTAGAACTTTTGCCCGTTTAACAAACCTTGGAATCATCATTAGGACAGTATTGCTAGAGAGAAATGAAGCACTCTGTAATGGTTGTGCTACTAAGGCCTACTATGTAGTAGGCATTTCGCAACGCTGAAGACTCCACCGTAGAGATCTCCATCCAGACCCTTAGGATCATTCTCCGAGTCCCACCTTGGCTTCATAAATTCAAGGCCGAGATCGCTAATACCACTGAATACAGTAAAGGGCCTGCAAGAAAGAACTTTGGGTGAAATTGCGAATAACATAACTTCTCTTGATGCCTAGATGACACAGGCATCAACGCCAAGCCCCAGCCTCCCCCTTTCTCCCTTCTCTCTGACCATCTCATCTCCACCTTCTCACTCCAACATCTTTATCATCATCACCCTGTAGAGTCCGTATTTGTCTTTTGCCGTTCTCGCTGCCAGTCCTGCCATTCCTGTGTTTTCATAGGACTCTCCGATTTCACTTGTTGACTTTGGATTGGGCACGTACCCGTGACCAGACCGCAAGGACTTTTACTATTTTGCTCTTATCTTCTCCTTGTCATTATTTATTCTCCATTTGATACGAGTCAGGGCTGCTCGATTTCGGTCAAAAGCCCGGGTGGGAGGGTTGCTCGATTCATCGAGAGGTCTCCTTTCTCGTCCAGCGAATATTGTAATAGACTGTGACCGCCAACCACATCGCCAAATCTGCCTTGAAACTGAAACTTGAAAAAAGAAGGTTCTTGTTCATACGCCCTGTGCCCAATTTTCTTGTTCTGCTAAGCTTCATATCTCCCCTGGAGGCCAGATTCATGTTTATCATTAAAAGTTGATCAGTGGATTAATTTCCAAGGTTACCAAGCCGCATTCTGTTGGCGTCCGAAATTTTAGTAGTAACTTGAAATGCCCAGGTGAGACGGTATTGGAAATTATATATCCTTGTTTATCTCCCGTGCCAGTGTTCTATGACCATACCCACTCCAAGTTTCCAAGGTTCACGCCACTCCAGGCCCCTTCCTTAGGAGAATGGACTTGGAAGAGTAGTGTAGTTTTACCAGAGACAGGTAATCAGCCCGCACCTAGTCTATTAAAACCCCATTCCAAGGTTATTGCTGATTCTCGCAACTAATAACTTCCTTGGCAACCTGAGGATGGAAGTTGTCCGCTCGGCTGCCTTTGTCGCCGAGTGCCGAAATCCGGGGAAGTGATAAGTTTCCCCGCACTCGGTCAATTCGACACCTTGGACTCCAACAGACACTCCCACACTCCACTTACCCTCGCACTAGGCTCAGTAAAGTCTAGAATGCACCCGTGGACCGCCACTACAGTCTGCTTATCATTCAACCCGTCGGATCGGAAGTCTCCCCGATAAGAAGTCCGTCGCTTCTCCCCCTCGTTTGGTTCTGCTGGAGTGACACCTCCCCCCGCCATGAATACGCCTGGTCGAGTCTGTGCTCGCTGCGCACGAATTGTTAGTAATGCATCTCAAGCCCGCACCATGGACAAAGGCTAATTCTCAATAGAAACAACGATGCGACGGCAGTCAGCCGTGTTCACGGTGTAAACGTACGCTCAGTTATCCTACTCGCGAAATCCTGCAATCCCAATGTTCACTGACTTCCTTTGAAAAAAAAGGCCTTGGTCATATTTGCAAACCACGAAGCCCCACAGAGCAAGAACCCGGACTAGCTGCGGCATTACGACGGCCCCGTGCATCGCGGTCCCGCGGCGGCTGTATGTCCTGCAAGGCGAGGTAGATCGATATCTGGAGTGGAGCATAACATTTCGTCGGAAGCTGATTAAGTTCGCAGGAAGAAGAAGTGCGATGAAATAAGACCGCGATGTAGTGATTGTCAACGCCTGAACCTTCCTTGTCAGTGGTCACCCAGTATCGAAACGACGAATGACCCGAGCGACTCTTCATCATCGGAGTCCCATGCGATCGAGCCACCCTGTACAGACCTGGTCGAACTATCCGACGGTGATCGGATCATCCCTACATATATTACTCCCGAAGATGACGAAGAGTTTATCGCCACGCTCTTTCCACACCCTTTCCGCGAGCAAACCGCAGCAGTGCTTCCTATCGACCGTTCCCTGCTATCGGCAAATCCATATTTGAACAGTGAGGAGGACCGATCACTTTTCAACCACTATATCCACGTCGTATCCCGCGCGCTCTCCCGATCTCATGATACCGATCGGAACCCATTCCTGGTCACACTGTTACCATTGGCGGCTGCATCGGATGCGGTAACTAGTGTCATCCTTAGCCTGAGTGGATGCCATTGGAGGAGAGTCTATCCCAGCATCTGGGGATGCGCTCTAAAGCGCCAGGGTAAAGGTTAGTTACATTCAGCAGCGAATTCGGAATTGAAGCTAACGGTTTCTAGCATTGACACAGGTGAATAGACTACTGGGACAACCTGATCGTCATTCTATCTTCGAAGCATGCGCCACTGTGTTGCTGCTATGTCTAACAGAGCTCTTTGATGGGACATCCCGAGTGTGGAAATGGCACTTGAAGGCCGCGAGTGCAATCCTCAGATCACCAGCCTTTCGATCACTCGTTTCAACAAATGAAATGAATTTCTGCATCAGTTTATTCCATTACCTTGACTCGATGTCAACGATCTCTCGCTGCAAGCCCCCACTTCTCCATGACAGCGACAGCATGACCGAATTGACAACCTCCTTCCGTCGAGATAGTATCTCGACACAAGAGCGCAACCTATCTACTGACGCTATCTACGGAATATCCCCGGCCCTCTTCGACATTCTAGGAATGGTCAACATTCTAGCCAATCACCGTAGCAAGCGCATCGATGAGCTATCCGAAATTGGTTTCCGAGCTGCGGCTACACAAGTGGAAAGTCGGATCAACGAGTGGCGCGCGGATCACGATCGGAGCGCGGAACAGGAACTTGATACGGAGCGCGCTACCACTGCATTCGAGTGGGCGATTCGCTTGCGATTGCATCAAGTTGTCGAGGGCTACGACCCACTTCACGAATTTGTGGAGCACGCGGTTTCGACGATACTAGATGCGGTGCAGCTAGTTCCATATGCTAGCAGTGTCGAAGGCTGCCTTCTGTTCCCTCTCGTTATTTCCGGTTCCAGCAGTATTAGCATTGAGAGACGAATGATAGTGAAGGAACGTCTTATGGTGATGGAGAATACTCTTGGGTTCAGCCATATCCAACACGCCCGACAACTTTTAGAAACTGTCTGGGGTGGCACAGCCCATGCATCTGACATGAACTGGGCTGCTGTTAGGTATAGTCAGTTTCCAGGTGTTGTTTTCATCTAGGCAATGGAATAATGGAATTTTAAACTTCTTTGCAAAGAGCATATTTTGGTACAAGCAGAACTTATGGTCACGTCTCAAATTCAAATATACTAATATATATGAAATTCTAAAGACAAAAACTACAGATCAGCCTTCTTCAGCTCTGAAACTAGGTCAGCCAAATGGTCTCGCATGTTATATCCGCAGACCTCCTCGATCGTCAATTTTCCTGGACGGTCTGACGAAGAACTCCAGCCAATACGTTCGCTCAAATCTTCACGAGCCCGGAAACTCGCTTCCTGTACCCGGGTAGCGCGTGGCTTGCGTAGCTTCTCATAAAGAGCCAAGCCCTCAGTCGTACTGTAGGTCTCGCGAAAGTTCTTGTTGAAGACAATGCCCAAAGCACCAGCATCCTCAAACGCCATGCAAGAACCTTGAGACTGGTCGGGCATCATGGGGTGTGCTATTGAACGGGTCAGCATCTCAAGGGGCTGGGGAAATGGAATTAAAACATACCAGCGTCTCCAAGAAGGCAGACCTTGCCCTTGGCCCAGAACGGATATGGCTGGTGTCTATACACTAAAGGGATAATCAGTACTGTCAGTGCCAGTTCAGGGATGAATAACATACAGCGCCACATCTTGATATCTTCAGCATTGAGCATCAACTTTTGCATTCTAGGGTCCAGATCAGGGAATGTCTCGACTAGCTGCTCTGGTGTTGCACCGATATCCCAGCCGTCTTCGCGGAGGTTATTAAATGACGCTGGATAGAAGCAGTAACAGCTCACAACCTCGCCATTACTGCAAGGTGACATGACGATCTTGTTGATTCCATAACCACCCCAGTATTCAATGGCTTCGTTAGAAATGTAGTCGTCTCAGACCGAGAGACCGAAGCTTATCGGCACCGATAATGCATCTATAGCAGCAAGAGGTCGACATTTCGAATTCGGGAGTAATTCCAATGAGCTCTCTTGTCGCCGACTACAGGTGATAATTAGCGAATGAGATCAGTCATTTAGGCATGGGAGTATCATACCCTAATTCCGTCGGCGGCCACGATAATGTCGGCAGTTGTTTCGACTCCATTCTCAAACTTGATCTTTCCATCTTCGGCGCTGACCTCAACCGCCTTGTGGTTAACCTTTAGGACACATGCAGGGCCCTCGCCTGGTTCTTCAAACGCAGATTTAATGAGCTCTTTGTGAATATCAATTCGGTGAAAATTATTATAGTCCTGTGATCATCAGCTGCTATGCACATTGGCTGTGCGGATAATGCATTTCTGCGTACCGTGCCAAATTTGGACTTGTAATCGCCCAGGGGATATGTGCTTTGCACTTCACCATCAGACCAATTGTGCATGATCAATTGCTTTAGAATAACCTATTTTTATATTAATCAAAAATATTCTCAAATATCGCTCTACTCCTCTTTTCCCGCTGAACCTACTGGTTTGGCCGCTTTCACATCGACACCCCACTCTTCCAAAAAGCGCGATCCATTCGAGGCGGCACTCAAAGATGCGCCAACCTCTCCGGCAAAATCATATCTCTCATAGACAGTCACGGCGTGCCCTTGGCGACGCAGGGCGACAGCAGCACCAAGTCCGCCGAGGCCGGCGCCGATGATGGCAATTTGAAGTGGCGAGTCGGTACGCGAAGGCATGTTTTCTCCAATGGATGAGGTTCGAACTGACACAAAGAAGCAGAACAAGGTTTCTAAAACCTCTAATATATACAGATTCCAACACTGAAGCTATTCCCTCGCGTCGGATGCCCATTCCCACCCAAAATTATCTCCCCCGGATGACCACGATAAGCGACGGAAGTCTCCGCTATCTATGCGACGGCTGCATTTTGTGGCGTCTCCGCAACCGATCCTTGCTTCTATCATCTTCGCTGCTGTCGCCGAGGCGGAGCCAATCAGGAGCTTGTGATACGTTTGTCCGGGGAAGCTGGCAGTAGTTCCTGCTGCTCACTATCTCCCTGCCAGTCCCTGGGTTCTGGTATCAAAGCTTCCCCGTCCCGTTAATAAAACGCTCGGTGTGCAACGCCATGCCTGCATGCTCACCACCGCCTTGAACTGGTATCCGAAAACTTTCGCAAGATATTTGATTATAATAATCATGGATAAGAAGAATGAACTGGAGGACAAACTCGATTCACCCGAGGATTGCTCCCTGGGTACTTTGACGATGGATGACAAGAGATTGCTTCGCAAAGTGGATTGGCACATCTTGCCCATCATGTTCTTCACATACTTTCTCCAGATGATTGACAAGATTTCCATCAACGTTTGTTTTGCCCCATGCCTTTCTCCTTCAACCGCAAACTACTGACATCGTGAAGTATGCGAATGTGATGGGACTTCAAGGCGATTTGGGGATGTCTGGGAATGACTTCTCCTGGCTGGCAACCGCTTTCTTCATCGCTTATGCTGTGGCGGAAATTCCCCAGGGAGCTCTGCTACAACGATTCCCGGTGTCCAAAGTTCTAGGGTTCAATGTGCTTTTTTGGGGCATCATTCTCTGCTGTTCATCGGCGACCAAAAGCTTCAGCGGAATGCTTGCCTTGCGTGTTCTTCTTGGTTTGATGGAGGCGGTTATCGGCAAGTCACGTAACCTCCGAGCTTTCATAGCTAAGCTAATTTCACGCCAGCTCCGTCTCTTACCATGTACACGAGTATGTGGTATACCCGCGCAGAGTCGACACCGCGATATGGATTTTGGTATTGTGGTCTTGGTATGGGCCAGATTGTCGGCGGGTTGATTTCTTTCGCTGCTCAACATGCACCCGCAAACTTGTCATTTGGTGGATGGCGCATCATGTTTGTGGCCATTGGGGCCGTGAATATCCTAGCATCTTTGCTGGTTCTCTTCGTTTCTCCCAGAGAGTCCTGCTAAGGCTAGGTTTCTGAGCGAGGCGGAAAAGCAGCGCATATCTCAACGACTGTCGCAGGATCAGGCCGGTGTTGGGAACAAGGTCTTCCGCTGGCGATCTGTCCTAGAAGCATTTGCAGACATGCAAACCTGGCTACTGGTGTTGTTGACAATTCTGATAACTATACCTAGTGGTGTAATCACCACGTTTTCAGCAATTTTGATTCTAGGGTTCGGATACAACTCAAAGGAGAGTGCGCTATTGAATATGCCCAGCGGGATTGTGAGCATAGTTTCTACAATGGCCTCTACATATGCCATCGCAAAAGGGTTCTCGAGATGGCTCGCAATCGACATTTTGCTGATCCCAACTCTCCTGGGCTCTTGTCTCATGTCTTTTCTTCCAACTGAAAACAAGGGAGGCTGCTTAGCTGGTATCTATTTGGTCAACACGGTATGTTCTTTTTAGGTTTCTAATTTGACATCGCTGACATATCCAGACCGTTGCCCCGCTTGGTATAATATATGCTTGGACGGGTGCCAACTTCAAAGGATACACCATGAAGGTATGACAAAAGTTTTCCGCTACTACTACCAGCTTATCTGACATGACTAGGTCTCGGGTGCGGCAATTGTATCGGCTGCATTCAGTATCGCCAACATCATTGGCCCTCAAACATTCCAATCTAAAGACGCTCCTCGGTAAGGAAGATCCCCCAATCTCTCCAATCAGCCTATAATATTGACCCTTCTATCAGGTACATTCCGGCCAAGATCACACTTGTCGCTGTCAACGCAGCTGCCATTGTTGTATCCACAGCCCTTCGGATGCTGTATGCCCGCCGGAACTCTACCGCTGAGCGCCTGGGGACTCCAGCACGGAGCAAAATGGAGGCTCGTCTAAGTAGCAAAAACCATACGAACGACGTTCACGATGACGCGAACTTTCGTTACGTTCTTTAAGTGGAGACATTATTTGTCTAGGATATTTTATCGTTTCCATGTAAATTGATAGCAATGCAAATTGAGAAGGTGTCGCCTAATTTTGGGTCCATTTAGTAGTCACTCGGCTAGACATTCTAAATAAATAAACCCGGGGAAATGGGAAAGAGGCCAAAGTCGCAACTTGAATATTTTCGACTCCACTATCTATCCGACGGCACCGGGTGGGTTTGTCCGATCGGTCTTCAGGAGTTCAAAATATAAGGATCGAACATTGAACACTCCTGTAAGAAATCAATATCACTGTTGACCCAAGATGACTCCTATTGATTCTGGATCTCTTGTGCTTGTGACTGGTGGTAACGGCTTTATCGCTGCCCACTGCATCGCTACTCTTCTTCGCTCCGGTTATAAAGTCCGAGCGACCGTTCGATCAGCTGAAAAGGGCGATTCGACACGAGAGTCACTCAGCGCCGCGGGTGTGAGTGTGAGCGATCTTGGAGACCTAGAATTTGTCGTTGTTCCCGATCCAACCGACCTTCAACGTCTATCGTCTGCCTTGCAGGGTTGCCAAGCCGTACTACACTTAGCATCGGCCTTCAACTACGATGCGGTCCCAGCAGAATTTGAAGAAAAGTTGATGATGCCAGCACTCAAGGGTACACAAGTAGTCTGTGAGGCAGCTACACAGCAGTCAACTGTACGACGAGTCGTCATCATGTCGAGTTTTGCTAGTGTTTATGATGCTAGTCTGGGACTTCAGCCTGGTCGTGTATACACGGAAGAGGATTGGTGTCCGTTGACCTATGAGGACGGCGTTAACGCATCGGCCGTTGTGAGTTTTTTTTCATTCTTTCTTCTTGTCAATTTTAAGATATTCTTCTAATTCAAATCAGCCCATCGCGTATCGCGCATCGAAAGTTGTCGCTGAGCGAGCGGCCTGGGATTATGTGCGAGATCACCAAGTGAACTACCAGCTTGTCACACTTTGCCCTGGAATGGTATTCGGGAAGATGATCCACCCCATTTCATCATTGTCGCAGTTGAACGCTAGCAATCAAATTGTGTGGGGGGTCCTGAATGCAGGCAGAGATGGGGAAATTCCACCTACCAAGGCGCCCGGTATGTCCGAATTCCGCATCCTTCCAAACTTTTCCTTTGCTTATCCAGAATGTTTAGTATGGATTGATGTCGAAGACCTGGCGGAAGCTAGTATGAAGGTTTTGAGCTACCCAGCGACCAGTCACGACCGTTTCTTGGTTACACAGGCATCGTACGACACCCAAGAGATTGCTGATGTCGTTCGTGCACAGTTTCCAGACAGACATCAAGCCCCGCTTGGTGAGCCAGGAAATCGCCTCGCTCACACACATTATTCCTGCGATTCTTCCAAAGCACAGAGGGTTCTCGGTCTCAAATTCAAGGGGTTGAAAGAGTCAATCATTCCCTTGGCTGAGCAGTTGTATGACATGGCAAAGCTTTGAGTTACAGAATAGACAGCGAGTGACTATATACTAGTACCTAGGTAGCTTCTAGAATATGAAAAGACATAAACACTCTATCTAAAAATTGTTATTCTAGGATCAGAATCGGTAGAAGTAGTCCGTAACAGCAAATCCCTGGACTCGCCTGCTATTTTGATGGACTAAAACGACCATGACATCAAAGCTCTTGCTCCGATACTCCTTTGATCTCTCTAAACGCCGTCATATATACATAGATAGGGAACCCGCAATGATTAATATTTTTGTCACGGTCGGCTATTACAATAACCACCAAACCATTGCCTCTGACATCGTCTCCCATATCGGTGGGTAGTCTTATAAGATGGAAAATACGGGTCACGTTTGTTGGGAAATTTAGTAGAACTTGATGTGAACTTTATGTGAATTATCTATATAAAGGACTAAACATAGAAGGTGTATCATTCAAGCGTGGAGCGTAGCCTTGATGTGATCTGCAGTCATATCAATAAACTCCTTCGCCTGCCACAAATCTGTCACACGAGTTAGAAAACGCCTTCTCATACTTGGAGTCAACTTCAAAAACTTACCCTTATCCATGTGCATAAATGGGTGGGGAACACCCGCGAACCGTTTTTGAATAACCTCGTTTCCACCCTCAATCAGCTTTCGTGCATACGCCTCCCCCTCATCGCGCAGTGGGTCACATCCAGCTGTGTAAATCACCGTCTTGGGAAGGCCGGCGAAGCTGGGTGCTTGCAGAATATTAGCGTACCACTTCACAGCAGCCAATTGCTCCTCACGAATTGGACCCTCTGCTGCGATGCTTTGCCACTTCAAATTATCGAACCACTTCAGCCGAGCCCAGTTCAGTGTAGGTGCGTGTTCCATTTGGTGCATGGATTCCCACGGTGCATCCGACGCCGACTTGTATTTTGAAATATCATCGACCACAGGGGTTCCCACGGTGACTAGTTTGAGTGGAATATTGTTATCCCGAGCGAGGTGGGCGCAAACCAAGGCGATATTGGCACCGGCGGAGACTCCTCCTAATGAAATGCGCGCTGGGTCGATTTTGAATCGGTCGGCTCCTTTCGCGAAGATGTGTTGTAAGGCCGCAAACGAATCTTGGACTCCGATTGGGAATGCAAATTCTGGTACCAATCGGTAGTCCACGTCTATCACGCAAACATTGGCCTTGACGCAGATGTGCTTGCAAATGTGGGATTCGGTATCGAGATCACCCAGTCCCCAACCTAGTTTCGAGTCAGAGACAGCTCTCGATAGAATAGTGGGATAATTCAGTTGGTTCTTTCCACATACCTCCACCGTGGAAATCAATGTGTACCGGCCATGGACCAGCTGATGCAGGTTCATACACCCTCACTGGAATCGATTCGCCGTTGTGGCCAGGAACCTCGCTATCGTAGACTCGTGCGCATTCTGGTGCAGGCCCAGTACCGTAGGAGTAAAGGACCGAGTATTTTGTTCGTAGAACCGACAAATCGATTGGCCCAGCGGGGGTATTAGCGACGTGTTTGTTATAAAGATCAACGAACACTGGGTCGAGGTGGGGAAGAACAGAGGGGTGGATGGGGTTAAGGGCTTCGTGCGACATGGTGATGGTGTTGAGGTGACGACGAAGTGAAGTTGTTCAAGAATATTATATATCTTATCCTTGATTCAAGTTGTTTTTCAAGGTTGTCAAATTGGGTCATCACATCGTCGGGAAATACACAGCCCCGCGCCGTCGCATTGGCTCACGTAGCCGAACCGTCGGAAGCCAATTTTGAAGCCGTGGGAAACTTCCTGTGGATACTCGATAACCCCGGACCCCGCACGTTATCTATGCGACGGGCTTCTGATAAAGTCGATTGTGAAGTTTTCTTAGGCTGCGACAGCAAGAATGGGGATTGTTATGGCCTTGCAGCCTCAGGCATCCTGGTTACCCACGCCATTAGAAGGAGCTTCCTCCCTTCACATCTATCCAATACACACATTTTCCTCCGATCTCTTTCCCCCGATACTAGCGATCCCTAGTCATCGGTGATCTCATAGTCGTCACTATCATGGATCCTGTGCTGATTGTTGGCGCCGGTATTGTGGGCTTGACCCTTGGACAAGCTCTGAAGCAGAAGAATATTCCCTTCGAAATATTTGAACGCGATGAAACTCCCGATGCGCGTGGCCAGGGATGGGCCATCACCTTGCATTGGGCCTTGGAGTATATGCACAAGATGCTCCCCCAGGACATCCTAAAGCGTATCCAAGATGTTCAAGTGGATCCAGATGTTGCGCTTAACGACAATGGCAATTTTTTATTCATCAACCTCGAAACCGGAGAGCCAAAATACAAAATTCCACCAAGCGTCCGGTGGCGGGTGAATCGCGAAAAGGTGCGGCGCGCATTGCTTCATGGAATCGAAGACCATGTTCACTGGGGGCGACGAGTGGTCAGTGTCAACCTGCCCGAGGATATAACCAAAGTGCAGTTGGTTTTCGCCGATGAGACTACCTTGACCGGACGTCTCGCTATCGGTGTCGAGGGTAGCCGATCGATGGTGCGACAAATTTTACGACCAGATGCTTTTGACAATGTGCCAGTCGGGATCAATTTCACGGGTGTTGCAGTTGATTTGACGCCCATGGAGATTAAGCCTTTGCGCGACATGGACCCTTTGCTGTTCCAGGGCTGCTATCCACCAACAGGAGCCTTCTTTTGGTTCTCAATGCTTGAGACACCCAAGGTAAATGGGACCGCAGGAACACAGGCCGAGCGCTATCGAGCTCAAATATGCATGTCTTGGCCTGAAAACACACCAGAAGACAAAGTGGCCGAAAATAGTGAGACCCGGCTGGCCAATATGAAGAGACGCGCCCAAGGGTTCGTACCTTTCTTGCAGCAGGCTGTGGACAGGATCCCTACTGGGACAGCCGTCACGGAGATCAAGCTAGCAGATTGGGAGTGCCTTGAGTGGGACAACCATGATGGTCGTGTGACTCTGGCTGGGGATGCAGCGCATGCAATGACAATGTGTTAGTATTCACAGTACGCCATAACCTACATCATTTACTAATAATATCTGTAGATCGAGGAGAAGCAGCAAATCATGGTCTGCTAGATGCCTATCATCTTTCACAAGCCATTGAAAAAATCTACTCTGGATCTTCTCTGGCATCTGAAGCCATTAGCGAGTTCGAAACAGAGATGAGGGAGCGGACAAGTCGGGCTGTGCGCCTCAGCCGACAGGCTTGTCGAGATGCACATGACTGGATGAGATTGGATGAGACATCTGCGATTTTAACCAAGAGGGCGATTGTAGGAAAATAAACATTCCTTTGTCACTTTACTGCAGATACCGAGTCATCAGTTGAGGGTTTGAAAATGGTACTCTCTTACTAAGACGAAATTTCTGATCTCAAAAGATTCAATTGTGCTATGAAATGACAAGGGTGAAATTTTGCTACTACAAATCAACTATACCATGTAGCGTGCATAAGGAAATGGATTCAATCGAATAATATCAACACCAGTCAGCTAGATTGCCACAGCATGACTACCAATCTCAGGTATAATTAGCCATATGGAAAGGAAAATCAGTCTATTCGGCCGAGTCGACTAGTAAATTATCGAAAGAAATCAAAGACAAGAAAATAATCCATAGCAATCAAAAGAACGTCGATCCGAAATCACAGAGCGATCATACCAACACCGGTCAGGAGAGCGGTAATGATGTAGGCAGCGACCTGGAAAGATCCGAAAGAAGCACTCGAGTGAAGGCCGATGGGAGAAGCGAAGCTGGATGAAGTGGAGCTAGAGCCAGAGCCAGAAGTTGCGGTGGCCTCAGTGGAAACAGTACCGGTTCCAGCAGTTCCAGCCTCCTTAATCTGAGCAGAGCAAGTACCAGTGGCCTTGGTGGTAGCCTGAGTAGTAGCAGAGCCCTTGAAGGAACAGGCAGAGGCGTCATTGTTCTGCTCGCTGTAGTACTTGTTCAGAGCGAAAGCGAGCTGGTCCTTAACGCCACACATGCTGTAGGCACCATATTTGCCAGTGGTGGCGTTGGAGTGCAGGCCACCGCAATCAGTGTAGCCGCAAACAAGACTCAAAAGGGTACCGTATTTAGACTCGCTGACGCTGTCGCTCACAACACAGGCTGCCTCGCTGGCAATGCAGTCGCAAAGGGTGGAATCAGGGGTAGGGGGAAGGGGAGAAGCTTCGGCTAGCCAGGTCGAGTCCACAGTCGGGCAAGCTTGCAGGACAGTGTTGGTCGGAGTATAAGAAGCCTTGTTGGTACCAGTAGGAGAGGCAGTGGCAATATGCTTGGAGTAGGAGGTGAAGTCCGCCAGCTTGCTGACACTAGTGCTGTCAACTACGGAGACGAGACCTGGATGTAAGATCGAATTAGCTTTCAGTCCGTATTTGACGATGAAGATTGAACGAACCGTAGTCGTTTGCCTCTTGGAAGTACATGTAGACAATACCACCAGACCAGACCTCGGCCATGGTGTCGCCGTACAGGGCGGTAACCTCAGTGAACGGACGAGGCTGAACGTCGTTGCAACCATACTCAGCGAAGAAAACAGGAGCAGTGTAGTTGCGGAACTCCTCAGTTCGGGTACTGTAGCCGGACTTCTCATAGGTGGAGTTACCGCACCAGGAGTAAACGTTGTAGCCCCAGAAGTCGATGGTCTGATCATCATCCTCGCAGTCCAAGTAGTTGGCAAGGTTAACGCGAATGGTGGTAACATCAGCAGTGGCATATCCGATACCCATGCTACGGTATCCCTTCTGCTTGATATAGGTCTTCATATCACGGACAGACGCCTTGACGTAGGCGCTAGCCTCGGTGGTGGCGGCAGTGTTAGAGATCTCGTTACCAGCGAAGAAACCGATGGTGTTGTTGTACTGCTGAAGCTCGTCGATGACACTGGTGTATCGGGAGTAGAGGCTAACCTGCCACTCAGGGTCGGCACGGTTAATGGAACTGTTGGGGGACGACAGGTCGGAGATGAGATAGATG